GCGTTGGACTCGACATCTCCTACTGTTTGTTGGGAGGCCGAGGGAATATCGATCACTGGCGGTGGGTATGCCGGTGCGCTGGGAATATAGTGGAACGGTAGTTGTGCGCGGACTTGTCTCCGCTGGCAGCAACGGCGAAGTTGGTACAAAGTAATGGAGAAGAAAAAGAGTATAAAAGTCGCGAAGACGGCGAGAATGGACTCGGACCAGGGCATTCGTCCGGGAATCTATTCGTGGCGTAATTCGACGATCGACCATGCAAGCTGATAAACAGCAAGGATGGTAAGAACGATGAGGAGAACGATGATCAAGCTAAGGTCGGTCTCGTAATTGGAACCGTTCATTAACTGGATTTCGCAGGAGTCGTCAGAGGGGGAGCTTGTTACTATCAACAAGATAATTGTCAATAGCGATGCAAGCTGGAGGGTGAGTATAAAGGGTTTCGTGTTGGGATACGTGGTTCCTAAACAAGACGGGGATATAGTGCGTACAGGGCGACTAGCAAACTTGCTAGCAACACTGCCGGTATTCCGAGTCCGATTAGAAGGAAGGTTAAGTATACAGTCAAGAAGACTGCGAGGAGTAGGTCGTCGTAGATGATGATTTCAACAATCCACCTGGTCACTAACAACAGGAGGAGTAGCTGAGGGGGTATTAGCCACAAGGCTAGCGCAACGAAGTAGTGTATCGGATGAATGTTGGGTGGTAAGTGCTTTTCCGTCGGTCCACTCGCTGTACGTTGACAAGCACCGGGTTGTCCACACGAACGTAGGCGATGACCTCTCTGGTCAAGCAAGATGATATTTCGTAAAAGAGTTGGGCAGCGCTCTTTCTCGGAAGTGACGCTGAGCAACGTAGAGCGAGCTTCGGCTAAATGTTAGCCACTAACTCTTATCGACTTAGATCGGGTTAGGATCGCTACTCGCACTTCGGTAGACGATGCACTAACAAGTCAAAGGCGATGCAAGTCGATGGGACAGATAGTCACGAAGAACGGAGTTCGATGTTAGGTAGAATAAACCTTAGCCGAAGCTGGGGTTTAGACCAGCTGAGGCTCTACTTAAATACACGTTGAGTAGACTAAAGATAGTACTGTGAGAATGTCCGATCAAGACCGCAGCATAAAGCGCAGCATAGAGTAAGCGTGAATACGTAAGAAAAGAAAAAGAAAAGAATAAACCATAACATATATGCTCTTGTTCGGTGTCCGTCCTGTAGCCGCGTAGTATTTTAAGAAACTCAACTTGACGGACTTTTGTGGTCGATATGATGCCACTCTTTATTTCTCCGCAATCATAATTGATGGTACTGATGTTTTGGGACCTAAAACCTGCGATTTTACGTAGCACGAAAGCACAACGACCAGGAAGATGTCTACTTCGCTGTTCCCCAAGGTACAACTTTAAGAAAGGCCTTTTGCAAGTAAAAAAATTGGACAGATGGAGATTCAAAAGGGCATATTAGCGCATCATTGACGACAGCTTGAATGGTCACGTGTATGTAAGTGAAAAACCTGAATCAGTGAATCAGAATTGAGTTCAGAACAGAGCATTGAAAAGTACGGCACATATCGTGTTCCATCATGGATCCTATGGCTGTCAGAATCTGAAGATGCTTTGCTTATGGTACTCGCAACTTCATCTTCCAGTACCTTTCTGGAAAAAGCTGAAGCATCATGGCCATACTCTGAAAAACCGAAGGTGTAGTGGGAATGCCGACCCGACAGCCCGCGACATCCTTCCGGTCATCTGAACGTGACCCACATGATCAACGCCATTTTGCGTCTGACTCTTTGCGTGTTTTCACTTTGCGTGTTCGCTTTTTGGTGGCCATTCTCTTACTCTCCCTTAATTTTCATCTTATCCGGGGTTCCGTAACATGTGTGCATAGTATCGTGGGACTCCAGTTCATTTTTCCTCTTGACATCGTCTAACCCGCAAGCAGGTGTAACCACAATTGTAATCTAATAGATTGTCAAAGAATGAAATCAGCTCATACCGCGTCACAAAGAGAAGAACTTTCACCCACGATGACTTCGAACGCCGAAATACGTGGATCTCTTCAACCCTGGTTCGGTGGATATTGCAAATGGTGCTAGATGTCTGTGGAGGTGGTGCACCACAGCAGTCATTTAGGAGAGGGAATAGCGCATTGTCTCGACGCCTCCAAGTCCTCTCTTTACATCCACGATATCAGGAAATTCATGATGCCAAGGAACGAACAGTATGACAACCGCATATGAATGTTGCATTTTGTATCGGTATATTTCTCTGTTGATGCTCCTGCTTGATTCTCACCTTAAAAACAGGACAATAAAACCGCAAACCAGAAACAGGTATCCGGGTGGAGCTTCTCTGATTCGTCATGGCCTCCATTGTGTAAGCGTGACACCAGTAATACTGTTGCATCAAGGAATAGCCAAGTGTCCTGGGCCTGCGCTGTGCTCTAATGTCATAGTATCGATTCTATGGGATGTTCCTGAAGCCGCGTGGCAGCCATGTCTGTCTTGTTGCTGGGCGGGAAGATAAGGATGTCGGAGACCCAAGGCTTTTGACAGATCCTTCCGTCTTGCTCCTGGGCTGCTGGCGGAGATACATCTGGATGTCACCATGGACAAATAATTGGTCCGTGTTTTCATATAAAGCTACCGGGAACATGCTCTGATTCTTTGTTTCCACTAGATATCTGACCTCCCAAAGTTCGCTATACCGAGCTGGCGCTGACTCCGTCAAGTCGTTGCTCTCTATTATTGCTCTCATATACCTTGAAGCACCCTGCTCGCAGAGCTATCCATTGGTCTCAGATGTACTCAAGACCCCCGTAACGATGGGGATCAATCCCGTGTCTGACATTGGCGTTGTAGGACGTGGAGGCTGGACGTTGTTCCCATCATGCTTCTGTTTTTTTCCTCACTTCAATTATGTACTGGACTGGCAGGAAACTCCCACCTGACTGGTCGGAGTTCCAAGCGACTTTCATAAATACTTACCAGCATTTTGAAAAATTCCTCAGCATCACCAGAAGCTTTCTCTGTGGACCGGACCTCTCTGCATCCATCCAGTATGCCACCTCCTGCTACAAGAACAGGCCTATACTTACCATGTACTTGTACAGGCATAGATCTGCATATTCATTTCTCCGAATTGCTGGGCTTGGTTTGGATTCGGTGAGACAACTTTGACTACACTCGCTTGGGAAAAAGACTCAAATCTTTGACTCTGTTCTAGTTCGCATGCCACCTAATTTTCTTAAAGGTTCCACCATTCAGGATGATTACAATCATATGTATCATTGTATATGTTCTGACACTCTCCCGCCGATCCCTATGGTTGGCCATGGCCTAAAGGACCCTCAGCTGTGCTGGCCATCTGATCCAGAGTACTTCATCAGTCGCCATTGGGCTTCGAATACTATGCCCTACCAAGGGTTTTTGCCGGTCGACCGTGGTACGGTCTACAAATGTGAATTATTCGCACCATTGAACTACAACATCCAATCAATCCCTATCTGCTCTACGTCTTCGGGACTCTGGGCAATCGAAACAACGCTGATGGAGAAATGGAAGGTTCTGGAGGCTCTTCTACAATGCATGAGAGATTTTCTGCAGGAACACTTCGTGCCTATACGAAGTCCATCCTACGTGAATTTCCCGTTGCCATGGAAGTATGGATACCATCATGCCTGAAGTTAGTCGGGAGTCCATGGCGCACGCAGCTATACGGTCTCGAGATGCCTTCATCATCATCGCAGCCGAAATATCGTATCTCCTGGCTCTTGCATCTAGCCCTACAATAGATGGACAATTGCAACAGTGGTCGGCTTTGATGACAGAAGAAATTGGAGGAAATTGGGTGGACTTGGTTCGATCGTCATGGATGGCACAGCCTGACATCGGTTTTTGGGAAGGGGAGGAGCATCTTGCTCTTCGGGTTGGGTTCTTCTTAGACCCTCGTGAATGTGATTTTGCCAACTCCTTGCATGCCTATGAGCGTTACCATGTACCTGTGTGGATTGATTGGGGTACTTCCGATGCACCGTTTCAAGCGAAAGATGGAATATTCCTCTCCCGTTATCATCTACAATTGCCCTCCAGTCAAGTCCGGCCTCGAGTGGAAGCATCGCCCCACAAAGAAGGACGCACATTGGATCTAGCTGCGGGAAAGTACAGGGACAGAGTGGCGGGGGAGATGTTTCAGTTGGCTTGGACGGAGGAACATGGCCTGAGGATACCGAAGAAGGTGTCTGTGCTGAAGGCATCTTTATGGGCACTAGCTGGTCCTTCTGATGGCTCGGTGCCCGACAAAATCCTTTACGAGCCACCTCTGGCTCTTACATCATCAAAAATGAGCACCCAACAACGACTGGGTGAAACCTGGCAACAGTTTTTCGAACGCCGGAGCTTGGAGGGTCAGCGGCTATCGCAGGGCGAAACTGCTCAGTGACAAGCAACGCCGTCATGCGAGGGAAGCCCAGGCTGAGAGACGGTTGTGCTTGGCAGGGGATGCCGAGGTGTTCTATTGGTGCAGTGCCGAAGGCAAGGACTATCGCATTCGACAGCATATTCCGCATTCCATGGTCGCCGAGCTATGGGATAATTATGCCCCATCGCAGCGACGTTATTCTTCATTCTGGGACGAATGGGATTTAAACTCCGAATTTGACTTGGACTCTGAGGAAGAAATGCTCGCGACAAGTGAAAACGATCCTGGACTGGAAGAAGGTGAACTTGCCGAAGATTGTGGTCCGTCGAAGGGTCCAGCACCTGATATGAGGTGCCGTACCATTAGAGAATGGGAAACCGTTCATGAAAAGGTCTACGGAACACGCAAAACAGATCTCGTTGCTAAAAAGCTCACGAAGTCGGATGCTGACAGCATCTTACGTCTCCGCTTGGGAATCATACCAATCCCGTCACTCCTTCCATCGACAGATTTCACGTCTTCAGACACGCGCATCTACATGCAAGCTCTCAGGAATTTGGGCTGCTCAGTCACGCCACAGCAAATAGCCTTGCATTTCCAGTGGGACCTCCAGACGGCACTACATATTCATGAGTGCACTCAGTGGTTCTCGTCTCTTGCTCTGGAAGAAAACAAGGGTAAAAAAATGCCAGCATGTCCAATTTCCAGACGCTGGTGGGACATGAACCCGGAGGCCTCGCATTATCTTTCTAGATGCAGGAAGCCCGAGTTTGTCGTGCGCCTTGTCCGCTGGTGCAACACGAGCAAAACGAGTTATGAGATCCTACACATTCATGACACAAACCCTCCATACAAACTAATCATCTATCGTGCCACAGACATTTTACATTGCCTACGCCTACCTAATGCAACTCGTCTCGACGATCTTGTGGAAGAGCTGTGCCAATACGGCACTCGTTTCAATGTGTACGTGGATGAGAAAAACCTCGTTGGTCCACAACACGCCCGTTTTCAAGATGCCATTCCATATAGACCTCTCGGGTTCAAACCAGAGATATCTGACTACGCGTATTACGTGCGAAAAAGAGGAACACTACTTGAGGACCCCGCAATCGCAAGAGCAGCGTTGATGCATGGTGGCCTCATTTGGCGTATTGCTATGGAACATGTATCATCATCCGATGTCATTTTGTCTGGTCCCGGGCAAGACATGGGTCGCTATGGAATGCGGCATACATTGGAGCCTCAGGGAGGAAGCAGGGATAGATGTCATCTCTGGACAGAATCCCTTTCCGAGGACCAGATTGACATTATTTGTGGCGTGTATAGAATTTATAGGAGCACATCTGCTTCGAACTCCTTTACTCAAGATCTATCATGGTTCCCAAGACAACGCAGTTTCACGAGCTCGGGTCTGGACCTTGGGCATTGGAATGCTGATGCAGAGGATTGGTACCAACGCCGGGTACAGCTGTACGTGATGGGGGATCCCAAGGGTCGGTGTCTAAATCAGTCGCAATGGAAGGGAAACATTCGGTTATGGCGCACCACAATCAGGACGTTCAAAGGCATCGAAGCTGTTTCGCAAGGTTTTCTTAACCGGCAGCTTTTAAGCTGAATTCTGGTCTGCAGCCTAGTTCTTGACAAGAACCAGTGTAACATTTCTCTAATGTCATTTCTATGCTTGTCATGAGCTTTATTTCAGCTGGTTGTGCTTCCTTGCCGGTCGCAGACCCTGCATAGATAGGGTTAGAGAACTATCCACCATTGGTCCTAGTCCATTCACATTGTTTCCGAACTCTGTAACTTTTTTTGAGAACCAAAACTAGCGAAGTTCGAGCTTCTCAGGTGCTTAGAGGAAGATACAAATGGATGTTTTGACATTAGCATAGACTTGGCCGCCTATCTGCAAAAGTAGAAATGTAAAGCCAGTTTCTGAAGATTGCGACAAGACTCATGTCAATTCAGGGTGGGATGCCTGGCCCGATATCCCGGAACAACGTTGAAGCTGACCACCATTTACTCTCCGGGATCAGGAAACTGAGTACTATACCGCTAAAGATGTTTGTGGCGAATTTCAGTAACGTGAATCTGGAAAACTAATCCGGCACATCGTTAACCACTTAGAAGAGCGGCTGGACTGGCTCGTCACTCATGCTACGGGCCACGGCTTCTCGTTTCTTTGATCAAATGACACGCAGCAAACTCTCACGAACATTCCGTTTCTCGCAGCACCACCATGAATACACTGTACGCACCTGCAGTTGGAGTTTATGACTCGATATTCCGCACTGTTTTCACCGATGATGAAATGCGCTTAATCTTCAGTGCGTTTTCGTCCTTGTTTCAACTTTCCAGATCGGGCGTTGTACAATAACTTAACCTATCTGTAGCTGACCAAGCGTACTTTTCACGTTGTGTTCAAGTAGAGATAGCTCTCGCAAGTAAGTACAATCTTTTGCGTAGGGTGCAATTGGCTCATCGTCGATCCTCAGAAGCCCAATCCGTCCTCGGTGTTATCCCTCACGACGCGGGTGGAATCATTGAACGCGATTGCACCGCTGACAAGATCGACTGGGATCGTCTCCGAAAAGACACCGAGATAGTCGGCTATCCTATCCTAGGGCTTATCAGACAAATGGATGATATGTGCCCCGAGAGTGGAAAGTACCTGTGAGATGTACTAACACAGGAGTTTTGCAGTGTACTAATCTTCATAATTTAGACACTGGGGTGCTACTACACAAGATGCAAGTGATGCCTACGAAAACCTTTTGTCAGTCCATTCACCTCATTGACAGATCATGGACACTGCTAGCGTTCTTCAAATTAAATCGGGCCTCGAATTAATCTCTCGACAACTTAACACGGTCCGAGATATCCTCGTACGCCTCTCTTCTCAATATCGTGATACACCAATGGCAGGTCGAACCCATCTTCAACATGCCCTCCCCATTACTTTTGGATACAAATGTGCTGTCTGGCTCTCCGCTCTCGATCGGCATGCCGAGCGTCTGGAGCAGCTCCGTCCTCGCGCACTGTTCGTACAATTCGGCGGAGCGGTAGGTTCGCTAGCATCCCTCGGCACCAGCGACATCGGCTTGAAAGTTCGCGCTGAACTGGCTAAAGATCTAGGTCTTCACGATCCTCCGATTTCATGGCATGTCGCTCGTGATGGTATCGCAGAGACGATCTCTTTCCTGTCGGTAAGACTGTCGTCATGCACTTCCCCACGACCTATTCCTTATTAATTATACCCCAGATCGTCGGGGGAACTCTCGGCAAGATCGCATATGATATCCTCCTCCTTAGTTCTTCCGAATTTGGAGAGGTTCAAGAACCATTTGTTCCCCACCGTGGGGCGTCATCTACGATGCCCCAGAAACGAAACAGTATATCATCAGAGGTGATCCTCGCATGTTCGAAGCTCCTCCGCGCACAAGCCGCAACAGCGCAAGATGCAATGGTTTCTGATCTTGAACGTGCATCGGGCCCTTGGCATCTCGAATGGAGTTGTGTTCCCGAGGCGTTTTGCCTTGCAAGCGGAGCCCTTCATCAGACAGAATTCGTGTTGGGTGGACTACACGTTGATACAGGGTGCGTTAGATGATATACATTTACTTTCGACGCTTAGCACTTCGACTAGCCGCATGATCGAAAACCTTGACATGTCGAAAGGTCTCATTGTAGGTGAAGCGGTAATGATGGGACTGGCACCGTACTTCGGTCGCAATACTGCGCATGACATCGTATATGAAGCGTGTACGACGTGCTTTGAATCTCACGTATGTCTCTTTTATCTCGCTGTCTTGCCCTTACTCATAATTCTCTGAAGAAACGACTTTCCGAACAGTTGAAACTCATGTCTCAAGTGCGGGAGAAGCTTTCCGAAGAGGATATCGACAAACTGTGCGATCCGAAGAATTATCTGGGTGCGTGCACTAAGATGGTTGACGATGTATTGAAAGGCAGGAAATAACAAATAATATTGAGGTACGTAGACATCGTACATTTTTAATGAATAAGATACTAGGTCCATCCTATAGATCATACAAGTACAATTGATATTATGATCCTACCCTGCAATCTGAAAGACCTGAACTGAACTGACTTCAAGGCTCAAGCCACTCCTCTGATATGGCGCAAGTTCTTCGTGAATGTACTGACAGTGATCCAACTGGCCGGGTTCCAAAGCCCAAACTAGCTGAACATTCTGCATACGCGCTGGCGATTGATTACCTTCCTGCATGCATCGAGACGCGATCGTCTCAACGAATCGCTGAGGCCCAAAATTACACCTTCCACGGAGATGTAGCGTGTGTAAACTGGGGAGCGGGCAAATCGCGGGCTCGGTGTATTGTAAGCTAGACAGGAACCCGTCAGTGAAGCAGTCTGAGCCGACATTGGAGAGATGCAATTCCTGGAGAGCTTGATGCACGAACTCCAGGTGAAAAAGTGTCTCCATGTCGGCCTCGGAGACGCGTACGTCTGATAAGTCCAAGTATGTGATGGAACAATGAGAACGATGAAAGAGTCGGAAGAGGGAGGGAACGGCATATAGGGCGGGATTCTCAAGTTGCTCGAAAGCCTGCATTGTCACACGGGCTAGGGATGGCGTGGTCATGTGGTCAAGTAACAAGGGCAGCGTCTCAAACCCCTTGCTTTGTGACGCTAGCATACGTAGCGTATGGAGCTTGGGGAGGGTGATCATGTCGAGGAGTTCGGGTACTTGAACTTGATGTTGAGAAAGTTCGGTGCAGCTTATTTCATACTCTTCGACGTCGCTGAGGCGACTAGTTTGCCATAAGGCATCATGAGAAAGCGGCCTCCAGAATCCCTGGGGATAGCGATATTGGTGCTTGTAGCGGCGGATCCGTGGCCAGGATATGACAAATGCACCAGGCGACGACACCTGCCAGAGTTCTAACGACCGCAGTGGTGCGGACGAAAAGGCATCGAAAACACCAAGTGCAGCCACGTTGAGGCCAGGTATTGTGGAAATGATAGATAGATTTTGGAGGGATAGCAGAAAGAATCGAAGAGGGTAAAGATCCTGGAGGACGACGATCCCCAATGCCAATTGAAGAGTTACGATCCTATTGGCAAAGTGAACAAGGGTGGCGACAAGCAAGTCTGGAATACCCCGACGTGAGGATTGGTGAATTGACACGGATAATGGTCTTGGTTTTGATCTCTCGACCTGGCGCAGAAGCCCACGAAAGGCAGAACTATTGGCTGTTCTCTCGAACCTGTCGGTGTCCTTAAGACAGATATAGGACCACGCGTCGGAACATGACAGCAGGGCTGATCCCCAGGCCTTCGATACCAACTCCAAGTCCCACAGTGACGTTTTCTCATGTTGGATCTTCCAACAATGACTTCCTTCATCCCATACTTTTGGAGGGGGAAATTCGACCACAAAAACAAAGATATGGTGAAGAATCTCGACAGGTAGATGTCGGACCGGGTTGAAGAGATCTTTCGCTGCTCGAATGGAATCTTCAGTGTCACGATACTTCTCAACAAGGGCCGCTTTGGTCCCGGCAGCACTGAAACACGACAGTTGCGCACCGAGATTTTCGCTTGTTTCTGTGATGGAGTCGATCTCCTGCTGGAGTATCGCCAGGTGAGTCTCCGATTCTGAAATTATCCTTTTCAAAGCCGTCTCTTCAGCTGGCAAAGGGGGGTCGTTGCATTTGGCGAGACGTGCGAGATCAGGATAAGAGAAAATGGAAGGAGTTGGTCCAACATCGAAACTTGCCGGAAAGATGGAGATGGTATAACTGGAGCTTTCAGGGCTGATTCCTTGGGGCGACATTCGTCATATATCCTCCATGAGATGTCAGAGTTGAAAGCTAGATACATTGAAGGAATTTAATCGGCTTGCCTTCCTCGCGAATTGATGCGTTCGAGCTGAGGTGATGGTGGTCTCAAACAAGTTGTCAGATTCGATCGAGTCGTCTTTTGGGAAAATCTCCTTGAGGTCACATGCACCAAGAGCTGCCTTTTCGCTTGTGTATATCAGAGTGGCTCTGCAAGTATATCATATCAGGTTAACGCTGTTACAATTCAAAGAATAAATGCGTTAGCTACCAGGGCATCGAAACGCACGATCGAACGAATTCCGGAACTTTTGTAATGAATGGTATTCTTACGGGAGTATGTCTTGAAGGAGAGCCATCCTGAGTAAGCTGTTGTCCACAAGTGTTGATAGAAGCTATGGGGAGGTCGTGTTTGGTCATTGTTGGACGGCTGGATGGTGTAGCAGGCTTGACTTATATAAAGAGGAAATGCAAAAGGTTCAATATTTTTCATTCGGACCCCGGCCCGGAAGCCGTACCATATCCTCCCAAGCGGCCAACCCGCCATCTCATCCGTTCCGTCATCGCTGCCACCTGTGTATATACAGGAGCTTGAACACTTATCATGTCATTTCTCTAGACCGTCTTATAATGCTCCGTTTCTTCAGAATATCACTTCACGATCCAAACTGCATCTCGAAGAGATATTGGCAACTGCCAACATCAACATCCAACAGCAATATTAGGTTGACTCGTTGACTAGCAAGATCGGACCTGGTAACAGCTACTTGTATTTTGCTTAGGTTTCTCGCCGCTATCTCTCCGCCTTGCTACGTGGGTTCCCAGGGAACTAAGATGCCCCGGGGCACTGAGTAGTATCACCTGATGTATCATCGTCTGACTAAAACTTTGACCACCAGCGCCTCGAATATGTTTCCTATAAAGACTTCTTCCAGATCTCGAGGTCTCCGCACCCATCATGTCCTCCACACTCCTGCAGAACGGTACCCTTATTGTCTTTGATGACCATGACCACCCCCAGCCAGTTCGGGCGGACGTTTTGGTCAAAGGAAATGTTATATTTCAAGTTGGACCAGATCTAAGGCCTCTCGATGCATCTACACTGATCATCGACTGTACAGACAAGATTGTCGCGCCTGGTCTTATCGACACTCACCACCATATGTGGCAAACTCAGCTGAAGGGTCGGTTTGCCGATGCTACCTTGTTCGATTACTTCTACAAAGGTGGGAACGAGAGTAAATGTCAATGCGTTCCGGAATTATCTGATAAGGTGTAAAGGTTGGAGCCAGTGGGACTTTTTCACTCCCGAGGACATCTTCTGGGGGGAGCTTGCTTCGTGCATGGAGGCCCTGGATAGCGGTACGACTACTGTCGTAGATCCGCACACTGCAGTCGCACACCGGACCACGGTTAGTTTCGACATTGTCTGTGTCGTGGGAGGGGGCTAACCTTCTTTTTAGTTACTCAAGCAATTTCCGCCACTTTGACCTCTGGCCTGCGTTCTTTCTTTTGTTACACAGCTGTAGCGGAAATAAAATCGTGGTCTCCTCAATATGTACTGGGTAGCCCTCCGGCATGGGAAAATGATCTGCTCAAGACTCTGGCACAGAAAAGTCCCTTTGGTCCTAATGGACGCGTTCGAATGGGTCTCGCATTCGACCAGTTATATCTACCCAAAGACACCGTTCAAGAGATTATTGGCATGGCACGGCAACTAAATCTTTTCCCTCTCACTACACACGCTGCCGGCGGGGCGTTACAAGGTATTTTGGACAGAATCATCAACTTTCTTTCCTTTCTTACTGATACACTTCAAGGCTTCCTCCAACCCATCCAGCTAACGCATGATTATGGCCTTCTCGGTTCGGATTGGATTTTCAGCCACGCAGGATGGATCACTCACGCCGAGTTGGAACTGTTAAAACAGTCTGGAGCCACTATCTCTGTTACTCCAGAAACGGAGCTGCAGATGGGACATCCAATGGCACCCATCGAATCGTCAGAGTATCCTGGTTTGCAGGACTGTTGTTCCATCGGTGTTGATTGCTCGTGTGCGAACTCGGGCGATATCGTGACTCAGATGCGTCTGATGCTGCAGGCGGGTCGAGGTACCGTAGGTCGACAAGCCAAGGAGAAAGGAAAGATAGTAAAAGAATTGAGCGTCAAGATCGGGGACGTCTATGCCATGGCCACCGTCCGTGCTGCAAGATCTCTAAAGCTTAACACGGGTCAATTGAAGGAAGGCGCGCTGGCGGACATTGTCGTCTATGACACTCTTAGTCCGTCGATGATCGCAGGCGCTGCGGAGAATCCTGTTGCAGCTATCATGTTGCATTCGAGTGTCAGAGACGTCAACACAGTCATTGCGGATGGTGTCGTTCGTAAAAGGGATGGTAAGCTTCTGCCTGTCGAGCTTGATGCCGAGGCTTCGGTACAGGTGCAAGGAAAGGTACTTAGTTGGGATGATGTTGCTCAGCAAGTGTTGAAAAGCCGACTCGAGATAGAAGGGAGGATGAAGGATGCTGACTTTTCCGAATCCGTTGTTGCGCAAGGCATCAAAGATATCTTCCATCTATCAGACGATGTATTCTTATAGGGTTTCGCGAGAATGTATACTACCTGGCAGTTTCGGCACAATCCGCATTGACGCTCAGATCGTTCGAAGTACAGACTGAATCGTGGAATGCTTCGGTAAATAAAATTTCAAGGAGTACGTTCCTGCAATAGAAAGATACTTGAAAGCTAGAGTGAGAAAGAAGTCTCAGTGATGGGTTGGTTGGCGGCTAGGTTGAACAATCCCACCGGAAATGATTCTAAACTTCCCTAAACTTCCACGTCGACGGTCGACCGCCAAGGAAAGCCTTCATGTGATGACTTCGAGATTTCTAGCTCTGAGGGGAATTCTCGCTTCAAATAAGTGTCATGAAGGAGCGTCTAGGCCTGTATGAGAACCAATCAGCAACGGCGTATTCGCAGTGATCGGCGTTCGCAGTTGACGGCAACGGCCGTCACCTCATTGCTTCGCCCCCTTCGCATCAGGGATTACCATCTACTGGAGCTCTAGGCGCTCAATTTCGACGTTTGATGACTTTCATTTATGACGCGACGGGGATATCCTGGATAAATCATTATTTTGCCGTACCGAAGCGCATACTTCCAAGTTATTGCGCAGACAGTCTAAGCAACAGTAGTGGTCGTTCAGTAAGTGTTTCAAATAAAGTATAATTACACTGGGATTGCTACAATGCTACCCAAGGAAATTCGCCTTCAAGTTCCCATCCAATCAGATTCGTGGGTCAGGTTCGCGGTTCAATCAGCGACGCCGAATTCTATCCAACACCGTTGAAGGAAAGCGGAAAGACCGTGCGACTGACCGACTGTGACGTTGCATGGTGCTATGTTTTCGCATACTCCCCCCTTTGACGAATGGGTCTTGCCTGTCTCAGAATGTCTCCACATGAAAACATCCGAAGCAGCGTTGTGACGACGGTTTGTATTCCTTCTCATCAGATTGCATAGTCACTGGGTTCCGAATGAATGGAGGGTGCTGATGCGTGGAAATGCCTCATGATCCAGGCCCTCAGATGATAGGTCTGGTGACCCTCCGTGGACTTTAAAAGCCTCGTTTGCTTAATAAAGACTCACCCAGCAAAATCACCCACCCAACCATGAACCCACTATCCCGTCCCCCGACCTATGTATGCTCCACGTAGCTCTCAATCCTGTTCGCTTACTTACGGCCATGTTCCCTAGCACCTACCCTTTTCCTACACTAACAAGAGCGCCTTCAAATACAAGCTGATCCCCTTCGCCACAGTCGCTTTTGGGTTGCCCTGGTTGGCAATCGGGTGGAGGTGGTACGTCTCGCTGCTGCATCAGTGCCGCTTCACGGTGCTGACTGCGCTATTGGTAGGTATCGCCCCGGGGGTATGAAGAACCCGTAGACCCCATATGATGGGATGCAGCTAGCACTCGCATTTCAGATGGGATATCGACTCACCTATGGTCGGGAGCACAAACGGCACATTGTAATATAACCAGGCGCTCGGTATTGGAATGGTTACTGGGTTAGATTCCTTGAAATGGAAAGAATGAGCAGCTTAAGACGCGATAAATACTGTACAAGGTCTGGAAGACAGAACATGCTGACGAAGGCTTCATTTTATGGAAGTTTCTTGCGTAAAAGCCTCGATTCTTGCACTTGATCGCCTTCGTTCTAATGGAAGCATCTGATGAGTGCCTGTTGCTCGGGACTGCGAGTTATCAAGCTCGTACTGTTTCTACATATCGGCAGCGCAGTCGTCAATGGACGGCGAAGCAGCATGCCGAATATCAACAGGTAAGATAGTCATCGCGTATTAGGCGCGTGCTTTCGCTATTATTTCAGTCTGACACTAGTCTAGTGGAAGGAATAAGCATATACATATCACTAGAAGGGTGAGCTATCGTGCTCGCTCGCGTTGACAGAGCACTAACGATATAATAATCACTTGGCGGCAAGGAACGGCCTGCGAGCAGGCAAGACAAATTGTTGTTCTCTTGATTGGTTACACAGCATGTATGTAGTTGAGTAGACGTAGAGTAGTCGACGTGAGTAAGATTGATACGAAGAGTAGGGACCGGTCCGATTTGGGAGCATCATGGTCGTCGAAGTCTGTATACACCCGAAATTATCAGCCCCGACTCTCGTGGAAGTAAATTCCTCTTACAAAGACTCAAAATAAGGCATAACAGGCAGGCTATAGAAATGAAACAACGTCGTTATGAATCCTACTGTACTTCCATACCTATCATGAACCTATCCTCTCCAAAGCACAGAACGACTGAAACTATACCCGGGCCAATGGTAGGACGAACCGGTGTTACCATGCGGGACTTGAAGCCTGCCGTCGTATACATCTGGCGTCGACCGAGCCAATATCGCAATCAGAGAGTCCATGTTCGTCCAGAGTGTAGGCTGGCTGATAAATTCGATAGCTTTTGATTGAATTCACGGTCCTTTCCAGATCGTCTAATGCTGGATAAGTTTGAGTGAACATTCATAGATGGAGTTATAGATTGAGTAGACGTACCCAGCTTATGGATGGCAAATCCACCGTTGTGTTCCTCTTGCGATGATTGCAGGTATAGATCTTTTATCGTTCTCATACGGAGTTGGCGATTGTTGAAATCCGATCTCTTCCATTCGATGCACAAAATTCCATCAAACAGGATTCGTTCGATGACATCCCCTCCCTCGCCCTTTTTTCCACCGAAACACAGCCTCGGAGTGATAAGCGACCCGAACATCCATTTAGTAAGGCAGTGCGCCAGCTCGTGCAAAGTTGTCACTAGAATTACTATCTGGAGAAAGACGAGCACGTTTTTATCTTTGGGATCGAGGGATGAGCCACCAGACCTGGCTTTCTGAAAGGCAGCTTGAGCACGGTTGGCAAAGCCAGAAGGTTAAAAATCGTACACACCTCGAGACATATATAAGCCTCTACAAGCTCGGCAGAAATGAAAAACTCATTTTTTGCGTCATTGCCCTTTTCAACGCTCCCCCAGGAGTATCCTTGCCCAGCACATAGAGTACGATGTTCGAATTCAGGGGCCTGAGTATCGATCAACACAATAGCTGGTGGGTGGTCGCGAATATATGAGAGAATATTAGGCATGATTTCGTCTGATTGGTGCGCCTGTTGGTTCCAGGCGTCGATACCCTCTCCTGAAAGTCTCAATGCCATCAGCAGTACCACGAAACCGTCTACAGTCCCTCCTGGATGAAGACTTGAGACGGTTAGATGAACGAGGATATTTCGTATGAATCGAATGAAGATGGGGTAATCGCCTTGTTTGGATATGTCCTCGGTTCGTGTTCGTGAACGGTCCTCAGAAAAAAGAGCCAGTTGCTGGATCAGTGACTCATGAGTGGATCTAGTCGCCTGATCGATTAGCCCCGAGAAGTTCTTCATGAAAGCAAGTAATTTTGCGTTTCGAGCGTCAAGAAGGGCCTTTCCGGCATCGGAACAAATAAGTTTGCATGCTTGACGAAGAGAGAAAGTAAGAACGGACAGGGGCTTTGGTCGGTTCGTTTTTGGGGTGCCGGCCCGGGAGACCGGTTGCCTAAATGGCCAATTGTCATCCCAATTCATTTCACCTAACCACCAGCTTGACCAAAGTGGGGATCGGGTCCCAACATGAATGGGATGTCACGTCCCCCGTCCTCGCTCGCTTACGGTCATGTTCCCTGGCACCTACCCTCTTCCTATACCAAGAGCGCCTCAAGCTGATCCCCCTCGCCACGCCTGCTTTCGACCGGTTGCCCCGGTTGGCAATTAGGTAGAGGTGGTGAATACAGCTGCACTCAGTGCTACTTCATGAGGCTGGCGCTATTGATAATCCTGGTGGTGAACAACCCGTAGACTCCTACGATATGGCGCGATGCGGCTAGCGCTTGCACTTTCGGGTGAACTGTTGACTCACATATGGGCGGAAAGGATGTTGTAACATTCTAGGTGTTGATGCTTACTGTATTATGTTCCCCAAACTGGAAGGCATGCATTAAACTCTCGATTCTTGCCTTCACAAATAGAGGACTTTGTTCCTCGAGACTGCGATATCAATGGACCAAAACAGCGCGCCAACGGATCAGCAAGTAAGATAGCCTCTGTCCGACATGTACTGCTTGCAAACCATATTCAATGGGTATACACAGACCACCTTTAGTGATATATCGAATAAAATATACAATGTATATTTGACTAGGCGCCATCATTACCTTATCAAACGATGAGCTCGTGTCATAAAGGCAATAACAGACAAGACATACCTGACTCCTTCGTCCACTCGGCGTGTTGCCGCATATCAGCTTCGCTAACAGTAGGCCGCACTGTCTCCAAGGACTTCAAAAAGTCATTCAGCTTCAGCTGGGGCTCCTGGAGTTCGTGCGACTCCAACTCCGACCACGTCTTCTCCACAGCATCAGGATTACCAGGAGAACATGGCGTCCACTTTGTCTCAACACGCTTGAAGTGTGTAGCTGCAATCACCTTGCGCACAGGCTGCATTAGCGCGTCACGGACAACAACAGATATGTCAGAACCGGAATAACCCTCAGTCCTGTCGGCTAACATCCGGTAGTCTTTAGCTGTGAGATCGCAAGGTGTGGAACCGACGTGAAGTTGGAACATCCGTCGTCGTGCATCGGCACCAGGAAGAGGGATATGTATTCGCTTTTCAAACCTGATAGAACATGAGATACGAGGTAGACATGAACAAGAAGATACGCACCGGCGCTTGATTGCACTGTCTAACTGCCATGGGATGTTTGTCGCGCCCAAAATCAACACCCCAGTGTTATCTTGCCCAACGCCATTCATCTGCACCAGTAATTCCGTCTTGATTCGCCTTGAACCTTCAGACTCGCCCTCGTTTCGTGATCCAGCCAAGGAATCAATCTCATCAATGAAAATGATTGAAGGCTTTGACTCGCGCGCCAACTCAAACAGCTGCTTGACGAGCCTGCACAAGGATTAAAATACAAGCATTGGGTAGCCTTTAATGTGTAATGACTCACCTCTCGGAATCTCCTTGCCACTTGCTGACTAGATCGCTGGAGCTGATGCTGAAAAAGGTGCTCTTGGCTTCCGTGGCGACCGCCTGGGCGAGATATGACTTTCCAGTTCCTGGGGGACCATACAATAGGATACCTTTCCATGGAGTGCGTTTACCGGTGAAGAGATGGGGAAATTTGACGGGGAAAATGACGGCTTCCTTTAACGAATCCTTGGCACCTTCTAGACCGGCAATATCATCCCAATGGACGTTAGGTCTCTCAGAAAGAATGGCGCTAGAAAGTCCTGCACGCAGTTTCTTGACCTCCATATCTTGATCGTCCTCGTCGTTCTTTTTCCTTTGGAACATGATGAATGAGCTTGATGATACTGTAGCTGCGAATGTATGCGCACCTTTTCCCTAGAGCGCCAATGCCCCCGGAGCCAACGACACTAGCAGACGTTCCGCCTCGCCCTTCACCTTGCGATGCAAGATGTTTCTCCAATAGCTCTGCCCGAGAGAGATATTCGTCAACTTTAACTCGGATTATTGCTTTGGCCTTGTCATTCTTCTCATCTGTGTCACGGAGTGTAAGTTTTGCAAACAGAATTGCAAGGTAGACGCACATTTCAATGCCAACAAGAAGAATTCTAGAGCTAACATGTAACGCTTCAACGCTTCGGGGTAATTCCTATTCGAGTCATCCTCGACGGCTTTTTGCACAATTTCGATCGCTCGCTGGACGGATTTGAGTCTACTGGTGGAAAATATGTTGAAGACACGCACATTGAGGCTGCTTGAGTAGACCATTGGACTATTGGTGAGATAACAATGTAAAAAGTACGTTTTGTTGTTGTTGTCGTAGTGCCAGCAATGATAGGCATCTCAACGCCACCTACCGCAGTCAAATTCATCGGCGAGGCGGTTATTTGGTTATATTATTCTCTAACAGCCTTGCATCACGTGAGTGGTTAAGGGCCGGCGTTCTCGCGGATTCTGCCTCTACCTGTACCATCTTAGTCTTCTACTCCCATGAGTGCTGAGCTCCTACAGACCTCTGGCACTGTAGCAGGCTATTCTGCGTCTCGGTTACTTGCTCTAACTGAAATATAAAATTGCCGTATCAGCCGTCCCTTCCATTCTGTCCCTTCCAGCAGCTTCAAAATTCGCATTCTTGATACCCTGGGTGCCCTTACAGACATTTCGCCATTATTTTGTAAGGAAATACCCCAAAGGCATGGATGATATAAAGGCAAGTGTCCGAATCACTTCGCTCGGTCATTATTCAACTCTGTCAACAGAGATCAGCTCTGGAAGGGTGCCCATCCGCCACTAACGAGCTTGGCCGGATGGTTCTCCGCGAAACAAATATTTGGCCTCACCTTCTAGACGTTGTCAAGCATCATCTTCGTATGTTGCCTTCCACCAGCACATTGTATGACCCGGCGAAAGGGACCCTGTACAACACTTGCTTCCGAACCATCAATATTTGCTTAGATTCACCTGTATGGCCTCGAATCATCCATAATCCTTCCAACGTCCATGCCCTCCAATGCCTTTCACGTCCTCTCGGTCGTTGGATGACATCACTGTTCACTGTTATCTATTCTGAGCAGGCTGATGATCTGGACAGCAGCAATGTCTGGCCCATAGTACATGGCATTTCCGAGATCATTAGCAAGATGCGCACGTTTACTACTTTCATCGAAGGAATGGTAACAATACCTCTGGCACGGAACGTCATCCATCTCTGGATCAAAGCAAACGAATGTTACGTCCCTGGTGATACTCACTATCTGATTCGAGATATGTACGATGTAGTTGTCGGCGCATCAGAACCCATGACGCGTCTTTTCACCAAAACTGTCTCCGCTGTTCCTCGACGTGTCCTAGAGCGCTGCCTTTCACATGTCGTCGAACGAATCCAAAGCCCAGATTTTTCTATCTACGAATTTGAAGGAGTCTATACGTTTCTCTCCCTCCCTACCTTCTGCTCACCGGTCATAAACGGCATTTTCTTTGCTAATCGATCCATCTATTGGATGTGTTATGCCTTCTATCGGATTTCCCTGCATGTCCGCCCAGAAAACGAAAGCGAAGTCTTCAAGAACTACTTTCCTCGTCTTATGAATCAGGTTGCCGCTAGTTTCTCATTCGTTCCTCATTTACTCCCTCAGGCTATCGAAGGTCGTATTCTTGATTCGATTCTCAAAGGACAACTGTACACGGATCAATTATTCGACAAGGACGTTGCCGTCGGACACATAACTGAAACACTGGACCTGCTTAACACGAATCTCATCTTTCGCTCAGTTTCGCGATTAACATACAAGCATCTTCGGAAGATTGAACACTTTGGTCGTGAAACTGCTTTGCTGCCTGGACCGATTCTTGAAGCTTGGATGGCCATGCGAGAAAAGGCAATCCAAGTCAACAAATTTGACAAATTTTATGCGACGTTGGAAATACTTTCTTGTTCCAATTATCATGTAAGAGAACAATGCTTCTGCTTTCTATGCTGCTCATGTCATATTATAGTGCCAGTCTGCGAACAGGCACACACTGCCGCGCACAGAGGTCCGACGATGTGGAGGATGTGAGACAGTCTTTTATTGTTCTGTCGAATGTCAAAAGCAGGATTGGAAATATCACCGCGAGATTTGTCGGCTTTGCTTCCGAGCAGTAAACAAGGGTAAGCTTTGGGCTGGGTTCTATTACATGCCGAGGTCTTATCACTGTTCAGATGGGCTTCCACTACCCATGTCACTCCGCAACCAACTCTTCGTCATATTCTACGTTCAAAGTGATATAGACAAAGATACCCTGGCCAGCCTACGACAGAAGTATCTCGATGATCATCCCGGCGCGGAGGCTCACAAGCTTGTAGCCGCCCTCGATTACACCAAGATAGTGCCAGAGCTGGACATCAGATACGCAGATGAATATCGTCATGAGGATCACTTGGATCATTACGTGAAGGTGTGCAAGGATGGTGGCGGGAGGCTTTGCTTCGTGAGAACACCGTTTGTTGATCAAAAGAAAGGTGTGCTGGGCTTATTTACGTTACCAACACTCATGTAAGGGATACTGAAAGTTTCAATGCAACAAAGCATCGCTATGGGTCATAGTTGATGTTAAGGCACCTGCAATATGCCGTGCTATTGTGCTTGCTTAAATGCATGATTGTACGTTTCCATCTAAACAACCTGTGCCTTCGAAAATTTGTATGACCACCTCAATGTGCCATTCAGTGTCTTAAACGTCACATTGAGAAGCTGCGTCCAAGCCCTCTTTCTGTCATAATCGACTAAACATCGCTGAACGGCTTCACCTCGTCTCTGCTCTTTCCCTGTTTTCCGACAGTATTATAACTTTCCGCCTTTTGTCATGCACGAATAACGTCTAAGACTCCTCTAAGACTCCTCTCCCCCTTCGATATTCCTTCCAGTTCCTCCAGGATTTATTTGTTGGGTCGAAAAGGAGTGAAAAGGTTCGCAATGAGTAAAGTATCTTTAGGTACAGATCGACGGTTAATCACTGAAGTCTCCCCTTTGCTCGGTGGAGCTTTGGCAGGAATTGTCACCAAAAATATGATCAGAAATCCGCCACTATAGCTACTACCACCACTATCCCAATTGGTTACATTGCGCGGTGGGCGTTCCGATGCTTTATGACAAATCAGTAATGCAAGACATGTCGAGGAGTGCGTAATATAGGCATATAAACGCATCACATTTGCAATCTGTACCAATGATATGTATTCATAATGTTTGGACAACGAAAAGAAATCACTATGGATCATTACATACTCAGTCTGCTTGATAGTCACTGGCTTTCAGAGCGTTTCTCGCGTCTTGCATTGTGATGTAGTATGCTCTGTCACCTCCAGTAGCCTCGATCTAAATCACTGCATAAATACACGTGCCAAGTAGTAGCAAGCTGCATGACACACTCACCGAAGAGTCTCCGTTGCCCAAGTATGAAAAGCGATTGGGATGTAGCGAGACAAACTTCCAGTCCTCCCATCGGGGAGAAGCTAACATTTCCAAGAAGTGAAGAGCTGGAACGATAAGATTTAGTGATTCCTGTTTGGATCTATCCTTGGATACGTACTGCTACCAGCGTAGAGCGCATCCGGTTCACCGTCTACTTTGCCACCTTTATACCAGGAGGGACAAGGTTCAGTCTGTTCCATAGGTGTTTCAGAGCAAGCCCTTAAGTTTCGAAGACGCTCATACAAATACGAGATCCTTCATAAGCGCTACCGATACTCGTATCATTAACAGCGTTAGTTATATGAATGAAAAACACACCTTCTCGTTGGATATTATACTCGTCCTGCGCATCCTTGTTAACTTCCATGGTTTTGATATCTTGCTTCTGCAACTTCGACCTCGAATTCATTGAGTATATCACGGTTATCGTTAGATTCTCCGAACATACAAGCAAGCGACAATGTAGTCAGCTTGTACCTCTGTACAGGGCAATAGCGACCCATTGGCATACGTTATCCCGGGTCCACAACCCATCAGGAACATGTTGGGGAATCCGGTGACGGCGATTGACATATAGGCTGTATGGGGACGTTTCATAAGGCAATACGGCAGGAGTAAGGGGAAGCTCAAACCCTTGGGTCGCTGCGCCCATACATCACTGAGATCGACGCCGTCTCTTCCAAGGAACTTATATCTCGGCTTGAAACCTGTGTCGAACCCCTGTCGCAAGGATGATGCGATCCATCGGGCGCTCGATGCCATCATCCGTCATGATACCATTTGTAGTGACCATTTTGATTGGTTTATTGGTGAAATCGACAGTAGGAAGCCTTCAGCCTGGGAGGGAAATTAATTGCGCATCTATTATCAAGAAGGGGACATACGCCTCCAGAAAAGCAGCACCGGGGGTCGGCCTACGACACTACATTTTGCACCGAATTTGACCGTCAAGCCAAATAACGAACGAATCTCAGTATACTTACCCCAACGGCAAAGCTGTTTCATATGTTTAGGTTAGTCACTACTACCGAAGACACGACCTAAACTCACTCAGGGCATTAGCGCCAAGAGAAGGTCATCACTCTTTACAGATGACTTCATGTGTTCAATAGAAGCCTGCTTCATCATCTATATGGTATGAATTAACGGGCGATAAATTCAATTATAAATAATAATACCTTCTGAGCCTCAGACCCTTTTTTCGTCATATCTAGGGAATGTCGGGGCGAGTCTTAGGGAATGTCAAAACCACAAGAGAACAAACCAAAGTAGCCATTAATGGAGGCAGGAAACTTCCTTGAGATGGCGGTACAGGGTCTCTGGATTCTTGATAAAATCAGCTTTCTCCTCTTTCGTGTCTATAAGAAGGTAAAAACTGTCAGGTATAGATATGAGGACGAGTGTAAGATGGAGTTACAGAAGAAGTTATCGTTGTGCCATTCACGGCCTTGGGGAGTGCTAAGCGTAAAAAGGGTCGGAACGACCTAATAATAGGTGAGGATATAGGTTCAAGTTCGAGCATTGTTTCAGGTAAAACTAACCCAAAATTTAGATCTACCATAGATATCGAGATTCTTGCAATGCGGAGCAATGGCACCTATAGTCTGAAGACCGGAAGAACCAATACCTATTACGGCACTGGTAGAGATCTCGAGGATAGGCTGCAGGAAAGATCAAGGAGAGTGAAAACGACTTACACGCGTTCGTCTTTGAAAGCGTTCTGCCAATCAAGATCGACAGGCCACTCAGCAGTGTGAAAAACCCGCGCTTTCGTGAACGACTCCAGACCAGGAATCGCTGGACGATTTACATTGCTATGAACACGTCTCAAAAACAGGTGGTATGTCACAGAGATAACATTCGTACCTTAAGACACCAGTGGCCGGGCAAAATACATCATAAGATTTCGTCTCGACTTCCGACGTCCCCAAGTTCACCACTGTTATATCCCACGTTCCGAGATCATTGTTATATATCGCTTCAGTGACTTTGTGTCGAAGCCGAATGAAAGGTACAATTCCGAATTTTTGGGCAAAGATTTTGAAATATTTCTTGATTTCACCCGCATAGGAATAATATCTTTGAAACGGCGTGAGTGTGAGATGCCACAGAGAAAACTAAACTGCCCACTCTGGCCAGTCTGCGTAGGGTGCAAACGAGTACTGGTAGGCCGCACTTGGAATATCACCTTCATGATCCTCAGTCTTAGCGGGGGGGGGATAAGCAACGGCAGGCTTACATCGACAACCAGGATAACGGTTTGCGTGCCTATAAAAACGAGTTCATGACTAATTGGAGGATTGTATTATCTTTCCTACCATGTGCCGCTGTAATCTATAATAGGTAGCATCATAATCAAGTCGGTAGAATGTTTAGACACCGAAGACACTACCGTCGTCTTTCTCGAACAGGACAAACTCGATGGGTCCAAGTACACCCTTTTTCTGTGCTTCCATGATTTTATACGCAAAGCACAGTCCCGGCCGCTCCTGCACCACATCTAACATGTGAAACTTAAGATTTGTGGAGAAACATAAGACGCTGCAGCTCACATAGCAATACGCAAAGGTCGCGGACGAAAACCTGGAAAGAAGAGCTTTGCACTGCTGTAAATCCTGCGATATCGAGAACACTTACCAGGTTTGTTGAGATAGTTCCAGTCGCTCGACGTAACGTTGCTGGTATTACTTGTCAGAACGCCTTTTGTATCATCGGGTTTGCGTCTGAAAAATTGAAACATGGTGGAAAGAGGCTGATGTACTCAGAATTCTGCGACGAGAAGATTGGCTCCTTATATATGTACCAGTGGCGAAGCGTCACCGGATGTCGTATCGGTGGAAAAAGAATACACGAAACAGAGATTCCGTCTGCTCATTGGGAGATATTCGTGGTCCGACAGACGGATGTTGTTACTCAAAACGTAGCACATGACGTTCATCTGACATGAAATTTTGACGATAGAAGGTCCTTTTAGTAGTGTATGCTCCCACCTTGGCTCTGATGTCGTACATCCTGGGACTACGAAATGAGCACCAAATACTCGCCACTTAGCGATAGTCACCTGAAGCACAGAGAAGATGCAAACCATACTTGAAAAGGGCCTCTTAGTATATCTGGCTCGAAAAGCTGACTCAATCAGATGTGCAGACGGGGGTTGTGGGACTTAGCGGCGGCGCGGCTCTTGAAGTAAATCCATCAGCTGGACTACGCTGACTGATACAGTGCCTGAAGGTGGGGCCGAGCCGTGAGAGTTTACTGATAACGAAAGTTCAATTGCTGGGTTTCTGAGTCTTCAAGGGCCAGAGCGTATCTGAGTACGAATTTGTTTTGCCATTTCTCGCGACATAAAAAGGACGCATAGACGGAAAGCGATGTAAATCGCCTTGTTCCATGAACAAAGCAGCAAAACCAAGATTGATAAAGTGCTACTCCGACGGGAGCGGTCATCGGTCTAGTCATGTCGCTCTCGTCAGCATTTAATCAACTGGACTTGTACGGTGTTTTGTCTTGTATAGCAGACTGCTCCCGTGAAGACTGAAGGATAGCTGTTAGAATCCCAGGACCAGCTTGGCAGAGATGTCAGCACATATATATTGAGCATGTGCACACCTTAGGTACCTTCGAAACTGACACGAAAAGGTGTAAAACTGGATATTAGCAAGCGCCGACCAACGTAAAATAGGTGAAGGGATTCAATGCGCTCGGAACCCTGATATACACCAGATGCCCTTTCCGTGCCTTCGAATCATCCACCAGACGGTTCCAGTATGCCTTGCTCTCGCATTGGTCTATAAATTTGTCTGCGGTAGAGATTATGATAGCGTGCAAAACTGGAACGTAATCAAAACATATGACGAGCGAGTGCAGTAATGAGGTCGGGGACGTTCTGTTCCTCTTCAGGAAATCCGTCTGCAGCTTTCCGATTATTGAGTTGTTAACTCTGATGTCATATTCAGCCACCGCGTAGAAGAAGCTGATATCCCGGTCGGTGATGCGCTTGGCGTGGCCAGATGTGTGTTGTCAGGACTGGTTTGGTTTCATCCCAAGGAAATGCCATACCCCGACGCTCATGACATGATTTCTTGTGTTCAAGTCTCCATGCTATCCGTTGGCAAACCGGGTCGCAGAAATATGCGTTAGAGCAGCTCGAACATTGCCTCAATGCCCTCTCAGGGGTTGCACACTAGAAGATATAGATAAGAGACGGGAATAAACTGACAAAAGCGAACGAACCTCCGGATTCATACACTTCGTGACCTCTTGCGCCGCCAAATCCTCCCTTGCCTCCCATCTAAGACCGGCTACCTCCTTCAGCCGATCCCAAACATCCCACAGCAGGCCATTCTGGTCGAAATCATCTTCCAAGCCTGTCTCGAATATGTGCCTGATAGACCTTCTAGCACTTCGCAAAACTGGGCGGTATATCAGATAAAAGTTAACCGAGTTGAGCACTTCCATGAGCGACATGTGCAAGATTGGTTCCGCGTCATCGTCTTCGCGTACGGCCGCATCGCTGTCCAGCAGTGACTGGCATTTGAGGATTGATTCCGAAAGATGGTGATCCAAAGCTTCGACCACCCATGAATATCCATCATGGAAAGCTTCTGCCAATACCTGGCAGCAACCCGAGACGGAATCCCTAACCCAAATGTTGCAGTTCATCTATATCCACATGCCTTCGCCTTGACGTGACATGAACACCATTTCACCGACTTGGCCCTAAGGAAAGACCGACGAAGAGCATCGCTAGATAAAGTACATAGCGCCATGATGCTGATGTGACGCCTCAATGTGATAGCCCGGACTATAGGAATTTGGATGTCGACGATAATTCGCCGCATACAATTATATGCCACGACATTGAGACTCTTCCAATGCGACCATAACTTCCAAGTGGATTTCTTCCGATTGACAGCAGACCAACACATCCATAACTTTCCAGCAAGACGTGGCCGTTGCATAATCGACAGTCGAGTCGAAGTAAATCCAGACGCGTGTCATACATTTGATAAAGCCCGGAGGTACGCATCACAGATACAAAGTCAACAGAAAAGCTGTCGAGGAGTGACAAAAGGCTATCTTTGAACTGGTCCCGCAAATCCACGGTCTCTGAGGGCAACACGGTATCGGCGGTGGCGTTCAGGAAATATGACGAGTAGAAATATATAATCCAACGACAGATATGTGGGACTACCGCCGCTATTTGGTCAACGATAACTTTCACGCCTCGATGTCTCTCGTTAACACTGGCCTGGATCGCGCGAAAACATTCCTTGGTAATGATCAAGGAGTGATGCCGCACAGTGGCATCCCTATCCATGGAAGGTGTGTCGAGAGTGCGGAGATTGTAGCAAAACACGGAGAGCAGCCGGGGAAGTGTGGAGTCGTCTACCTCAACTATCTCTGCAAGTTTACCCAGAGCGTAGTGAGATCTGCGCATAGCAGCTCGCTGGTAATCCGGTAATCAAAAATATTGTTGGCATCGACAACGGAAACGAAATACCTTGAGCGAATTCATGCTCATGTTCCCAAGGATGTAACCAGGTCTTGAGGGTAAGTGGGTATTTAAGAATGCACGCTACAGGGGAGTCGATCGAGAAAGAAAGTCGTGGTACAGGTTCAAGAGTAAAATTTGAAATTACACATTACGGAAAAATAAAGTGACGGTCAGGTGATGCTCCGTTTCGCGCGCCTGAAGAGGGACACTACTGGTGCTAGGGTCGAATAGGTGTGCGGCTGTTTCAGTTGAATGGGAGTGAATGGGCCGCCGTTGATGGATGACAGCGGTCTGTCGTCCTTTATCACCGGCAAGTTGTCGAATTGCATTCCTTCCTCCAGGTGATTGATGTAATGTTTTAACCCTTGGTCCTCATTCCATATCCGCACTTTGCTCAGAAGACACAAAGTCCTCGGCTTCCCGGACCATTGCAGCAATATCTTCCTCCGTGAGAGGTTCATGCGGGAAGGGTATAATCATAGACGTTTGACTAGAACTTCAATTAAATAAGATACGGTCGCGTCTAGAGGAATGTTTGCGAACTTACATGTCACCCTCGACAGCAGTGAAATTCATCAGCCCATCCTCGTTGATGGCAATCGATATGATTATATCAAATGGCGCTGCGTTTCCCTCAACCACAGGTAGATACATCGTACCAAGTAATTGAGATGCAGAACTGTTAGTGTATTCTTGCTCCCAGAGCACCCCACTTCCGGTAAAGAATCGAATCTGTCTTTCCATAAATTTGAACCTAAAGGCCAATTAACGAAGTCTAGGCTAGCTATAGAAGATGCATACCTCCTCGACGCTTGCTCCGGCAATATTGAGTTCCTCATGATAACTGACCCAAAGACCCCATCGGAAAGCTGCACGCCCAGTCCGAACGGAATAATGCTCATGGCGCATGTCACCTCAGGCTCACTAAGCCATTTAACTTTCAGAGCCGCTCCACACACGATTGCGTACGGGTCAAAAGGCAATATCTTCCCCGAGAAGCTAACTTCGATCTCCTGCCGAAGTAATGGAGGAGGTTCATCAATTATAATGACCCTGATAAAGTCAGCGACGCTTATTCTTGAGTAAAAGACAGGTGTACCCACATGAAGGATGTCGCTCGCAAATATGCCTGCTCCCTTTAGCAGTTCTTCGAGAATGACCTCTCCATGAAGATCGTCAGCGATGGCGAAGATGCCATCGTATCCATCATCATAGAATTGAACGCCACATTGTTCTTTCATACATATGAGGAGATGATAATCGACGAATTCCTTTCCCTTAGAAGGATATCCATGTGCCAACGTGGCTGCTGTACCAGCTGGGATTATCTGGCGAACCTCCAAGTTTGAAGAGGCCAATGACTGTAATACGCCACGCTGAAAGTCGGTAACGTCTGGTGTATACCAATCAGCCGGGGAAGGATAAAGGAAAATAAACATGCTTACGGAAGGAAGGAATAGAAACGACTGCTCCACCAATGCTTTGTCCATAAACCGATTCAGCAGCAACTTGCAACTTTTTGAAGAGCAGGGCCAGGAGATATTCACGCGTCTTCAAAACTTCATCTGAGTGAAGTCCAATGAGATATAAAAGACAGACTTACGAAGGGGGCCCCACAGGGGGCAGGGTATCATATGGATCTAGCGGAAAGAATTCGGTCTGAGATAAAAGGAGGGGAACAACAGCATATACCCGCTCGAAAACGTTTCTTGGTCTCCCTGATGCTCCCTGATACTACCAGCTGGTTCCAACAGTGTCGTGAGGTCCTCTATATATATATTTGGTGCATTGCACGGCTCATGTCCGATTCTGAGGCAGGCGGTATTGCTGTTAGTGCTTATTCATCGGCATGTGCGTCTAGGAACCTACAGAATCTCATTCTCAGCAAAGCACAAGCTAGAGCGCAACTCAGCAAGAACTTCAAAGCTACCCAAATCCTGCCCTTGAATTCTAGTATGACGCTTCAGTGGCCGAAGTCGAGCGACCAGGGAACATAGACGTACGCCGCGCGAGAATAATTTTAGAGAATACAGATAAGCAAATAGACACAGTTCCAGCCATTTGAACGCACGGAAACCCAAACTCTGATAATTCTGATCAGCTGGAAAGACGAGTGCACGACGACGGACCCACCGATACCGATGATTGCGCTCTCATCTTCTGAGAGCCGTCCAGCTACAAAAGTAAACCATACTGGGATGAGAGATATTACAAGGAAAGGTATCATTGTCGTCAATGGAGGGTGGTGGCAACGAGAATGATACAGGACGACATGGATACATGGCGGTGCAGAGGAAGGTGTAACTCAGACATGTACCACCGCGTTGGTCCACCCTCAAATTTCCAAATTTCCGGCTACAATGGCGACACTACACAAATGCACTTCAATTCCTAATCATACTACGAATACAAGTCCTTTTTTTGAATTCTCGACGCGGGTCAACGCTACATCAAATCGCCAACACGGCAAAGGTAACACCCAACACCCCCGACAACAATCCGTTGTAGCCATTCCCTACGGCAGCATTGGAGGGTGAAGGAGATGCGCTGGTGGAGACAGCGGCACTTGAGGATGCAGCTGAGCGGCTGGTGCTTGACGTGCTTGATCTGGTGATACTCAATGACTCTGAAAGGGTGGTAGAATGGATCGAGAGAGGAGTCGAGAGACTGGTCATTTCAATGGAAGTGGATGAAGTCGTACTATCCGACGAGGACGTCGTCAGCGTCGACAGAATGGTGCTCTCCGTGGAGCTGCCACTCTCACTAACCGACGAGGATATCGGTATTGTAGCTGTCGTCGATGGAAGAGGGATCAAGGTCGTCGAGCTGTATGGTAGTGAGTTCTCATTCCTCTGCGCTTGTTTCATAAGGCTTACGGGGTAGGCAGCCCTGACAGCGTCGACGTCGTCCCATCATCGCTAGTTGTGATGGGCTCGATGGTGTACGTCTGTCCTGCAACTAGGGCTACGGGAATCAGCAATAAGAATGCTACCTTCATGATGGTCGACGGATAGCCATTTGATGGGGACGTTGATATATATATATACGATGCCCCGGTGGTCGCTCGTGTCGCTCCCACAATAGGTCACTTCTTACCTGGGCTATGCAAGAACGGCTTCAGTTTCCCATACATTTGCAGGAAACGACATGATCACTCCTTTTTGCGACATTGAACCAACTGAAGCGCGGTCAATCCTGACCGTGTTCACCCAGAGCAGCTCTGCCATTGGTACATAGGCAAACTCGAGGACCCATTTGGATTTCATTCCGCTGGGACTATTTGCTATCTCGACTGTGATCTGGATGCGCCCTCAATTGAAAGAAGCCCTGGGGCAACTGGGCTGTGTCGGACGGATCACCGCCTAGATGCAGCCATCCCTAGCAGGATTACACAGCACGGACATACATGTACATGCTAGCTAAAGTCAGGTGTTTACCGGCATATTCTTCTTTATACACAGGTACGAGTTCTACGAGTATCTATATAAAGCGGTTTGCCAGGCCACCCACTTCCGTTCCATGATCGCTGAAAATTCTTGTCATTGGCAAGGGAGAAATCTTGACTTGGGACCTCATGGAGGGGGAAGACCCTGTCAAAGAACTGGCGCCAACGTAGCGGCGGAGCTCAAATCGGCTAGAGTCACAACGGAGTAAACACCGCCCAAATCCTCGTGGTTTCTTCGACACCTCCAGATTAAGCAAAAGACCCCAGCGCTGTTCTCTTTCTGGGCGCCTCTCTCAAGCTGTATGCCACTGTACTCCTTGGTTGCAACGAGACATAAAGTTCTTCTGTGACAAGCTGACTTTGTCAAGCTGAAGGACGGAAAGAATATTGACTATAGTAAACCCCGCTAATTCGCGTACCCCTCTCATCAACGCCATTCCTATCAATCACCCTATCCCAAAAACAGCGTGGTCATCTTCAAAAACGCGTTTCATACGTTTGGACTACCACTTCGTCTTCTGACCCCCTCACCGCCGTCATCGCCAAATTCTACGACCCACTGTCTTTCCGTGACCTCTTCCCACCATTGCTCGGTCCCGGTCAGAGTGAAGTGAAAGTGTACGGGATGCTGAACGCTTTCCAAGGGACTTTAATTCCCCGGTGGTGTCTGGGTTCGCAGGATAGTTACGCCATATCAAGTACTGGAGTTTGTTCCGGGAAAGGCGTACGTCGCGTAGATATCCTGAACAAGAAAGAAAAGAATTACCGCTTTACATTTGCGAGAAGCACCGCCATGCTATGTTCACCATTCTTTCGTTTAGTTATGGTTTTGCTGCTATGGCCGTCTTTTCCTAGAGATTTAGCCCCAAGGACATCATTCCCATCCCACCTCTAACTAGTTGCCTGACTAGGCTTTTTGCCCTAACGAATGTTGTCCGGGCTCGCTCCGAATTGAATGCAGACGAACATTCCCGCAGTCGTGGTTGACTCTCAGAGGATTCCTCTTGACGAAGAGCGGCGCGATGAGGACGCGAATGACTGTGTTCGGGAGCGTTTTACGAAGTCGTACCCGGTTTGTGGCATCGGAACGTGCGTGAATATCCGTAGACATTCAGGTCAGGAGCCCAGGGTACTACGTCGACAATTCCTTCGAAGTTGTTCGAACACCTCGAATAACTCGAATCTAGCAAACCACGCTGCGGTAGCAGGTTCAAGGCATTCGGGCGGTCTCTCGATCCGCTATTGGTTACGTTTTAGACGATATGTCCGTAAAGGCTTTACAGCAAGTGCTTGATCCGCTATCGTAATTCTGACTCCGGTAAGCATTTCTCCCTGACAAGCGAACAAGTGAATGTTTACTAGTCGTTGACTAGGATGCCGTAGACCAGTAACAATTCGAAAATATACGAGAACGTGATGGCTAACGGTATATATCATCCAGGTGTGTCCGACAGCACTGGAGTTGAACATTTGAATACAGCTCATCACACGCAAGGACTACACAGAACGAGCGCGGTAGAATACCACTAGACCGATCAACTATGCCAAGAGATATGTGTAAAGTACACATCCACTTCTCCGACGCCATATCGACGGAAACAAAAGTAATCGGCTCCTACGGAGGTTCCTCATATGGCCGCACCGTTAGCTTCATTGTGGATTTCGACTATTGCGTGGTCCTTTCTAATTTGCCCGCTACTTACATGCGACGACACCGCACTTCTCATAACTCATCTCCGTGTCGAGCCCGAATGCACCATCGTGCATGATACGTACAGTGCAGTGCTTCCATGGCCTCTTTCATTTCAACGGGTTTCTTCTAAGGATGACATTGGACGATGATCCTAATCGGAAAAAGAGGCGATTTTTTCAAGGAGTCAAGAACATAGTTGTGTCTCGAAATATGCTGGAAAGTGATAAGCCTTTGTCTGAGCGCCAATCAAAGGGAGTCGCGCGTACCAGGGGTGACCGGCATTCAATATCAACAACTTACGGCTTGCACCAACGAACCCGAAGAGTCATGACACTTCATTATAGAACCATCGACAAACGGTAATTAAAGCACCTAGAAGCCCGAGCGTGATGCACTGATGGCCAGCGAGAGAAGGAGGTGAAAGTTTAACCAAGACCTAAATTTTTTGACGGGAAGTCTAAGTCGCGTGGGTAGCACTTGAGCAATGAACGCCAGTGAACGCCTTCAAGAACGTTAGATACTAAGATAGTGGCGCGACTCAGGGCGGGAGGATTATCAGCTGTACTCAGAAGCGAAGAGCAAAGAACGGGGCACCAGTGGTCGCCGAAGTAGCCTGGAGAATTAGTTTCGCCAAAAATGCGGAGTTTCCAGCGAGCAACTTTGAACTCAGCGGCCTCGTTTATTTCTCGTCACGCGACGAGAAAGACCTCTTCTCCTTATCAGAGGCGCGAAGACAATGCGCGAACACTGGTTTGCTAAAATTTCTCCGAAGCCTCCTGGGGTGACAATTAGACAGGCGTATTGGTTGCCTGGCGGTTTTAAGTTCAGGGTCATGCGATAAGACATCTTCCCCGGTCCCGTGTGCACCTCATAATAAGCTCATTCGTTACCAGACCTGGGTTTAGGAAGCCAATGCGGAGTTCTTTTCATGACATCAATCTACTACGGTCTCCTGTTTACAAAATAGCGCCCGACCCAAACGTCAAAGGTTAAATCGGTCAAAGATGGAGACTCGGACTGAACAATCCTCCGGTGTGCTATAAATTCCAGTAGTTTCCTGCTTTTCGGTACTATTACATGCCAAGTTTTTACAGATAATGATAAAACAGAGCCGGAGTTTACACCAAAATGGGTTTAAGAAGAAATTCGCAGTGCAGCAGCGTTCGCTATGTACTGCCATAACACCTTCGCGACGAGCTTGGGATGCATCATGTCGATCGAGGGCGCAAAGAAGTGTCTGTAATGGAATATCGCTGATCCAGCTTGCTTGTCCTGATGATACCAATGAAAAATACGCTTGCTTGGAGCGTAGAGAAAGGCTTACAGTGAATGCCAAAATAAATATCTGTTTCGTGTACCAGCGAGCCAAGGTGCCTGAGGAGAGTGTTTCTCCTGCCATAGGCACGGTAGTCGGATATCCATAGTCTATGATCGAAAATTTCCCGTCTCTCTCTCTTAGAAAAGGGCAGGTATCACGCACCGAAGCTTTTGGCTGCTTCCCTGCAGTGCAAGCAATCAAATTAAATCCACATATTCATAGAAGAGATATTCATACCAAAAAGGAGTTGTCTTGTCGGCCTGCATTTTGAAGAACCGCTCAGAAAAATCGCTCGTGATCGACTGTATGTTGTTTTGCAGCAATGTATTGAGACAGATGGCACCAATAAAAGCCTTCATACATCCTTGTCTGAAGGTGAGACAATTAGAAAAGAGCAATGAAGAAGGTCGAGAAACGAACCCGAAGACAGGGTTGACTCTCATGACACTATCTCCGGCAGCGATAAAGTTGGCAGGCAAGTTTGTAGCCTTCTCATATCGAATGTGGTTTGCGGTTACTATACCATCGGGTTTAAATTGGGGGCGTGCGAAGAGGTTGGAAACGCACAGAATTGAGTCTTGCTGCATATCGCAGTGTGCTTAACCTCGTCCAAGATATCCAAAATTTCCAAGAACCACTCCGGGATTGGTTTTCTTACGACCAAACTTCTCGTGTATTCCTTAAACTCGTCGAGTGTTTGAGGAAGGTCGGGACAACCCCAGGCTCCCGCGCACAATTGCACTGCAACAGAAACACATGTTCAGATATGCCGGAAGAACACGGCACAAGATAACGTACCGATATCACCTTCGATACGTTGGCAATATACTGCACGAGATTCGACCCCGGCCTCGGTGAGACAAACATAAATCGAACTGCACCGATCCCATGTCGTTGTAAGCCCGGGAAACTTGGCTCCAACTTCAGGGGGCACATGGAAGCGCAGTGTTGAGTAGTAAACATTCGGGTCGTACTTGATATTCAGCTGCTCAAGAGGAAGTTTTCCCCTTGGGTACTTGCCGGATTCTGACACGCCGAAGCCTTCGCGTCGTAGCCATTTCATCCCGGCACTTGCTGGACCAGTGCAGTCTGGACAGGCAGTATTAAATCGAGAAGCATTCCGTGAAGTGAAGGTAGATGTGACCCACCTACAACAATCACAGCGTCCAAAGTCCGCGTTCCTTCCTCTGTTCGCACAATAACCTTGTCGAGGTATTGTTTATTTGTTTCACTTCTAGAGACGCCGGTAACGGTGCCAATAATCTGGCGGACATGCTCGTGACGACCACCGAGGACTAACCGGCGCAGGAGCGTTTCGAGACCTACCCTTCCAACAAACGTCGAACTTGGAAGCGCTCCACCATATTCTTCATAGGGGACATACTGCCAATCACCGTAGGTTGAAAGGCGAAAGTCAGCCGGGTTGATGCTAAACAGCCGACACGTTACCGGGTAGATCTTAGGCACAGAACAGGAAGTCACCCACCGCACATCGGAGGCTTTGCATTCCTCGTCAAAGTAAGGGAACAGTTTGCGGTATACATTGTAAACGAGGGCGGGATATGCTTTGAACAGTGTCAATAGAGTTGTAAATATATGACAGTACGGACAAACCATGGAAAGAGTGATATTGCATCACTCGTGAACGTGTGTGTTCCTGGTTCCAAGCATCTCTCCGTTGGGCATCATCACTACCCAGCCATGGTTCGGCTTCGACGAGAACAACATCTTCAAAGTGATCGAGGCAAACGCGCGCGGCCAGGAGGCCTGAAATGCTGACAGACAAGGTGGTTTAGTAGCCGACTATGGGTAATTATATCGTGTATAATGTTACCTTCCACCGCAAATTACAGCAGTGCCTCGAATTTTCTGCGCAGCTGTACGGGGAAGACCAAGGGCGTCGATATCTTTGAGACAAGTCTGTTTCAGTAGAAAGTGACGCCTTAGAGCGTGCCCGAGAAGTAAGAGCAAGTAGTAGATGGCAAAGGAAGCTGCAGAAAGCCACAGAAGTCCCATCGCAGAGACAGGTATGTTGCCTGTAACAATTGCATGGAGCCACTACATATATAGGGATACGGCAACAGATAGCTCAGATCTGAACCCAGACTCGTCCATCAGAACATACATAAGTGCTGAAGAAGCAAAGGAACACGCTGAGATGGGAATTCGCATATATCATGTGCCCTCGTTGTGCTTCTATCAAAACCCACAGTAGAGGCTGCCGGCACCGGGGTAAGAAAAGCGCACAGGTCAGGGCAGAAGCGAAGACAAAATAGACGCAGATAGAAGAACGCAACTCAGAAAATTGCGATACTCCAATGATTTCGTTCGTCAGCAGTTGTCACCGGTGTGGTTAAGGTTAAATAAACAAACGTCGGAGCGGCAATGACCGGAAGAAAACTTTCCCATACTGTGGCTGTGCAGCCGCTCTCTAATGTTCTCGATTTGTTCAACTCGCGACCGAGAAAGGTCGATGATATGCGGATCCTTTCAAGAACTCCAAATATGTGGTGATGAACTCCAGGCCTGCAGGGCATGCTGGCGGCCAGGGGATATCATGAAGTGACTTTGTATGGACAGCGAAACAATTCAACCCCTTCTAGGGTATGATCCGGGTTGCCAGGTGCGCTACAACTCGTATCCTAATAGCAGGCTTCTGCCGTTGAAGATTTGATAAAGGTAGTCACCTATTCAACAAGCGCTATAAGGGACCTTAAGGGTTGTTTCTCCTTGCGACCTGGTATTCGACGGGCGAGAAATTTTACTCTATCATATGCTTCGAACCGAGTCGGTGTCTCATTTACATCTCTTCAAATGATCTCCTCACTCACCCAGCATCACTGTCATAGCCGCTCCTTGCAATACAGCGAACTTTGGACGTTTTTAGTTGGAATACAGGGATGACTTCTACTTTGTGGCGGAGCTTCTCGTTGGTGGATACGGAGTCTATTAGTTTGCTTCGGCGAAGTAACCTGTAAAGTAACTGGGGAGCGCCAAAAGTCCCGATCCTTTACCCGGGACTCCAGCGTTCTAGGAACAAAATGCTCCACGCATTGGGGTACTTCTTGGAGCATGCCTTTTTCGCCTCGTATCCGCTTCTCTTGGGCGCCCATGTTATTCGGCATCGTGTCACACTACTCTAAAAATCAATCATACCACCAAAGTTCTAGTTAGTATCCTTCGCAAAGACTCGCGGTGCTACTAACTATTTGTAGATTACAACAGTATCAGGGTACAGTTCTGTTGTAACCTGGCTCCTAATCGGCGCGTCTGGCTGCATTAACAGCTTTCATCAGATTTTCATCTCGCACGCTTCGAACGTACTTGATAAAAGGCATTTCTGATCCCGCAATGACAAAACATCTTTACTTGTTCTAGACCAAATCTCGGCGTCCTATACTGTATACAGGGCTGTTTGTATTTCCTTTCGCAGATTGTATTGGCGGCATGTACTCGAATAACCTTCCAGACTGTTCTGGCTTCTCTGTTTAAAGCGTTGCAAGGTCCAGTGGTGTCTATGCCTCATGTCCGATTCTTTCCTCGTTTCTGCACGTGAGCTTTTTCGCCTAGAGAGTATGGTTAAGTTCAGATCAGATTCCTTTGGCTAGATGTTTTGTTAACTGACTTGATTGCGTTGACAGTGCGCCACGAAGCAAGCGTCTGACTGCCATAATTGTATTGAATTCGATAGCATCGCGGTTCTATTTTCATCGACCCGGTACAGACGGCTCTCGCTATCGCCGACTTCATTGGTCACGTTTTATGTGTTAGAGTGATAGAATATTTTTAGCTGACCGGCGGTTGAAGATTGTTTTGCTACAACGTTTTAATTAATTATCCCTCCATTGCTGACAATACTTGATCTTACAGAGTGAGCACTTTGAAATTTCCCCCGGATACACTCAGCTAACGATATCAGTCTGCAGACTCCTCTTTTCCTTTCTTCCGATTCATATGCCTTATACTTGACATTGCTACGTTACCGGGCATAGTTCTAACTTGTGCGTGCAATAGCAAGGTTTCCGAAAGAAACCTCCAATATCTGAATAAATTATTACTGACTCCTTTGCTCCTCATGCTTTTCATAATAAGAGTCGAAATGATCCGTACGCACTGTTATCTTCCTTCGTGAAGAATCAAGTGGGTACGTCGGCCTTTCCCGCTGTACATATCGTCGACAACTCGAAGCTTATGTTATGTGCGCTCAATAACGAGTTTCTGATCCGAAGGTACTGATATCGGATCGTCCGCTTTCCATGCAGTGCTCTTGGTCTGATCTCTTCGAGGTTTTTTCCTCTATCACAGAGGTACGAAGAATGCCCGTCGTTCGTTCCTTTTCTTCTCATTGTACCATCCGACATAACATGGTACTCAATGTGAGCGGAATCATCGATTTTCATCGCAGGCATAGTATTTTCATGAAAATCCACAACTAGCAATGCTTCCTGGATTCGTCTTAGCTATTGTCTGTTCGTTCCGGTAACGTGGCTAGTTCAATATACTGGCATAGAATCGCTCGCAAGGCAGGCGATTCTTTTTTTGATTTAATTGCACTGTACTCATCGACGCGTAGCTCGATGACAGGACAATCCGATCTCGGTGTGGTACTCAGGTACAGTACGACATCACTGACCTGTTTTTTTTTTATTTCGCTTATTCACGGACTGTTGAGAAGAGATAAAGCCAAGGAGACGTGGGAGGCAACATCATCCTTTAAAACCATATAGGACTACAGTCCGCTGGCTTGTTGAGGACAGCGGAAGTAAATTACTCCGTTCTACAAGGTTGAGGGAGTACGACGTGTACCTTGATCTGGGTTGTATGCAAGGTAAGTATTATTTATTTCAGTCTACGGCCCCGAACAACCTTTCCCTCGGATACGATCTCTAAGGGAGCGTCAGAACTAATTGAAAAAAATCATTGTCCTCTATTCTAAGAGAATTGTGAAAATTTTGATCATTGCATTTGGACAGACAATCTATCTCTCAGTGTGCATCCCAGATTCAGGCAGAAGGGTTAATCGTCGGAGTCCGGACCGAATGGTTACTGAGGAAGCCCCGGCAATTGCCGTGTGATTTCAAGTTCGAACTATGAACGCTTTCATCCATTTCATCGATTATTTTGGTCTTCCTCCTCCTCAGAAGCCTGAAACTTGGCTTCAAAGATACATGCGCCTACGTAAAAATCCATTCTGGTGTATCTACTTCACTTATCAGGATTGGACATCTAAGGCCCAAGCAAATCTCTTTGCAGGCTTTTGGTCCTTATGGCACAGTACGTAGCCAACTATCACTTGATAGGGCACACTTTTCATCAAACAATTCTCAGGAATCTTTGGCCGCTGGCTGCACGTTAAATGCGATTTAATTCCCGAGTTGAAGTTGCTTCGAATTATCGTGGAGCAACTCGCCCAATACATCCGCTCAATCCGCTACTGGCCTGCTTCCGATGAAGCAAGCTGTCTCTATGGGCACTCGAATTTGTTCGGTACTTGGTGGACCCATTCGGAACTTCCGTATGCACGACGATGGGGACACAGGTCCATTTCGTGACAGGAACCTTAATCTGGCGTCGTCATCTTAAGATTGCTGCAGCTTTGCCGTTGCGCAGCCAAGTCATCCCTTGTTTTCACCAATCTGGTGCCTCAATCTGGTCAAGGGACAAAGTGACGTTCTCTCGTTGGGAAGTGGAGGTTGGTATCAGCTCAACAAGTACGTATGGCGATGAACTGGGAGAATTGGCACTTGGCACTTGAAGCTTGAAGAGTGGCGGCCTTGGGTCAGCATGTTTGTCCAGTGTACGAGCTTGAGGCTGAAGCAGATAGGGCGTTGCTGTCGCAGTATTTTATTCCGACGCAACATAGACACCGGGCAGCATGCGTGTCATAACAGAAGAACATGTGTGTAATACTACACACCTTGTATCTCGTAGACAGATGGCTGATACAGACCTATTGACGGGAGGGAGGGACGGTCTATATATTACCTATCAATTGTGGTGCACCGAAATCTTGTCGCTGTTCAACCGAAAATGGTATCCTAAGCATCAGCTTGGAATGGCTGTTTGTGAGATATGTTTGCAGAGAATAATTATGACTTACAAAAATGATGAGACTCGAAGCTTGACTACGAAATTCAGTACGTTTTCGCTGTAGATCCATTTTTGGTTTTGACGATTACTTACTACTTTCCCAGGGTTCCCCTAAGCCCTTGATTTACTTATCGTCGTGCATGATGACTGCCGCAGCCTTCGGTGGAGATCAGAGCTGGTCCAATCCAGAGGATGTGAAGCACATTTTCATGGATATGGTTCCAGCTTATGTGCGACCAGAGAAGTTTTTCACTGTCGAGGAGGTGTCTAATATTGCTGACGACCATCGAAAATCGTTGTTCGACAAGTGGGATAGTTTAGGATCCATCATGGCTATTCACGAGACCAGCATCCGAAAACGTTGGATCAAAGTTTGAGCACCATGTTTTATTTCAGATTATCGGCTAATCGCACTGGTAGAGGACACAAACGAAGCGGCGTTCGCTATTGAAGGAGCTTGGGATACCAATACCGGACAGGCACGCACCAGAAGTTGATTTATTCGAGAAGCTCAGCAGGGGTGGGGCTCGTGGAGGCCAGCTCTCTGATGCTCGAGATGCATTTCTTTCACCCTTCCTCAATGCCGAAGACCTGACGTCAGGAAATGGAGAAAACCGTGCGCTACCATCCTTGTACTCCATTCTGCTGCATCGAAATACCTACCTTTACAGTTCTTGGACTCCTTCATTATCGGTCACATTTGTTGCCGTCTGAATTCAGTCAATTCGATCTAGAATGTGTACGTGTTCTGAAGTTTTCTTTCAGTGGCAGATTTAGATATATACGTTTTCAGCTTAATTTTGGAATTGTGAGCGGAGCGATCAAGCGTGTATATGCTCCCGATTGTACGATGATAGGAATCGGCGGACGAGAAAGCTATGGTCAAGTCTTGCGAAACGACTGCGCCCTCCACCCTGGAGGACCGGATGGTTTCACGTTGGAATGGACATATGGAGCTGGGATGCAGATATCTGATGGCCTATGTGTTCTTGAAGCCCAAGTGAAATTGGTACGTTCCTTGTATTGTGAAATGCCGAATCTGTTTAACAATTTTATACTAGCTTTCTTTTCTCTTACAACTCGTATACCGGATTCTTATAGACCTTGACCTCACGTCAATACCGCCACCTCTGCCTCCCTGGCAACGTCGACGACATGATAGATCTTCTTTCAGAATTGTCTCTGCCTCAGGAGTGGTCTTCCTTTGCAAAAAAACATAGTCTTAGGGCATATTCATTGCCTCCCCGATTCTTGTCGTCTGATCTAGCAGTCATCACGAGTGCTCAATATGAAATCGTCAAGGATCATCTAATTGACCTCCGGACAGACCCAATGTACCTAGCCGAGCAACTCGCCCTCCACGTAGATCATCTAACTGGATCCTCGCCCAAGGAAGCTCCTCTTAGTCTCATCCATGATCGAAGTAGTTACGTCTCTCCTTGGAGGACGCGTATAACGCGTTCGCCGTAGGCTCTGCTTTTCTACGCCCTAGATTCACTACTTACCATCTTTCTAGTTCTGGGACATCACTCATACCCTCGTGCAGGAAATCATTTCTGAGGAACAGAAGCTGAAGCTTCCGTTACCTCGTGATCAGGACCTTCCCCTGACTTATGGAAGGTTTGGTGAAGGATCTTCGTCAACTTATACGTAGCTACAGGGCGAAGGCTGAACATCGTTATCGGACAACACTGTGCGGCTCTCCGTCTCTGAGACGCTGTACGCTTGTCATCAACCGTCATAAATTTCCTGTGCTCATTGCACCTTTCTAGACTTCCAAGTGCACTGGAAGGTTTCCGGTTCTAGTCTTACTCAGCATAAAATTCGAGGAACTCTACCCAAGGGTGATCGTGTCGTGCATATTCTTAAGATCCTTTTGGATACGAACCAGACTCACCTCTGGCAAGTATCTCGTGTCTTTGACGAGCTTGACCGGGCCGTAGCCAATAACCCTGAACATGTATCTCCCCTTCTCGCTGACGTGCTCTTTGATTATGGTTCATGCACAGATATCCTTGAGACTATCGATCGCCACCGGCCACTAATTGTCGAGGAACAAGAGGAAGACACCATCGAGCGATTAGGATGGCGCTGGTTTAGACTGGAGGAATTGCAGCGCTTTGAAGGGCAGGTTCTATCCCTTCATCGTGTAGCATTCCCAATATCAAAATTTGTACTTCCGAAAGGCCCAAAGACTGAGGAATGGGCCGTGAAGTGTGAAAAAGTGGACGCGTCTTTTGCCGAGTTTTGGAAAACTGCAGATGGGCTCATCAGGTCGAAGTATGGAAATGTTCTGTTTGCATTTGCCGAAGACATATGTGTCAGGTCATGAATGGGAAGCGACCGACTGGAAGGCTCAGAGTAAGCCATGTTTCTTCGCCGCTGTTCCACTGACCTGACGTTTTATGTTAGTCCGAAAAAAGATAGCTAGGTCAGCTCCTAGTATTTCTACGAAAATGGACAGGGCCATTCCTTTTGGGGGTGCAGAGCAAAGGTCAGCTTCGCCTACGCCCATACCTACAGTGCCCAAGACGAAAGTGAAGACTATTGGAAAGCCCCTGATGTCTGTCGTGGAACCTGAGACCATAACTGCAGGAGATTTGCCTGCCACGGATAAAGTAGACATACATTGAAGGTGTCCAAACGCGTTTTCTCGGCATTCGCAAGTATTTTCCGAACAGCTGACAAGTACGTTATTTGCATGCTCGTCTAAGTACTATGGCTTTCATGCTCACTAATCACTTCATCCTGTTCAGCTCTGACGTACATTCTCAGCAAACGTCGTTGGCATGGAAAGAGGTAAGCCTTTAGAGCATGCCAATCCAGGAGAATTGGCATGTATGTAAATATCATCGCAGGTGCTGCATGCGTTTGCCGCTATCAATTTTCGAGGGACTCAGTTGCATGGATCTGTATGGAGATTTGAGCATCCGGATGGTCGCAATATCAATTGTGAGTCGCACGACTTCCTGAGGATTAGTATTACACACAGGATGAACAGTTCACTCGCCGCATCCGTCTCCAAAATATACCTTTTGGCAACTACGGCGGATGGGGCGTCGCTTGACGCGAAGGTTAGGGTGGAGTGCAGAAACTTTTGTGCTTGCCTAGCTTTCCTGCACCTATTCTGACTGTTAATTCCGAATATTTAAGAGATCTATACTCCAGGGAATCTAGGTTACCGTATTAAGTGCCGTTTGTTTCACTGGATACTCTTCCAATCCAGAGATAATCAAGCCAGCACTAGGACTACATACTCTGGACATATTCCTTCTGAATTACGACAAAATTTCTCACCCTGTCCGATGAATAATGTAATGACGAGTCAAGCACGAGGGTATTGTTATCGCAGTACTTCGTTCCGATGATGCATGCACCCCAGGATCTCGACGATACCGATTTTGGGGTATCTGGTTTATTGATAAAGATTGGAGGCTCTCGGTAAATCTCTACCCCATTTCAGTGCATAGATCTTAAGCATTAGATAGGTCGGGACAAGGAGGCCGCTTTGATTCGCCTGACACTGACACATCGTTCAGTGGCGCTCCGACCTGGCCAACCACAGATCCACGAAGCATGGTAAGATGCATAGACACAAACTTCCATCTCATCTCGGCACTCAGTAGTACACATGTACCCATATCTCAAATCTGTAGTTCCCCACCCGAGATGTCCAAGATAGTGGGATGACTGTATCTGAAAGATAGAAGGGAAGCCTTCTACGAATAGCGATGGTCTAAGGTTCGTTGTTGTTGCCCAGGAAACTGCGTACAAATATGTTCCTTCTGGAGCCCGCGCTTCATGCCAGAACATCGATTAATCAAGCTCATTCGGCAGTTGCCACCGGAAGAAATGGGGATATGAACTCATGTCCCAGAAATATGCCTCGTCTAGCTCATGAAGCACCCAGTTTGTCCTTCTTCAAAATCGAACATCGGGAAAAGTGAAGGGCTGAGGTAGTATGGAAATGTACTTGTCGTGTGGACCTGTTTCTGCAGTGGCTCATAAGGATAGAGACAACATGGCAACACGATAAGATATCTCACAGAAGACGGTCATACATAGACCAATAAGTGTGCCTTCAATCTGCCGAGGCTGTAGAAGGCATCTCGCCTTAACTATTCGCATAGAGCGAAAACCTTCAGTTGGATGTTACGAATCCAACCTGAAGCGAATGGACACAGATTCGTACGAAGCAGAGAAAAATTGAGGTTAAGACAGGATTAAAGCTTGAGTTTGAGCTCTTAGTCTCGATACAAATATTTTACTACTTAGGGGGACGAGAATTAACTAGAAAAGGCCGGGACAAACCGGTCCGGTTAATTTCAATTTCCATAAATTATTAAACGCGAGAGTGGCACAGCACGTGATTCCGTACCTGAAATGTCACATCACAAAATGAAAAAAGCCTTTCTCATTCTTGTCCTCCACCTTAGGGAGAGCTTCTGTGGGCTACGGTGTTCGATTGAGTCATGGCGCCTAGAAAAAGTTCGCTGTCAAAATCTTTTCTTCGTTTACCACTGACATTTTTTTAGGAGCCAAGCCCATTGTTCGGACAGAAAGGACGACTAAATCGACTCGAGCCGCAAAATACGTCTCAGTGGTCCCGGAAACTAACGGAAAGAAACGAAAACTAGCTCATGAACCAGAGTCTCTTCAGCCGAAAGAAAGTTCGAACGGCGTCCGACGAACCAAGGCCCATTGAACCAACTTCCTACTCCTCTGTTCGGATGCACCATCAGCCTTGTTTGTTCATGGAGGAGGAGAATCTGGGCAACTCGGACTGGGACCGGACGTTTTAGATGAAATTTCTCGGCCAAGACTTCACCAGAAGTTCCAGAAATTAGGCGTAGGCATTCAATGTCTAGCGGTAGGCGGAATGCACTCGTTGGTCGTTGACTCGAAGGGCCAGGTGAGTCTAATATATAAGTAAAACTAACACATTCATGGATTCTCTTTACAGGTTTGGTCGTGGGGCGCCAACGACGAATTTGCTCTGGGTCGTGAAACGGAGAATGTGGCGGGAATAGATGCCGATGAATTGGAATCGACGCCGGCTATTGTCAGCGGTCTTGATGGCTTCACTGCTGTTTCTGCATCCGCGGGAGACTGTATTAGTGTTGTCATCAGCAAGGAAGGTCAGTTGCGAGCCTGGGGAACCTTTAGGGTGAGTGATTGTCCGACTTCTACCGTCTTCCCGCGAACCTATAACGACATAGACAGAAGATGGCTTATTGAGCTTCGATGGTGACCCTTCTCATCCCGCAAAAACCGTCTGGCCGCAGTCTTATCCTTCGCTCACTAAGGAAAAGATTTGCCAGGTCAAATGCGGGGCAAGTCATGTTCTAGCGCTCACCACTGAGGGGTACGTCTTTACCTGGGGCTTCGGTGGGCGCGGAGAACTTGCACGTAAAGAACAACATCATACGTCAAGTCTGAAGCCAGAGCGGCTCTCTTTGCGCAATATTGTCACTATCGGAGCTGGAAGCCACCAGTCCTTTGCGGTGGATTCAAACGGCTTGGTATATGGTTGGGGATTGAATCATATGTATCAGCTGGGGTTGAGTGCCGGGCGGATCGGGCCAGACACGAGCGTCTTCGTCCCGACGCTCGTTGATTCATTGCATCCCAGCTTACACGGCGGTGCCCGGGTGATTGCCATCGAATGCGGGTAAGTCTGTCAGCCTAATTTGGCATCTTTCCGACCCTTACTGTTTCTTCAGTGAATTCCACACGATATTTCTGTTCGATAATGGAGAGGTTTATGGATGTGGACGATGCGACGAATACGCCATTGGGCTGGCAAAGGACCATCCTGCAATGATAGCCGTTCAAGAAAAATACGAAGAGGAACTTCCTTTCGCTCCAGGAGGAGCTATCAAAGAAGTATGGGTGTCCTATCGATGATCCCCAACTGAAACGTCTAGTTGTTGACCTGCACATTCGTGAACCTGTTCGGATAGCATTTCCCCTCGCCACCAACCGAGGAAAACCCTGCACCCACATTACCCCCCTTCGATCAAGGGTACTCGTCGACTGAAGATTGCAACCATATCTGCTGGACTCCGATACAGCTTGGCGTGCTCAACAGAAGGGATACTGTACGCATGGGGCGTAGGGAGCACTGCGCAGCTGGGGCTGGGTAAAGAAGAGAACGTCGAAACGCCGATGAGGGTGCGTAGTAAAGAACTGAAGGAATATTCAGTCGTCGATGCGGGTGCCGGAGGCCAACATGTACTTGTGAGGTCGGACCCCCTTTCTCGCGTTTCCAACGTTTCCAATGCTCAAGCCAAAACCGTTGCAGTGCAACCCGGACAAGTTTCGCCGCGGCCGCCGCTTCTCAAAGTTCATCATGACCACGGACCAGATTTCGCTCCATTCTCATTCACAGATGTACCTAACTATTTAGACGAAGAACACATATTTATAGGTCTTCAATTTTTTTTCTCTTGACCCCATGGAGTTTCGTACGGATGCGGGATATCATACCACCTCCCATCACATCGGTGCAAATCCACCGCCACGAGGTTGTATATTCTTCCATGTTTCATCGTGCGCCATAACATCATCACAGTTCATTATGTCAAGATAGGCCGGGCCGTCAGCGATACAACTCGGATAAACTGCCTGCTCCAAAATGATCAACACTAGAAGCTCCACAGACGCGTTACAGTATAAAGCTTCTCGTTGTCTGTTGACCTCTCCTTCTCTTGCGTCCATGCCCATGAAGGTCTCGCTGCCCGTCCTCCTAGCTCTTGCGCTCTCGGTACAAGCGCAGGACACCACCCTTCCAGCAGATGTCGGGACCGCAACAGCACTCGCCACGGGTGCTCCTGTCCTCGGTAGCTCGGACAGCGATATAGGCACCACCGTCCCCGGAGTAAGCGATGGTGGTGGAACTACGCTCTCCTTCGAAGTTTCTGTGTGCGTCTTTCGTCCCTTCCTCTGGCGTCCGACATTATTATTGACGCGTGTACATGTCGTGTGTAGGACGGGCATAAGCGATGTCCCGTCGCAATCGTTCACAATCTTCAGCAACCCGTCAGGGTCAGGGACATTGACGACGGTGCCGTCAGTGTCAAGCACATCCACGTCGGCGTCGAGAAGCTCAGGGACGTCGACGGCAACTCAGAGCAGTGGAGCTGAGGAATTGAGGGTGGAGGGGCTGGTAGTTGGTGTTGCAGCGGTTCTGGTGGGATGGGGATGGGTGCTGTGAGCCGAGATGAGTAATGACGAACTTGCAATCATGATCCAAAAGACGTACTATTCTACCCATAGGCTGTTGAAAGCCCTTTTTTTCTTCTGTTGAAGCATTCGTGCCATCGTTACCTGTCATTAGTGTAGTAATATTTATTGTACTACTAGTACCATTCGAGTTGTCACTGTTTGTCCTTACATAAACCTGGAGGATGACGACAGGTGATGGCATCACTTCGCTTCTCTCTTTCGTCCCACGAGCATCAATTTCGACTTCTCCGTCGCTTGCCACCATTGGAGAATTACTGTTTACCAGCTTCAGTCATCTCCCCTGGAGAGCATGGCCATCTTGACTCTTCGCTTGGGGAGACCAGTACTTCGGTATTGGACCTCGTATGGAGCTGTGTCGTCTTCCAAGTCTGACTTGTTTGTCGGCGCTTGGTAAAATCGGAGGTAGCACAAGGCAGCAACCAACTACATTACACGTGCAATGACATTCCAGGATGGTGAGCAAAGCTGTGGACATTTTCCAGGGAGCCATATTTATGTAACATTACCAGATAGATACCAGAGACCTCAACGCCGTCTACATCCCAAGCGCTTGCTGCGATCTTTATCCTGCCAAACCCCCTCGATTTCTCAAAGGCGACAAGTGGTTCAATGCGATAAACGCTCTTGACAGTGTCAAAAGACGAATGGAATATTCGTTTGTATCTTGCCAATCTGATTCCTTAGACATGAAGACGGACATTCGAGCCGGCGCTCTGTATGCGTCCATCGTCTCGGAGTGTCGGACCGATCAACAGCCGTGTGCCAACCTCTGTTTCTTCCCGCCATGTCACCACTAGTACCGGACCTGCGCCTGATACAAAATGTACCTGCCAGTGAAGACCCCGACACCATCTACTTTCCCGGTGCTTGCTACCATCTATGCGCTGTCCAGATCCCTGACTTTCCCAAAGGCGACAGGTGGTGCGAGCATAACAAGCAGTCCCTGCAGTATCAAAGGATGAACGGCGTATACGCTCTGTGCCTCGCTGATCGCATACATCTCCCACCATCCCCGCCCTTGACCATCACCCTATCCCAACGCTTGTGCGGCGGAATTCGAGAACACGTTACTCACGTTTGGACCGCTACATCGTCTTCTTCGCCAAAGGACACACCCTCTACAATCGTCGCCAAGTTTTATGATCCCCTATACTTCTGTGACGAGTACGACAACGTTGATCCTCTTCGCCTTGCGGCATGGTCTGCCTGCGAGCCGAAGTGAGAGCATACGAGAAACTACAATCTCTCCAAGGAACTTGTATTCCTCGGTGCTTCGGTCTCTATGGGACAGCTCTTCCTGAGCAGGAAGGGAGGATCCGTGTACGTCCTCCTATTGGAGCATGTCACTGGGACGGATCTGCGGTACCTATGCGAGATGGGCGACGAAATGGGTGACATCGTCGCTGATTACCTATGCGAGAAGCACTGTGATGTTATATTTTCCACCATCTCCGGATTGGCTATGGATTTCATCCAGCTCGGTGTTTCTCAAAGCGACTTGGCTCCGCGGAACACCATAATCAGACCCCCGGCTCGTAGGGGACCTTTTTGCTCTACTGAGCATTGTCCGGCCCGCAATGAAATCGACACAGATGATCCTCAGGCAGTGATGGTTGACTTTGAGAGGGTCGTATTCTGTGACCCGATTCAACAGCTCACCATTGATTTTTACAGGAAGCGATTTGTGGATATCGCTCCCAGCAACTACCTTGCTGACTGGTTTCGCAACTTGTGCGGCTATCCACAGCCCTAGTGATCTTTATATTGGACGATTCAGACTCTGGTTGTGCCTCTAGTCATAGAGTTTAGAGTTTAGAGAACCGGTATATGTAATGATTTAGTTTGTAGAGTTAAATGGATCCGGTATCTCACCCTTCCGGTGCGTTTCTATATCGTTTGCTGCTCCCTGTCTTACTAAGACACAGCTCAGTCAGAGAAAATAATGCGTTGGTTGATGTAAGTCATTACGGCCGAATTTCCGGGAGCGCCCCCCAAAAGGGGCCACCAATGCGTTCTCATGTCTGAACCACTCGATGAAACGACGCTAGATCCCAACAATGCCTATTTTCCAGGTGCTTGTTATCAGCTACACACTGTAGCACCTCCTTGCTTTCCATCTGGCGACCGGTGGTGTCATCACAACGGTTACTCTCGGCAGCCCCAAAGAACGGAAGGGGTGTATGCTCTGTCCCTCGCTAATCATATACCTTTCCCCCCGTCACCATCATTATCCATCACCCTATCCGACAGACTCTCTGGCGGCATTCGGGAACACATAACTCACGTTTGGACAGCTCGCACTTCCTCTCCTATCCCAGAGAAAACGCCCACCACCGTTATCGCCAAATTCTATGATCCGTTGTATTTCCATGATGAGTACGAGTCTATCGACCCTCTTCGTCTTGCTACTCGGTCCGCCGCGAGTGAAGTAAAAGCGTATGAGATGCTTCAATCTCTTCAGGGAATTTCCATTCCGCGATGCCTCGGCCTCTATGCAACAGCTATACCTGAACAGGATGGAAGGACGGTTTATGTCTTGCTATTAGAGCTTGTGGCTGGGAAGGGCCTGCATTATCTCTGTGAGACGGGAGGCGTGGAAGAAGATAATTTGCTGATTATCTTTGCGAGAAGCACCGTGATGCTATCCTCGCAGCCATGTTCCGGTTGGCCTTGGAACTTGTCAGTCATGGCGTCTTTCATGCAGATTGGGCTCCAAGGAACATTATCATCAAATCCCCGGCTGGTAGAGGTCCTTTTTGTAGCGATGGACATTGTCCAGCTCGACTCGAAATCGACACAGACGATGTTGGGGCAATGATTGTTGATTTTGAGAGGGTTGCTCTTGAAGATCCGCCTGATCCGAAGCACATTCGCTTGGTTCGGAGGATGTTTACAAACGTTGTGCCCGGAGAATATTTCTTTTGGTGGTTTAGGAACCTGCATTCATACCCGTCCTTGACCTTGGATACGCTCGGTCAAGGATCCGAGTAATATTATTCACAGATAATATGTGAAATTTATAATTACTTCGAATCAGCGATCAGCGTAGTTTTGCCCCTGACATCTTGCAGTGTGAATTTCTTCTTACAAGGGTCCGCCGCGGCGCAGGCAACAGAAACCTGAGATGTAAAATTACTTGAAAATTATGGCCATCGATAGTATTCGCATTATAAGCTTTGAAAACATGGACACATAACGAACCATCTCAGACCCTAGTGCCAGAATAACCAAGTCAAGTTATATTGTACTATGAGTCCAATTTAAGAGACATGTAGTGTCGAGTACTCCTATATACGAGGAGTTCAAACAGAAAGGGAGAGGGTGAACGTTCGCACTGAATGCATGAGCTTTCGCACTGCTGAGTGTGATCTGAATGGATATGAATGTAAGAGAACTGGAACAAGGCAAGGTGGGTAGCATAAGATATATGGTTTATGAAGAGGAAAATGAAAGGTAACAGTAGATATAAGACATAAACAAGGACTTGACAGAGCGGAAGGAAAGGTACATATCACTGCGATGTAAGCATCATCTCTTGTTCTGCAACCAGCCATGTCAGATCCACACACAGACATGTAGGACATGCTAATAATGAACACCCTGAGTCACTCTGCAAACGAGGTGTTAGTGATGACTTTTGGAGAAAACTGGAAAACTGGATTGATTGGCCATCTCCGCTGATACAGCTCAGGTAAATAGAAGTAAACTACTCCTACCGACCTCGATGGCTCGTTGTGAGAAGTAATGACAGTCGTAGCAACATTATCTACTAGTGCATGAGTCCGAAATGACAGCGAATATGCACATTCCCTCTGAATCCTTCCGACTACCGTAATCCTGATCGTCGCAGACCAGCTGCGCTCGCTGACATCAGCTGCAGATGATGTCGACCCGGGATAACGAAGGGTCAAGAAATATGGCTGTCACGCTGCAATGGCTTTACAGAGTGATAAATGCCAATGGAGGTTGCAAGAATACATGAAACGAGAGGAAATGAACTGGGGGAGGTCCGCGGAATAGTCAGCTCCTTGAACGACATCACTAGCGACTTCGAGGTTAAGGTGATCTCCTCAAAGCCAAAGGAGAGTGATATCTTCCTTGACAAGGACAAGGGACTCGTGCTATAGGCGAAAATGGTGCAGCATCATGGAAAGACAGAGAAAGTCTGGCTTGGCTTACCCTTCGGCCCGATGATGCCCTCTTTCCGGCAACAATAAATAAAAACCGCCAACAGCAGCTTTCGAAAGGTCCAGAAAGTTCCCTTCTCATCACAGAATAAGAATTTGACCGGATTTTCCTTATTATCGTACACAGTACTATGCCTCCCGGGTTTGAAATCGAGCGCAATGATTTTGTCATAGTCGAATATGATCACGACACCAAGGCTCCTGGACGAAGTGCCATACTTTGCGACCTGGCATCCAATGATCTGTGCGTTGCGCATAAGCAACGGATCGATACTCGCCCTTTTGGCATCGAGAACACGCTTCATATCGGCGCGATTCTCCGCGAGAATAGATCCCCAATGCTCATAATGCAACATAAACCTATTTGAAAAGGTCAACTTGGTCGGAAACAAGATGGTATTCATAGAACTTACGTATTCTTGTACTCTAATTTGAGCAAATCAGACATGTCTTCGAGCATCACTGTGAGGGACTCGGAGGAGCGTAGTTTCCAGAGCATATCTGGTCGAGAACGTTCATCGATAGTATGTTGAGAGAGGCAGTAATGAGCTTTGTTTTTCTTGCGGAGAACTGCCTGTCATGATTAGATTTATCCCATGGATGAGATAGAGTGCCGACGCTCTTTCGACATCAGCCTCCGCAGAAAGGACATGGGCCTCCTCCACGACTACTGGTGGTATACTTGTCTCTTTGAGAGTGGACACAAGTAACAGGAGAAACGAGGCACTCTTTGAGCTCCTCAGGAGAACGGGAGGAAAACGTCGGGAAGGCGAGTGTTCTTAGTTGTGTCTGAGCTATACCCGGTTGATTTCCGGACACCGTCCTTCGACTTCGACGTGAGTCAGGCTAGGGAGGCGACCATTGACGAAATCTAGGGCGGGTATCATTGAGAAGAAGCCTGTGTGGATGATTAATGTGTTGGACTAGGTCTTGCTATGCAGCCTTTTGTAGCTCGAGCTTCACGGTTGAGTTTTAAAATTGATGTCGATTCTCGTGGCCGAGTCGTCAAAGGATCAATGATTTATCGCCGATGAATGCATCCTCAATCTAAATTCATAGCGGTTGCAACGCGCCGCCATGCTATCTGAGGCGAAGCCCAAAACCGAAGAAGCGAGTCATTTACCATGGATAGTGGTTGGTATCCACTTCTTGCGTCGTCGACCTGGACTGTGGAGAATCATCGAAGATGAGAATACCTTCGGACATCGAGGAGTAGTATACGCTGTTAGTGAGGTAAGTATCAACCCACGATGTGCCTTTCAGCGGGTGCCAGAAAGTCCCTTGGCCTTCCCTTCCGACTCGACTTCAACTTTGCGGGGTGCTGCTTTGATCACATTGCTGCCATGGTTGTTTGATATATCGCAGCGATAGTTACGCAGTACTAATACACATGTGAACTCGCACGACTTAACTTTGGTGCTGCCAAGAAGAAACTGAGGAAGAACGGAGTGTGGTAAAATCTGGCAAAATGAACTCACACAGTCACAGCGGAGATTGTCGGCCAACCAGTCAAATAAGCTCCGTACTCGTAGGCACGGCCTTCTATATGGCAGGTTCTCTTCGTAGCAGAACCTGACCGCTCGTTGCAAAGTGCTGCAGATAACTTGTATGTAATGGAGAAAGGCTCTGATACTTGCGCCCAGCTGAGACATCCAATCGTGGGGCGATAGCGCAATCACGTGAGCGAGCCCAAAAATCGCCTCACCCCAACTTCTCAGTGTTCCTTTCCGCCATGTCGACCACCACTCAGAACGAACAAACATTCCTCAAATTTGTACGTCTCCGCCCAACGCGAGATGATTTTGCAGGCCCCGACGCCATCTACTTTCCCGGCGCTTGCTACCGGCTATACGCCGTCCAGGTTCCTGACTTTCCTGAGGGCGATAAGTGGTGCCAACACAACAAGGACACTCTGCAACGTCAAAAGACGAACGGCTTGTACACTTTATGCCTCGTTGATCGCATACATCTCCCACCATCCCCATCCTTGACCATCACCCTATCCCAATGCCTGTGCGGCGGAATTTGAGAACACGTTACTCACGTTTGGACCGCCACATCGTCTCCTTCGCTAAAGAACACTCCTTCTACAATCGTCGCCAAGTTTTACGACCCCCTATACTTCCATGACGAGTACGATAACACTGATCCTCTTCGCCTTGCTGCATGGTCTGCTGCGAGCGAAGTGAGAGCATACGAGAAACTCCAATCCCTCCAAGGCGCTTGTATTCCTCAGTGCCTCGGCTTCTATGCGACGACTCTTCCTGAACAGGAGGGAAGGACCGTGTACGTCCTACTGTTGAAGTATGTCACTGGGAAGGACCTGCGGTACCTATGCGAGATGGGTGACAAAAGGGAGAAGATCGTTGCCGATTATCTATGCGAGAAACATTGCAATGCTATATTTTCCACCGTCTTCCGATTAGTTATGGATTTCATCAACCTTGGTGTTACCCATGGCGACTTGGCTCCGCGGAACATTATCATCAAGACCCCAGCTCGTAGAGGGCCTTTTTGCTCCACGGAGTGCTGTCCGTCCCGGCATGAAATCAACGCAGATGATGTTCAGGCGGTGATGGTTGACTTTGAGAGGGCCGTGTTCCATGATCCAAAGGATCAGTCCCTCATTGATTGTTATAGGAAGCGCTTTGTGGATGGTGTACCCAGTGAATACCTTTCTGACTGGTTTCGAAATATGTATGAGTACCCGCAGCCATGATAGTGGGGCAGTCATGGTACCGGGGATAAGTTGTAGTAGTGGTACTGGTTTGACCTTTGGTCGGCCGAGGAGATTTGTGTACATCAACATAACCGAGTATCCGCCGCATGTTCCTGCATTAAATCGTTCATTTAGTATTATAACTCTTGCGTGACAGCGCTTCCGTAGAGCCTACCCAAGAGTATACGACGTGCACTCCCGATCGTCTCATACCGGAAGCCTAAGACCAGGAGATGACCGTAAGTATTGTCCTCTCTTATACAGGGCAACTTGACATACGCTTCGCAGTTGGTAGGGTCAAGGTCACCTTGATAGCCTTGGTCTTGATCTAGACTATACTGTAAGGAAGCTGCAATTTCCGCTGTATGCCAAGAGGTGAACCGTAATAGAAACTAGAGTTCTATCCGACACGAAAATTTATGTCATGGCATTTTTGACGAGCTATGAAGGGACATCAGTCTTTAAGTGCTTCAGTGTCAGTCAGAGACTAGTTAAAAAATTCGATTGGAGCTCTGAAGCATCGTGGTTTTCAAGAAAATAACCTATCATGAATGAACCCTGCTTATAGGACCTCTGGGATGCAGAGGTGGCATTCACAAGACGAGAGAGGCCATCTCGCGACGAGATGAATGCCTTTAAAGTGAGAGCCATGTAGGGTAGTAGAAAACGCTATTGACGGCGTCTGCTCCAACATATACCGGGAAAAAAGGACACAGAACGAACACTTACAGGTGTAATTTGTTACAACGTTTGCATCTCTGCTATCTACCTACCATTGTACAATTAGTCGCGCATATACGGGTCAAACACAAGTAAACTGACCCTTGACTCGTCTGCCCCAGGATGGAGGATTGTGGCAAGGCTACAGTTTCAATCAGAAAACAGGCCGTACAAGAATAGAAGATGATGAACCGTTTATCCACTACATCAGCCGTTAGATACATGCCACGGCCATGCAGGGCAGAGGTAAGGTCGTTCAAGTCGTCTGGCGTACCGAAATAGGGATTTAGCTTCGAGATGTTTTTGTCCGGTAACTTTGAAGTAAATCAGATGAGTCAGACAATCCTTGGATTATGAACCCGTAGTATGCATCTCCGTAGAATAGGCCTCTAATGTTTTTCGGTGATATCCTGATGGCATCAAAGCCCATATCTTGGATAGTCGAAATGTTGTGTTATACCCGGCGTAGAGCCACCACAGAAGCGCTGATTATAACTATCGCAACATCCTCCAAATCTTCATTGAACACGGAAAAGCGATCTATCACCAGCTTGACATCTTTGTTTGAGCACGCTTGGTTGAGAATCGGAAAAACAGGAGAAATGGACTTCGAGATTGCCATTCATCTGCAAAGGCAGAGAAAATGACAGAGACGAGAGAGAACAACCCAGAGATCGCGACATGATGGAGGTAAACTGTCGGAAAGTGCGAGATGATTCTGGCAATCCGGCATCCCGGCATGCTGAGTAAGAGATTGGTAAGAAAATGATTGTACGGAAATTACTAGAATAGTCGTAGTTTAGTATAAATATGAGAAGTCAATGAGCAAACTCTTCACAAGTTTGTAACCCAGAGACCAGAGGTCTCAATAGCATTGTACTAGGCAGTCCAAAATACAACATAAACGAAACAGCAGGAAAGAGTAAAGCGCGTCGCGTCGATTTCGTGTATCAGGCATGTGATCAGCACGTGAAAAATCTGCGCAGTTCCGCGTCTCTCTTCTCTTCGAGTTCCGACGCTACAAAGTTATTTTTCCGCCGTCCCTCCTTTGCACACATTCAGGACGTCGGTATCTCGCAATGCATGCTCCTAGGAGACCTAGAAGGACGTTGAAGGGCCCACATATACCCAGTGATTGCAGGTGTCTTTGTCACGGGAAAATATTGTCCCATGTTACTGTCAGCAGGTTTGTTTTGTTCTTCACTCTTAGTTGAAAGGACGAAGCTCATGGATTCTAGAGGTTCCCACCGGCAGGCATGTCTGCTCTAGTAGGAAGCGTCGAGCGATGAACATCGAGGAACACGCATAAATGCAATTGGCCCTTGCACCCATTCACATGCTCAACAGCGTTCCGATGACGCCATGATGTACTTCTTTCGCTAGCTTTTGCACTGGACTGCATAATATTGTAGTCCGGACAGGAGGCTTACGTGTTGCACAATATTTCGATAATAGCCGTGCTATCTGGGTGGATGTTTGTCAAAAGAGGCGAAAACAAGGGTGATGCTACTTCTTGTACAAATATCTGAAGGTGAGCGAGTCGCACATATATTCTAAAAGCCGCCTTTGACAATGCCGGAAGATATCAGAGGTGCCAATGCCATCTATCACCCAAGCGCTTGCTACGATCTTTATCCTGCCACATTCCCTAGGTTTTCAAGGGCGACAAGTGGTGCCAACAGAATAAGCGCTCTCGGCCGCATCAAATGAAATATTCGCTCTGTACCTCAGTAATCGAATACATGCATGGTTGTCGCTACCGTTGTCCATCGCATCACCCCGGAAACCGCGCGGCGGTCTTTGAAAACGCGTTATCCTGGACAGTTGCCGCCTCGTTTTTTATACTGAAGAAAGTTCCTATCACTGTCGTTGCCAAATTTATGGCCTTCTATATTTCCTTGATCCCGATGGTACACACATCACCGACCCCCTTCGCTTCGCTGCTGGGTCTGCCACCGTCTTGCGGTTGGCGATGAATTACTTCACTGTTGACATCATTCAGCACGATTTAGCCCCAAGGAACATCATAGTTTGACTTCCATCCTGTCGAGGAACCCTTTGGTTATGCCTAGCATTGTCCGGTGCATCTCGAAATCGACACTGATGATGTACCAGCAATGATGGTCAACTTGGAGGTGTCCAGCTTGATCCGCCTGACTAGTGCTTGCCAGTTGAACTTTTTAAATCAAAGTTCATCCCTAGCATACTCAGCAAGCATTTCTAATGCTGGTCCAGGGTCCTTTGTCGTTATCCATAACGTTCTATTTCTCGGATTTCGAGGCATCTGCGTGGAATCGAACATGTTCTTAGCTTCAGTATCCTCTTTACCGCCCGGGTAATCTTATCAAGACCTTCAAGTATTTTTTTGGCGTCAGGTTCATTCGATATGCTCTGTCGTTCAATCGATGGCAGCGTATTGAAATTCTTTGGTTGTGGGCGTGTTAACCGGTAATCTGAAGATTTAGAATTTCCTCCGAGTCTCGCACAATAGTCCCTACTGATCCTTCGTACTGACTACATTCCACCGAATACATGAGCCTCCTTCATCAACCACTCCGAATCGTACATATTATTCAATCTCTCCTGACATTTTCCATTGCCGAATCATTCTACGCGCTGCACATTAATATTCGGAGTCAACCGCGGTCCATTGGAATACTTGCTTACCATGTGGGGCAAGGATGCCTTCCTTGCGAAAGGAGTAGATGATGACCGCTAACAAAAGCTGACGAAAGGTCCAGTTGTCATCGTCGCTGCTGCAGAACAGATACTTGACGATGTTGTCGTCATCATCATACACCTTCCCTCCGGGCTTGAAATCCAGAACGACCATACCTATCATAATCGAAAACGGCGACTACGCCACTGCTCGACGTGCTGCAACCATACTTGGTCGCTTGCCGACCGATGGGGTACCGCGTTGTGCTCGAGAAGAGTCAAGGACTCCTGCTGATTGACGAGCCTTCGTTTATCCTGGACCCGAGTTCGTGAATATGGGATCCCAGTCGGTCCCCCGCAACATCCGACTGGTTGGGAAGATAATAAATGAGCCGGAGTCTCAGATAGAACGATTTACACTTACGCGTTCTTGTACTTCAATTGGAGGAGGTCACGGTCGGGCGAGAACTGCCAGACAAGGTCTGGACGATCGCTATTCCACGGCGGACTGCGACATGTTAGGCTTCCTGCTCCGATGCCCTTTTCGTCGAGCACCTTCTCGATGATGAGGTTAACGTCGTGTATGAGGTACAGCGAAGAGGCTCCCCTGACATCGCCTTCGTTGGCGAGAAGACGACATCCCTCTATCGTCATCGGTACGAGAAGTAATTTCGCGAGAACTCGTTGAAGAAGAGGGGATTCATAGCACGATTTGAGATCACTACTGAATGTCTCGAAAACCTTTGGAAGTTTGGTAGCTGCGGTCGATGCATCGCCGTCTTCGACTAGACGGTACCCCCCGGGTACGTCTATTCGCGGGAGATTTGGAAGTTGTTGCTTGGTGAGGTCGATAGCGCGTATCATCTCGATGGTGGGAGCCAAGGAACCGTGGGGAGTACGGTGCAGATGACTATTAGTATTTACACGACTGATGGTCGTACCACGTGTTCGATCCAGCGCCATTTTTGAGATCCTAGTAATGGTAGCTATCATCGTATCGGATGATTGTCGATAATCGCACCTCAGAGTTCATTTACTGACCACACTACTTGACATGGAACAGTTACTTTACTTTATATAACAGCTTCTTAGTGACTGGATCTCAATTAAAGTCTAAATGAAGTTTCCAATCGTGACCCTATCGCATCGTATCTTTGAACACTTCGCGGGTCGATGCCTAGCAAGGCAAACCGGTCAAAGAAGTGCCATGGCCCAGGAACAACGTAGCGGAAGAATAGTCTCATCTTGTCATTACACGGCACGGCACTTTCGCATCACTGTTTGGTCCGTTCCAAGTGAAATGAAAGCATACAAGATGTTGGATGCGTTCTGGGTAGTCACATCCCCTAGGACCTTGGTCTATACGCAACACCTCTTCATGCTTAGGGACTTACACCCTAGTACTGGAGTCTGTCTCCGCCAAGGACATGCGAGATGCCTATGATAAGAAAGATAAAGCTAAACTCAGTGATTACCTTTGCGAGAAGCATCGTAATGCTATATTCACTACTATCTTTCATCTGGTTGTGGAGTTTTCCGAATATGATGTCTTGCCCATCGATGTGGCCCCAAGGAACATTGTGGTCATTCGACCTCGGGGCGCGTCTGACGAGTCTGGCTCGCTCCACTTCGACGCAGACGACATTGTAGTAGTTATAATTGACTTTCAGAGAGTTCAACTTGCCGAAGAGGATAATGAAGAAATATTGACTCCACCGGGGGCTCTTTACGAGGGCCGTGTCCAACGACTATCTTTCCTTGTCTTCGCGGAGCTTGTCTGAGTATCCAGCAGCCAGGTTTCGGCGGAGATACTTTGATAACTTTATTGATAATAATTACCATATACATAGAATTATGCAGGTTCTTCGTTCGTTGATACGATTCTAGCGATCTATATGGCCTGATAGTCATGATTCTGAAGTCTTGACTCCAGTCCGTTTGACTAATCCTTCCGACTTCGCGCCCCCTCTTGGATTAGGTTCGCCTGCGAAGAGGCTTGCCATGTGACGCTATCACTCTACAATCTTTACCCTTCTCACACTCGAGCGAATATGTGTCTTTGAAGAGGGAACCCAGTAACCGGGAAGCGTTTTACAATGTTTCTGGAAAAGACACTTTGGAAGTTGAGCCTGAGAGTCTCGTCAACTTCCGCTCGATGCTCTCAACTTTGAGGCTCCGTCTTCTCCTAACCACACCCTCTGCATCCTCTCCCTCATCTTCCACCATGACGACTCCCAGTTTCTCTGCGCGTGGGTGCTCGTGGAACATGTCAACAGCCGATGATTCCAACAACAGCTCAGGTCGTGCAGGATCTACAAATCGCTCGGCGATACTCGCCAATGGGTTAGTAAGGCGCAGCTGAACGAGTTCAATAGTCGTAACTCTGTGCTCCTTCCCGCTGTTCTTTGTGACTACGATCTCCCGGGAAGACAGAAAGACAGAGGATGCGGTTATTACGAGTGCAAGAAGGGCGTAGGTGTAGAGGATGGCCAGTACGGTTGAGAGAGGCGCCAAAGGATACCTGCTGGCGCTCATCAGGAGAATAGAATTGCCGCCGGTGCTGACGTCGCGTTCAAAGAGAGGCGACGCGAGGCCCATTGCGGCGTAAGACATATTTCGCGAGAGAACCGTATTGAATGTCTCTGTAGGAAGGGTGAAGGAAGTCTTGAAGGCGCTTTGTAGATAGTCTACCAGGTCTGCCTGATAGGCGGAGTCAAGAGCTGCAAAGAGAGCAGATGTGGTGTTGAAGTTCGACATGACCGGCTTGTCCACAAATGCATACCTGTTGTTTCCGTCGAGGGTACTATAGGAAATCGAAACGTTGTACGCAGTCATATTGCATGTACTCATGTACCAATATGAATCCGATTGTCCTAACAAGGATCTCTGATACCACCCAGGTGTATCGTCTGCGGGAAAGGCGATATTGTCGGTATCGTCATACCAATAGAAGATGACACGTGCTCCGTATGGGTTCAAGACAGAGTCGAGAGGGTATCCGCCATCTGACGACAAAGCGTTGTTTGTCAAATTGAGCATATCAATGTGGCTAGTGGCTGAACCGTCAACGAGGCTGCTAATGTTGTATGGAGGATTGAAAGAAGGGCAGTAGAGTATTGGGACAGGGTCGTATTGCATAGGATCAACTAAACAGTCGACCACGGGCTGACATTGAGCGACGAGTCCGAAAGAATTGAATGTGAGATTGTCGACGTTGTCAGGCATGGTGCTGGGCACAAGGATCGCTACGTCGTCGATCATGACAGTCCTTGATGTGGAACTACTGTTCCCAACGACAGCAAGTCCCTCATTGATCATACCCACATCACCCCATCGGTTGACAGGGTTTGAGGCGGATTGAGTAGCAAAGTGCGCACAGTTGCTGTAATTTTGACCAGCCGTCGACAAGCTCATACGGCGTATGGACACCGTAGGACCCGGACACGCAGTGAGGTTGAGTTTTGTGCCCATGGCAGGCATCGATTCTGCGGCAATCTCGGTTATGGAGGTGTGTAGGAAGGTACTTGCGGTAGTGTGCAGCCATAAGTCCGCGGCACTACAAGGTAATCAGTATTTCATTACTTCATTGGTCTTGGCAAACGTACGAGAGAAGGTGATTCAAAACAATGACTAGAATGAGGATAATCAATGCGAAAATCAAGCTAGGGGGGGCTGTTGATCGTCTTTCACGCCCACGCTTGAGGTACCGCACTGTCTCGTATGCGCTAAAAAGGTTCGCCGATCCACATAATTTGACAAGCAGTCCGTACTGTACTGCCGTTGGCATAGAACTTGCGTGCTCTTTTTCTTGTGCAAGGATCCACATTGAGGCTAGGCGATAACCCAGCAAACCTAGAAGAAATGGTAGGGTGAGAGCTACCAGTTGGGCCTAAAGGAGGTTTATTAGTATTTGACAGGATGAACGAAGAAATAAACGTACAGACAGAGATGACATAGCCAAACCGTACATTGTCGTATCAAGTTTCAAAGAACCATCGTCGAGCCTTTGAGGCACTGTTGTTCCCTCTATTGCAACAACGGCATCTAGAAAGTACGGATCTTCACGGGGTATGTGGGATTCTACGCGGCGGGATAGAAGCCATACCAATAGTGAGGATGCAAGACCGGCACTGGCAACGAAAATAAGGATGCCCGGGATGATGACAGCGATCGATATTCTTCTTCTACCGCCATAAGAGACGCGAGTTTGAAGTTTGGAGCTATCATGATCATCTAGGAGGCTAACGCCTAAGGAGTCGACGGAAGATACGGGAGCGATGCTGAGGGGAGAGTAATGGGATGGAGTCATCGTGTTGTCAGATGCTCAGGTAGAGAAGCTTGAAAATCGGAACCCATGCAGTGTTGTGATGTTTTTCCCTGAAAGATGACTATCAGCAGTGCATCGGTGACGTTAGTCTTGAAAAAAAAAACCATCATAAGGCTGCCGTACTGTTGTCAGTGCCAAGCCGTGCTTCTAAGAATACACGATACTGACCCAGGATTACGAGATTGCAAAAGAACCGCTTAGGAATGTAAGCACGTAGACGATAGTGACCACCAGAGGAACGTCTGGCGCAGGCACTGAAACCTAAAATTTGAGACAATTTGGGTTGCGTTCCTGTTCAAGTGCGTTATTGGGGATTAAGTAAATGGCCTAGTTTCGTTGAGCTTTCCTCGAGACGGTATCAGATCTGGAATCAAGTTTGCGGGATACCATCATCAAGTGGCAATGCCCTGATTCGAGGACACTATTGAATGCAAAGCGCCGGTTTGTCAGGGAGGGACAACAGAGTATCAACCGGGTTAAATCGTCTTAGCTTACTAGTTAGCTAGAAGAGACGGAGGCGATGACGTCCATGTGAGTGTTCCGTGTAACAAATGTACTTTTTGAGACGATACTGAATGGCTTGCTCGTTGCGGCGAAGACCAGACGGATAGAGTTGTTCGGAACGTAGGAATGTAGGAATGTAGGAATGGCATAGCAGAAGCTGAAACCGCGTGTTTGGGTGTGAAAGTCAGAAACGTCGAAACGATTGTACACCGCCTTTCCGAGACCTTGTATGTTTATCGAAGATATTGAAATCAAAGAAATCCAGGTTGAACGCTGACAACGCGGGTGACGATCATTTCCTAGCGACTTCGAGTACAGTATCAGTCAAGATTCATTCTGGTAACAAAGAAACGTATATTTTCTGATTTGATTAGAAGTGTCATAAAATACTGCGACCACATCATGGAATTCCGGCATGGTGAGGACCCTTGTTGTCGTGAAACTTTGACACGTGCCGTAGTTTCCGCGATACTTCTCCACTCTCCTGGACCCGTCGCGAGACTGTTGTCCGCGGCTCAATTCCTAAGTCATTGAATTTCCTTTCTCGTCGTCTCTCCCTTGTATAAAGTTGAGAGACCGGTATTTCGCAACGTATCCTCCTTGGAGATTAAGAAGGACGTAAACAGGGACCACATATAGCCTGTGTTTGCAGGTCCCATCGCTGGATTGTTGTCTGTCCAGGTACTGTTTTGTTCTACAACGCTGTTGAAAGGACGGTATTCGCAATATTCATGAGGTGCCTTGTTGGCCAAGACTGGCGAGCGGTAGTGACGAAGAAGGTACTTGCGGTAGTGTACAAGTCGTAAGTCTGCGGCACTACAAGGATAATCAGTATTTCCATCGCTTCATCTATCCATGTAAACGTACGAGAAAGGTGGATCGAAACTAGAACGAGGATAATCAAAGCGAAAATCAAGCTAGGGGGGGGGGGGCTTGTGATCTTCTTTCACGCCCACGCTTGAGGTACCGCACTAGTCTCGTATGCGCTAAAAAGGTTCAGCTGACCCACACGATGACCGGCTCGTTGCAACGAAGTCTGGATGGGTAAGTTGACTATATTCGCAATGTAAGAATGACATCGATAACGCCGATTTAAACAGCATATATGAGCGTGCAAGTGGTAGCCTATCGAAGCAAGGTCGCAGGGGTGATATTTGCTTCCTTACGATCTTGAATGTCAGTCAAGAATCGGTTCAGTAAAAATAAGCGTACCATCATTGTTGTACTTGCTGGCATTGGCGGAAATGTCGTGACCATGTCATGAAATCCCGTAGGACCCTCGTTGTCCCGGGACTTCGACAAGAACCGGCTGCGCCGGCTTGTATCCGCAAAAATTCTCCTCTCTCATTGACCGCTACCCAAGACCTCGTTTCCGACGGCAAATTTCCTGCCAGAGAGAGCCACTGTTGACGCGAAGATTCTGAGGCCACTGCGTTATGCAGTGCTCGGTCCCTATGAGAAACGGAAAGATAAAGTGTCTACGGTCATTCTCTGGAGAGTTTTGAGTATATATCGAGATACCGCCAAATAGAAACATACCCAAAAAAGCGCGTATACTCAGCTTTGACACGTCGGTGTAAGCCTGCTTACAGTTGGCGACATTGACCCCCCTGGAAATCTTCTGCAGCTGCTGCATCCTGAAGGATGACGTTCTGGATCAGTGCCTTCGGTATGATGTCCATGCTGTCCACCGTCATTCCTATTAAATGTGACCCTGAGTGTAGAGAAATGTCTACAGCCGCTATTTTATCGACTAGTGGGGTGAGGGCTGACGCATCCGCGCAGCAGGTCCGATTCCTATACCATTTTTTCGTATTCCGTTGTTTATGTCTGCAATAAACATCATATCATATAATAGCCGGCCTATATAAATACACCCCAAGTATCCAGACTGTGCATGTAATATCTATAACACATTTTTTAGAACAGAAAAAAGGGACAAGTGAGCAAACCTACTCCAGGAGAACTTGACACCATACTTGTTGCGCAGACGGGCTTTCCCATGTAGTAGTTCCGCATGAAGACGAGAACATATATACTAAAAATGGGCGACCGCACACATTGAATTTGTCGACACTCAGACACACAGTATTGATGTGAGGGAAATGTCCTTCGGGCACCGGTCTACCAACACGCTTCTGAAACATTTCGAATGCTGCATCTAAAGTAGCATGACGGTCTTCAGGCAGTGTCTCCGAAAGAAGTAGCGCAGCATTAAAGAGTGCCGCGCACTTGCGACCAAGGAGCAAAGCGCAAAACCAAACCAACTAAATGGCATAGTCAGCAAAGAGTGCAAAGAAGATGACATGTGACAAACGTTCTAAAAGAATTGTGAAAATCGATCGCTCGAGGGTTGAGTTATATGATGTCCTCTTCTGGACTTCCGAGTCTTGACTCGTCTAGAGACTCTGTGTCAAAGTCGTCCTCAGAAAGATTGGCGAGGCCGGATTTGAGGCTTGACGACTCGCGTCAAAACCTGCAGTTCCTCTACAGTCCGAATAGGTGTCATGGTTGGACCAGACAAGCACTGTGCAGGATAACTAGTAGATGCTAAAGACCTGTACAACAGCCAGTCAACATCCGCTGTATATGTCTTGATTAATTAGAGCCGAATAGACCTCGAATAGAGCCACAGCGAAAGTGGTGTTTCCCAGCCATCCAAATTCCCAGAGGGTAGAGGTAGATGTGGCATGGATGACGAAGCCCGAATAAGCTGGAACAACGAGTCAGGCAGGGCCAACAACGCCGGATAAGACGAGATAGAAGGCCCAGTAGCGAAAGTAGTGCTGAAGGGCGACCTCTGAGATATCATGGGCCATTCTAAGGCGGTAGAGAGGTCATGGAGGGTCGTAAGAAACGAACGAAATGGTTGGAAGGGCCAGGTCTATAAATCCATGAATCGGACCCATTATGATCTTTTCCTGTCTTGTCTCGCGTCATGTCGAGTAGTCGTCTTGCAATGGATGTCTTTCCAGGGCAATACCGTTGTTAAGCCATACTCTGTTATGTGGATCCACATACCGCGCAGTTAAGTGCCGCGAGCCATAGTACACAATATCTGCTAACTGATACTTCGTCACGTTTCCGGCAATAGGAATCCAGTGTGGGGAGGAAGGCAAAGACTGAGGGGAGACGGCGAAGAGAGAGAATGCGAAGGGGGAAAGGGAGAAAGAGAGGGAGGTAAAGGGCAGGTTATGGAAGTTACCCGTTACTGATTAGTTACACCGGACATGAAGCTTGAAGGTAAGGAAGAGAAGAAAACATGTCATGGTGTCGACCAATGTCAGAGTAGCGATTGTCAAAGCCCGGGCTTTTGTATACAGAAATAAATAGCATTGTTGTGGCTGGAACGAAGGCGACGAAATGAGAAATGAAAAGTTGCTAGTCATTTGAATCATTTCATGGGGTTTCGCGTGACAAGAAACAGGTATATGGTATGTAAATGCTACAAGAAAAATATAAGAAATAGATGCAGTGAGGGAAAAGTACGACATACCAAGTTCTATCGGCCTGACACAAAAGCCACAGCCTCCTCCTTGATGACCCTTCCCCCTTCTCCAAAGTGTCCCTTGCAGTAGGAAAGGCCTAAGTCGTATCACTCGTATCGCAGGTATCGGTAGTTGAGGCTTTGCGATGGTTGCAACGAGTATGGCATTGATGGTGGTAGAAGTAAGAGTGACCTCAGCAGCGTCCGGTACGCCAATTTGGGAATTCATACGGCCAAATTAGTCCTTAATGATGACAGTCGGAGAGGGAAGACAAAATGGAAAGTGTCACCATGAATGAAGCATGCAGGACAGGCGCACGGAATGGTATGGAGGGGAGAAAAAAGTGACGACAAGACCGAAGCGGAAAAGAACGGCAAAAGGACACGGATGAAAGCGGGGTCGGATAGAAAGGTTCCCACGGTAAGCTCAGGTAGGAAGGAAGGAAGGGTTGAAGACATGATTGGCGCAATTGAGCGGTATCCGGAGGGATCAGTACAGTGGGACGGATTCTATAATGCGAACATGTCATGCACAAAATGTGCGGTCGGTTCCAAGAGGTCTTTATTTTCAATCAGTCGATGAAGAAGGATTCACGATCCCGTCAGAGCAGGATAGGTGATCCGGATGATATTGAGAAAGGACGTTCGGCGCTCCCCACACGCGTCATGGGGGCACATGAATAGGACATGAATAACATCCTCAATGTCATCATGACACATTCTGCAGAGTCGCCACTAGTGAGCAAGGCCAACCCATTTACCTCTTTCGATGGCGAGATCATGTGTGCCGGTAAGGGCCCGTGTGAAGGCGATCTTATGGGAAGGTATGCGTATATTCAGGTAAGAGCGGAAGGTCGCTGGGACGGCCTTGGTGTGCCGGTAGCGAGTCGCGAGGAGGGCAGATGTAGGGGAACCTGTTATGAAGTCCACGATCTCATCTTTCCACATAGCATCTACCGATGTCATGATCTCATTGACTCGTTCCGGAGAGCACAAACCATCGATATCCACTGAGATAGGCCGGTACAAGCTTTGTAGCACGGCAGCGATATCCCCTAGCCAATTCGACTTATTCCGGTAACATAGAGCTTTGCACGCATCAATCCCAAGGGGAGCGAGCTTCGAGGTGGTCTGGCGTTCCGCAAGCAGCCTCAGCAGATAATATATCGAAGGGCGAGAATCACTCTGCGATATCGTATTGGCGTGAATCCGGATTCTGAGAACAAGACCGCAGTCAGGGAAATCGGCAAAGTCCGTTAAGGTTTGATACCTCGAATAGAATTGAGTCCCACGGATAATTCCCCCTGCATAATAACCGAGAATCCTATATACATAGGACTCGGAACACGGTGCACGGTGTACATTCGACTGGTACTAGAGAATGGCCTCCTGACGCGCCTCCTTTACAACAATCTGAAACAGGGAGTTTTAGCGGCAGCCTTACTGCAGCATGAGGAAAAAGATAGCCCACGGTCGTTGCAGGGAGAGAGGATCGACATTCGATTTGAAATTAGGCTAGCCGCGTTTTGCCCCTTTCTTCCTCTCCCTCATCTCGACATGGCTGACGAATTTTTAAATTCGATTCAGTTCGGTGGATATCATGCAGAATTCCAGAATCACAATACCGGCGGTGCAGGAGAAAAGCCGAGAGACGGTCAGCTAGCCAACCACACTCATGTTCTTCTCTAACAGAAATTCGCGCATTAGCCTTTCGGATACCGATATATACGTTCGGAATGGGATTCATTCGAGGTCCTCCGACTCAGTTTGTACCGGGATATCAAGCAGAGGACCTGGAACGTGCCCAACTTTCTCTGAACTTTGGGAAACAAGTATGTGGCTAGTCTCTTGCTTTCATTCTTTGACTTCATATCGAAACAGGAAATGTTCTTTAAAGCAAAATTTGACGCCGACGACATTCCTGGCAAGTCTCAGGTGCATCTGTTGACTGCCACTGCTTGACGCTCTGCATTTTCAAGGGCTACTCTGCTCCAGCAAACTCTGTGACATCGAAAAGGTCATATACAATAATGATCAGCGCAGCGGAGATTTCAAGCACGTAACTTTGACCATCACATTCTCTAGGCCTCCTCAAATCAAAGCCGATTGGAAGTTCCTGTATCCTCGCGACGAGCCGTTACCACCAGGAGTTCACATTCGGCGGGCTACTGAGGATGATTGGAATCTGCACATACCCAAAGATGAACATTGTTGCCAGGCTTTGTCCCCTCTCCCTAGCGGGGACCGGCAGCACGCCCTAATGAAGGTGTTTCTTCCCTTGTTTACATCTGAATGACTCAAGCTGAGGTTCTATCACTAAGTTTGGACACTGGAGGACATTTCGGTTCACTACGGTCTTGGACAAGAGAGCCAGAGACAGCGTTCTTCATACTCTCGACCGTCTACGCACCCTGGAGCGTGGGGAAGAAGCGCGGACAACAGTAGATTTTGACCCTATCGCCGTCAGCCGAACGTCTCCTTCAACTATCAATAGCATCGCGGAATACTTAAGACGCGAATACGAGGAACATCCGAACCCGTTCGAGTGTCAGTATTTGTTTCTTGGTCTCATATCGCATGGCATTCTCTTGCCGCACGTCGATTCTGGTGAGCATCTTGTATCTATTAGGGAGGGAAAGATAGACTCACCAATCTAGTGGCCGGCCTCAAACATTTCGTACACTTCTCGTATAATGTCTCCAGGGTCCTTCGCACTCTTTTTCGGCTAGAGTATCTGCGGCGAATCCCAAATGGAGCAAGCAAGTCAAGTCCGCAGAAGCTGTTCATATCACCCAAGCTGGTCATTTCAATGATGCTGGTTTTCCAACTGATCTCCCCTCCGACCGGATTTTCATGAGACGTGTACATGTTACCCCTACGAGAGTTTTACTCTTTCCAGGCGACCATTGAAACTAGTAACAGGGTCATTCGACGTTGGAAAGAGTTCCAGGACAACTTTTTGCGCGTGAGGTCTGCAATCTGCGGTGAATTTGTCTGATTATCAAATACTAACTTGCTTCACAGTTTTGGTGATGAGGATGGTAAACTTCGTGTTAACGGGCTTCTGCAGCGGAGCGACGACGATGTACGTATAACTACCCCTGCTCGGTAACAACTCGTCCAAACGCCTGACAGAACCCTCGGACTGGAGTTCTAGCACGGATACGAATTGCTCTTGAAGAGGGCATACAAATTGGACCGCGGCGTTACGTGTATGTTGCTTTGCATCTGTCTCGATACGAGCTTCTGATTACGAAAAAAGTTTTCTCGCTGCCGGCGAATCGCAGCTGAAGGAACACTCTTGTTGGATGATTTACGAAGAGCCGGACCGCGGATTCACAGCAGACATAGTCCGACAGCATATGGGGGACTTTGGACATATTCGTGTCGGTGGGTTCAAACATGAAATCGGTGTCGCCCGAATCTAATAAGGAGTCAAGTCGCCAAATATGCTAGCAGGATGGGGCTATGCTTCAGCGCCACAAGAAAGGTTTGCGATATCACATCAGTGGAAGAGGTAGAAGATATCCAGCATGGTGGATAGTAAGTTTTTTTTGGCATTCTTTCGGTGAAATCTCCAATGGTCTTGCAGTAACTATACGGACGGCGTTGGAAACTGCAGTGCCGAACTCGCCGACCAATGCGCTAAAGCTCTGGGGAATACGGCGTCTCCGTCCGCCGTTCAAATACGGATGGGAGGGTAAGTCGTGCGAATTGTTATAGTGCTCTTCGTCATCCTAAGATCCATTAACACGTAGGTACAAAGGTGTCCTATCTGTCCTTCCTCATCTTCAACCCAATCACATATGCATGCGACCCTCTATGCGAAAATTTGCCAGTGACAGCATTGAATTGGGGGTCATGAAGGTTAGCTATGTCTTTCACTTAACGATCCACCTTTTAGCTTATATCACTAGATATCAACGCACTCACATGCTCACCTTAATCGTCAAGCGATATCACTTCTCTCTCACCTGGGTGTTCCGGACGAAGTATTTGCCCGTATGATGAAAGCTCAGATTGACAATATCAGGAACATCGAGAGGCACATCCATCGTTTGGATGATTCTAAACACGAGGCAAGGAAACTATATAAGTCCTCGGAGCTGCCGATCTTGCAGATGCTCAAGGCAGGGTTCGCGAGAGAGCATCTGTTGAGAAACGTGCTGAAGTGCATTGAGTGTCAGTTGTTGCAGGATTTGAAGTACCGGGCTGTGAGTATATCCTTGCTGTCATATGACTTATCAGCCGGACTTACAGGCTATAGCGCATCCAAGTGAATGACGGGGCATTTTTGATGGGTGTGCAATGCTTCCTTTTCTCATGACCGTTACGGGTACTCATCATTTTCGCAAGGTATCGCCGACGGACATCGGTATGACTCGTTTCCTCATCTCATTGGGTGGCATTCTTTGACGTACGCTGGTAAGAGTCCTGAAACCTGGAGAAATCTATTGCGCGGTACATCCTCCTGGAGGTAAACGGCGTGTTGTCACCGGCCAATGCACAATTTTCCGTAATCCGTGTTTGCATCCAGGTCCGTGATTCTTCTTGTACTTCCTGGGTGTTACTAAATTTTTCTCAGGTGACATTCAGTTGGCAACAGCTGTCGATCATGAGATATTTTCATCGGAGCTCTGGCAGGGTCGCCCACCTACAAACGTCGTCGTCTTCTCTACGCAACCAGGAGAAAGGAATTTACCAAACAAGTTAGTATCGGTATCTTGCTATATTACGTCAACTCATCACGGGCAGGCTTTCTGGAGGTGACCTGGACGGTGCGTCTTTCATTTCACTTGACAACGTGTACCTCATAATCTAGTAGGAGACTTCTTCACTGTACTATGGGATCCGGAACTTCAGTGAGGCGTTGAAGACCCCCTGTTACGTGTAACGTTGCTCATGACTTCCCCAGAATTGAAGATCCCGAAGAACCGATGGATTACACTCCTGTGGACCCGATAGAGATCCCGGAAGAGCAGGAGAGCGTCGATGTAGAGGACATCTGCGAATTCTTTGTCGGTTCGTGCATTTTTGCCTCTGAATATTCTTTGCGACAGATGCCGATCACCTTCGTCCAGAATTCATGAAATCTGATGTCCTTGGCTTGGTTTCGCACATTCATGAGGCAAAATCCGATGAGCTCGACCCGTCTCATCCTCACTGTTTGGAGCTAGCACAGCTAGCCTCGAACGCAGGTTGATTTCACAAAGACAGGTGTACCCGTGAAGATACCTCTGCATCTTCAAAACAGCATAGCTCCAGATTTTCAACGCGAGGACGGATACATATCTCCCAAAGTCTTGGGGCAACTCTTCAGGCTCATCGAGCCTCCTCCAGAATACAGCCCTATTTCGTAAGTTCCAGTGCTTGGATCCTGAGTGTATTCTGAATGGTCGCAGTGGATCACAACACACGGACATCCGGCTCAGAATTCAGAATGTGTCCGCTCTATATCTTCAGAATGCAGGGAAAGCAAAACATGCCTATGATATTGAACTAGAGGGCCTCATGCGAAGGTAAGTGCTCTGCTATCGCACAAGATGACTCCAGGGACATCGTACGACCAGGCATTCTATGTGTGAAGCAGAACTATGGGCTGGCGTCTCAATCAATGGTGATCGGAAGAAGAGGCGTGAAAGGGATTCTGCCGTCCGCGTAAGAGGCCGCAATGCATTTTTTTTCGACTTCTTTTCACCGTTCTGTCATCTTTAGGGACCCGTCAAAGAGGTTATGGAAGCCCTACGGCGTACGTACCGCAATCACTGCGCGGCGACTTGTCAAGGCTCAGCGACGGCGATGAGATCCAAGGATATGAAGAAGTGGGCTATCGCTGCATATCAAGTGACGCACGAATCAGAACGAACTGCGCAGTATGTCAATGTACACAATGAGAGCAGGAGGGGGAGCACACCTGGTAGTATGTATGCCGATGAAGGGTTGGTTGAGGAGCCAGAGGAGGTCCCTCGGAGACTATTGATTTCGTTCCCGTGGATATGGGCCCTAGAGGTATGTGTATCGTTTCGGATACGCATTGGACCGTTCGCTGAGTGAGTACTGTAGCTGTGCCATGCTGTTACGGATGATATTATTAAGGAAGAGGAGGAGGAGGAAGATGACGCGGCGCTGTTGCGAGGTCAGGTGGAGGATGTCTGATTGTGTGTATCATTTTGTGTAATTCTTAAAGTAGCCAGCTGTATTCTTAGTAACCAGAATTTGAACTTTACATACTTAGACAACTTTGTTGGCCTCAATTAGCTCTCTTTGACGGACAGAAACTACTATCCTCCGGAGAAGCGCAAGACGGTATCATTTGGCCCTCTATCAACTGCTTGGCCATCCACTACACCTATGTCCTTAGCAGTGTCTCCACACCAAGTCCTCCAGCTTTTGCTGCATCAGTGTGCCGTGCACCATGAGCAAGTGTGGGCAACAAATGACAGCATGAGCATACCTTGTCATCCTGGCTGGGTTCCTTAACCCCATACTGAGCGTCATGACGGTCCTCCTCGACCTCGCGCCAGCCTTCCTCGACCTTGCGACTGTCCTCTTCAACCATACGCCAGCCTTCCTCTACTTCATGCCAGCCATCCTCCGCCTCATGTCTATGCCCCTCGATCTCGCGCCTGTCTGCCTCGACCTTGCGCCTGTCTTCCTCGACCTTGCGCCTGTCTTCCTCGACCTCACACCTGTCTTCCTCGACCTTGCGCCTGTCTTCCTCGACCTCACGCCTGCCTTCCTCAACCTCGCGCCTGCCTTCCTCGACCCTCGCGACTGCCTTCGCGACTGCGTTCTTCAACCTCGCGACTGCGTTCTTCAACCTCACGGCTCCGCTCTTCTACTCGGCGACTGCATTCTTCAACCTCGCGACTCTGCTCCTCGACTTCACGTCTGCGTTTGTCTTTTTTTCTCTTTCATGGACTGCAAAGTGGCACGGATGCCTGCAGAGAGGGTCTTGCAGGCGGCTAACATGTGTTGTACTGGAGGCTGTCCGAGATTTTCGTCCTTCATCGCCTTGATGTCTGCCTCGAGCACAGACTCAAAAAGAGTGATGATGTCCTTGTCAACACCACCCTGACCCATGTCTCGAATGATATCCTTCATGATGACACTGAGAGTCACGGTGTCAGCGGGTGGCAACGGGATTAATGAGCAGTCATCATCAACAAAGCGAACAGAGCCAACCATTCCCCGCAGGGAGTATAGTGGCCCTTGTTCGATTTTGAGGGCATGTCCGGGGTCGCAAAGGCGGACACACGTCTGAAAAAACATGGCAGCCCACCACATACACATGTAGTGGAAGAGCGAATAATTCTTCGCGCAGCAAGTGATGGAATTGACGAGAGCAGCAATGTCGATTACATCTATTATTCGGGGGGGTACGTCGAAGGCCTGAACAAGGAGGTACTTGTCTTCACCACGAATGACACCTTTGAGAGAGGACCCGATCGTAATGTAGTCGGCATTTCCGGTATTTTTGCCTTTGACTTCTCTCATCGAGCGCAAGACTTGCTCTCTTAAAATACCCCTAATCAGCAACGATGTATAGACAAGATTTGATAGTAATACTGACATGGAAGTCTCGGATGAGGTTTCTTGCTTGGAGCGTTCCAAGACCAATACCCTCGAATCTGTGTTTCCTTGATTAACCCTTTCATCATCGCCGGATATTACATGCACTGCGACAAGTTCGTGGGAGATGAGCCCCCGAGCACGATAGTGTTCCACCCGGACAACTTGGCATGATTGCAACGCGCCGAGACGATCACCGTCATCACCGTGGGATGGCACCGTCCCAGCAATAAAGTCAAACCAGCTTTTGATGGACCGGGGGAATGGGTCCGTCTCGATGACCCCGTGAATGTATTTGTTGGGTTCCGCCATATGGACGAAAGGCCTTTGTTTGATGCTCAACAATGCGTCGTGAAGGAAAGAGGTAAGAGAGAAAGGCATCGCGCTGGCAGGTGGTAAAAGAAACTAGTTGGCTTTGTAGTTATTTGACGTGCATAAGCCGATCGACGATCATTGAATGAGGGAGTTTGAGACTCGATGTCACTTTGTGATGCGCATCCACGAATTCAGAGAGAATCAAAGCGCCAGAACCAGAGCCCAAGCCCTAGAGGACCACAATGATAGATCAAAATGCTAAAACGGTGTCACAGACAAATATTTGTTCATTACTGCCTCAAAAATCTTTTCTTATCACAGATCCCGAAACAGGTATAATTCGTGCATCAGCCCGAGCTGAGCAAAAAGGTCCCGGACGAACCAGGGGTCTAATGATGATGTTCCTTTGGACCAAATCATCCTGACGGACACCAAGGTCTCTGAAATCCATTATCAAGTGGAAGAGCATGGCGAATATAGCTTGTCGCAAAGATGAGTCGACGACAATCTCCTCCCCATCTCTATCTTCACATGGGTAGCGTAGATCTTTCCCGGCGATGAGCTCCAATAGGAGGACAAAACTGTCCTTCCATCCGGTTCTAGAATAGGTGCTGCACAGAGACCCAGGCATCGAGAAAGGCAAATTCCCTGAACAGATTGGAGCATCTCGTATGCTTTCGCTTCACTCGCGACGGACCGAGCAGCGAAACGGAGGAGGTCGACAGACTCGTATACATCATGAAGGGATAATGGATCATAGAATTTGGCGACGACGGTTGCGGAACCTGTAGCGGTTCAAACGTGAGTAACGTGTTCTCGAATACCGCCAATCAAGTTTTGAGATAGGGTGATGGATAAGGATGGCGATGGCGGGAGAGGTATCTGCTGACACCACCGGTCACTCTTGGGGATGGCAGGGGGTGCGATAGCATATAGCTGATAACAAGAGCCAGGCGACGTTGAGGTCCAGTGTCATGGTTCCGACATAAGATTGCTGACTGAGTTGGTGGCCTCTTTCGTGCGCCGTTCCCCGACAATCCATCCGGCCGCTGCCCGTACTCGAACTGCCGTTGTCCATCCCATTGCCAAACCAGACCAGCGCGATGCGTTCCCTCTATCTTCGACAACGTCGTCATTGGTCATCATTGGTCCAGTGAGCGAAAGTGTTGGTCACAACCTGCATCTGAGAACTGTTGAATTTGTGAACAGCCAAGGGCCAATATTAACGCACCACCGAGTAGCATACAGTCCTCGCTCGTGGATTCACGACTGTCGCTACAACTTGTAAACATCCCAACATCGTTTCACGGAAAAAGATGACAGGAGAGCTGTTTGCCGGTCCTGGAAGATGGCCCATGAAGGACGGCAAAATTCGCCTTTTCAGCTGTGGTCGTAGCCAAAACGAAGGACCACAAAAGTTGGCTATATGCGATTACAACGGCTAGGTATCGGCCATCCAAATTCACTTCAGGGAACGACGACGACTCGATAATGCGCGACAACACCTAACAGTAATGGATGGATGGCAGTCATGATGATGGTGGTAAAGTAAGGGCATTACCGGATTTAGCCGGCTTCTTAATCGGATGGATCGACCGACGCTCAAAATGGCACTCATCTTCCTATATGACAGGCTTCTGTTTGGCTTCACTGCTGGTGGCAAAAGGTGACTATATGCGCACCAATCGTCGAAGGGAAGATCTCGTGCTCGTCTTCAACGAATGCTGTATACGCTTCTGTAAGTGTTCTCTTTTCTGAAGCGTTAGCTAGTCCTGACGGGGTTACTCGTAGTACTACTTACCCTGGGGGGGATCATATACCCGGCTCTGAGTGCTCTAGAATCTCAACCTGACCCATTCCCAGAATGTCTGATTATATTGGGCAGCCTGAGTGCCACCCAGTGCTTTAGCACCCATGGAACACTGAGGCGTACGTACCGAAACCATACACGCTTATTTGTCAAGGCTTAGCGCACAGCCTAGTAAATCGGCTTTGCGGAATACTCGCGGAGTTCATCACTGTTTTGCGTGTTACTCATATCGAAATTCAAAGTGCCCTCTGGACATCGCAAGCCGACCACTACTTCGGGAACGGAACGACAAAATCTAACGTGTCTGGTAAATTTCCTCGGATGCTCATGGCTTTAGGTATGGCAAGTTCCTCGGTGCAACGTCTGTTCCAGGGCATAATATGGATGTATTTTGGGCCTCCAAGCGCGCTTCATTCTGCAATTCGTTGCCTTTGGGGTACATGGTAGGTTTCCTCTCAGGGAGGCATCATACAGCCACGATGCACCGATGTTTATCGCCGGATAGCTAGCTGTTGGTCTTTGGTGATAAAACACCTTTGTGTGTAAAGGCATCGATCCTTCAGAGTGCACACTTGGTACTGAACGTATTTTTGGCTCAACCGTCAGTTCACTTTGAATAAAAGATGACGTGCTTTATTCTCAGACTAACATCCCCTTGTCTACAGAAGGGATACGCCCCAGAAGATCAACTCCCAAATATCCTGCTTCTCGTACTAGCCTAGGCCCACAAAACGCTATCCAAGCCGTCCATGTGGCTGTTCCAATTCCTTTCGAGGAAAAGTTTTCTTCAGAGTGGACGCTGAAAAGTTCGTACCGGATTCATTTCATCTCCACACTCGCCGGACTTGCAGGTATAGAAGCATATAATGCGGTCAGGGTGAAACAGATCGATGAACGTTACGGCGTACGCTCGTTCATCCTGTAGACGCCGGAGACTCATAATGATTCGATGAACGAACTTATAACGGTGCTGAGCACCCAATAGCAGAGAACGACAGTCCGATTCGGAAGAAAGCTAGCGTAAAGAATTCCCATTATGACCTGTTCAACACCAAATCCTCTGAAAGACTCGAGACGAAATGGTCAATAGGCGTATTCCCGATGCCGAGTGATAGGTTCAGAGAAGTCATCAACTTCTATCTACAGCTGCGGCAATGGCAACTGCGTGTGCGTTTCATTGAATGCTTCTGCAGTCAAATTTTTCGATTGAGGTAAAGTTGGGGGCCTACAATCTATAACACCGTGCACTGAACCATCGTGATTGTCAGGTTTAGTGAAGGGCATACGTCCCTCATAGCAGATAACGGCACTACCTCGGATGTTCTGGGTACCGGGAGAGAGATCAAAGGGCCTCAAGAATCCTGATGTAACTCTGTTTCAGGTAGATACCCCGCCTAAAAACTCTTCCGATAAGTAATGGGAATAGTCGAGAACGAAGGGAGTCGCAGAAAACCACAAAATCCCATCATCGAAGTATGGTGCACCACGCATTCAGAGCTGTGGTATACGATATTCTATCACCAGAAAGAGCTTGGCCAGATTCCAATCCAGGCTTTACTGCCCCATCAGATGTTACAAAGAAGCTGCAAGTGGTTGCTGAGGATCCCAAAGCATGTGTTCTCTATCTTGTGCTTCTATCAATCAGACCCACTGAAAAGAACCGCCCCGCTGTCAATAGAGCAAAATTAATTTTAGTGGGTTCGTACCATGAAGCAGAGACGGAGAAGGAAATGCTCTTTTGAAAGTTGCGGTTGGAAAATCGGGCCGGGTATTACCGGATTCTTTGCGGCCGTGCAGCCTTTTCAACGGTGAACGATTTGTAAGGTAACTGTATACCTCCAGTCTAGAACAGCGAAAATGGTTAAGCGACCAATGGTGCTCCATCGACTTAACCCAAACAAAAACGGTCCGAACCTCGCTTCTCAGGTTCTGATGCATCTGATGATCTGAGCTGCCAGGTGCACACTGCGCTCTGCACTCCAATTCATTCGTGTGATAATCAGAGGTTCTTTCCGCTGATGCTAAGTTTCGGTAGATTATCCAACCATAAGGGCTGTTGCTCTCTGCGACTTCCTTCAATAGAGACTGAAGTTTTCTCTGGATTCGGTCTATATAACCGTTCCGCTCAAATCGATGTGTAACTCTGCACTCTGGTAGCTCCATCCAACAACGAAAATGAGCGAAACTGCCTCTACTTCAGCTCCTGACAATACGGTGAGTTTTCGACATGCTCTGATCGAATTTCAAGCGGTGCTCAGTTGTTCGACACAGATGGGGGCGCTTTTTATATGCACAGTGTACGCGAGTTGTTCCTTCTGAAACCGGGGCATATCTCATTTCATGGTCTATTATCCAGTATTTCGGCGTGGTAGGCATTCCCGTGACCATGGAATATCGCAAAGCCTCACCAAGCTCGGCGCTCCAGTTTTCAAGGACTAACAGTGCTCTGTTCTTGGGAATACTTCGTAGTGAGCGTCTCTTATCGCCCTCCGGCTCAAGCGCATGCTCACTGCAGCAGGATCACACTAAAGATCGGGCGGTCATCAAAGCTCTTGTGAGGATCGATTGTTCAAGTTGTTCCCATTCAATTTTATTGATCTCCCGCAGGTTTCAGTAGTGTGGTAAGTACGGACGTATCAGCATGTTCTCAGTGACTCTAAAATCACCGCGTGTAGTTTTATCGATACGCTCCATCAAGTCTTCATCACGCATGCCCTCTATATGTACTTGGTGAAGGGATTCTCCGATCCGTCAATAATGATGCGACTACTTTGGTGAGCCTTTTCAATACAAAACTATACCGGTATCTCATTTCTGACGTGTGCGCAGGAGCTTCCTATCACAGATTGTCCTCACAGTAAGAATCCGCACATGATCTGATTTTAGACAGCGTTCATTCATCATTTTCTTTTTCTCAAGGCTTTACAAGGGCTTCTTTGCCAGGGGTAGGTGCCTATGTTTCATCTTAGATCATTGCCTCATTCGGTGCCGTTAGCTTTTTTACCTGGCGAGTATGGGTAGGCGCGTATTTGGTTTCTGCGAGTGAAACGTGCGTTTGCTGATCCCGGACTCCAGTGAGCCAGAAGAACAAGCTATTGAGCGCTATAATTGTGAGGATCTTGCAATGTGTATCCCCTGAGCTTTCTATTAACTTGGCGCAGGCAGCCCTGGTCGCTGGCAACTTCGTGGCTACTCTTTGTAAGTGATTTTCTATGGATACATATTTCCGGATCTTAACACTTTCCTTCCAAAGATTATTTTGGCAGAAGGTTTGCTTCTGTTCGAGTTCACGTCTGGCGATACTCATGCAGGATATAGCGTACACTTCAGATCATTAGCAGGAACTCTTGCAGCTGACGGTACTTATCATACATTCATGTTACTTCTTCACCAGTCGCCTGATTCACTGCATAGGACATTGCCAAGCTGCTTGTTATCGGATATAGCACCAACCTCGTATGTTTGCAAGGACACTCATGACGACATCCTAACGCTTCTGCAGCTTATCACGGCTTCCCTCCTTTTCATGCATTTCAGAATGACGGCTCCAGGCGAACAGTAAGCAATATATTGACTTGGTCGAGAGTTGGGTAATCGTGCTAATGTCTACTTACAAAGAACGAATCGTATCGTCGACAAGTTCACATTATGGGTCTTGAATAGCGGCTTGTTGATTAGGTACCTTTCATCGTGTTCAATGTGTCGCAAGTCTAATGTATGACCGTAGCCTTGTCGGGGTGTTTTGTTTTATTACAGAGGTCTGTCGAATATCCCTCATTAATGCTTGCTTTTTGACGTTCATATAGGCTGTTTGGCCCCAATCTCTGATTCCTGCCGCGATGTATACTCTTCTGTGTCGAAGTATGTCTCATTCCCTTTCACAGTCCGTAACTGATTGGGTCCTCAGTGTATAGTGTTTCCGTCCTTGTAAGTCATGATATTGTCGAAATCCAATTCGATTTGATAGACACGGTTCCAGGCTGTCTTGAATTCGAAGAAGCAGATTGGATCTTCGAGTTCGAACATGCAGAGATCGTCTAGTGAGATTTTGTCGAATAGATCTCGTGGGCCTCGCCTTCAAGTCTCCAGGGCAAGTATTTTACTTTTTTTCATACTTCGGTCTATTCATGGATATTTAGCCCGGTGAACTTGCAATTCATGTGGAATGTGATACCCAGATGCAGTACGACAATATGGAATCACCGGCACGTCCACACTCTATCTGCTTTTCTCAGCTCACTTATAATATCTATAGCAGAGTCATAAGGATGGAGAGACGTTCGAGTTGACACCCTATCCCATAAACAAATGAACTTACTTAGCTGTTAGTGTTCTTTCTCCCCTGTGGTATGTGATATCTGATGGGCGTTGAAGAATTTGTACTGACTGTGGGATGAATGTACGATAGGCGTATGACGAGATCTCCTCTATAAATATGGTGCATCCACTTTGTCGACTAAGAACGTCTAAGTGCAGCATCAGAGGATGCGTACTGCTTATCCACGATACCATTACAACTGATATTTGCAATGCTTGGTCGGACCCACGCCCATCTACCTTTTCGTGCCGATTGAAATCGGTCTGCCATCTTTTTTTTTCTCAGGCTGTTTGTTTCCCTTTCACCATCTCGTTGCAAATGTGAGCGACAGATGGTGATAATATCGTGGGTAAGTTGATGGGAAGAAACCCGTACTCAAGAGTTCGACATCATATTCTATCTCCAAACTGAGCATACATTTGTGATCACTATTCTGCTTCCTAACACTGCTGGGAATGACATAAACTAAGACTTGCGAAAGAGATCTATTTCCCTACGCAACCCCTCTTGAATCTAAAATTTGTGCAGCACCCAGAAGTACCGCACAACTTATCATTTTCTTCTGGCTTGATGGAAGTCATTTATTCGTACAGGATTTTGGTTGGTAAAATTATAATATTCTCTAGTTGAATCGATCACGCATTCTCCTCCGTTGTTGTCCTTCGCTGGTTCACAAATCATCAGTCCCGTTCATCTGCAATTCAAGGTATTCTACAGTACATGCAATCTCGTTGAAGATTCCAAGAAAATGTTATGACAATGATAATGATACAACAAAATACGGGTACATACAACATCCAGAGGGTCAAGCACTGTGTCTTCTGAAATCCAAGCTTGTGCGATACAAGCCTTGAATGGATGCCAAAACCTGTCCAACATCTGGCCTTTCCTGCGGATCATCAGCCCAACAGCGCTGAATGAAATCCCACTGCGCGTTGGTGACGAAGGACGGCGCAGGCCGCCGAGGTTTCTTGCCGTTATGCAGCTCGATGATGACCTGGGCGTCCGTGCGGACGTAATGATATGGTATGCGACCTGACAAGATCTACGAATGTCTGAGTTAGACTGATCTTGGGTTGGTACCTCCACTTACTTCTAAGGTGACGCTACCAAAAGAGTATACATCACTCATGGTTGTAAGTGATGGGACCCTATCATCCTCATCGTCTCCCAAAAGTTTGTACAACGAGGCGTCAGCCCAGCGTACAGCTCCACTGACTCCGGAAGTCATGCAGGATGTCTCATCGAACTCGGCAACAATGCTTGACAAGCCGAAGTCCCCTAGAAGTGCCTTCCCTTGATCGTTGATCAAGATGTTCGACTAAACGAATTGCGTTAAATTAATCCTCCTGAAAAGCAATAGGTTGTCTTTATACGTACTCCGGTAAGATCTCCATGTATGATATTGAAAGAATGTACTAGATTATAGAAATCAGTCTTCGGCATGAAAACATTCAAGGCAGGCAGTGACTCACAGTATCTTAACCCTTCCGCTACTTCGCATAACTATACGACATTAGCGCTGTATACACTCGAAGGAAAATATTGAAATCCCACAAGTTGCAACCGATCTGTCATGGAAAGGAGATCTCCACATCGTTCCATGTGATTGGTAACACTCCCATTATCCAACCATGGACAGATCATAGCGTCGTATCGGCCAAAATCTGATACGACCCCAAGTAACGGGAGAATATTGGGGTGGTCCAACTTTTTCCACATGTTCAGCTCCCTCCAAAGACGCTACACATATAATGAGCAACGCACTTTGAACAACTCGAGAAACAAAGTAAACACTCGCCAACTTCATCTTCTCTTCCATCGCCGGATTGTCCACACGAGAGCGCAGAACTTTGATAGCGACCTGTGACAAAGTCAGACTTATGCGGCGTGAGTGAAATGAATAAACGTTACCCTTCGTTCGCGTAGGCCGTCCATCCATAATCCCTTCCACACGTCCGAAAATCCTCCGAGAGCTTCAGGGAACCGACCTTCTCGCGTAACTTTGCCGGTCAAATCCAATAAGATCGATGGATCATGCTTGTCAACTGCACCGAGCAATTTATGGATGTCATCAAGGGTTTTGGTTGCAGAAGGTTTTACTCACGTGTATCCAACCCCGGAGGTGGTGTCGGTGGTGGATCGAAATGCAAGCTTAGAGGAGTAAAGTGCGTTTCTCCTGATGAAGGACTTTTGGGAGGATCCGAAGTGCCATTAAAGAGCGTAGGTAACAAGCCTGGACTTAATAAAATATCATTGTTCCCAAAATCCTGGCGGATGAACGAAGAAGACTCCGACTGAGGCCCTTTACGGGCAATGATGCTCCATGGTCTAGGATGCGATCTCCGTCGTCCCCCAGCATCTTCGTCTTCTGTTCAGAATGTTATGAACCCAATCTCTGACTTATGGAATGAACATAACATACCAGAAAGAAGGGAAGCATTATCAAGACTATCCCTGGAACACAATTCATTATCAATGGCTGCAGCGAAGAACCCCAGCAACGAGCCCCACTGCTCGTTTTGAGCGGAGCAGGTCGTATTGAGTTCCAAAGTACGAGCGTCCTTCCATTCAATTGAAAAGGACTGGTCACTTGTGATACGGACCACGCCAAGGCAACTAGTCGGAATAGCATGGACAAGATTCAACAACGACTTCTCCCTCAGCCCAGGACCCAACTCCCATGGCTTAGTAGGGTATCGTGCCGGTCGGCGGTCCCCGGCACCATCCAAGCAGCACAAAAGCATTGCTTCGAACAAGAAAACCGCGTATCGCGTCCCCGAGGCTTCCATGAGTATATCATCGAGGAGGAGCGAGCCGAGGGAAGCAGGATCGATCTCGCTGTCCCAGAGATATGCGCGCGCCTTGAGGATCCGTGCTGCCCTCATGGTGCGTATCTGGCGACTCATCTCGTCAATGGTCTCTGACGCCTCACGCATTTGAAATAGGACGGTACACAGAGTATCATAGGAGGGATGTTCGGATGGAGAAGAAACCTGCAAGATCGCAGCAAGGAAAGAACAATATTCAGAAATTCTGGAAGGCAAATGGCCAAGGATATTGAGAAGGGTTTGAGCGTGAATTTTCAGAGCCGGTTCGAGAAGCTCCAGTTGATTTTGGAGGAATTCGAACATAGGGAGATAGTTTACGCATATGGACCGATAGGCACTGACCGTTCTCGTTCTGAACGTTATGTGGTCAGAATTGAATGTTGTAATCCAGTTTTCCAGCCAAGGAGCAGCGACGACCTTCTCCAAGGACGATAGGACCCTGTCGTGATATTCACGCAGATGGGTACGATTAACAAGAAGGCACTCTAGGCCTGGGTCAATCAAGCCTGTCGTTTCTGACATCATCAAGACAGATTCCTTGAAATGTGACGCTTTCAGTAACGGATAACAACATGAACAGTCAGCGCAACATACTGCGACCATTCCCAAGCTGCACGCATGAGCCCGCTCAGTGTCCAGCAAATTTTGTACGAAAGCTTGGCGCTGATACTGCGACCGGTAAGGAACGACGAATAGTCCTGGATAGGACCCTTGTAATGCACACAGAATATTCTGTATTGTTTTCAACACCTGTTACATACGATGAGAAAGATCATGATGTACGCAAATTACCTACTCACCCTCGCAAACCCAGGATTCGACCTCCCAAACATGTCGTCAACACGAAGGACCTCTCCATACGGGAGTAAGCCCTGGATCTCCAGCAAGCGCACGCGTTCAATGAACTTTTCAAAGAACGCGACCCGCTCGTCCATCGACAGCTCAAACTCAAATGCGACGCCGTGATAGGGCGGCGACAAGAGGTTCAAGAGCGTGCACAATGGTGCCCCCAGCGAGAAACACTCCCACAGGATGCGATACGCCTGGTCGGGCTCGCTGCACCATGTTTCGCGGCAGAACCATGGCTTGAATTCGACAATCAGTAACAGTCGGCTTAGGATCCGAAAGCTATCAAGCCGTAGCTGCTCCGAAGGTGCCCTGGGTGGCGATAAGATGAAGCTCATCCAAGCATACGAGTAGGTGGGGAAAGTAGCTGGTAAAGCGCTACCAGACAAAAAGCGACATCAAAACCCGGTTGCTGGTAGCACAGCCTGCTTAATCAGACACGAAGGATCAGTCCCGGCTAGACTAATCGGATTTAGTATCCAGTAACAAGAAGAAAGCGAAACGAGCATAGCTTTATTGGCGATTGCGAAGATATCTATCATTCCATCGAAGTATCGCTCTACAGTGTCCCTACTAGAAACTGCTGGGGTCTCGGCTACTCAATCAATAGACGAAAGCATTTAACGACCGTACCGGAGAAGAAAGGGTGCTGCTCTTAGGATTGAATATTCCACAGCATCAGTGCGACGGCTAGAGCCAGACAGAGTAAGAGACTGACGCTTCTGGTGATTTAGCCGGGATACCATGGTGATGATAGATGGAAACCGAGGACTGACCTAGTCAACCAGCTCACAGGGAAATAGTGTACAGCATGTATAAATATCACCGGTAATAATAAGACAAATCAACAGATGAGGTGTGGAAAAGAGTGTAGTGTATCCAACGAAAAAGATAGGTGTACAGAGAGGAGATCCAGGAATCAATAAGTATATGGAGCAATACGTACCGCTGGAGGGTTACAACCTCTTCAGCGCCTTTTTTCTCTTCTCCGCACCTGTGGCACCTGGCCCGGTGGCAGCTCGCTTCACCGCTTTGGTCCCTGGTACAGGTGCACCCCCAGGCATGCCGACTCCAACTTTGGCGACATTCGCATCGGCCGTGCCTAGAGGCGAAGGAGAAGTGTGTCGCTCTTTGGTGGCTACTGGTGCTCCCAATTTACCAGCAGCGACGTTAGATGGTGATGCCGTCAATGGTCTGGGGTGGGGTACCGGAGCTGGTGAGGCTGATTTACGCGTAACAATGGGCAGGGTGGGCACGGACGTTGCCGCAGACGAGATTGACAAAGGTTTCGCTGGTGTTGATGAGTCTAGGACTGGTGATGACGGAGATGGGGATTCGGTTGTCGCTGCTTCTGAAACCGATGGGGCGTCGAACTCGGCTGGTCGAACTCGAGGTGTCGCATGGATGCTGGTGATGAGTTTGGCTCGGTCGCAGTAGCTTTGGTAGTTTTCAAGCAGAAGCTTGCCGGCCTCCTCGTCAAGCGCTGATTCGGGATTGGGATAAATGAGCAGACACTTGACGGTGACTAGTATATGGCCGATGCCATAGGTTGATTTCCAGTCTTTTTTGAGTGTGTTGACACAAATTTCGCCCGCCGCGGATACGTTGGGATGAAAGATCTTCGTCGCGAACCAGCCTAGAACGCAATTCGTCAAAACCTGTACCAACGCAGAGAATAAGTGACATACATTTGGGTGGCGCCGCTGGGAACTCTTCTGTAAACTTGAACTTCACTTTAAAGTATCCACCAGCGTACGGGGTACCCTCTGCGAGATAGAGGTCAGTTTCTGAGCCACCACAAGCAAATCCCAGAAAACGCCCAAGCGCATGAATGAGCTCACCTGGACCCTCGATGATACCGACAACGTCTAGCATATCGTCGTCGCTTGTTTGAACGCGAATTCCTTCTGGCGGGCTCTTCTTGAGCTCCAACAGCTCGCGCATGAGACGGCGCAACGCGGCAGGTGATACAGACTAAAATGGGTCAAAAATACTGAGTATTCCGAGAGAATAGAGGTAGAACAGCGACGTACCATGGCTCTCGACAACGAGGAAAGAGTAGAATGGAGGGACGTAGCAGTGGTTCAAGTCCAACTCACAAGCATTACCAAATCAAGGATGAATGGTTATTCCACGTGATCCGGCAATAGGTAAACCCGAAATAGCAGTCCACCTTCTAAATGGAGAATGATCACCCCCGTCGGTGGGATTGTGCTCAATTTCTTTCGACACGTAGAGCGATGAAGTCGCGTGCGCCACCCTTCAAAATCAACTCTTGGACACTTGCTTAGCTCTGAAGTGGTAATTCTGGATAAATGGCGCCGACAATGGTCAGTTAGTGCATACGTGTCATTTTCATTAACGGATACAGCTTCGGGATTGGCTATAATTGACCAGGGAGATCCGTAACCATAAAAAATGCAACAACGATCTCAGGCACTTCCTTGACAACAAGTCGAGCCATGGTGACGGTCACCTGATGGTCGCGACACACGTACACGTCAATGATAGGATTTGCGCCGGCAGCCAGGGGCCTGCCAGTGAAGCCATGAAGCAAGGCCTCATTACAACTGATTCGACAGTTTCCCTAATGTTTCGCCCATTGGTTCGAGGGTTGAAAACCTCGCCAGGTCTATTCAGCGTGACACAAGAGCGCGCTACAACTAGCAAGAATCGTTCTATCACAAGAAATTTTTGGGTCAAATAGTAACATCTGAAGGAAACAATTGATCTGAACGACGCCCATCTTCCACGAAGGACAGCAGAATTCGATAATCTGGAGTACAATGGACGGGCCCCTACATTCAATCAAGATTGATCCTCATTCTGCTTGAAGCGAGCAGACCAAAACCATCAGCTCAAGGAAAGAATCGGGGACCCGGCAAGTGCCGCTTACTGTCTTAGTCTAAATGCAGCTACTGGTCGGGCGGTTCCTCTACCTTAACTCTGATGGCAGAAAAGAGAGAACTCGACAGTAGTTCTGCAGAACATTCACTCGCAAAACGAATAAAACTAGCCAGGCCGGTCCTTCGAAATTACAAGGCTCTTCTCGAAGAGGTCAATATGTTTGGTCTAGGATCTCTGGGACTCCTATTGGGTGAAGAAGATGACGACTCAGAGGAACCCAGCAAAGATGACATTGCAGAAATAATCAATGCTTGGAAGAGGCCACAAAAAGTGAGGCACATTCGTTTGTAGATGCTTTTGTTAAAGGCTGTCTAGGTGCAACGTTCGTTCACATTCTCCGAACTACCTCTGTATGTATTGCAGAATCGTTTGGGTGTTCGAACGAGCGGTCGTAATTGGATCAAGAGTCGGATGGAGCTACGCCAGGGCTCCAAGTATTATTCCGTTGACCTCGAGCCCTTATACCAAGAACTCGAAGCCATATATGTGTCGTCCAACTTTTATGCAAGTAGCCGTACTCCGCATCTCTATCATTAACAAAAATCTTCCTTCATACAGAACCAGGTTGCATCTCGTTCGGTTGTCAATGCCTACCTCTCATTCGTCTCCACAACCATGAAAAAAGAGCGAGAAGCCAGCATCAAGGCTGCTATCAAAGCTAGAATCGAAGCTAGTCCCAGTTTCGATATCACACCACTCATTCCACCCCTCGAGTCTGACGATCAAGTACTGTCGTCTTTTCTGGAGGCCCCAGAAGGCGCAAACTCACCTTCGACGCTTGCCGAGTTCAGCATCGATGATAAAGTAAACCTTGTATGGTGGGGAAACCGGCTCCTGGCAGGCAATACGATTACAGCCTTGGAAGGCGTCAAGGATCTATGGAATCTTTATCTGTATCCAGAGATAGACATCGACTCTGCTGTCTTCAAAGATGCATCTCAGGACGGCCAGAGACTGACCCTGTCTGGGGTTATCGATTATGGAATGCTGGTATTCAAGACATGGGATATAAGTCTGTGATCCATCATTTCTCAGACCTTAATATTCTTTTGACTTGTTACATTCAGATGGTGTCTATTTTGCCGGTCCAGAGCAGGTCGTCAATGGGTCCTTGAAGGTCGGAGAGCTTAGCCTTCTCTATGTCGAAACCAAAATCGAAAACACGGGTAGTATACGATTTCTATACAATGAACCGCTGACCGAAGCATCAGCCCAAGCGCTCGCTCTGAGCACTCTGTCCAAGTGAGTATTTATGCCTTTGAAGGTTAGTTTTTAATTTTTTCCTTTCTAGCCGGCCAAACATACGATTCATTGTGACAAACTCGTCCAATTGGATGTTGGCTCATCTGCGTAACGGACCGAGCCCCGAGATTGTATACATGCCTCCTAACATGATCCTCAAATCTCAACATCCCTTTGAGAGGTCGTATGGATCCGTGCAGGAGCGGGAGTATCATGTGCAGCTTTGGCGGACAGCGGTGCGGGAAATTTTTATGACGTTGATGGAATGGGTGCGTCCCAGATAGCCCCTTGCAACTACTCAAACAAATCTCTTTTACAGTTGTTGCCGGAGAGTGATTCATTGATCAAGTCTCCGCCACCACTGTCAGCATAGGTAGCTGTTCGACCAGCCTGAGACTTATACTGCGATGCACGCGCGCACTAACCATCCATCGACTAACTCTAAGTTGGCCATCTCCGGATACGTTCGTTGATGCATGTACATTATGACGCCGAGAGTCCAATTTCAGATCATATTTTCCTTGTCAATAGCCATGGCTAAACTGCTGCTTATAAGTGCAAGGGATAGATTAAGTCCGATCTACCCTGCTATGTCCTAGCCTCAACTCAACGTTTTAATGCATTATTATATGTACCTAGGAAGGCACGCCATCCGCGGCTACTGATGCAAAGACGTCGTTTTTACAAAGTCACCTCGCATTCGAGTGGTTTATGTGATCGACTACTTTGAAATGGGGAACTTGGGTGCAGTCATGACAAGGACACTGAGGGTGTAAAATGCAAGCCATGGTTGAGCCATTCTAACGCGATGTGTGCTGATTGTACTTGATTCATGCTGCTTGAAGCCGACGGTCCAACATTCGGCAACCCTTCGAGAACGCTAGATACTTAGTGCTACTCGAAGGCAAGTAAAGGAGCTTTCCGTCAATCTTGACTCTCCTATATGAGCCTCGCTGTGCCTTGTATGCAACTCCCACATTACTATAGTCAACAATGGACATATGGCAGAGCTGCGTGCGATGGATGTTATCGACCCATTCCAAAGCATAGGAACCTTCGTTTTTTGCGAGAAAGTCTGTTACCCCGAGAAAGGGAGAAAGATTGTCGGAGCGATTGAAAGGGGAAGGCGCAAAAACACCTGCATTACTCAGGAATTCTTGGAGAATCTTTTCTTCACATCCTACAGGTACGGGCTTATCTAAACGAACACGGGATGAATAGAAGGAACTTACTATATACTATTCTGCCCCGGATCCCATCAATGGAAGAGTCCACTATCTCAGTTAGGTGTGGTCGCTCTAAGACGACGCCGACGATGTTACGATGATTCACGAAGTCCACATCATGTTGACCGTCGTATATAGCCTCTAATATGCCGCCGAACAAGGATGCTTCAACGACGAATCCTGATTCTCCATAGATGTTCCCAAATTTATCGTGATCCACGCGATTGTTGTACTGCATCTTTTCCGGAGTGACAAAGTGGTGGTCGCCGGAATGAAGATACGAGTTATATACATGAGCAAGCTCATGGTAGATAGTGGCGATGAAAATCAATGCTGCAGCACAGTCCTTGTTGCCGCTTTCTTCAGTGATAGCGTCTGTAGTAACAGCTAGATCGTAGCTGACGAATATGATAGAACCATAGCCAGCTCCGCGAAAGACTTCACCATAAACTCGTGTTGCTAAAGCCGTAGACAGATAGATCGCGGGAAAATAGTTCGAAAAGAACTCGAGCATTTTTTTGTCTTCACTATCAGTGACCTCTGGTCCATCCAGGGAGACTTCCTGCCTGAGGATGGAGACGTAATGTTTCCGCATGTTAGAGTCGGCGCTTTGGGTCAGTCCACGTTGGATGAAGCGAATCATTCTCCGCGCTACAGGAAGGGTTACTTTAGTGTATTCCAAGTCCGTTAAAGGGATGTCCGTATCGCGCGGAGGTGTACTGTGGCCTGTCATGCCATGAGGCAATATGTTAAAGATTCACTGCAGCAATACGAACCATCTTGCTCAGAAATTTTTCCTACGGCTGATAGTCAGCTTGAAAGATCACATAGACAAGGAATTGTGCCGTACGGGGAAGCTTCTTGTAAAGCCAAAAGTAACCATCTTGCGAGGCCATCTTGTACGAGACGATGCTACTGGTTTTTGATGGAGGAGACAAGAAACACTCGTAAATGTGACTTCTGTGAGAGCAGGTCAAGAAGGGACAAGTGCTTATCTTGATTCTCGAGGAAGCGAGGTTATATATCTCAGACGTTATCGAGTCATCTTTCGGCATCCGTCAAAAGGATGAAGAATTTGAATAACTGCAGTAAGTGAACAAGGGATGCCCCCAAATTGGACAATGAGTCCTGATGCACCCCTGGTGGCGTACGATTCACGGGCATGTTTCCCCCGTACCCGAGGTCTGCACAATGGACATTGTGGAACGCCTTCCCGTGTGTAGAGCCAACGAGTTGTCTTTTCACATACCTAAGTAGTTAGACCTGTGAAGAGCGTGAGATGATTATCACCGCTGCCAGTGATATTAAGTACTTAATAAGAGGCAGTATGATTGACATTTTGACATAATGCTCAGTGTTTGGTTGCCCACAAGAACGGAGTCGATGATACCCTAGTGCCTGCAAAAGGATGGGGAGGAAACATAATGGACAAGCTTTCTAGACTGCGAGGTAAGTTCAGTATAAGTCTCGGCGACTTTCAATGTCCCACCTTGGGCTTTGAACGTGATACTGTTGAACGACGAAGTGCCAGGAGTAAGCATTTTGATACGAATCAAATGGAGCAGCGGGCCGCTGGCGAGATACTGGCTTATGTAACGTGTTGGACTTCATTCCGTTCCACCATGGCCTTTGAACTTGAAGACCCATACCTAAACTCTGCCTTGTCTGAAGTGGCCCTTACTCTCAAAAATTCCCTTCTTTCTTCTGGCAATGTAGATGTATTTCTTCCTATAGTCACATCTCCGCGTTTTGCACCTACTATCCCTGATGTCACGAATTTCTTAACGAAGTCTTTCCCCAAAGTCGTGTCGGTAGACAAGACGCCTCACTTCATCGTAGCTCTCGATCCCAGTCTCGTTCGAGTGGACGCGCGTATTGCATCCTCCCTTGAGTGTAATTCCCCTGGCTCTTCATTTCTTGCTCTCGTCACAATTCTTCACGGCGTCGCTCATGCAACGCGTCATGAGTTCGTACCAGCTGCTATCCGAGGCAGCTGCGTAGTGAACGACAAAGACGAATGGTTGAACGATCCTGGGTACGAGGTGGAACATGCACTTTTCGGTGGCATCATAGGTGTCGCGTTCGCTGGCTCCCCCACCGATCCTATCCTTCCCGAAATTTCCTACTTCACATTGTTTACTGAGGACGGGTACTTGTATAAAATTGGTTCGTGTCCTTCGTTTCCTGTTGTCACCTGCTCATTGAACATTCCAGACCTTGAGAAGGCAACTTCTTGGATAGAAAATGATGAACTCGGTCCGTTTGATCTCGAGCAGTTGCCGAAGGAAGATGTTGCAACGGAAGAGGTGCATTTACAGACGTGTGCTAGAGTAAATACGCTATGTGCGAACGTCACTGGGAAGTTCGCGTTTCGCAGTAGTGAGCAGCGACGAAGGCCGCCAGGTCCGCATTGGATTTTCCCTCGTCAACGAGATAGATATTGAGCCCTTTGCTATGCTATATGTATATTTTATCACTTTCCTTGCTGATTCCAAATTATTCCGGAATAATACCATTATACCGATATGATATATTGATAAACTCCTCTGTAAGTAAGTAAAGAAGAAGTAAATTAACTGATGGTTCGATTCGAGACGGGTCGATCTCTGTCTCAGCTCGCAGGAAGCAGATATAGAAACTATAGTCAGGGGAATGGTACACCTGTTTGTGCTTTGAACACTGGCGCAAGCCAACAGATTGGTTATCAGAGGTACGATGAAGGACCGCCCTGCTTTGTTGGAGTACTCCCGTTGCAGGCGTAGGCATTATGCATTTCTGTTCCACAGTGGAGATAGAGATATTCCTAGTTTGGGCGTTCGACGTCTATGAAAGGAATTCTGAAATTTTTTGTACGGATGAAAACGAGCCTTGGCTTCGCGACTTGCGCGAGTCAGGTTTTGCGGTGACCGTCCAAGTCAGACCGCGGCGATGGGCTTGGGATGGCTGACATGTTTCTGGAAAGAACTGAATAGGTCTTCGTTACATGTGAATTTCAGATCATGAGTCTATTTAGTATTTTCCTTGTCAAAGCTACGGCTAAACTGCTGCGGGACGGATTACGTCCGATCTAACCTGCTATGTCCTAGCCTCAACTCAATTTTTTAATATATTATTACATGTAGACAGAAGTACTACAATTACGATACAGTGTTCATTCAAATCTCTGTGTATCTTCCGGACCAAATAGATTGGTACCTCTACTTGTGTGAATCAAGTTTTGTCCTAGCGGACGTCCGAGTCAGATCGAGGCGATGGGCTTGGGATGGCTGATATGTTTTCTGGCAATAACTAGAGAAAGAAAATGTGAATACTACGGTCATCATTACATGCGATTAGAACGTACCCATTCCATCAACATTCCGTAAACCGTTCGCACCTGGTTTTTCCAAAAGCCTATCATTCTGTCTCGCTCCAGGGGAGTTGAATACAGCTTAGTGTACGGGTTTCTCCATGTATATGTTGTCGCAAGGTCAGATACGACCTCAGGCGCCCCACAATCAAGAGGATTGTGCAGGTGAGCTACCACCCAATCCTCGGAATTCGTCACGATGAATCGAACATTTGGAATTCTTCAAGATATGGTAGAATTTGTCTGACAGCTTGAATCATAGCCACTCACTTGAACCGTGCACTGAAAGCAAGTGCTTGAGCGGATGTTTCCATCAGTGGTTCATCACAAATTGGCCGTCGATATCCATTTTCATCAATTTTGTTTTCGATGAACATGAGTCGGGCTTCCACGGACTTGGCCCGGGACAGCTGGGTACGATTATAATAGCATCTAGCTGAGCGGACATCGTCTATTGAAGGCCAGTGGCAGGAACATATTATGCAACTTGATAATCAACGGACCGTCATCGAACGTCTTGTACACAAACATTCCATAATCCACGACGCCATGCAGGGTGATTTTTTGGCCGTTCTGGTCGTGTAATGGGGCACTAAGGCCTTCATTAGGGTCGTTAGGATCGATGATGATACCTGGTAAAAGACGAACATGGTAAGAATCCTTGACCCCCTCTAGGTCTAGGAGTCCGCTTTGTTTTGTCAGGTCGTTGCTCCACCAGACAAACTCAACTTTGTCGTCGACACTGAGCTCAGAGAGTGACGAAGGTAGACCGGCAATCTCTCGCGAGTTGAGGTAAGTAGAGAGTGTCTGTTCACGATCCTCGGCACAGAGGCTCGATGGCATCAGTGACATGATATCGAAATCTATGTCAGATTCGATCTTGGCCTTGATAGCAGCCTCGATTTGGATCTCTCGTTTTGCCTTGATGGACGCAATGACAAAGAAGAGGTAGGTGCTAGCGACTATACGGCGTACTCCGTCACCCTTCAGTCCTTGTCAAGAAAGCTGAGATACGAAGATTATGGCAGGAGACTGACCTCGAACTCGGAGGTCACGGAAATTGTTTCGAGGTCACGGAACAATGGCTCGAGATTATCGTTAATATATTTGGACCCCATCGCAATGACCAGTATTCCCTGGGGAGTCCAATCGGTATGGTGGGAAAACCGAACGCCCAAGCGGGTCTCCAAGATAGTTTCTGTTACTTCCGAAAACTCGAAGGAAGTTTCTTCCTAACAATGTTCAGCCAAGTTTGAATAATTGTATATTGATGAAATTTACCTCTTGGTCAACATCGTCTTCATCTGTCCGTAGTATGAGTTGCACAGTTGCTAATTCGTGTTTGAACTGCCTTTGGGTCTCCTCGAGAACAGAGTTATATTTTCTAAGAAGAGGTTCAGCAAGTTTCAAGCGTTTTGCAGTAGAAGATGTAGATTCATCGTCATGACCCCTTTTCTGTGACATGGTAGCAGGAGGCAGGTGGTCGGAGATTTCGGCCGAGCTATACGGTCGATCATGTCCACCGAACAGGGCAAACTCCCTTTCAACCACGACGACGACAGCTTTCACGATGAGCGACCCGACAACCCAGTCAAATTACGATAAAATTTATACCTGAACATGTCGCGTTCATCTGGACCATCGACTGGGAAACAAAGATCATCAGTGGGGAGGCCATTCATGATCTTAGGGTAAAGGTTGATGGGGTGACGGAAGTAATGTGCGTTTATCCTGCTCAGAATACTGGGAAATGCTCAATTTCACGTTCTGAAGCTTCGACACGGCTGATCTGGATATCAGTTCAGTTTCCGTGCAAGGCGAGCCGGTTATCGTGGGTCCACCAGCACGTCAGTCGAACAGTCGTTGACGACCGGAGTAGTACGATGTCAAAGAAAAGCATCCTGTCATGGGCTCTGCTCTTCACGTCCCTCTCGGCGGTGGATTCGAAGCTGGATCAACAGTCAAGGTTTCAGTGCTATACAGGACAACCCAGGACTGCTATCGCACTCCAGTGGCTGGACAAGGAGTAAGCATTACTGTATAGTTGTTTCTAGTTCGTTACCCATTTCTTCAGGCAAACCAAGGGAAAACAGTTTCCGTACCTCTTCAGTCAATGCCAGGCTATCTATATGCGGACTCTTGCGCCTGTTCAAGGTTCGTAGCTTACCTCGGCTCGGCAGCATTCCTTCATCACAGTTCGCAGATACCCCGTCGGTTAAGATTGTAAGGGTTGTCAACCCTTGTTTCTCCCTCTAAAATTTCCCCCAGACATACACAGCCAAAGTTACATCTGTTCTTCCGGTCCTTCTCTCTGCCATTCGACAATCACCGCCCTCGGACGGCCCTGCACATGGAGGAAAGACAGTAGGGAAGGACCTTGTTGAATACAGTTACCACCAGGTACAATATCTCTCTTTCTGGCCCGAATTTTGAATAACCTTGTCTCAGCCCGTACCCATACCGTCGTACCTGATCGCCATCGCATCCGGAAATGTCGTCTATCGACCCTTCCCCAAGTATGAAGACAGGGACTGGACTAGCGGTGTTTGGGCAGAGCCAGAGATGATTGAGGCTGCTTATTGGGAGTTTTCTGAAGATACAGGCAGGTTTTTGCGAGCGGAAGAAGATATCGTCACGTCGTACAGATTCGGCGTATACGATCTCCTTGTCCTCCCCCCTTCCTTCCCTTATGGTGGCATGGTGAGTTCCCATTTGATTGTTTGTCCCGTCCGTCTTACTTGGCACTCACAGGAAAACGCTTGCCTTACTTTTTTGACGCCCAGTGAGACGTGCCTTCATATCCATTCAGATAAAGCTTAAACTGTACAGCACTCCTAACTGGCGACCGGACCCTCGTCGACGTCGTTGCTCATGAGCTCACCCATTCTTTCTTTGGTAATGGCGTGACGTGCGTGCTCTGCGAACATCTTCTCCTCATTTCTGACACAAACTACAGCCATGCTCATGCCACTCACTTTTGGCTCAACGAAGGCTGGACGACCTACATGGAGCGGCTACTTTTGCAGGTTATCCACTCTCCAGCCGACAGAGGGTTTTCCTTCCTTATTGGATACAAGGGCCTCGTCGATGATCTGGAGTTGTATGCGGACCGACCCAAATACCAGCGATTGGTCATCGAGTTTGAAAAGGGTGAAGATCCGGACGATGCCTATAGCAAGGTTTGGAGTCCCTTCGCGTCGTCAGGAACGGCATTTTGACGAATCTTATCTTCAGGTTCCTTACGAAAAGGGCGCCAATCTGATACTTCACCTTGGTGCGATCTAACACCTAGAATCTTTCTCCGCGTACCTCATACATCACAGAGCGGACTATTGGGGGCCTTGATGTTTTCCTTCCTTACGTTAGCGACTACGTCAACACGTTTATGGGCAAGAGCATCACTACTGATGAGTGGAAAGCACACCTATATGCTCACTATGAGAAGCACGGCGATCCAGAGAAGATTAAAGCGCTGGATAGTATTGATTGGAATGTATGTCCATTTCTTTACCTTGAGCTCTGCCTGATGTTCCTATCATACAGGCATGGTTCTACGGTGAAGGCACTTCTCTGCCTGTAGTCATGGAATACGACACCTCCCTGGCGACGAAGGCGTATTCCCTAGCGGAACGGTGGGATGCCTCACGAGCTATTGAAGTTTCGAAGCTCAGCTTCAAGTCCGATGATCTCAACGGCTTCAACTCCAATCAAACAGGTGCGCCTTCTTCCTTATAATGACCGGGAAGGTAATCAATATGCTCAGCGGTATTCCTGGAGCGCCTCCAATCATACCCTCCCTTCCCCTCTGACCTCCTCACACATCTCGGATCGCTCTACACCCTCTCAACAACTCACAATGCTGAGATCCGTTCGCGATTTTACCTACTCGCTCTGAAGGATGTTTCATCGCCAGCGACACGCGGTTTTGCTGCCTCGGCGGCAAATTGGGTCATCGGTGAAGAGACGGGTGCGGTGGTGGGAAGGATGAAGTTCTGCCGGGATATCTTCCGAGCTGTGTCCAAGGTTGACAAGGATATAGCTCTGAAGGCGTTTGAGAAGGAGAAGATGTCGTTCCATCCTATTGCGAGGAAAATGATTGAGAAGGTTGGTCATTGGTTGCTGTCTCGTTTTGCGATTGCTCATTGGTTTGCTAGGATCTTGGTCTTGTTTGAGAAGGTCGTGGTCGATATGTATAATGTACAACGGAAGAATCTTCGGAATGATGAATATCATAAATCGGGGCTTACCACTTGACCTCGCTGTTTCGATTAATTGAGGTTTCTTCAAATTCGAGTTGTTCGTTCTTTACGTTGGGTTCGTATCAAGCTAAGCTGGTGAGGCAGTATTGGCGTCGTGTTTGTATCCGTTTTGTACATCCCCCGATGTCCGCCGCCTTCGAGCTTTCCATCAATGTTTTCATTCGCAGAACGCTTGAAACTTACCACCCCTCTTCTTAGAAAGTACAGGTCTCTTTTGGAGGAGGCCGAAAACCCTCTGGAGCGCGATTTAATGATTGTGCAGCTCGATGAAGAGGCAGGCTGTCCAGCAAGACGTAAATCTCATCAGTCCATAATTCTTCAAACAGAGTATTTTTCAAGAACAGACTTCCAAGTTTTCGCATGTAACGCAAACGATCCTCGAGTCCCGCTTGGGCGTTCGGTTTTCCCACCACGACTGGACCCATAGGAAATCCTATCCACCGATGACATCTAAATATCGTGACGACAATCTCAAATCAATGTTCCATGACTCAAAATCATCTCTGTCTGCCAGGTCTGAGAGAACGATGGCCTGAAGAGGAAGAACCCTCTCGGACGAAGAAGCGAAATTCAGGTATACGTCAATTGTTATGTCTTGTATACAGAGAAAGACATCAACTGCAGTGTGTACCCGGATCGCGCATTTGATCAATGATATATTACCGCCACTCCATCATAGAGTCGAAAAGCTGGCCAAGTCCCTCAAGTTCGCCACAAGGACACGAGTTGTCTAGTAAAGATCGCTCAAAGTCGAGAATACGCAAGGTTCCATTCCGATCTTTCGCGATGTTCCACGGCTCAAGGTCGTGGTGATGGAGTCCTATCGAGTGAAGAGCATTCACATACTTCCAAATAGTTCGGCTACATTCCACGGACAATCAGGATCAAGCGAAATATTTAACCAAGACACTCACAGTTCTTCCGAATTCATCCCTGCTTCGTCCCACGAATAATAATGAAATGCTTCTCCGACGTCGCTCAAAATCACAGCTCCCCAAGATTCATCAGCCATTGTAAATGTTCCGTAATATACGGGGGCAAGGTTGTCCAATTCGTGACGAGAAAGAAGCCGATACGCACGAGTCTCCTTGTTCATAGCCTCAAAGTAGCGCTGAGAGTACATCTTGGCGACGACAGAGGTGACGGTTCCTTGGCTATCAGTAAGCGATCCTCGCCATACCTGTGCAAAATTGCCTATAGTAATGCGTTCGAAGAGTTGTACGCCTACCAAAGGAGGCGGTTGAGAGGGAGAAGGAGGAAGCTCAGTATCAAATCCAGTAGATCGAATCCTTGAGGGAGACAGCGGAGGAATGTCGTGCGGGGTGCTATCGTGTAGCATCTGGGGATAGAGGAGTCGAGGAAGTTGGGCCACATCAGGATGTTCGAATATCAACGAAACCTGGGGTCTGTGTCAAGCGTTTCGGAAAGATAGAGAAGACACAAAGGTATACCATCGACGCCTTAGTTACTGCCTCAGAGACCCCAGCTGAAGTCTCATCTCCTGTAGTTCGTGTCTCGGTTGGCGCTCGCTTCTCTTGAATAGTCTTGTCTTGTTGAGAGACTGTAACAGGATTCCGAATCGCAGGGTGGACGTCTTTACGAACAGATGCGTTTGGAAGCAAAATGAAGGTCATGATCGCCAATAACGGTATGCCTTTTTCACAGTGGTTGTGTTCATTGATAAAATCATACTCAGCAGTAGTGGGAGGATTGTCATCGCGGAAGACGTGGTAGTGAGGTGACACGTGCAAGGCGTGATGATTCAATGCATATAAGCCTGTGAAACAAAATTGAGTATTACAGCGCATGGGATCCAACGGTGTGTACCTCTTTCAACGACGACGGCAGACAGACCGCTAAATACTATTCCGTATTCAGATGCTGGATTGCATGTCGATAGTTGCAACCACGCCTGATACATGTGAGTGTTCAATTATTACACGAGAGTATGCATGAGGCGTCACCTTGCTACACATAGCCTTGGCGTTGTACTGTGCTATGAGCGGTTCATATTCATACTCCTTCTGCATGTCCGTTGCGTGATGAAACAGAACTCGAGGCTCCTTTGCTTCGATCCCTGTAGACTTGACAGGCGTCCCAGTTGCGATGGTCACGGTTTTCCAGTCTCTACCACCTTGTTGCGTGTATTGTTGAAGCGGGGCATGCTGCGTCACAGTGAAGGTCTGGTCGGTTAGCGCCTCGACAGCTGCCTCGATTATCGGGAACATCGAACTCAGGATAAATCCAACTGATGCTTCGATGGAGATGGTAGTTCTTGATAAACACCGCTGAAACCGTTCAAGAGAGTAGACAATTCCAACAGGGAGTAGCTGATGCAAAATTCCTTTCTCTTCTAAAAAAGTACGAAAAGAGTCGAGAATGCGCGGGACAATGGTCAGATTTAGGCCTGATTGGCGGAGATAGCTTCCTGCTGGAGGAGACGTAATAGCGGAATACGGGGTGGTACTACTGCTTGTAGGCGACTGTTCCTTTAGGCCGATGTGGTGCTCGAAATGGAAATCAAGGAAATCCTGCCAGGTAGGTTGTCGATCCATAGGCGTAAGACATGAAAGGAGGTAAGTTTAGACTCGAACTATTCGAGCTAGCGATCAGAGTCTTAACTGAGTTTGAATTGAACCAGCATACCCTATCAAATAGGAGGTGCAGGTTCACGTGTCTTCACATTACCAGTAACTGGAATTTGAAACGTTTCTACGTGCTGTGACGAATGGGGAGCGAGGATAAACTCGGAAATTTGTGGTTTCTGCTTCGACCTTCCGAAATACTCTTCTGATTTCATAGATGAAGGTATTGAAGATAGTGTCGGTGTTGGGGGGATAAGAATGGACCGTTGACGACGACGAGCCTTCTTGGAATGTAAGCGCCTCTCCCAGTTCTCTAGGAGACAGTATATTCGTTCGACTGAGAAATGACAGCGCCGCGTCGACATGATGGGGCGACGTCGGCGGCACCGGCGTCAGCGGAATGAATACACCCGGTGGAAACTGACGCGACCGAATCTTGATATACCACCCGCGCTTCGGTCGATGTATTGTCCAACATATTGTCGATGTAGGATTATGCTACAGTAGGCTGAATGAATAAGGTATCCGAGAGCATACAGTACCTGCAAACGCACCACAATATGCTCAACAATCTCGTCATCGGTGAGGAACCTTTCCTTCGGTGTGAATGAGCATTATACAGTACTGTTTCAACCCATAATCCCTTGCCTTGTACCAGATAACCGTGTTGGAGTGCTCTTCGGTAACATTGACCCGGGCATCCTCAAGAACGTCGGTACTATCGAAAGATTAGACAGCAATGGTGACCAAGTCGTGGGTGACAGACCTGTGTACGTGATACCTGTCTACCGTAGATAGTAGGAAGCACGGCGTGGCGGTAAATGATGAAGGGAAATAAGGTAGGGTTAGGGTTTGCAGGACGGACCCACTTGGACCCATAATGCACCTTCTCGTTTGCTTTGTCAGCACTTTCTCCTTTCCTCTCTTACCACCATCACCAATATCAACACCATGGGTCGACAGTCTACCTGGGAGGATTTCCTTGATATCCGTTTCGAACACCACATGGACGTAGAGGAAAGATCACCTACAAGCAGTACCACCCCGTATTCTGCTATTACGTCTCCTCCAGCAGGAAGCTATCTCCGCCAATCAGACCCAGATCCGACCATTGTCCCGCGCATTCTCGACTCTTTTCGTACCTTTTTAGAAGAGAAAGGAATTCTGGATCAGCCACTCCCCGCTGAACTTGCCACAGCCCTTACACTGTTTCAGTGGGATTTAACGACATCTACCATCTCCATCGAAACCACGGTCGAATTTATCCAGATAATCAAGAGAGCTGTCGAAGCACTAACCGACTGGGCCTTCACTGTGACGCAGCATGCCCCGCTTCGACAATACGCACAACAAGGTAATAGAGACTTAAAAACTGTGGCCGTCACAACGATGACGCTTGTCAAGTCTATGGGGGTGGAAGAAAAGCAGCCTCGGGTTCTGTTTCGTCACGCGAAGGACATGCAGAATGAGTATGAATATGAACCGCTCATAGCACAATACGACGCCAAGGCTATATGTAGCAAGGTGACGTCTCATGCATACTCTCGTGTAATAACTGAACACCCACACGCATCAGGCGTGGTTGCAACTATCGACATGCGATCCAGCATCTGAATACGGAATCTTATTCAGCGGGTTATCTGCCGTCGTCGTTGAAAGAGGTATACGCCGCCGGATCCTCTGTACTGGAATGCTCAAGTTTGTTTCACAGGCTTGTATGCATTGAATCATCATGCATTGCATGTCTCACCTCACTATCACGTCTTCCGTGACGATAATCCTCCTACTGCCGCTGAGTATGATTTTATCAATGAACTCAACCTGTGTGAAAAGGGTATTCCGTTATTGGCGGTCATGACCTACATTTTGCTTCCAAACACATCTGTTCGTAAAGACGTCCACCCGGCGATTCGGAATCCTGTTACAGTCTCTCAACAAGACAAGACTATTCAAGAGAAGCGAGCGCCAACCGAGACACGAACTACAGGAGATGAGACCTCACCTAGGGTCTCTGAGGCAGTAACTAAGACGTCGATGGTATACCTTTGTGTCTTCTCTATCTTTCCGAAACGCTTAACACAGACTCCAGGTTTCATTGACATTCGAACATCCTGATGTGGCCCGACTTCCTCGACTCCTCTATCCTCAGGTGCTACACGATAACCCTCCGAACGACACTCTTCCGCTGTCTCCCTCAAGGGTTCGTTCTACTGGATCTGGATCTGATGCTGAGCTTCCACCTTCTCCCCCTCAATCGCCTCCTTTAGTAGACGTGCAACTCTTCGAACGCATCACTATAGGCAATTTTGCACAGGTATGGCGAGGATCGCTTACCGACAGCCAAGGAACCGTCACCTCTGTCGTCGCCAAGATGTACTCTCAGCGTTACTTTGAGGCTATGAACAAGGAGACTCGTGCGTATCGGCTTCTTTCTCGTCACGAATTGAACGACCTTGCCCCTGTGCATTACGGTACATTTAAAATGCCCGATGAATCTTGGGGAGCTGTGATCTTGAGCGACGTTGGAGAAGCATTCCATTGTTATTCGTGGAATGAAGCGGGGATGAGTTCGGAAGAACTGTGAGTGTCTCGGCCAACGTTTTGCTTGATTCTGATTGTCTGTGGGATGTAGCCGAACTATTTGGAAGCATGTGAATGCTCTTCACTCGATAGGACTTCATCACCATGACCTTGAGCTGAGGAACATCGCGAAAGATCGAAACGGGACCTTGCGTATTCTCGACTTTGAGCGATCTTCACTAGACAAATCGTGTCTTTGCGGCGAACTCGAGGGACTTGGCCAGCTTTTCGACTCTCTGATGGAGTGGCGGTAATATATCATTGATCAAAAGCGTGATTCGGGTACACACTACAGTTGATGTTTTTCTCTGTATACACGACATAACAATTGACATATACCTGAATTTTGCTTCTTCGTCTGAGAGGGTTCTTCCTCTTAAGGCCATCGTTCTCTCAGACTGCAGACAGAGATGATTTCGAGAATAATGGAACATTGATTTGAAACTGTCGTCATGATATTTGGATGTGGTTCTCATCTCAAACCGGCACTAACATCAAGAGTATGCACGTCCCTCGTCTCCCTGCAGACATCGCTTCTTGCCTCCGCCTCTTCCGCCAACCCTCATCCTCTGTCTCTGTGGCTGCAACGTCTCACCAGACGGCCGCGTATCGTATCAGCGTGACAAAGTCAACATAGTCATCCCGGCCCAGAGACATGTCTTAAACTCTTTTTGTCCGATGCCATCCTCTTAATGCTCTACATCTTTATCTACGTCAAAATTCTGCCAGGATCCTAACCACTTATGGAATTATCAGCTGCTCCTTCTCTTGAGCCCTCTGCGCTAGCCAACAATACAAGAAAATTCCTGGCCTGGACTAGGTCTGCTAAAGTGAAGCCGCTACCTCAGGATATCACCCCCGCGGTGGAGGAGCAGAAATCCTTTATCAGACATTTCGACCTCCCCATATCCTTACAGGTGCGCTATACTGCTAAAGGCGAACATCTCTTCTACTAATGACAAGCTGTCCACTCTTTAGCAAAGTCTCCTTGCCGCAACGAACGACCCGCCAGAAGATCCGGTGATTCAGGCGTTTGCCCAGAATCTTCTGGAGTCGTTTTCTGGACAATTCACTTCGAATACGGATGACCAAGGATTCACTCATGCATGGAAATATTTGGCTGGCATTCATGCCAACCTTGTATTTGCTATACGACCTTTGATTTGTCTTCAACCCAAGAAGGCCACCCTGCGAAATCCGGCAGATTCGCTCATGCTTCTTGCCGTGAGGACATTGGCGGCGAAGCGAAAGCTGTCTTCCATCAGGTACGTCTTCTAATGGCCTAAGACATTGGTGTTTCTAATGTCTGTTTTAGATATCAGCACGAAGTTGGGATGGCGATGGCAAAGACCTACTGCTCTCCTCCATTCACTGTTTCTGAATCCCTTACATCTGATGGACAGGTGTCCTACAGGATGTCGGATGAGGATGAAGTCGCGATTCAAGGATTTGCACACAAACATGGCAATATACAGACGTTCCGAAAAACGTTGTCCACATTGCCAAACAAGGCAGGTAAAATCAAAAAATTAGATAAATACAAGAAAATCGTAGAAATAGCAAGCAGACTTCATTTGTGCGTGTCATTCAGTAGAAATATACGAATTTAATGATCCATTGGTGCTGCAGTGTGTCGTAAAGATAATACTTGAAATAAGAGCATCTGGCTGATGAAGGACTGTTGAGCGCGACCAGATTTACATGTTCAGGCTATCTCGCACCGAACAGCCGGTCACACCTTCGTTCTTGCCATCATTGTCATTCAAGAGACAAGAAAAGACAAGAAAGCTTTGAAGAACGATTCTGCATCCAGTCAAGCAGGCCGTCGCCGTGATTTAGCCAGTTTGGACTTGGACAGCTCCCGGCCTCCTGCTACATAATACCATAGCCCGCTCGCGCCATTTCACTGCGACCAAGACACCTGCAACTGGATATCCTGGCTTTATTTCGTCGATTTTCACGGTTAGGAATGGGCTAATGGGGGTTCGGGTGTTGTAGACTGGGAAACTTTGGAGAGGGCGCAGTGGCTGGTATGCTAAGCATACATCTTCAAGGGAAGTTATCCGCTCTCATTCGGAATGACTTATTGCTGTTTACAAGGGAGAAAACATCTCCACAGCCTCCCACACCACCCTAATTATGCTCCGCCGTTCCCTCCCATTACTGCTAACAGACCCCGCTTATGACGTCCTACCACTGACTTATTGGCCTCATACTTGTTACATTAACTCTATACACCTCGTACATCCTCGACGAATCTATTTATGATACATTACGCTCACGAATGAAGACACCATGCTGTTTTTACGATTTTCTTGCATTTTTTAATTTTTTAAATTTTACTTGCCTTGTTTGGCAGTGTGGACAACGTTTTTCGGAACGTCTGTAAGGGAGGTTTCTACCGAATCCGGTTCAGATATCTGCTTCTTCCTTCTAGCTATGCTGGCTATCGAGTATGAGAACTGTAGTTCAATCACTGCTTTCCATCGGCTCCTCCTTGACTTTGCAGCCATCCTCCGCCACCGTCAACTGCTTGGGTTTCCACTGAATTATCTTCTTGGAATAACAGCCTGCTGTACAGACCCATTTCCTTTAAAATTCTTTATCGGTGCTCTTGTGAGTCTGTATTTATCGTGAAATTAACGTCCACTTTCTGATGTTCTATGAAGGATGGAGAAACAGGATATGTGCAGTCATGGGATGTTGGAGACTACAGGATTCGAAGCAAAGGAGCCTCGGGTTCTGTTTCATCACGCAGCGGACATGCAGAAGGAGTATGAATATGAACCACTCATACCACAATACAATGCCAAGGCTATGTGTAACAAGGTAACGTCTCATGCCTACCTTCGTGTGGTAACTGAATACTCACACAGGTCAGGCGTGGCTGCAACTATCGACATGCGATCCATCATCTGAATACGGAATCTTATTTAGCGGTGCCGTTGTCGTTGAAAGAGGTATACGCCGCCGGATCCTCTGTGCTGGAATGCTCAAGTTTGTTTCACAGGCTTATATGCAGTGAATCATCATGCATTGCATGTCTCACCTCACTATCACGTCTTCCGTGACGACAATCCTCCTACTGCCGCTTCGTATGATTTTATCAATGAACTCAACCTGTGTGAAAAGGGTATTCCGTTATTGGCGGTCATGACCTACATTTTGCTTCCAAACACATCTGTTCGTAAAGACGTCCGCCTTGCGATTCGGAATCCTGTTACAGTCTCTCAACAAGATGAGGCTATACAAGAGAAACGAACGCCAACCGAGACACGGACCACGCAGGATGAGACCTCAACTGTGGTCTCTGAGGCATCAATCAAGGCGTCGATGGTGTGCCCTCGTGTCTTCTCTATCTTGCCGAAATGCTGAAACCACCGTGTAGATATCCTTGACATTTGAACATCCTAATGTGGCCCGACTTCCTCGAATCCTCTATCCTCAGGCGCTAGACGATAATCTCCCGGACGACACCCCTCCGCTGTCTCTCTCAAGCATTCGTTCTACTGGCTTTGATACTGAGCTTCCACTATCTCCCCCTCAACCACCTCCTTTAGTAGACGTGCAACTCTTCGAACCCATCACTATAGGCAATTTTGCACAAGTATGGCGAGGATCGCCTACTGACAGCCAAGGAACCGTCGTCCCTATCGTCTCCAAGATGTACTCCCAGCGCTACTTTGAGGCTATGAACAAGGAGACTCGTGCGTATAGGCTTCTTTCTCGTCACCAACTGAACGACCTTGCCCCTGTGCATTACGGTACATTTACAATGGCCGATGAATCTTGGGGTGCTGTAATTTTGAGCGACGTTGGAGAAGCATTCCATTGTTATTCGTGGGACGAAGCAGGGATGAATGCGGACGAACTGTGAGTGTCTTGGTTAAACTATTTCGCTTGATCCTGATTGTCTGTGGGATGTAGCCGAACTATTTGGAAGTATGTGAATGCTCTTCACTCGATAGGACTTCATCACCATGACCTTGAGCCGAGGAACATTGCGAAAGATCGGAATAGGACCTTGCGTATTCTCGACTTTGAGCGATCTTCACTAGACAAATCGTGTCTTTGCGGCGAACTCGAGGGACTTGGCCAGCTTTTCGACTCTATGATGGAATGGCGGTAGTGTCATTGAATATAACCGTGATTTTGTACTTGCGTCTGTCACTGGACTCTTCTGTGTATTGCATAACAAGGAAGATTCACTCGTGATCTCAACCTTGGATTGAATGAGACCCCCCATGATACCACCGAGAAGTGCACGCTCCACTTTGTATCCTGGATCGGAAGGCCATCGTCTAGTAAGCTGCTACTCCGAATAGCAATGGGAGCAAATTGATGGTACGTTGCGTGAGGAATGCCGCGGAGTATTGTGACCAGAGCGAGAATCGATGAACCTGGGTCCTGGTACAGGGTCAACAATATTCCAGAAAACGAGTATTGGGAGAAAATTATCTAAGTTCTCTAGAGAGATCAGAGTATTTTTGAGTCTGAGGATAACCTCGGTCGAGGCAGGATTTAGGTATCAGTTCTCCATGGCAGATGTTATAGGTCCAAGTAGGTCCGGACTTCAGTCCTGCCAACCCTAACCCTACCTTATTTCCCTTCATCTTACCCACCACTAAGGCCATGGCGACCCACAATGTCGATGCCGTGCTTCCTATCACAGAATGTACGGTAGACAGGTACCACGTACACAGGTCTGTCACCCACAACTTGGACATCATTGCTGTCTGATCTTTCGGTAGTACCGACGTTCTTGAGGATGCCCGGGTCAATGTTACTGAAGAGGACTCCGCCACGGTTATCTGGTACAAGGCAAGGGATTATAGGTTGAAACAGTCCTGTATAATGCTCATTCACACCGAAGGAAAGGTTCCTCACCGATGATGAGATCATTGAGCATATTGTGGTGCGTTTGCAGGTACTATATATGCTCTCGGATACCTTATTCAGTCAGCCTACTGTAGCATAATCCTACATCAACAATATGTTGGACAATACATCGACCGAAGCGTGGCTGGTATATCAAGATTCGATCGTGTCAGTTTCCACCGGGTGTATTCATTCCGCTGACACCGGTGCTGCCGACGTCGCCCCATCATGTCGACGCGGCGCTGTCGTTTCTCAGTCGAACGAACATACCGTCTCCTAGAGAACCGGGAGAGGCTTTTACATTCCAAGAAGGCTCGTCGTCGTCAACGGTCCATTCTTATCCCCCAACACCGCCACCTCCACCACCGCCAGCATCTTCGTCACCACCTTCATCTATGAAATCAGAAGAGTATTTCGGAAGGTCGAAGCAGAAACCACAAATTTCCGAGTTTATCCTCGCACCCCATTCGTCACAGCATGTAGAAACGACCGAAGACAGTTCAATTTTCGTTCGTGCCTTCGCAGCGCTGCGGAATCACAAACCGTCGCACTCAAATTCATTTACTCTGTCGCGCGTCTTACAGCCGCCGGTATCCCCGCCCCCCTATGCACCTGCCTCCGTAGATCCAGTGCCTGCACCTACTACTGAGCGCCCGAAATCAATTCTGTGTCCGCCTTTACTGGTATTCCATGATCGGACGCCCGTCTACTCAGTCGCATCCTTTACGGGCACAATTGAGATCGATAAGGCCGAAGAACGATTGGTTGGCGTAGACACGAGCTTCTGGATCGCAATCGCCTTGACGTATCTGGAATTCCTTGCAGAACGAGAGGTTGGTCTCCTGTCCTGTCGCTAATGTTGTTGCATTATTCATTGACTGGTCTCATCTCAGAGTTATCTGGCGGCATTGAGTGATTAATATATCTATACCCTCGTATCTCCTCGTATACGAAATATTCGTTCTCGACCAAAACCATTTGCTATTGCTAGGGGCATCCCTCCTAAGATTACTTAGATTAATACGTCGATCATTCTCCTATGCCACAACATCACCTATTTCCTCCGACAAATATCCTTTTCACCTTCTTTCCTTTCAGCAGCCATCATGGCCCTGAACCTCCATTCTGCTGGGTCTATTCGTGCACCCAGCATCGACAATTTCTTTCAGTCAGACGCCGGCTCAGCGTACCATGTAGTCGTTGGCAGTGACGATGCTTATCGTGTGGAATCCTTATCTGACGACGAGATCTCTCCTCCAGAAGAGGAATATGACATTTTTGACCTAGAGCTAGTTACCTCTGTTGGTGCGAAGGTACGGCACAGATTTCGTCATTTATCTTCTCACTAAGTATATCATCATTTAGCAAACCGAAATTAGTGTCCGTAGACGCAACCCCACACTCACATCCAGTGGGCGTCCCACTTACAAAGTTGAGAAGAAAACCGTCAGTCATTTTTTGGGCAAGAAGAACATGGCCGTCGTTATCAATCGCAATGAGGGTCTAAGCGCGGTCAACAGCAACTCGCGGTCACGAATGCACCCCAAGGGATACGCCCCCATTTTCGAAGCCCACGACGAGAATACTCGCCAAATAACGATGACTGCCACGCCTCAATGCGTTCTGTCTGGCACTGTCCGAGGTAATCGCGTCACCATCTCGCCCTCTTGTGGTTCCTACGACCCCCAAAACTCTAGAACCCATAAACGCGACGGCACCGCATACCATTTCTTTGCTCTCGTTATCTCAGATTTGAGCAGCAACCCTCCGGGAGTCGAGAGCAACGACCCAATGGGGATACCCAAGCCGTCATACCCCGGCGGCGGGTACTTTGTGTTCGACGCCAACAGCCAAGGGCGCAAAGAGCTCCTGTGCTCATTATACTGCACCAGATACGACAAACGACACCGCATACACCCGGATGACATCCTTGTTGCTGAACTCCGACTTCCAAACCTTCCCAACCCGGCGTTCTCCTCCTCTTCCTCCAAGCCACCGGTTCCTTCCTGGACGCGTCTCTTTCGCGAGCATCACGCCTCGCTGCACATCTCCAAACGCGCCATCGACGCTTGTTTTTCAGGCGAGGACGTCAGGATCCTCGCGTCAAAGCCCGTTCCTGGGAAACGCCATTTCTTCACGCGCGAGCAGGGATTAGAGATTATCGTTTCGGCGATGACGATGTCGTTATTGGCAATTGAACATGATGGGTTGGAGAGTAAGAAGTGGATGTGGTTGAATTCGCGAGAGGCGGTGGAACAGCCTGCCGCGCCGAGAAAGGTGGAGGTAGCCGCTGGAGCTGGAGCCGCGCCGGACAGGGTGTCTATCGCGTCGAGAGACACGCTGATGTCGACGGAGGAACCAGAGACAGTGAAGACACCTGAAGGTACGGATTGGGCGGTCATGACGTACAATTCTGAAATCAGCTTGAGGCGAGCAGCCTGGAGTCAGTGCGAGGGAGTCATCGTTCATCGATGACGGAGAGAACAGGGAACAGATGTACACGGCTAGTTACGCCCCAGAACCGTCAAGAGAGTCGTTTGACAGCCAGGTACGACACCCTGCTCAGGCCGTTCAGCTCGTCGGCTGAGCTAGACGCGTTCTTCAACTTTGGAATCTTCAAAAGTATACCCAAATCGTTTTGGTGGAGTGGGGTAATGAATATAATAGCTGGATATGTCTACTTTTAATATAGAATATATTATACTCAGAACATCTCATCATCACCAAAAGATCTTCGTGGTGAACGAGCCCTGTCTTCATCTCGACGACGAGCGTATTCCAGCTTGAGACTGGCACCCTCGCCTGTTCGCGTTCCATTGAGTTTCTCCAACAAGTCCGTTGCGCTCTCGATGTCGCTCATGTGAATGAAGCCTGCGTTTGCTTTTTCCGAGTAGTTGTTGCGCACTAAACAAACCATAATAATTAGAATATTTCACTAAAATTTGATACTGAAGCACTCACGGAAATACACGCTCACTACATTTGCCGCATACGGACCCAGTAGTTCACGCATGGCTTTTTCGTCTCCAATAAAGTCATAAAAATATAGTTTTTGGTTTGGATCTCTAGGTGCAGCATTCCTCGCCTCCTGGTAATCAATGTTCATCTGAAGACCGTCCAATACAAGCGGTTCTTTCATAAAATGTTCGAACGCTTGTTCAGCACACTCTTGCTGGGCAAATTGTACATGCGCAAAGCGTCGAGATCTTCCCTCTGCGTCATACGCTGCAAGGTATCAGAGATTCCGCAAAGAGAGAGATAGTAAGACTTGCTCACCGACATGAACCCGCATAATTCTCCCAAACTTGCCAAACGCCTCCCTCAATTCAGCCTCAGCACCATCAGGGAACCCACCGATGAAGATCGTATCCGAAGGACTCCGTTTCTCTTTCTCATCTTTTTTTGACGGTTTTCCATAGTCCATGATGGTCTGACGACCGCCAAACATGAAGGGCTGCTCTTCGTGAGCCTTGTAAACGCTTGTGGCCTGAGACACGTCTGCAAAATCAACATGAGCAAATCCCAGCGCGAGGCCGCGCGAGTTCATGCCTACAACTGCGTCAGAGGTATGACAAGAATGGAGAGGCAAGCTACGCACCCAGTCTTACACGGACGATCTCGCCAAAACTGCCAAGCTCATACTGTATGTCTTCTTCTGTCATGTTGTACGGAAGGTTTCCAAGATAAATAGTTCGCGTCGGGGTTGCTTTCGTGTCGAGAGATGCACGCGGCTCCCGTAACCTCGCCGGTTGTTTACTGAGCTCGATTCGTGCCTGACGAGTACCAAACACAAACGGCTCGGACTGGTGGGACTGGTATAGACGCTCAGCTTCTTCTGGGCTATCAAATGTAACATGTGCGTAGCCCAACGGTACGCCATTTGGGTTCACGGCTGCAAGTCATCAGAGACGGTCTTTGAACGTGAATTTCTAGCTCACCCATCTTCACGTCCTTTATCGTTCCAAAACTCCCAAGTTCATATCGTACATCGTCGTCTGTCATATTATACGGTAGGTTGGCCAGGTAAATGGTGTCGGTAGTAGTACGAGGACCATTTGACATCAGCCGTATGGCCAGTCGCGTCGGTATCGTTGTCCTGGGTAATGTTCGTGACGCCGAGAACAGCGCAGATGTGCTTGAACGGAGAAATCCGGCAAACATTTTGGAAAACGAAAGTGAAAGTGAAGGCGACAAGATGGTCACGAAATAAAAATTATGTTCCATTTGTCAGTATTTGTTACAGACGGCATCGGCTTTTCGGTCCGAGCATTGGTCATGCTCATGAACCCTGAAAAGGTTCAGCCTTTCGATACACCTTGTTTCCAGCACTGTCAAACGAAAAGGTACCTTTCCACTGTTCCATAGGGACGAAGGCTTTTATACCGCTCTAATAATGGCCTTTTCAGGGCCTGGAAAGCCTTCGTTAACACAAAACCTTTCGAGATTTCAGTTACGAGTTAAAAAGCACCAACGGCCTCTGCTATGAAGGCTCTTTCATGACTAGGCCTCGTATTTTGGAGCAAGCACACACACACAGAAGGGGCAATATGAGGAAAATATGGTGCCAGAAACACCTTCATACCTCGGAGATACTTCTGATTCTAGACATAGTCTAGGTAGTCCTCGTCGACACTCGCTACAGACTTGAGGCTTGAGCTTGATTATGGAAGGTGAAGCCAGTGGATGGGATAAGCAAAGCATAAACAAGATACATAAGAAAGCGAAATACTTACTTCTACAGCAGACGAAGCCGAGTAGCGAACACGTCAGATGCTGAGCGATGTGGACGGACTTGACAAACGAACCATTTTGGATCCTCAGCGTATGACCGCAACGGTTGACTCGAATCAAATTGTAGAAGGTTCGTGCTTTTCATTTGGGTAAAAGTGAATACTGATATCGTTACGTTAGATCGTACCTACTCCGTCATCAGAATTGTCTTTCAGAAATCAGTGTCAACAGAACCGAAGTAACTCTTATTTAAATGGTCCTCTGCACCAAAAGAGGCTTTCCGCTTTGCAACAAATTCCTGTCTTTCCTCAAGCGTCACCACAGGCATGACTAGCGTGACTGGAATGTCCCACCACTGATAGCGCCGACATCTACTACAACACCTCCATGGCCTGGAGGCCTAACAGGCTGTGCAAATTTGACGTTCGCCATACCTCCCGCTGCCTATCACGTTAATCCCTATCGCCTTATCATTCTCATCCCATTGCATCCATGACTCTTACGCGCATCGATTGTGGGAGTAGAGGGACCCTAGAAGAGTTTTTTTTGCTTGTAGGTGCGCAATTTCAATCCTCGATCGCCTTTATTTCACCACCAGCAGCCACCAGCTCATCTCCCCCGTACCCGGCCCTTCGATAGACCACTCCATATTACATCCGTACAGGCCCGAATGACTAGCTTAATCACGGCGCGGTTTTACTTGCGCGCCGTCATGCTCTTAATATCCCGAGGACAGAAACTGCCCTCAATTAAGGTACGCCCCACCATTTCTCCTCTTCTTCTCGACATTTGAGTGCGCCTCGGCGGCCGATCTCAAACAATCTTGTGATTCTCAATTCAGGTTCCGCATCGGCAATGTCAATACACCTCGACGGACTTGTGGTGAATGGACTGAATTACAGAATTTCTTCTCGCTCCCTTTGGACTCCAAGCCATCAACTCGGCATAGGTAGGTAGAGGTAGGTTTGAAATATTAGCCTGAAATTGATTTCTAATTCTTCTAGTGTGATAGGACGAGCCTCGGAGCGGCATTTATGGGCGTCGGAACACCGAGTAGTTCACAGATTATATCTCCGATGACAGCAAGAATTGAACTCAAAGACGTCCGTACTTATCTTGAACCTGGATATGTGACAGGGAGAATTTACGTTCCTGTCTCTTCTACATTCATATGTCACGCGATAAGTCGGATTGGTTGCCTGCCAGCCGCCTTTTCGACGCTACTAAGTTAACGCAAAACACCGGAAGTAATACTATCCGCCTTTCCAGGATGTTAAAGTCAACTAATCGCCGCAACATTCAAGATGTTAACGTCTTCTAATCTCAAAGAACTTATTCTTTAGTGCATGGAACCAGTCCCTGCTGACTGGCAATATGCTATTGGGGCCATGTGGGTTGATCAGGTGGGTTCTGCGAAGCGAAGTCTACTGTATTTCTTTACTCACATATTGCCTAATGTTCCTCCGGTGTAGGATTGGTCCTGTATGTCGTAAAGGGTAACAAGATTTCGTATAAACTCTACCTCGTAAACCGAGTGTCTCGTCCTATATTCCCTACCACCATCCTCTATAATGTCGTCGAAGCCCGACCTGACCCAAACTTTCGTCGTCGTGCGTTGTCCGTGGTACCAATGGTGGTGGACATATCACTGACTGAGCTTTGACTGACAGTCAGCTGCAGAGTTGCAATATTTCAAGGCCAGGCCAGCCCCGACGGCACCTGATGGTTTGTACGACTCGCAGATTATCGCGCAGAACGAGCAGAACGGGAAGGATGACCAACACTCGGTACTCTACAACATTGTCAATGATGCCTCAGCAGGCAGTGAAGCGAGGGCCGATAGTGCCAGACACGCTAAAGGCCTGCAGGTGAGTTCAGATTTAGCTGTTTTCTCACTTATTGACTGACACTGCTGCTGGGTAATTTAGCAAGGTGTTTTGGACGTCGTGAATAGCCCCGACGCGATAGACGACCGGAAAGGGATCTTCACTACGTCGTTGGCGGCCATCACCAGGCTTCCTCCAGGATCGTTACAGGACGGGCTCAACAACGAAGCTATAGCTTTGTTGTATAATACGTTGCCTCATCCACCAGCAACGTTCATCGGTCCTCAGTATCAATGGAGGAGCCCAGACGGGTATGGCAACAGCGTCGAGAACCCACAACTTGGGCGGGCGGGTACGCCTTATGCGCGTAGTGTTCAGGGAAAACATCCGCTTCCGGGTACATCACTGCCTGATCCGGGATTGGTTTTCGACACGCTACTTTGTGCGCGCGATGTGAAGTATTTCTTCTGCGATTGGATCAAAGTTTTCACTGCTTATGAATGATGGGACAGTGGCAACAACATCCCGGGAAGAACTCTTCGTTGACCTTCGCCTTCGCGTCGATCGTCACCCACTCACTTTTCAGGACAGATCCTTCCGACTGGACACGCAATAACACATCATCGTATCTTGATCTTTCGCCTTTGTATGGGTACAGCCAGGCCACGCAGGACCAGGTTCGCGATAAGGAGAAGGGACGTGGACTCCTCTACCCCGACACATTCAGTGAGGAACGACTCATCTTCGTACCACCAGCAGCGTCTGCACTGCTTGTCATCTTTAACCGGAACCACAACGTACGTTGTATACTCCGCCCTTTTTCGTTCGCGAAGGGCGACTTGAGGGAAGTGACATTCTGACTGTCCATTGCAGTACATTGCCAACATACTACTGAAAATTAATGAGTGGAAGCGGTGGTCCGACCCACCACCTGCTGATCCCCAGCAGCGTGCCTTGCAAGATGAAGAGATCTTCCAAACGGCTCGGCATGTCAAGTCAGTCCTTCCTTCTCAGAAGCCCTGTGGTTCTTTTCCATACTGACCGAACAATCAGCTGCGGACATTTCATATCCCTCATCTTTGGCGACTATGTTGCCGGATTCCTCGGACTCCCACGGGAAGGGAACACATGGAGCATGAATCCATTCGATGTCTGTCCGCTTGTATTCTGAGTTGTGCCGTCAAACTGATCAATCGTACAGCCCATTACAACAAAGAAAGGCGAGAAAGTCACTCGAGGACAAGGTAACCAAGTTTCTGTCGAGTTCAACCTCCTCTACCGTGTAGGAACGCTGTTATTTTGGAATGGATTGGAGCTCACAGACAATCTAGTGGCATGCAACGACTGCAAAAGAGGATATCAAATGGACGGAGGACGAGTTTGCATCCCTTTTCAGCTCAGCGGGAAAATCAACGGACCAGGTCACCGTCGACGATTTCAAGGTCGCTGCAGTTAGCGCATTCAGAAATATCGACCCGGAGCCAAGAAAGCGGGTGTTTGGCGGGTACAACATACCAATTGCTGTCCATTGTCTATCACTGATTTACTTGTCGACAGGATGGTGCGTCAGGCCGACGGCTCGTTTAACGACGACGATCTCGCACGGATCTTGCAGGACGCAACTGACAAGGCAGCCGGTGCGTACCGCGCTCGGGGGACGCCGGCGGCGTTGCGCACGATCGAGATTATGGCAATGGAGCAGGGGCGTCGGTGGGGGTGCTGCACTATGAACGAGTTCCGTGACTTCCTTGGCCTGGCCCGCTTCAAGTCGTTCTCGGAGTGGTCCAGCAATCCCGAGATTGCAAAAACTGCAGAGCTCTTGTATGGGCACATTGATAACCTCGAACTATATACTGGCTTGCAGGCAGAGGACTGTATGGCGTTGGGTCCTGGAAGCGGGATTTGTTGTGGGTACACGATGACGAGGGCGATCCTGGCAGATGCGATCGCGTTGGTGCGTGGCGATCGGTTCTACACTACGGATTATACACGTGAGTGCCACCTGCTATCTGCCAGCTTTGTGCTGACCGTGTACGTGTAGCTGCGAACCTTACCACATGGGGTATTCAGGATTGCGCCCGCAATCCAGACAATGGAGCCTTCGGTGCGGAGCTACCCAAGCTCCTCTTCCGCCATCTTCCCCGCCACTACCCCGGCAATAGCACCTACGGCCTCTTCCCCTTCTTTACCCCTGAGGCCGTCAAAGAGAATCTCACCAATCTGGGACTCGACCTCTCGAAGTACAACTTTGAGCGACCAAAGCCAAAGCCTATTCCCATCGTGCTTAATACGATCTCGGCTATTCGATATGTGTTTAATAATTATAACGTCTACAAGCAAACGTACACCGATGACATGGAATTACTGACGAAGGGTTATGGGTGTGTACTTCTTGATTAACGCCTTTTCTCTTGTGGTTACAATTTTGTTCAGATTCATGCTCTCATTCGACGAGAAAGAGAAACACGACACTGATCGTATGATGGTGAGTAGGTATAGTGCTGTTCCAATAACATTTTTTCATTGGCACGTCAGACTCTAAAAGCCCTCTTCCCTGACAAAGAAACCCAAACCCAATACGTTGCATGGTATAAGGCCAAGACTCTTGAGCTCCTCAAAAAGAAAACCTTCAAGTACGATCCACGTCCTCTCATGTTTTCTTTCAATCACTAATGATTTCTGCAGATATCCTGGTGTGCCAGGAAACTACGTTGACATCGTCAGCAATGTCATCAATCTCGTTAGCGCTCATTGGGTTGCTGAAAACTTGGTACGGCCTGGTGGCGTCTACCTTCGCCTTGTGCACTGACTGACTTGTCATTCTGTAACTAGATTGGCTTCCAACTGAAAACGGAGGAGGATCCATCAGGTGTACTCACAGAACAGGAGTTTTATCAGATGTTGGCAGTGCTCTTCACATGCGTCTTCATAAATATCGACTCGGAGCACTTTTGGGCACTCCGCTCCGGCGCATTGAAGGTCAGCGAGGTCGTGATGGGTTTGATCGAACAGGGAATTACCAACGCTTCTCCTCTAACTGCAACCGTAAGTATCTTTTATGAGGTTCTCGAAAATCCGTCTTCTGATTATGCACTCCCGTATAAATGATAGAATGTTGTTGTTGGCGTTTTCACAAAGCTCAAGGAGACTATCTGGCCACCATCACGTCAGAATTGTCCTGGCTTCCTTACCCGCTTAACAGCCTCTGGCAGACCAATGCGAGACCTTGAGGCTATCGTTGTTGGGTTGGCCGTCGGCAGTTCCGTCAACTATGCTCAAGGTGAGTAAGCTCAGACCATTTCTATTATGTTTTGACTGAGCACTTCGCAATATACAGCTGTTTCACAAATCGTCGACTTCTACCTGGACGACAGCCGTGCCGCAGAAAGAGCTGCGCTCATTGAAGTGTGCAAGCGCGATGATGCAAAGAGCGCTGAACTACTCAAGGGCTACGTCCGCGAGGCCATGCGTCTTAACCCGCAATTCGGTGGACTCTTCCGCTATGCTGTGAAGGACGATGTCATTAACCAGGGCCACGGCCTCCCGCCTATTAACATACACCCAGGCGATATCATCTTTGGAGGCTACAAGAATGCACACCGCAATGTATATTGATTTTTCTTGGCCTGAGGCTTCCTACTGACTGCATTTCTGTCCCTAGCCGGACGACTTCCCGAATCCCCTCAAGGTCGACCCCACTCGCCCATTGGACAACTACGAGATCCAGGGATGTGGTTTCCATGGCTGTCCCGGCGTCGCTTTCGTAGCAGAGGCTGTTCCGGCCATGATCAAAATCATATTCAGCTTGCCTGGTATCCGACGGGCTCCTGGACAGGCCGGAATACTTGACGGGTTCATTCTCAACCAATTCGAGGTATGAAGCCGTTCATTCTAGCTGTTAACTCGTTGGTTAATCTCCTCCTGTGCAGACTGATAATAGAATGTACATCACGTCGACTGGTCAGTTCGGGCCGTGGCCGGGTTCCCTCCAGATTGTGGTACGTATCACAATTTTTGATTAGCGTGAAAGTGGTGATCTCTGATGTATCGCTCTACAGTACGACGATGCTTGAAAAATCGCAGGCTGGCCTTGAGCCTCCTTCCACACTTCACTCAGGATGTCCGTGAAAAAATCACAAAATTTCAAAAGCGTTTTGACATGAACAGACTCGGGAAAATTTTTAGTGCACATATATTGTACTTATATTGATTCAATATTGATTCAGTAATGATCGAACAATGATGGACCGCAAGATGGCGCTAGCGTTTTATTGGGAGTATATTTTTGAGAGCAGCTTACGATCGGCGTAAGATAGTGGTTTCTGCCTGCAGGATTTCCTTCACGGGAACTTTTTGAGCGTAGGATATGCAAAGTTTGTTGCTGCCTCCGACTCCTGTGGCCGACCGATGCTGCATGCAGGCTCTTGAAAGCTTAGAATAGTGTTTTATAAGGAGACAGAAGGTTTCAAGCGTCCTGGGATGGGAAATGTAGGTTCGCTGCCACAAATACTTCTAGATGGAATGGTTTCATGGAGCGTACTCGAAGACTAAAAAGTTGGATTGGCCACCTCTATAGCCTGAGGCCTTGAGGGCCGGCCCGGACATGAAACGCGTTCCGTCACAGCAAAGTCACGTCACACCGTGTTTTCATTTCTTACGATATCATGAGTCGTGCAGGCACCCGTCAAAGACCTTCAGGCGCATCCCAAGCGCAGTCCCAGTCAAGGGCCACTCAGAGAACTCAGCGACATAGAAGCAGAAGATACCGATGAAGGAGGAGGAGGAAGGCGACGCATCCATGGATGTCGACGACGACGAAGAAAATACACCCAGAGACGACGTGCGTGATTTCAAAAATGCCTTTTCTCGCGTCACTGACGCGTCTTCAGGACATTGTACGGAAAGCTAATCAGCTGGTACGCCTGGCTCTGTTCGCAGAGCATAAACGAAATCCTTTGCGCAGGGAAGAAATATCAAAGAAAGGTTAATAAACTCAGGATTTCATGATTGTCGATCCTTCTAATGCTGCTCACAGTACTTGGCTTCGAGTACTCGCTCTTTCAACCAGGTCCTTCAACTCGCGCAAAGTACGCTGCAGAAGACGTTTGGGATGGAGCTCGTTGAGCTTCGCTCTCGCGCTGAACTAGGCAAGGACGGTGCAGGCGGGGACGAGGACCTTGAGGAAGCCAGGAAGGCAGCCGGAGTCAAAAAGAAAGGTGTGCTTGCTGCCCAGTCTCCTTCCTGCGCGCGCTGAGGTGAATGTTAGCTGCTGCCGCTGGGTCCAAGAGCTATATCTTGCGCTCGGTCCTCGACCCCGCCTATCATCGAGCACGCGGCTCAAGTCAACGAGAAGATCCTGGAGGAGGAAGCCTTGGAGGAAGACTGACAATGACAATGGCGACGACGAACAGGGCACACGGTCCTACTGGCAGCCTTATCTCCTGGAGTCACACAGACCAAATTGGTTCTCTGGGGATTCTCTATATCATCCTCGCGCTGATTCTCGTGAGCGGCCGAGTGCTGAGCGACGCGGAGCTCCGCGCGCATCTGAAGAAGCTACGTCAGCCCATGTCGGGTTCCGTCAAGTTCGACGCCCATGTTACACATAAAAGCGTGTCGATGGAGGCATATATGAACATGATCATCCGGCAGGGTTACGTGGAACGATTGGCGGTGGGCGATGCAAAGAAGGGAAAAGGCAAGCGCGTACGTGCGACTCAAGGAGACGACGACTCCGGGGCGACGTACGAATGGCGGTGGGGCAATCGGGCGCACAGCGAGGTTGGCGAGAAGGCGATTTCTCAGTTTGTGGCAGAGTTCATGGTAGGAGAGCAGGAGGCTGAAGATGACGAAGAGGAAGGTGGGAGAGTCGCGAGGAAGGCGAAGGCAGGACCAAGCACAGAATAAGGTGGAAAAAATGGCTGCTGGTATTGAAAGAGCCGCTGGTGGTAATTTATCTGATCTCAAGTAATTGGCATCGTTATCGTGGTCTTCTTTGGTTTCACTAGTGTACTGTTCATATGTATGTGCTACTGTACATGGATTTCATCCTTCTACTGCTTATTATATGATTCCTTCTACAAGAACTGTATTTTTGCTGGTATTCAAGCGTAAAGCATGCCTGGGAATATGGGTCTCCCATCGTCAGGCAAAGTTGTCTACCCGTAACGCACGAGCGCAGGCAGTTGTGTTAACCCACCATACTACGTTTTCTGCCCCGAAGACGAACTAAAAATTACTGTCAGCGATACCCAGGATACAAAGTAGGAAACAATTGCCAAGGGCCGTAATGGCGAAGGTAAAAGTTTCATATTTCTTCGAAAATACAATGGAAAACCCTTCAGGCAAGATACCCCCATGCCTTGGGCCGAAGATAACATACATCGATTCAAGGCAAAAGACTGACCATCATCTAACCGACGTTTGATAGCTGGCCACTCCTTGCCCATTCTTACTTCGTATGCCTGTAACACTGATGCAAACAGAGGTTCAGATTCTGGATGAGTAGAAGAAAATGCTCGTTCCAGAACGTATAGGTCAACCGCTTTGTCTTCAATAAGGGTGGAATGGTACGCAAGACCAAAATCCACGAGGAACTGAAAGAGAAATCAAGATCAAGAACATTAAAGTGGCAATAGACGCACCATCTGTGCAGGCAGTCCTGTACGGTGAGGATGTCGGAGCATCATATTCGATGTTGTAAGGTCGCCGTGGATGATATCAGCAAGGTGCATCTTTGCAATCTCTGTGCCGATGAGTTCCATTATTTCATCTGAAGAATATCGAATCAGCGACACATGATTATGGGGAAAAAAAAGAAAATTCACCGGCAGAAACGCCATATTCTTCCAACGGGTCTGAATTCACCGGCCCTTCATCGTTCTCCTCGTCATCATCTTCCTCTGCACCACCAGGTAGAAGCTTTCTGACGCTCTGGCCATCAATCCACTCAATTCCAAGAACACCTTCTGAAGCGTCCACCATCCGAATTCCTGGTACGCTCACTCCAGATCGTAGGCATTTCAATATGGCGCGCGCTTCCCCCGCTACTCGTGACCGCGTCAAATTCGCATCTAACGAAGGATGTCTGTATTGCTTCTTGAATCGGTATTTAAGCAATATTGGAGTTGCGGAATCGGAGTTGAGAAACGCCTTATATACTTTCTATCGGGTAAAATCAATCGTCGTCCATACATCGAGACTAAAGAGACTTGCAGCCTCTGCACCTTGAGATATAGGTTCCGCCTTACTGATAATGCTCTGCGAGGCGGACAGAGACATTCTAGTATCACGCAAAAGTACGATTGGCGAGAGGAATCCTTGGAACAGCGAACAGATGAATTTTGATGATGATAGTAAGAAATCAGCAGATTGTTTGTCTCTGTTAGAAAGAAAACCTAACAGCTTCCGGTCACCATCCTTCTCCCCTCCACTGCATAGTTTCCTTACCACGGCAGTTCATCCCATCTGTTTCTGTGCGGGAGGATGCAAGAACAATGTAAATTATTTGCGCGAGTTAGTTTAGGTCTCTGATTGACGATGATAGCACAATACGCTGCCGCTGCTCATGTCCCCCTGATAAAGTCTCCAAGTCTTCGAGTACCTCGACCCGTAAGTAGTTCCCCCCTCAAGAAAAATGCACTTGTCTGATGGACATGTATAACAGGTCGAACTACCCCAGGATATACACCCTCTGCCTGATTCTGTGACAGCTTATGTAGGTCAAACGTCCCAAGGACCACTGACATTGATTGACCCCGCTCTAGTTTGTATACCCATTCACACTCGAACCGCACATTCTCACCGTCGAGTCTTCACGTCGAACAACACTCGCTGCCCATACCGCACGTCGTGAAGGATTTCTTCGGGCGCGGGATGACGAGAAGGAACGGCGTAAGCGCGAGGCGCTGCGGAAGATTGCTCCCGGCTTCGAACCAGCCGGATCAGTCCTGGTGCCTACGAAGACAGGTTCTGTTAGTAACCCGCCCTCTTACTCTACCCCTGACCCTGGGCCTGAGCGGCCAAGTAGTGGTCACCAACAATCCAAGTCAGTCATGGACGATCTGGTAGATCAGTTAGCCGCCCTCGATTCCAAAGACGACTCCCAGTCAACGTAGCGTATCATCTAAGATACAGAGAATTTTATTGTAATTGGAGTTGGTGCTAGTTACACGGACTATCGTGAATATCATTTATGATTATTCACGTTTTCCGTAATTTGTACATCTATTGTATAGGGTACTGGTAGTCCCTCTATAAACAACCAATAAATCATCAAGAAAAACGACACATGAGGTGTCACAGAAGGAGACGAAAGGAAAGTTACACGACATCAGACTTTGTCGTAGGAATCGGAGTAATCGTCGCTACCGGTTACTCTATTTGTCCTTAGATCAGAAGCATCCTTCATCCGGCCGCTATCCTCCAGCTGTTCATACAAATGAGATCTTCGTCGGCCGCAGAAGGAGAAAGAACGTACATCAATGTGCTTAATAGTCTCTTGTACTGTCCTTACTTGAATCCCGGCTCCGCTGAACCCGCCCAAATCCATGTCAGTCTGCACACAGCCATCAGTGGGATCACTCGGCATCTGGACTTGACAACTTACCCGACGGCGCGATCGGTTATAAGACGACAGTTCGTGGCTGCTGGTCCCCCTGCTCGATGCCGCGCGGATATTCCGACGAGCATTCAATGTCCACATCATGGAAATCGCATACAATTTCGGAAGGATCTGATTGAAGGCAGTGGATACGAGTTTATCCTGGCCCGAGTATATTTGGGAAAAAATGAGATTGAGCATGGCACTGCAAGGTACGAAATGTGAGCTTCAAACGCGAACTAGTGAGATAACGCTGCCTCACCAAATCGAAGCCGGAGCCGCAGTCTGAAATGTCAAGCGCACGAGGGCGGTAATCAAACCAACAGTTCTACAAATTGTTTGAGCCGGACAAACGGAAAAAAAGTAGAGGCGTATGACGAACTGAGGAAGAACGTTTTTCTTTGAGCGGATCAGGAAGTACGCCGTGGCGAATGTCATTGTGAAATCGGCGGCTATGGAGGAGATGAGTTAGCGATGACACGCATAGACTACTGAGTCGAGAGCCGTACCAAAGACAGATCCAAGATGGGATGCGACTGTAATTGATTTGTCAATACGTGGATATTGGCAAATATGACGCCTTCACTTACACCATTTCCCGATTGCTGCCTCATCGATCTTGGTAATGTAGTAGCACTACAAGGACATCCTCAGGAACTGGATTGAAATGCAGGGAAATATGCACTTACTGCCACAATCATGGAGACATAAGCATACACGCACAGGATTGCGATTGGTGTAACAACCCAGGGTCCTTTGGATATAACATAGAGTCGGTAACAGAAGTAGGCTTGCACATATATGCCGATAGTAGCGACCTTTCAGAGTCTTAATGCGAGGAGAGAGGTCGACCAAGTCCGATACGCACGAAGAGGGAGTTGTACGATTGCCACCATGCGGTATAATTTAAATTGATGGCGTCGGCAAGATCGTTAACGTACAAAATGCTTTGGATCCATATGAGAGCGCTGGAGATACCCTGGGGTTAAGGGAAAGCGTAGCAACACTGATTTGTATGCACTCACAAGGATTGTATAGACTTGAGCGTTGTCAAAAGCATGAGACCAACGACAGACCACTTCAAGGCCCGCTTGTCATCGTGATACCAACTCCAGTAATGCGAGAACTAGGTGCAGAGCGCGTTGGTTAACGATCGGTGACAACAAGTTCAACGAACGGCGGACCTGGCAACACAAAATTCCTTGCAAGAAGATCTCTAGGTAGCAGCCAATGAGCTGTGTAGATCCATAAATTCGCGGAAAATGTGTAGAACAACGAATAGCACGTACCCAAGGACCTAATAGAAAAACTGCTTCGCTGTGTTCCTCGGCAGTCAAGGCCATCGAGATGGGAGTTATTTCACTACTTGCAGATTGGTATACCAGGTTTATATAACCAAACCGCCACCGGTTACTGTTGACCCCCTATCTCCATACAGTTCGGAGTAGGCCCGGGACGATTGATCGCACAGATTTGCGGACAAACTCCCACAAGCTTTACGTGCCCCTACCGTTGCCAGACCACAGCGATGTGTTGGCGAAAGAGAAAAGATACGAGAGAAAGGTATGCCTTAATCCGATGTCTTCAGCAAATTCTGTGGGAGGAATACAACCTCTTGAGCTCAAAAAATGATCTATGGTAACCGTGACCACATGAAATAAGGATTTCAAGCTGTCATTTATGCGAAGGCACCAGGGCAGCCAGATAAGTGCGCAAAATGAAATCGCCGAAAACGCTGTCAGGTAACCAAGTGAGGAAACATGATGACGTCGACTCGTATTGGGAGCCGTCTGGATATTTTGACAAGAGAGGAGTCGCGCCTAGAACGCCAGCGATGGAACTAGGACATGTGAGGAGAACGTTTGGCTACTGTGGCGTCTGCAGGGATAGTGCAGCCCTTGCCGCGGAGGTATACGATCGTAGCCGCGTCCGTCGTCGGTAGGCCTGGTTCAAAGCGACGGCTGGCGGCCGCGCTCCTCCGATGACTAACGGACAGTTCTACAAACGTTCAAGGAGGCCTGAGCACTCAGGCTCGGGGGGATGAAAGAAATTCATCGTAAGCCGAGTCGCTGTCCCCGTGCCCAGACAATTTGGAGTAAGAACGAATTTCATCTATATATTAGCAAATTTTGAATTACCACTCACATTTGTTGACTGGTAAACATGCGTGCATCATCCTTGATTTGGGTAGAGATTTTCTATCAAAACTGGCGCGTGCCCAAATCATCGGATAAAGCAATAAAACATTAGACAGGAATTACAGAGGGAGGAGGGCGGAATTCAGGCAGGGTCAAGAACGCGTGTCGACAACTCTAGAACGCCACATTTTCGAATTAGTGATTCTGATGTAGAATACTTGGTGGAATCGATGCAGCTGGATGGCTTCCGGCTTGGCCTTTCGGAGAAAAAAAAGTGACAAGCAAACAGAGGGCCGGCCGAAAGCTTGAAGCATGTCATGAGAAAGAGAAAATAAGCCTTTTCAGTTACTCTAACGGCCCCGAACTTAGAACTTGGAAAGCATTGGCGGATGGCGGAGTTCAAAGCGGAGGTTCAATATTGCGTGAGAAATCATTGCCATTGCTGACCGTGACGCGTCGCTTCTACATCGTTCACTCATCACCGCCATTTGGACCAGTCATGTCGGACGGAAACAACGTAGGATATACTCTGGACGGACGACCCAGTGAACCATTGCCAGAGTCATGGGCACGTCCTTCAGATACTCGCCGTGTTGGACGTGTAGGAGATTGGAGTAGTTCCAGGTAGAATCTCCTTTATCGGGTATCTAGTGAATGCTCATTATCCTGGCAGTGGGCAACCCAGTAATAGCTCAAGAGGTGGCAGTAGTAGCTCAAGATTTGGTACTCTTCGAGATATTAGCGCGCCATCGATGCCATCGCCGCAATCCTTCGGCGGCGGCAGTGGTGGTCGAGATTCGGATGAAGACGACGAGGATGGCCCAGGCGAAGACGGTCAAAGTTGGTTCGCCGGTGGAGAGAGAAGGTGTGTACTCATCGTGATCTCGTCGCAGTTTCAGTGTCTCAAATAGTCGATTTCAGTGGAATATCTATCCAGAATCCCGACCGGGGTAGAGGAGTTCCAGGCGGTAACATGGTGCGCGATTTGCTACGTCGGGCGGCCGAGTACGTCTTTTAGTCAAAAACTCAGTGCGTTTCTCATACCAAAGGATAGAGCCGGCCCGCCACCTGTGGCGATGGGATCTGAACAGAGAGCTCATGTATTTACTGGTGGCGGACACACGCTAGGAAGTGACGAAGTACCAAGTACTTTCATTCCTGACCCGGATGCTGAGGAGAATGGTATCACTTCTCCATCTTTTTCTTCCATAATGTCTCTGAAGGGAAGGCGTAGATGGTACAGAAGAAACCGCTATCCGTCACCTCACCTTTTGGAGAGACGGATTCACTGTTGAGGATGGCGACCTCATGCGATACGATGATCCGAACAATGAACAGATCTTGGCGGAAATCAACTCTGGGTGAGGATATCCATTTTCTGGGCGTCTGCATGTTCTAATTTATCACGTCTTAGCCGCGCGCCACCATCTATCCTTAATGTGCTCCCGGGCCAGCCAGTTGAACTCCGCGTTGCTAAGCACACCGATGAAGATTATGTAGCACCTAAACGTACTGGCTTTTTTGGGAGTGGTAACCGCCTCGGGGCTCCTGTACCGGGAGGGGAGGCTTCACATGCATCTAGTTCATCGATGCCAGGAAGCTTTCCGTCCTCGTCTTCCCCCGCTCCTTCCTCTGAGCCTACCCGTGAAAGTATCTCCACCAAGTTTGAAGTCGACCAATCAAAACCGACTACGAGTATTCAGATCCGTTTGGCTGATGGAACGAGGTATGCTAGTAAATTATCCATCAAAGTATTTTTTCATTTAAAAGGTTAAACAGAATGGTTTGCCGCATGAACTTGACACACACAGTCCTTGACATTCGCAATTTCATCAATGCGTGAGTGTTGTCCGTGTCAATAACGGCTGTTTTGAAATTTATGACACCACCACCAGATCTCGCCCTGAAAATCTCACAAGGCCGTACTCTATCGGGACGACATTTCCGAATCGCACCCTTGACGACAACGCACAGACAGTTGAGAGTGCAGGACTGTTGAATAGTGTCATCGTTCAAAGATGGGTTTAAGGGTAATGTCTTTGTAGCTTGCAAATGAAAGTGTATTGAGGACGTCATGTTAATGTATGAATATGGGTACAGGAGCGCGGCTTGCATCTGTAACGGTCTGAAAGTGATGATTTATAGGAGTAGCCTCGCAACCCTCAATATTAATGCGACTTGTCCATCACGACTGCCACATAGCGCCCCCATTCGTGCTCCGTATCGAGGCAATGATTGGACGGAAGAAAGCGTCCTGCGATATTATCGCCTCTCGTGACTTTTTTGAATCTTGTCCTGCACTACCTGAGCAGATCGTGGACGAAAATAACGCGATGCAGATGCCCACCTCTCCTTTTTCCTAGATTGGGTGCTATCGATCAGCTTCTCCCATGTTCAAATTTAATTTTGACACCTCTGCAAGAGTTGCTAACACCAGGATATCGCTTGTCTTGTTAGCAGACTCCCCACCAGCATCCGAAACAATTTTTGGAGGAGGGGTCCAAGCTTGCGCGCCTGCATTGGACCGCCATTATGCAAATCTTCCGAGTCCCGACAAGTCTGAATTTTAAAAGGACCGCATTTCTGTCCTGATCCAGCTGTGGCCAGACCCTTCTGTTTCAACTTGGCGGACATTTCATCTACCATCTTTGTTAACTATTATAGCAGTGCGCTCTTTTGGGATTTTTACCTGACTCTGGCTGAGTACCTTCCCCAGAACGGCAGCTTGTCAGCTTACGAAGACGATGAGTTTATCGCCGTCGCTACGCTTCGTTCATATAGACACCAATGATTTCGAGACGGTAGTGAATGCGTGCCAGCGATTGTTATATCAGCGCATGTTCTTCCAAGTCACCGCGCGCTAAATACTTCCGATGCAGGTCAAGTAAGCGTCAAAGCCGGCCGAGTATGAGCAGAGGCTTGCTACAACTTTTGACCTTCCACATCGTTTTGGTATCGATGGTACCACAGTGATCTAGGTCCTTCCGCCAGGATGCTATAGATCAGGTTTTCGCCGGTTATCTTTTACCGAGGTGTGACTCCAAAGATACTGTCAATTTAAGTTTGACATAGATATGTATGAGAGATGCAGACTGGACTGATGATGAGTAGTGAAAACAAGGTGAAGGAGGCTCCTCTCACCTAAGTAACTGAATAACGGTATTGCTACAAACTACAGTGACAACATGGGTTCAAATAATTATTATCCGCGTGGAAAAGATGGAGGAGAAATGGAATAAATGGAGTAGTATCATAAGGTGTTCCCATCATTGACTAGAATGTTCCTCGACCCTTTGGCAGAGGGCGAGGCTTGGGCAGAGGACGTTGATCCGGCTTGCGCTTCGGCAGAAAGATGAGAACAAGCGACGGAGAAAAGGGCGTGCATGTGACATACGACAAGCCTGAACTTGCATTGAAAGAATCCTTGAGGCCCTTTCTCGTACCAATACTTCGGAACGGAGATATGAGGATACGTAAACAGACACAGAGACAATTGTAACTTACATCTTCGACCGTGTACAGGCCGTCATATCGATACCCCCTTGAGAAGTATCAGTATCAGTGCGGGATGGTTATGACATATCACCTACTGGAAGGGAGCATAGATAGACTTGCCAGGTCCACGGATCACTCTCACTGCGTTGCGGATCTCTTTAGACCGCTATGGTTACTTTCAGCACACGAGTAGAGATGAGAAGAAGGCATACTTACTACGAGTGCTGCGTTGCTGGGGTGGTCAAAGGACTGATCTTCAATTTGTTCTCCAGTGGGTATCTATTATTATTTAGCAAAGCACATCAAAATACGAAGAACAATAGGCGCACGCCAAATTCACTTCGCTGTCCTCCTTTGTTACCCCGGTTAATGCGAGTTCCATTCACAGAGAAGTCTCACATACCGGTGCCAACGTAGATTCTGAAAGACGGAGTAAGCGTTGTAAGAGAATGCATCCGCGGAATGCTTACAGAACATCTCCATGATCTTCGTCACCGTAGTATTTGGAGGTGCATACCGAAGCAGCACCCTCAGTAGCACTACCTACTATTCCAGCGGTATTCTGGGTATGCACACCGGCTTCTGCGCATTCTTTCCTTCAAAGGACATCAGATGTTGTACTATCTAATGGGTATCACACACCTGGTATCCCAGTGAGAGCCTACTGGGTAACCGTCGATGTCTCCAAATTTGTCGTGCTTGACCCAGGGTGGCATTTCGGCCATGAATCGCTGGCGCCTGGCAGATATAAGCAAAACAAGTTAAAATGAGGAAATATCGTACATTGCCTCCATCTCTGTGGTCGTTGGTACGAATACGAGTAGCTAGATGGTGAGTGAAGGAGAATAAGGAGAAACTACTAATTAGGTAACGCGTCCTCCCAACGCGGTACCGCGCACATCACGTGCGCTTTGTCAGACAATGGCATTTTTTCCTTTGTTCTTGCTTTGTTCTCACCACAACATTGCGGCAGTCTATAGGCCTGCGTTTTGAGGCCTTCGGCATTCTGTCCTGTGGCGGGTATTCTTCTCATATATTTCGACTTGAAACACGGCGCGCGACTGACACTGACACGGAAATTCTTCCACTCCCGCTCTGGCGCCATGTACCCCTCCTTCTTAATTCAAAATAAGTATGGCTACGCATCCCGGCAGCTCTTGACTGGATTATTCTTGGCTCCGTCTTTTATTTCTGCTGCTGGTTTAGTATAAAAGTAAGGAATTGCCGTGTTGTTCGCGATGACCCTCTGTTCGAGTTGCGAGCGGGCTTTTCTTATCCCTTTGCTTTAAATCAGTATCATCTAGGCTTTACTGCGGTTCCATGTATAAACTGTGCTGCTCGGACGGACGGCTGATCCACACTTGCACTTGCCTCATGTCCGCCACGCCTGCAGAATCCACTTGTCTCTTGACTACGAATAGTTCTCAGGCGGTATTTGTTCTTGGAAGGCCTAATATATTGTGTATTCCCCCGGATGGATATAATATCGACTCAGCCTGTATTGGAACATAATGCTGTATAGCCCAGATGTGCGTTGTCAGCGACACAGCTCGTCGTTGAAAAGTCTCAAGGTCATGCTGGAATTTCCGTTGTTCCGGTATGACTTGGCTTCTTGGCTAACTTGTGCTTCTTTGGCTTCTTTGTGCTCGTACCTTGTGGTTCTTGTGCTTTATTAAAGAGGCCCCCGTCCCCGCCAGTTGTTGACGGTCATACGATGCTTGCCAAAGTCATAAGTGACACATTTGGACTTGAACATGACGACTTAGCCGGTGGGTCAATGCGGAGGAAAGGCTATGAACGATATGTCATTCGTCGTCGCCGTCGTTTTGAAATTCTCAGTCAGCAGCTGAATTAAAGTTCACAATCATGCAGGAGCAGGCGCGATTAGGCGCTAGACGACGCATCGTTATATTACTATGTTCACTGCTCTGCCGATGAACACGATAAGGCTTACCAGTTGTACATGCAGGTGAGTAAGATCCACGGATAAATGAGTGCCACAATTCTGATCACATCTATTTGTAAAATGTCAGTGATGAGCGCTGAGCGCAGAGGATCCGGAATCCGCGCACGGTGCAGGGAGACGAACGTAGTGGACGGATATTGTATGGACGACGGCATGCCAACGGTCCTTGAAAGGAGTTGATGATCCATCGTGTGGTGATATTAACCACGAGCCTGGCATGAGGTGCACTTTGTCGCACAGTATTGTACGTTTTGTGCCACAAATCGACGTCGCTATCTTGGTACGATTTTCGTGGCACAGTACACCGCTTAAGAGATGTAATCATATCGTACACAAGCGACCAACAGACGGCAGGAAAGTGAGGGTGCAACGAATTGAATACCCATAAATTACGTCATCAATCAAGATCCAATAATTTGACGCATAAAAGCGGTACACCACTCCTCCATGCACTTTCGGTATCTTTCTGCTGCTTTCCTTCCTCATCGTCCTCAGTAGCGCCCAGTTCGCTCTATTCCTCGCTGCCAAGCTCGACGTCGAGCTCAATACCAGGACTTACACTTGATACCAATAAATGGAACGGTGAGCAAGCTATGCAGCATCGAGACCGGGCTGGAGCTCATTAGAACACTGCCAGATACTCCAAGGTAGAGAAAGTCGGTGCGTGACGACCGTTGTCCTCATTTCTGAAGGTGCTGATGATTCCGGACTGGGCATTGCTGCAGGCGAAGGTACGGACATTGGCTCGATCGATGACGGTTCCGCTGACGACCTGACCGGCAGGGACGTACGGCGTCGTATACAAGGCCCGGGATACCAGCACCAACCAGATAGTTGCCCTTAAGAAAATCAGGCTCGAAGCCGAGGACGAGGGTGTACCCAGTACCGCCATCCGGGAGATTAGTCTCCTCAAGGAGCTCAAGGACGACCATGTGGTTCGGTACGTTTCAAGGCCACCTCATTCTTATCGGTTCTTAGTATCTTATCTAGTCTTCTTGACATCGTCCATGCTGACCAGAAGCTCTATCTGGTTTTCGAATTCCTCGACGTCGACCTCAAGCGATACATGGACCTTGCCAACAAAAATCATACTCCTATTACGCTGGAAATGTCTAAGGTACATTTACCACCCTCTTTCATGAATGTGTGAGCGCCCTATCTATCGAACACGCCCCATGCGAAATTCGCGACGCGTCTGACGCGAGATTTCGGCCGGGATGACTGTCCAGCGGTGATGGGCGCTGTCCTTGTCCGCCCATATATATTTCTTCCTTTAATTCCGGTACGACTCCTAGGCGCTTTGTCTTAGCTATATCTGGGGCTATTGTGGTACCCCTTGGAGTCTTCCTACGTCCACAAGCAGCTTGCTTTGTCTGCGGAACATTGTCACGTGATCGGGACGCGTTCTATCCTTTTCTTTCCATGCATCTCCCATCACGCGTTCTAATCTACTTTCTTGTCGTAGAAATTTCTTCATCAGCTGAATTCGGGATTGCTCTACTGTCATTCTCATCGGATCCTCCATCGAGATCTGAAGCCCCAGAATCTTCTCATTGACAAGCACAATAACCTCAAGTTGGCAGATTTTGGGCTTGCTCGCGCCTTTGGGATACCAATGCGAACATATACCCATGAGGTAAGTAGAGCGCTCTTCTCAATTGTCAAGTGTTCCTAACCATGCTACCCGTTAGGTTGTTACACTTTGGTATCGGGCCCCTGAAGTTCTCCTAGGGCTCCCGTCACTATTCAACCTGCTATCGACATGTGGTCCGTTGGAGCCATCTTTGCCGAGATGGCTTGTCAAGGACAGCCGCTCTTTCCAGGAGACTCTGAGATTGATCAAATCTTTAAGATTTTCAGGTACTCATCCCCTCGGTAATATGATACTTGCGAGTCTAACAAACGCATCGCCTTAGAATTTTGGGCACTCCGAATGAAGACATGTGGCCGGGTGTATCCAATCTGCCTGATTACAAGGCCACTTTTCCCCGTTGGGGCGTTCAAGATATCTCTAGGCTCGTCCCCGATCTGGATCCTGCGGGGATTGATATTCTTAGAGTTCGTTGATTCCTCCCTATCTCATCAAGTGTATCTTTTGATAAATTCTGAAACGATCAGCGCCTTCTCGCTTACGATTCTGCGAGACGTATCTCAGGTGTGTGCATTAATCGTAAGTTCCTTAGCCTGCTTTATATGACATCTCCCGCCCAGCCAAACGTGTCTTGCAGCACCCTTACTTCGCTAGCTATAATCCGGATGCCTAATATAGACATCTCGCTCTGTGAGCCTTGCCCTACTGTTTCTTCATTCGCATTCGTCGGTTCAACATATGTGACTTCCTCCTTTCCCGGAGTTTCTGTTTCTTTCTCATTGCATCACATTTGCATTCATTCATCAAACTTACACCAACTGTTGCTTGCCACCCATCCACGTACATCAGTTTGTAACAGTATCATTGTTCCACTAGCAAGTCTTTGCCTATTATCTTCATTCACGCATAATCGTCAGGCTAGGACCTCTAAAATACAATTTTTATCAATATATACCGAACAATACGGGTATTATTTTATGCTAACTGACAACTAAATACGTGGTATCATGTCCTGCTTGGTCCCTAGTCATTGAGTGTTTTCAACTTTATGGTTCACCGTCCTCATCATTGTATTCAAACCGTGTTAGTTCGACCTGGAACATATGTAAAGTCCTCTTTTCGGCCATCCCAGTGACGTCGAGAACCAGCCGCGTCACTGTCATGGTGGTCGAACACCAAATAAAACTGTTTTGATGATAGTTAGCTCGGCCTGTTACGCGAGGAGTAGAAGAACACACAATATTCCCAGAAAAATAAGGGAGAGCTGAACAGGGACGTGAGTACATAGAGCGGACCCGACGATGGTGTCTTACCGGTGCAACAAAAGATAGAATGAGATTCATTAATCGAAGAACTGAGGCGGCGCTTAGCATGGCAACGAAAAGACCCAGAGAGATGGCTCAGGGGACTGACCAAAGACAACCTAGGTGGAATGGGAAGGCGATTAGAACATGGTACTAACATGCGAATAGAGCCGAGAACTAACCAGAATATACGCGAATCCATCTCTGTAAAGGATTTTAGTGAAATCATCCTCTAGATACCGAGGTCGGGAGAGCGCGTTCCAGAATAGAGCGGAAAAAATGACAGCTTCGAACGCCACCTAAGGTAGCACCCGAAAGGGCGTCAGACCGAAATTCCAGGACAGTAAGAATATGGTCATACCCCTGGTGCCCAAATGATTCCTGCCGAGTGGCGATCCGTTAGCATGCACATTGAGAAAGTGGGATTGAAGTAGACAGATTCTGATAATGGGGCCGCAGGTAAGTTTGGGAGTCTAACCGCTCCGTGCTGGTACAGGACGCACCGGTGATATGTACAAGGGAGAATGTCAGGCAGATGAGGTTGGCTATCTGGGTTGCCACGAATAAACATGACGTTAGGATCATTAGCCGTCCGCCTCTCTCCCAGAGATTCCATATATGCATAAGAGCTAGGACTGCGTAGGACAGATGAGAATAGGATTAATACTATGTGATATGTCGGATGATTTACAATTTCCTATGGCGATGGTGATGATACCCATGGAAGCCTACAGATACACATCAGAGATAGCCCTGTTCAACGATGGAGACGAAAACTTACGGATACATTAAACCAAACTTTACAGCTAATCCATTACTAGTATCAAGTTCGGAGATCATGTAAACCGACAAGACTTACAACTGGGGAACCATCAGTATTATGATAGTATATATACGCTAAACCGAAGGAAAGACCCACTGTATCTGAGAAGGTGCTCAGTCCTGTCAGCTCTGCGAAATTTATCCACACGTCAAATCACCCTGAATGACCGTAGACTGATCCTGAGGAAACTTACGGCAGAGGTGGATAAGGACGAAGGCTGGGACGAAATAACGAATGATAAGAAAGAGTGTCTTCGGTAACGTCCACGGAGCCGCCCATATGAACCTAACCTCCTCGTCGAACGTTAATGTGTGGTCGTAGAGCATGAGCTAACCCGATGAGCATCTCATATGCCTCATAAATGGTAAAGTCTAGCTTACCACGTAGCCGGCAACTGTTGAAATATGAACATCAAAACGAAAATAGAACACACTTCAAGGGAACAATGACTTACTACTAGCATATCTCGACGCATATACATTGAACGCAACAGCGGTGTATTCCTGGACGTCCATCTTGGACAACGACGTCCGGAGCCCGTAGGTAAGCTCCTCACACGTAGCAGCTAACTAACCGAGAAGGAAAAACGGAAGGCCCACATGTCTGACAGTTGACAAACCCCATTTATGAACCTCGATGACAAAACTTTTGGTAATTGCTGGAATTTCCAGGGGTCGAGGGACTGGATTGTGGCGTACATGTATGCGGTTTTACGTCTCTCGTTGGCGTGCGCGGTTAACTTTGCATCACTGCGGAGATTTCACAGGGAAAAATACTCGGATGCTGAGAAGTAGCATCCTTTAAGAGTCCGACACTTTTGCATTGGGGTTTCATAGAGCATTTGCACAGGATCTGAGCGATGGCTTAGTGAATGTTCTGAACACGTATTAAGGAACTTTACTCACAATGACTCGGAAAGGTCTTCAGTTGCAGACAAGGAAATAGGTTCTGTGTCTGTAGTGATGACAACGTACGTGAGAGTCACGGGCCGAGCCTTCCGAGGGCTTTTTTCTTATGGAGTCGTCTGAAAGGTACATGAAGTCCCTAGCACTTTGTTGTGGTACTGATGACGATATTCCATGATCACCGAAACATCAAACACTTTAATTTTTGAAAAGGTGTTCCCTTGGCAGTCCTTTCACTGAAAAAGACCGGTTTCTGTCTATTTCACTGGGTGTCGCGCGCTCTAAAAGGAGCAAAAAGAATAAAAAGAGAAAGATTTTGGCGCCCCAAAATTGGTGGGCATTTACTGCCAACTCTCCCTCCACTCCTTATTCGATGGTACAGCAGTACCCCATCATCTAAGATCCTTAATTAACCAGGAGAATGTGAAGATTTCAAAACGATAGGACACTGCTGGAGTCGCCGTGTATGTGAATTGAAGACTCAAGCCCCCTGGATTTCCTCGTGTTTTTCATTCTTATGTGAACATGCCAAAGCACGAAATTCGAGCATTTTCTGTGCACGTTACTCTAGTTGGGTCCTGACGCATTGCTTTGACATAATTTGGCATTCACATCGGAGGTTAGTGCCCCGCTGTTCTTATATTTGAGGAATTTGCTTACGGACGTAAATCCAGCGTAGATCTAGAAGTTAGTACTAGCCACGATATTGCCTTTCAACCACTCGGAAGTCATCGGGAATCCGGATATCCGTGTCGCAAGGCTACTCCGCGACTCGAGTCAGACGGTTGTTAATCTATAAAGGTGCCTTGACATAAGTCTCTGCACCTTCCCGCGAACCAGATGTCTGCCACCAATTTCTGTTTCCTACTTCCCCAGTCTTGGAAAACGAACGCGTGAAACTCGTGCCATTTGATGTTAGTCTGATCCATCTATCACTGATCCACACTCACGCTATCTCAGATCTCCGTCCACCCAAAACTGCACGTCGATGCCGCTCCTCCAGCTTCTTTCTATGATTTCCTCCCTGTCGGCCCGTTTACCAATGAGCAAGAACTCATCACGTCGTTTTGGGAGAAAAGAATCAAAAACGGCGCGGGGGAAACCGCATTCGCCGTTTACGATAAGTCCAAATCTGAACACGCCTACGCGGGGATCATCACGTACAAAAACTCCTCCGTCGAGGATCTAGTGACAGAAATTGGCTTCGTGATGATCTTACCAGCATTTCAGCGGACTCATGTCACATCTAACGCTGTCGGGATCCTGATGAATTACGCACTAAACCTTCCTGCAGATGGTGGATTAGGTCTGCGGCGAGTTGTCTGGACGGCAAACGCATCGAACGCGCCTAGTATGGTAACAGCGAAGAGGTTGGGATTCCAGATGGAGGGCGTGATGAGGTGGGCCAACGCCTGGCCCGAAACAAAGATTCGTGGGTCTGGAGGGGTCAGGGTCAGGAAGGAAGATTCCAGGGCTGAAGAGTTCGCGTACGGACGGAATTTGGCAGTCCTGAGTGTCTGTTGGGATGATTAGGAGGCGGGAGTGAAGGCGAAGGTGAATGCGAAGATGGCGAGGACAAAGTGAAGTCACAGGATCGTTCGTATGAATAATATAGAAACACACGTTCGCAGCAACATTCGCTTTCTCTGCCATTTTTCCATCCTCAAACAGCCTTGAGGTTTGTTGGAGACATTGACCTTAAGATCAGTGCAGTCCGGCTAAAGCAGCTCGAGCCCGGCTAGAGCCGACGTAAGGCTCAAGCTCGGCAGAGTTCGGCTTGCTCGCTTAAGCCGCTTTGAGCCGAGCCGCGGCAACACTTGTGGTGTATCGGTCAGTAAACCAAAAGACCTAATAACATTGTCTCATCCACCCAACCAATCGGATATGGTATAACGGCTAACATTGCCGCCTCTCATTCACAGATACGCGGTTCGATTCCCCGTATCCGAAATTTCGTTCGAACTTCGAACTTCACACTCTTGACGTCACGATTGAGAGTGCGTCTAATTCCTTAGAGGCAACTCTGCTTTGCTATTTCCCACCCTTCCTCCCTCTTAACTTGGTTGGCTGTGCTCTGGCCTCTGATGAGACATCACATGTTCCCGGCTGGCCGTGCCCCAGATTCACCACCAGTAAGTGGAGAATAATACACTCACTGGAAGAAATCTGAAACAATGATCCAGTCATCACTCATTGAAAGATTCCGTCAGAAAGCGGGAATTGAAAGATAGGAATCTAGGTTCTCTGTTCATCATCACGGTTGAGTCAAAGTTGATCAATTGCACAACCACATCTGAACGGCACCGGGTCGCCATCATGATGTCTCCAAGGTATGAAGCGCTGGAAAGCATTCAAAAGGCAATCCAAGAGAACAACGTGATGCCGTATCTTCAGTCATGCCTTCTTCACCAACTGAAAATGCGTCTTACCCGCTCAAACTCGATCCGGGAGTACCGCGTCGTCAAAAGTCGGCACGTAGCTGCTGCAAATGGACCGCGGTCATCCTCGGACTTTTGATAGTTCTGCTTGTTTGCGTGACAATTCACAAGTTCGGCACCGCATTTGTAGATAAGGCGCGCCATCCTCACAGGGCACTATATCGGAATGGTTCGTTGGAGGAACAGGCGGTAGTGCGACCGCTGATTGATGACAATCAGCAGTTCGACATTGCTGTTTCTGTTTGGTTACGTGCGTCCAAGGAGGAGGAGGAGGAATGGAGAAGAAGACTCTCTTCTACCATAGAAGACGAAGAATATTTGGACAACATCACTTTCCGATTTCCTCTCGACATGGGGAACAAAGTCAAGGAAATCGTGTATCAAGTGGTCGACAAATATGATCCAAACTACGAAACATACCTTAAAGGCGACAAAAAGCTGCTCTACACCCCTCTCTATTCCGATATCGCCTTCCGCAGAGTTAGTTTCAAGGATAAAAATGTATTGGCCGACGTGAAATTCCAAATTCCTACCTCCAGATTGTGCGTTGCTAATTCTGTTTTTGATCGAGTCATGGATGCTCAATTCTATCATAGCCTAGATAAAAACCTTACAACTTCAGACTTTAGAGGTACTTTCGTACTCATCCCAAGCTCCAAGTCACTCCTGAAACACGTAACAAACTTTTCTTCCTGGATGCCTGATGCGGTTTATGACAATCTTCCGCCTGTCCGCCCTTGGCCGTAAGCATATGTATATCATCATCATGAATTACAACACTCAGCGTACAACCAGGTTTCCCCTCGGGTCATCTTTCTATGCTGACAAGACCGTTGCCGACCTTGCCGTGGATTCGTTCGGAATATCAGTACCCCTTCTCCAATTCTCTGAGATCCAAAGTCAATGTGGTAATTCTTCTGTCAATACTACTGACCAAGCTTCATCAACATCGGAGGACATTGCAACAATGGACCCCGACTCTGTCCGAGCGAAGCTGAAGCAGATGAAGGATAATATCCCTGCATACAAAAACCACCCTCACGTCGTGACAAGGTGAATCTATGTCTTCATTGTGGCGAGAAATCAATCATTCATCCACTCCAAATTAGAACGAAGCTTCATGTAGTAGACGAGACGCATGTCTTCGACAAGGAAGCCTACGACAAGGCCCACCAAAGTCTTCGCTCTACATCTGTCTGTTTTACTTTTGCTGTAACGAAACTGTGCTGACTATTGCGAATAGTGCGGATAATATCCTGGGACGTCTGCAAAACCAAGCAGAAAGTTCTGTAAGGATCTTTCATTTTCCGACGGTGGTGTCCTTCGGACATCTCTAGAGTTGGAGGTGCCCAATGAAGATGGAGAATATGAGAGATGCTGGGCATATGGACCGTTCATGAATACCGTTCCCGCTGCTGCTGGCCCAAAGGCGAGTTACGATCACAGCTTGTACAATTCTATTTTAAATTTCATTTAATACAGGATATCATTCCGATCCCGGTCAGTAGGGAAAACTGCTCTGTCGCAGCAGATGGGCTTGTAGAGGTTCTAGAAGGTGAGCTCAATGCGGATTCAAGGTTTCTATGGCTGACCTTTTGTTAGTACCGGAGTTGATGGACATAACGTGGCGTATCTCATTCTCTGGGCGATCGCCTGGAAAACACCTCTTAAGCACTGTCATTCCTCAACCATTTGGCGTCTACAACTACCACAACCGAACTGATTTTGAAAAGACCATGCTCCAAGACTTTGCCGAACAGATCAGTTCGTTTTTCTTTGCCTGAAGATTTTCATCCTACTTACTTCCGTCAGACGGCCTCCGAGGCGTTAGGTTCGATGACGAATCTCATCCAAGGCGAAGATCCTTTATCACTCTGACCCTGTAAGCTAGTCTGGTTTCTTAACGCCGGGCAGAAGGTTGACCAAGAGCCGATAACAGGGGTGTCGCGAAAGTTTCGCGTTACATTTTCGAGCTATTATATTGGTTCACTCGGAATCACACCGTTTCCATCAGCACCACCGGCGCTTTACTTCGAGCCTCTGCTCTAGCTATTGAATCATGCCTCGATCTGGGCCAATTCCTCAGATCCAGATCTGAGGTGTCCACCAAGTTCGTGCTTCTCATGACCGTAATGTTTTTCTTCATATCAGGCTTCCAACTTCCCCTCTATATATTCAAGACAGCTCTTCGTCTTGAGTTTGCTTTAACGAGAAAACGCATCTTCGGGATGTTGTTAACTGTTCCCATGATACGACGGATGCCGAAAACTCATAAGGAGCGTTCAAGTGAGCGCTTGGATAAGAGAACAAATTGGAAAATGGTCAGTAAATGTTTTGCTTTGCCCATGTTCGTCCTCCGATAGTGATTTCGCAGATCCTGTGCACCATGCTCGCCGTGTACTACATCGCGAGACCTCTGGAGCATCATGTAATCGACGCACTCCATCCCCCCATGCCAGAACAAGAGTTTTCTTACATCGCTGAATATGTTACTCCCGGCATACGTGCAACTGTCATCACAGCAATGATCCTCCAAATTATGCTAAACTATCGCAGCAAGGTCTTCGCCGGGAATTACAGGATTTCGGCATATCTTAACCTGTTGGTTGCGCTTCTTGGGTTGATCGCTTATGTCCCGGCACTTGTGGGAAGACCCGAATCGAGAACTGGTCTTTCCTTCGACTACTGTATTAGGTCAATTGTTTGTATGGTCGAGGCATTCCAGGCATTTATTCTGCCCAATGCGTCACAGATGGAGGATGACGAAGATGACGAGTAGCGAGCTTGTACTATTCCATGTTTTTGATAACGAACCAGACACATAATCATAGCTACAGCTGACTATAGTCAGTAGAATAAAGTGAATAATATAACTGTCACGCAATGACTAGGACGTACTCATTTCCTCAACATCGCATAAACGATCCATTCTCCAGGAGTCCACCGCCTGTCTTCGTTCAGCGGAGATCCTAGAGTAGAGTCACGATGAACATATTTCTTCTTATCATTTGTACACCGTTTAGACCGGCAGTTTTTGGAACTATCACAATTCAAGACCTCTTGGGCTTTCGCTTTTCAAGCTCCTGGTACGACTGGCCTTCCCGTGGGCCGTAGACTCTTTCTGATAGTAATTCGACAAGGTCGAGATGTTATGCTGATGACCTCGAGCCTTATACATCGAGCTTGGAAACATTTGCTCGGCCTCCGAATCTTTAAAGTGAGCACAATGGTCTTATTCCTTGAGCCACTCTCTCACAAGGTCAACAGTTTATGACTCACGTTTTCTTGCTAAAAGCCCGGCATTTGAATACACAGACGCTGAAGAAGATTCAGTATATGAGCCGTGTCACCAGAACACAGCGTTGATGATACTCATGCTACCATCCATCAGATGACTGCGCTAACAAGGGAGTCATTGACATCATAAACCATGGCGCTTGAAGTCGAAAATGGCATTTCGTTGAAATCATGCGCTCGTAGCACAGCTTGACTACCAACCTATGATGCTTTCTCGAGGGATTGCTAAGACCTGCTACCAAAAGGTAGCGAGCATGTTACGTTTGTTCCGCGATAAGGAATGACAGGTTAAATGAGTCCGGGGTTAGAAGGCACGGTGTTCCGTGCGCCTAAATAGCGTTTTGCAAGGTGTGGTGGAAAACGATACGATAGCTGGAGTCCTTCTTGTCGTGGACATAGAGCCGATGTGATGATTAGTTCAATGAAGGCCTGAAATGTTGCCAATATTCCGTGTCTTGTGTAGGATGAGGCTGATAAAAGATTTAGTACTAGTTAGAACAGAGATGGCCGGTATCCTACTGCATTGCTGACGCTTGAAGTATCTAAATTCGAAGAAAGTAAGTATCAGAAAGACGATGCGACAGAGCCGACCTACGAAGTTTCAAACACCTGAAATAGCACCCCCTCAATAGTACCATCTGTCCCTCCAGGAAGGTCTTGCCGTTTTCCCAGAATTTTACTTTGGTAGTCCAACCAAGTGGGGGAAGGGACATTGTAGGGGATACGATGGGAAGGGGTAAACGTATTTCCTGAGAATCCGGACATCTATTTAACAGGGTACCTGGCCGGTTAAAGCGATAAATGGCAAGCTCTTTGTTGGCTGCAAGGGGAAACCATATGGTTGCATTTAGGATCCGTCAGAATTGAGCAAGCGCTCATGTAGTGGGAATCAAGAGCCGACCGGAATTGCGGCGAAACAATAGGTGGAAGACGGAAGCCTCCCCGACTCGGAGGCACTTGATGAGCAAGCGTTAATGATACCAAGCTGGGACAGCGAATTTCACTCGAGATTACAAGTCCAGAGCCCATGAGGGGGCATTTAATCAATTTATCCACAGCTCGTGGCGCAGCATCATTCGAGGGTTCAAGGAGACGTGTAGATCGAGCAATATGTCGCGTTCAACGTGGCTGTGCCGTATGCTGTCCAGTGTTTACCAGAAACTTTAGCTCTCGGAAGCGACATGAGTCATTAGTCAGCAACCGAATTTTTTCGTGTCGCTGTCGTCGTACTCAAAAAGCCATCCGAAAGGCCCTTTTTACTTGTAATCTCCCCCTTTTCGCCCTAGTATCGAAATTGTGAAAGCTAATACTCCTTTCACAGTCAATATGGCACCGTTTTCCAAGCCAGAAACAGTGCTGAAACAGGCCGAAGGCCTGATTTCCGTAGGCCAGTCGCACGCAGCCCTACAATCATTGACGGAAATGTTCACTTCAAAACGATTTCGCTCGACCCCGATCACGACGTTGGAACCTATAATGCACCGATACATCGAGCTTTGCGTCGAGATGCGGAAGGGCCGTACAGCAAAGGAAGGATTGATGCAATACAAGAATATTGCCCAGAATACGAGTGTACAGAGCATCGAGGCGGTCATCACGCGTTTTGTGCAGTTGGCAGATGCGAAAGTTAGGGATGCACAGGAGAAGGCTGCGGTGCAGGTGGCCGTCGACGTCGACGATTTGGAAGCGAGCGAGACGCCGGAGAGTATCTTGCTAGGAGCCGTGAGCGGTGACCAGAGCAAGGACCGGACAGACCGGGCGGTGGTCACTCCTTGGCTCAAGTTTGTGTGGGAAGCCTACCGGACGTGTTTAGAGACGCTGAAGAACAATGCAAGGCTAGAGACGATATATCAGGTGCGTCTCGAATACTACAAAATATTATCCTTTCTTATATCTCGCTATTAGCAAATTGCCCAGCAGGCATTCAAATTCTGTCTTAAACACCAGCGCAAGGTCGAGTTCCGTCGTTTGTGCGAGACGCTTCGACTTCATCTTTCAAATGTGGCGAAATACTCGCACCAGCCACATTCAATAAATCTTTCCGACCCGGATACCCTACAACATCATCTGGATACACGATTTGCGCAACTCAACACGTCTGTCGAACTCGAACTGTGGCAAGAAGCATTCCGCTCCGTCGAGGACATCCACAACTTGTTGACGATGGCGAAGAAGGCTCCGCGTCCCGCTATGATGGCTAATTATTATGAAAAGCTGACCAAAATATTCCTTGTCAGCGGCAATGCCCTTTATCATGCTGCGGCATGGGCTAGATATTACGCCCTTGTTACGAGCATCGGAGGTAAATCGGATGAGGAACTGAGCAAGCTTGCCGGACAGGTGTTAGTGAGCGCCCTCGCCGTTCCAGTAGGTCGGCATACCGAGGAGCAGGATGAGGTGAAGGGGAAGCTTGGCCGACTCACTGCTCTTCTGGGTCTCGCAAAAATGCCAACGCGCGCAGGTCTACTCAAAGACGCGGTATGTCATCTCGGTTTCTAATTTCAAGCTTTGCCTTACACTTGCATCGTAGCTCTCACGAGACGTCCTTAAAATATCCCCACCCTCTGTCAAGTCTCTCTATGACATGCTCGAAGTCACGTTCGATCCGCTTGTTCTCTGCTCATCAATAGCGCCTCTTTTCGAAACGCTATCCTCCGACCCCCTCTACTCTTCTTATCTTCCTCTTCTTCATCAGGCTCTACTGTCGCGGCTTCTTTCCCACCTCTCTGAAGTTTACTCGTCGATAAAGATTTCTCACCTCCTTGAACTGGTTGCACCCTTGAAGGCAGCAGGTGTTGATGGTGCCTACGAACCCGAGCAAGTCGAGTCCTACGTGATGGGTTGTGCCCGACGAGGTGAACTCAATATCCGGGTGGATCATCTGGATGGATGCATTGTTTTCATCGATGAGGGCTTCACAGGCATCAGCGGCGAGGACACCGGCTACGTGCCTTCAGAAGGTGCCGTTCAGCCCTCCGTCTCGGAGCTTGTCAAGAAGAAATTAGGGAATGTCGCATTATGCTTGCATAATTCCCTCTGGGTCTTGGAAGGATCTAAGAAGGAATCTCTTTCGAAGGAGGAACAGCAGGCTAAGCTTCAGATGCTGGTCACTGCCGTCGAGTCAGAGCGTAAGGCTCTACAGTTACGCCGTGCCTTAGTCGCCCGTCGTAGGGAACTTCTGAGTGAGCTCAGCGTCAGGAAGGAGAAGGAAGAGACAAGTCGGTTAGCTGAGATCAGCCGTAGGAGGAAAGAAGAAGACGCTAAGAAGGAGAAGGAATCTGTTCGCGCCAAAGAGCTTGAGAGGATAGCCAAGGAGAGAGAGAATATCCAGAAATTGGAGGCTGAGAAATACGCCAAGAGTCTTCTCACCATGGGTACTATCAAGGCCGATGACATTGCGGTATGTGTTTTAATTTATCCTACTCCCTTGTTTTTTCTGACGTTTATCTTTGCTAGAAACTTGACAAGTTTGACACTGAGAACCTCATCACGATGCAAGTTCAACAGCTGGAGAAGGAGAAGAAAGAGACTGCTCAGCGTCTACGGGTAATTCTCAAGCGCGTTGACCATCTCGAGCGTGCGTATCGCAAGGAGGAGCGTCCTTTGCTCGCTCAAGACTACGAGCAACAGCAAGCGCGCGATAGGGAAACTTTCAATGCCATCCAACTCGCTCGTAAGGAGGCAGCCAAGATCAGTCATCAAGAAGACCTAGCTACAAAGAAACGGCTATCTCGGATGGTGTCAGACTACTCTGCCCGACGAGATGTACTGATCGCGAAGAAGGGCGAGGAGTTTGCAAGGAAGAAGGACGCTGCTCATCGGAAGATCGAGGAGGAGAAGGCCAAGCGAAGAAAGGCCTTTTTACAAGCCAAGGAAGAAGAAAGAAAGCATGCGGAAGAAGCAGAACGTATCAAGAGAGAAAAAGAGGAGGAAGAACGACGGTTGGAGGCCGGTACGTACCTTCTCCACTTGTTTTGCGCCGCTCTTACTGATACGAAACGAATGAGCAGAACGTCTGGCAGAAGAGGAGCGTCTACGCGCCGAGGCAGAGGCCAAAGCCGCCGCAGAAGAGCAGGCGAAACGCGAAGCCGAAGAGAAAGCAGCTGCTGTACGTAAAGCCCGCGATGCTGAGCGCGAAGCAGCCATGGAACAAGCACGACTGCAACAAAAACGAGAGGAAGAAGCCGAGGCTCGTCGCGCAGCTCGTGCGGCAGAGCGTAACCGTGGACCGCCGTCGATAAGTCGCGCCAATGGCACGAGCGACGCATGGAGGCGTACCACGCCTACTAACTCTATGCCTCCGACACCTACGCGTGCTGCCACCGTCGGTGCTGTACCTACTCGTCCCGAGAGCCCGAGCCCGGCTGCTGGCAAGTATAGACCTGGAGGTGGTCTCGCTGCCGGAGGAGGGTGGAGGGCCCGCGAGGAGGCCAGACTTGCTGCTGGCACTGGCTCAGGGACCAACACCCCCCGGCCTGCCTCGCCTGCTCCAGCAAAAGAGGCGACACAAAAAGACGACGATGGTTTCCAGACTGTGTCCAAGCCTGGCTGTCTGGCGTCCGCGTAGAGGTCGGGGTTAGTTTGTAGTATACCCTGTTTGATTGCTTTCGATTGCATTTTTCTTTTCCTCATTCAAATCCAGTTGCATGGTCCGATATTGAGCGTCATGATACTAATGTGCTGATAGTAATGTACACATGCTAATCTATGAAAACCGTCCTTAACGAGTCCGATCCAAATGAGTGTCTAGTTCATACAAACATATCATCGATTCCCCTCCTCTTTCACAGCCTCCGACATAAGATCTATCGTTGACAGAAACTAAGCACTGAGTTGAAAATACAGAGATCATGGACTACTGACCTCCCCAGATAGAATTTTGCATAGATGACGAGAAAGGGTTATCAGGATCATCCTCCAATATGGATGAATCCCTCCTGTGGAATAAATAAGAAAGGTTCAAGAAGACAGTCAGAGGCATCCATACGGTAATTTGAAACTGAAATCAGTCCCTAGCATGCTGATATCGCTGATCCTTCGACTGCTCCTTTGTAATCCACGTCCAGGACTACCACCAACAAGTATATCTGGAGGAGCGAATCGATGTTCCGGTGTTGGACTTCCTGGCGCCGAACCATATCCAAGGGAAGATATATCGCGGGATGACAACAGAGGCGTCTCCGGCATTGTATCCACAACGATAGACGGGATTTCTTTTAAACATCAGTTTAACGGAGAGTGCATCAATGTGTACTACGTACCTTTCGAGTCGAATCTTGACAGCCGTTTTTGTTCCATGTGTGCCAAGAAGCGACGTCGGTGTGAAATGGTCTTCAGCAAAGAACGGACACGATCCAGATTGACCAAGTCTGTCACAAGCTTATTGGTGCGCGTCCGAGTAACGAGATCTTGTAATCTGCCCAAGAAGGTTTTAGTGACCGTTGAACAAAAGACAAAGGGGCTTACACTAGGGCCTCATGATCAACAATGAGCTTATGGTGGGCTAGTAAAGTGAGCATCCCTGTGAACGAAATGCCAACACCTTGATGAGAGACACTCGCTTCGTGAAACAGTCGACTGTAGACCGCTCTCCGTTTTCTGACGGCGGCGTAATCGATCCCATCAAGCACTTTAGACAATTTAGAGAGATCGGTCCCCTCAACCTCTCTTGCATACTGTTCTCCGGTAGTCTTCGAGGCGTTCATGATATTCGGTATGTTATACTCCACAGGGTAGATCCGAACTTCGAAAATGCCGCTGAGTCTCTAAGGTTGGAGGTGAGAGGACGGACAGCTTCAGTAGAAGACTGAAAAACGAACCGAAAAGAATGCAGCGAAGCGGTTCCTCAGCAGATAACCCGTCTTTGGATCTGCAAACTCGGCCCATACCTTCTTAAAGGATCGCATTTGTTCTCTGGTAATGGACTTGGCACCGCCAGATGTTTGAAAGACGTAGGAAAAGTTGTCGACGACAACACCTGTGGAAGATTAATCATCAACAACATGAAACAGGATCTTCACAGTACCAGTAAACAGATTGACAAATATATACTAAGAATCTTAGTCAGAATTATAAGAAGATGAGGGAACCGAAGACAATGCACCATGCTTAGGACGTTCCATGCTATAAAGAGTGTAAAAGCCCATCCCACACTGCCACAATCCGAGTCCGAAAGAGAGGACGACGCATTTGTACAACGAGGGTATACAACAGCGCTGGAGCGATGTCAGAGCTATGTATAGAGTATGATATGAAATCACTCACTAGTCATGCATATATTGATTCCACCCTTCCCTAAGAAGAAATCGGGCGTCATTAGCGCTGCTGTTTGAGGTATACTAAGTGCTTACCCAGTGCTCATGAAAGCAAGCATGACAAGGGCATTCGCGACGGAGTTATAGTTCTGATTTCTGTTCTCAGCAGAACCCCACTTCGTCAAACTGAAGACCTCCACGTAGAGAATTGCGAAGAACCCGAAGAAGACGAGCCATAGAATGAGCAGGTTTACGATTGCTATCATACTCGCCCTACAGGGTTCGGTCAGTAAAGTAAGAAGGTCATGACAAAGCTCGTTTACATGACGGTTTTGAACAATTTGTTGAGACTGTTCGTCCGTTGCACCAGTTTGAAGGCGATACTGACGAGAAACAACTTTTGTAGCTGCTGGGTCAGGAACCCGCTTGATCCAAACCTAACGATAATCGTTGTGACGAAACTACCTCCCGCAGAAATTATGTCGAAGATGTTCCAACCGTTAGCGCGGAAACTTTGCCAGCCGAGGCCGAGAAATCGCACTGCGACATCGATGAGATAGACGAACGTCAGTCCCAGAAAGAAGTCGTCTGCGTAGTAAGGGTATCTTGAGTCATAGTCATAGAATAAGCATGGACTGTTAAAACCTACTGCGAAAAGTGTCGGCCAAATTTTGGTTGGTGAAGGTCTGAGTCCTGTGAAGGGTCACTACTAAATCTATCTCCAGCCTAGTTTCACATACATGAGTGCAATGATATGCAATATGTACAGCACAAGCATAACTCTCGCCCACCAGCCATGCTTGTGCACCGCTCTGTCATAACACCAGGCACGAAGTGCCCATGTTGGCCTTGACTTCGGTCTTTTCGAAGGCCTTTGACGAGTAATCAACTTCTTCAAGTCGATCCACTCCCTCTGAGGCTTTGTGAGAAGGGCGGTACCAGTCTTCGAAGTGAAGTTTCCGATGATTATCCTAATAGTGGCAATCGTCAGTGGCAGACAAGAAGACGAGCTAAATTGTTCTTACGAGACGAAGAGTGTCAAGATAATAACGCCTCCCAACAGGTTGTAGATCACAAAGAACAGCGCATTATATTCACTTGCATTCGTAGATGGTTGCTGATTCGGGCCTGTGATACTGGTGGCCACACCCATTGCATCAATCCAGCCTTCCAAAGACACGATTTCAAAGAGGATAAGTAGAGAAGACTTGAAGTTGTCGAAGGAAAACTTCGTTGATGGTGAGGGGTGGTCCCAGACTCGTGGAGCGACAAAACCGAATGCGTTTCCATACACTGTAGTGGTGTATTCGTTAATGCAGTCAGACAATCCCGATGCGTCACTGTCGTTGCAAGTATTCATCTTTCCAGCAAACAAGTTGAGACCCCACACGGCGTAAGGAATCATGTAGAGAATGGCCAACACAGCCGCATCGAAAATACGGGAGGCGCCGGAGATGATCAATGACCGGAAGGATGTCCTTGTGGCATCGAATAGTGTGATGAACCTGAGAACACGTAGCGCCTTGAGAGCGCGCGTTAGTCGGCTCAGTCCTCCGATGAAGATCAAAGTGGTCGTCACGTTGACCAGTAAACCAGCCAAGATGAAGAAATCAATGACGTTCCATACACTATGAACGTACGCGTTCGGAGTAAACATGAATCCGTCAGCGACAACTTTGATAAGAAACTCGACGAGGAGTGCGAATCCAAATGCAACTTCGGCCATGTCAAACCAGGCTCCACGGGAGAGGCCATTTTCGATGAAGTAATTGCGACGAAACTTTGGAGTAGCGATGATCTCCACTACAATTCCGGCCAGCACAATCATGAATAGGATCGTCTGGAAAATGGTATGCGCGACGGGAGAATGGGGTTGGCCAAATATGCGCTCTCCATTGGCTGGAAGGACAAGCCTCTGACAGGCCTTTCGAAGGGGGTTGTCCTGGGAAAAGAGCCAAAATGTCATGTCATACGTAGGGGTGATTACGGATGAAGTCCGCCCTTCGCGCCTTTCGCTCGTATAGCGCATCATTCAGATCCTCCGTCGCAGTAGCTTCAGGGTTCAGCGATGCCAAAAGTTCTCTAAGGAAGGACATTAGAAGGATGAATCCTTGATCATTAAAAAACATACAGATGCCGCTCTGTTTCTTCATCATCGAGAACATGCTCTTCCCGAGGGTATTGCTTCAAAGTTGCTAGTGGAACATCATTGGATTCCGCCTTTCCAGCATACAACTGATGCAAAGACTTCAAAGACTTCGTTGCATAATGTCTCGCACCCTGAGCTGTGTGCGACCCGGCGGTAGGCTGTGTTATAACAGGCTTGATAAGAGAAAGTATCAGAAGAAGAGGAAACGTACTGTAGTCGGGGACTCAGGCTTGGGAACGCTGTAGTCTTGAACAAGCGACTTCTGCATCGGAAGGATCAGATTAGATGGCAGATTTTCCACCTTGACCTTGATGGGGTTAGCCGGTACCCAACGATACGGGTTCAGTCGTTTAAGCCATCCCGCACTGCTCTGTGTTTGATGAGTTGTCGCGTAATAGTTGGTCACTTGTTTGTCCTTCTTGGATTCTTCCGCAACATCGAAGTTCTCGTTGATAACAGCGATGAACATTTGGAGAACGATGACTGAAGCATCCTTAAGCCAAAGATTTCCACAACAGACAAGTCGAGCTTACAATTGGCAAACAGCATCCAGGCAGAGATAAATATAACCACCACCACAGTTTGGCCCAGCGCGTCTTCCGCGCCTGCGGCACCGTATAAGACATCGGTCCAATTTTCCGAAGAAAACACTTGATAAACGTTTAAGAAGGCATTAAACAGGTTCGCAAAGTTCGCCGTCTCGTCTGAGGTATAATCTCCGCGTAGTAGCTGGACCGAGACAAGGGCAGCAATGTAATTGATCAAGATCAAGAACAGAGTCATGTTCAGCAAACCGTACATGTTCCCGAAGACAGTCAACTGCAGGCAATGACATTAGTAGATGAAAGTCGCAATCGCATTGCCAAGTAAACGTACCAAAAGAGGCCGCATCCTGGGAACCTCTAAGATGACTCTGTAGAATCGCAATAGCTGCAAGATAGTCATCCAGGGATAGGCGCCGGAGTTGTGGATCACAGGTATCTGGATGATACTCGTTCCAATAGCTAGGAAGGTATCCAGGTTATTCTGCGTTTCCTTGAAAAAGCCTCGCCAATCGGGGAGGGAAGCTAGAATCCGTAGGACGATCTCCAGGTCAAAAATTAATGTGATCGCTAGTTCCCCATAGTACATGACCATTTCGTGCACTTCTGAAACGTTTACAGTTCGCGTCGCTTGCAGTGTAAGGGAGACCAGGGCAAGAAATACCCAGCAATATCGTGTATGCTCGTAGATTACTTTGACGACATTTCTGTGTTGAACCTGGCGGCCATCTGCAGCAGGCCAGCCATCGTCTTGCTCGTCAGCGAGTTGTTCCATTCTTGGATGAAATTCAATACACTTCGACCATCAATGAAGGAGATCGAAACGCACGTTCCAGCGCCAAAAGCACTTGTTTTGGTTTCCTTTCTGATTGCAGAAAAGGTGTTGGTAATGACAGCGACAAATAAGTTGATGAGCCAGAAGTTGAGGATGATGACGCATATGATGAAGAACAAGCATGATATAAAGAACTCCGAATCAATCATTGAATACATCAGAGGCGTCCACTGGTGGTTGAAGTTAGAGCAGCGAGCCATCTTTGAAAAAAGCGGTACGTACTCCGTTAGCTGAAGCAACGATGATGACCTGAAGAGCCGCATTATAGATAGTGTCGAAACTTTCCACGTTGTTGTTTGGGTTGTCCTGCTCCTAAGAAGATTATCAATACATTACGGACCGGAAAGGGAAGACATCGGCATACCCTACAAACTTGCCCTATAGGGCATATGTAACCTTTACTCGTCGTCCCAGGTGTACCATCCAGCTGGATATAGTTGGTGACGTTGAGAGTATCCGGGTCAATATAGCCTCCACAATATTGATCATCTATCTGAATTTCATCTTCACCAAGTGTCGGACTTAGGTAACAAGCTCTCCGAAGAGAACCTTTGAAAGCTTGGATGCCAATGATACTAGTAATTATGGTCAGAAAATTCAGACAGAAAAAGATGCGAAATAGCTCACGAAAAGAGTATCATAGCAAAGAGAACAAAGTAAGCAACACTTGTTAGCAGGGGTCTCGCCGTTTTGAGCGAATGCATGATGGTCTGCGGAACCAAATTGATTGAATTTACATCGTTTGAGGAATCGGAGGACTCACAGTAGTGCCGGATGTGACAGTCAAGAGCCTCGCTGTCCTAATAACACTCATTGCCCGAAAGATGCCAATGTGCTTGGAGCCGCGTTCAACACCAGTAGATGCCAGAATGAATGATATCCAAAAGCTGACTATGGCCACAAAATCTATCCGACACCAGCTGTGTCGTAGGTATGGGATGTTCCTGTGCGTCTTATCATGGGCCTGCTTGAGACTGAGCTGAAAAGGGAGTAGAACGTAGTCCGACTTGGACGAATGGAACGGGTTGATCTGCGATAAGAAAGTAGCCTTCGGCTCGAGCGCAAAACTCTGAGAGAACTGAACGGCGTGTCTGAACTTTTCCGGTGCAGTTGCATCACTTTCGGGGGCATTTAAAGTGTTGTCATGCACGAGTGTCGCGTGGCTGGAAGACAGGGCGAATGGGCGGCTCAAATTATGATTCAAGTTGCGCAGCCGCTGGGTGATGGAGAGATTGCGGGAGAGTGAGGACTGCGGTGTTGCTGCAGAAGAAGAGCCCACAGCAGGTGTGGAATTCGTGTCGTGATGGGAGGAAAAGACGGTGAAGAGGGTGGTTGCAGGAATTTCGGGATCAAACAGGAAACCAGATACGCATATTCTAGCAAAAGCTTCCAAACTAAGCGATGTCAGTAGTGGTACCCAGGGCGAGTGTCAAGAACGCACGAAAATAAAATAAATAGAACAAAAAGCACATAGTCCTCCCATGTTTGAAAATAGCCTTTGATAGTAGGGGGCGTTGAGTCGCTGTCTGGCAATGTCAAGGAAGGTGCGGCTTGGATAGTGAGTATGATAGCATTGAGGATAATTAAGAGTAATATGACAGTTTCCGTCCACCTGAATCAATGGTCAGCCCAAGACGAACAAAAAAGAAACATTTGACGCACGGATACACGAGCATTCTATACAGCGCCAGCCGAACCCTGCTCTGCGGTCCAAGACAGCATATCGTTCTGCCACGTAGAGGTAGACGTTGAGTCAAGTCAGGTAGCTCCTCCTCCGTCTTGACCTCGTCTGGATCGTCGTCGGCGAGACGCATCTGTGTTTCCAGGCCGGCGCCAGCAAGATTGACGACGCGCAAGGACATACGGCGTATGTTCTGAGAGACAGACTTGATAGCTGTACCCGTCTTCCTCAAAGGTGAGGGCGTCGCACTGTATCTGACCGTTCTTCTGCGCGACCTTGGCGTGGCACCGACGCCGTTCTCAGGGTCATTCGCACGATACTCCGACCATCTTTCGTTTGGAGAGCTGCGCGACGTTAGCCCCACTTCATCGTCCTCCTTCCCTCCGTCCTTCTGAGCACCCTGGGCCTGTATTAATGAAGCAGTCGACGGCCCCGCCTGACCAGACATATACATGTCATTCTGTCCGTCATCGTAGTGGTTCACGATGGATGAATATGAAAAATCTCGCGAAAAGGGTGGAACATCATCCGTTGGCGAGTCGAAGGGATCGTCGTTGACGGTATATACGGCCGGCGTCGTCGTTGTATTGGCAGCGAAAGAATGCGTGTCAAATCCACTGAGAGGGTCCTGGCCTGCCTCCACTCTTCCCCAGCTTGTTCGTCGTCGAGTGATACGATCGGAAGTGTCGAGGGATGGAGAAGGACTCGGAGGCGCTGAAGCAATCCCCGCAGGGGTTCCTGTCAGGTCAATGGCAGAAGAAGATGAATTACGCGGTATTACAGGATGCTGGAGGTAGCTTTCTTCCATTCAAAGAGTCGAGGACGTCGACGTCGTCCGTGACGATGAGCAAAGGGATCAGGAAATACGTTAACGACCCAAGATTTCCGAGATCGAATATGTGGCTGTGCCAATGTGGGAAAAATGCACGGTGGTTCCGGTCCGTTATTGCGGTCGCCTTCGCTTCTCTAATTTTGCTTTCTCTATGGATTTTTTTCTCGCGTTCCTGGGGGTATATTAGTGTAAATTTAATGTATTCTCATCAATATGAAATACTTCACCCCCCATGAATGCAATGAGCGGTTGGTTAGTCCGACGAGGCCTAAACAAATGTAACTAAAAAGAGAGCCTGAGTTTGAGTGCTTCTTGGAAAAATGCCCTGTACTTATTACATCTCAACTTTTTCTTAGACTGTACTTATTTCGGATTGTTATTACAAGGAGACGGCCTGTCTATAATAGTCAAGTGTTACATGCAAAAAATGGATTTTCCGCGAATCAGATAGTGATATACGATGTCGACATGATGCCAGATGTAACCGTGTGCGAGGTGAGTTATATCGGAGGACATTCCCTATCGTAACTTCCATAAGACACCATATAGAGACACGAATGAGGTCATAGAGGTTGTCGTAGATTTCTCTGACATCATATTTTGAGAAATGAACAGCAAATGAACAGTTTGATGATAGGAAGTAGAGCATAACATCCCGCGACTCCTGCAGACATCGGACGAGGGCGTGGAATGGGAACAGTAGACTTTCCGATACTGAGATACCCGTCCAGAACGACCGCAAATAATTCCGGTTATACTGAGAAAAGGTCTGCAGCCGCTCAAAATGATATATATATTCCTCATGAATCAAAAGTCTGGAATTGAAGGAGGAAAGATATGGTTTGTGAATGCCGGAAAATGTGTAACCGCGTTAGCAATGAGAAAGCCGTCCCTTCCCCACCAGTATTCATGGAACCGCCACAAAGCGCTAATATCAGCCGGAGTCAAGATAGAATGCTCGTGAGGTTTCGCCTCTAAGATTGCCGAGATACCCCAGTTGCCTTAGAATGATGGAATAACGGACCGTCAGACTTCAGGACGCGTTGCCATAGCCGCTGTCTTATTTGCTGGTATCACGGTAAGCTGGAATATCATCTAACAATACGTACCATTGATTTCCTCCTAGTTACCGTTTCCCGCTATGATAATCATCGTAGGATTGAAAGACAATAGCGAGACGTTGTTGGAGATGAACAAGGTCTTGTGATATCGTATATCAAACCAATCATCTATATCCCCACTTTTTCTTGAGCATTGCCAAAGGAGTCGCAATGATGTCGACGGGGAGGGCTATATAGAAGCGATGACAAAAGGAGAAGGACCATCGTGGAATGCGTGCCGGCGGATCGCGTAATAGTATATTTTTGCAAAACTAAGAGATCACTGCGAAGAGATGGCTGTCGCAAGCTGGACTGGAGCACATCAGGAACCACTTTAACTCGTTGATTGACTGCCAGTGTATCCCGTTACATGTTCAAAACTGCCTCTATGATCTTTCTGGGGCCCCGAGAGGTAGTGTAGGCAATGCAGGAGGCCATGCTTTGCTTTTCATCGTTCCTGTCTCAAAGTGAAGCTCATGATCAGACATATCACGGAGGGATCAACAGACCTACAACTAACTGGCGTGGTCCCAGGAAGAAACCTGAAACAATGATCCAGTTATCGCTCAATGAAAGATGGGAATCTGTACAAGTTCTTTCAAGCTGACGGTCGAGGCAAAGTTGATCAACCGCACAGCCACATACCACAGCTGGGTGACGGCTATTTTGCACGAGTCAAAATGACATCAAAACGCACTTTTGGGATTTTGCATCGGTCAAAATTCTTCAGTATTTCCTTATTAGGGAGGTGCCGAGGATTTTGATTCCATTTTGACCCGCGCAAGATAGTTGCCACCCAGCTGTGATACGGGTTGCCATCATGATGTCTTCAAGGTGCAAAGCGCTGGAAGGCATTCAAAAGCAATCCAAGGGAAGAACACAATGCCGTATCTTCAGTCATGTCTTCTTCACCAACCGAAAATGCCTCTTACTCGCTCAAACTCGATCCAGGAATACCGCGTCGTAAAAAGTCGGCACTTAGCTGCTGCAAATGGTCTGCGGTCATCCTCGGACTTTTGATAGGGCTGCTTGTTTGCGTCGCAGTTTACAAGTTCAGCACCGCATTTGCAGATGTAGTGCGCCATCCTCACAGGGCACTATATCGGAATGGTTCGTTGGAGGAACAAGCGGTGGTGCGACCACTGATTGACGACAATCAGCAGTTCGACATTGCTGTTTCAGTCTGGTTACGTGCGTCCAAGGAGGAGGAGGATGAATGGAGAAGACTCTCTTCTACCATAGATGACGAGGATTATTCGGATAACATGACTTTCCGCTTTCCTCTCGACATGGGCAACAAAGTCAAGGGAATCGTGTATCGAGTGGTCGATAAATATGATCCAAACTACGAGATATACCTTAAAGGCGACAAAAAGCTGCTCTACACCCCTCTCTATTCCGATATTGCCTTCCGCGGAGTTAGTTTCAAGGATAAAAATGTATTGGCCGACGTGAAATTCCAAATTCCTACCTCCAGATTGTGCGTTGCTAATTCTGTTTTTGATCGAGTCATGGATGCTCAATTCTATAATAGCTTGGATAAAAACCTTGCAACTTCGGACTTGAGAGGTACTTTCGTACTCATCCCAAGCTCCAAGTCACTTTTGAAGCACGTAACAAACTTTTCTTCCTGGATGCCCGATGCGGTTTACGACAATCTTCCGCCTGTCCGCCCTTGGCCGTAAGCATGCCATATATCATCATTATGAATTACAAGACTCAGCGTCAACCAGGTTTCCCCTCGGGTCATCTTTCTATGCTGACAAGACCGTTGCTGACCTTGCCGTGGATTCGTTCGGAATATCAGTACCTCTTCTCCAGTTCTCTGAGATACAAGGTCGATGTGGTAATTCTTCTGCTAACACCACTGACCAAGCTTCATTAACATCGGAGGACATTGCAACAATGGACCCCGACTCTGTCCGAGCGAAGCTGAAGCAGATGAAGGAGAATACCCCTGCATACAAAAACCACCCTCATGTCGTCACAAGGTCAATTTATGTCTTCATTGTAGCGAGAAATCTTTCATTCATCCAATTAAGTTTAGAACGAAGCTTCATGTAGTAGACGAGACGCATGTCTTCGACAAGGAAGCCTACGACAAGGCCCACCAAAGTCTTCGCTCTACATCTGTCTGTTTTATTTCTGCTGTAACAAGGCTGTACTGACTATTCCGGTCAGTGCGGACAACATCCTGGGACATCTGCAAAACCAAGCAGAAAGTTCTGTAAGGATCTTTCATTTTCCGAAGGTGGCGTCCTTCGGACATCTTTAGAGCTGGAGGTGCCCAATGCAGATGGAGAATATGAGAGACACTGGGCATATGGACCATTCATGAATACCATTCCCGCTGCTGCTGGCCCAAAGGCGAGTTATGATCACAGTTCGCACAGTTCTATTCTAAATCTTATTAATACAGGATATCATTCCGATCCCGATCAATAGGGAAAACTGCTCTGTCTCAGTGGATGGGCATGCAGAAGGCAGCGCCCAGCAGTGTGAATGGTTTCTTTGGCTAACCTTTTGCTTTTAGTGCCGGAGCTGATGGACATAACGTGGCGTATCTCATTCTCTGGGCGATCGCCTGGCAAACACCTCTTAAGCACTATTATTTCTCAACCATATGGTGTCGACAACAACTACAATAGAACCGATTACGAAAAGGCCATGGATCAAAACAAGGCCGAATTAATCAGTCTGTCTCTTTGCCTGAAGATTTTCATCCTGCTTACTTTCATCAGACGGCCTCCGAGGTGTTAGGTTCCATGACAAATCTCATCCGAGACGAAGATCCTTTATCGAATTGATCCAGTAAGCCAGTCTGGTTCCTTAACGAAGGGCGAAAGGTTGACCAAGAGCTGATAACAGGATTGTCGCCGAACTTACAAGCTACACGTTCGAGCTATTATATTGGTTCACTCGGAATCACACCACTTCCATCAGCAACACCGGTGCTTTACTCAGAGCCTCTGTTTTAGCTATTGAATCATGCCTCGATCTGGGCGAAGCTCTCAGATCCAAGGTGTCCGCCTTCGAGCTTCTCATGACCGTAATGCTTTCCTTCATATTCGGCTTCCAACTTCCCCTCTATATGTTCAAGACAGCTCTTCGTCTTGAGTTTGCTCTAACGAGAAAAGGTATCTTCGGGATGTCGTTAACCATTCCCATGATACGACGGATGCCGAAAACCCATAAGGAGCGTTCCAGTGAGCGCTTGGATAAGAGAACAAATTGGAAAATGGTGAGTAAATGTTTTGTCTTGCCCATGTTCATCTTTCGATAGTGCTTTCACAGATTCTGTGCACCTTGCTCGCCGTGTACTACATCACGAGACCTCTGAAGCATCATGTAATCGATGCCCTCCATCCCCCCATGCCAGAACAAGAGTTTTCTTACATCGCTGAATATGTTACTCCCGGCCTATGTGCAACCGTCATCACAGCAAGGAACCTTCAAATTATGCTAAACTATCGCAGCAAGGTCTTTGCCGGGAATTCCAGAACTTCGACATATCTTAACTTGTTGGTTGTGCTTCTTGGGTGGATGGGGTATGTTCCGGCACTTGTGGGAAAACCCGAATCCAGACCTAGCGTTTCCTTCCATGAATGTATTCTGTCGGCTCTTTGTATGTTTGAGGCATACCAGGCATTTGGTCTGCCTAATGCGTCGCAGATGGAGGATGGCAAAGATAACGAATAGCGGGCTTGTATTCAATCAATGCCTTGATATTGCTTATCAGGGTAGGGGTTTGTATGATATGGTATTCTTGCTGGAAGGATGAGTTTGACAACCACATGTATAGATAAATGCCCTTATGGCAAAGATTTGTAGTCAATACGTTAGTTATAAGATAGGCCTGGAATATTATCCGGAGTAATGCTCGGCAACTAACTGTGAACAAGCATCCTAATTAGTAGAGATCGTAAACCTGGCAAGAAGAGTTGCGCCGGAATTCTTTCCGGTCATACCGAGCATCCTAATGAACCGCCATCCTTGTTGCAAGTGAATCAAGCGCGCACAGAAAACAACGATCTTGTCGTCTTTCCCAAATTCATCTTGCTTAATTTGGAGCCTGAAACAGAATGGGCTTTTGAGGTAGGACGAAAATAACCAGGAGTCGTACCTTACAAATGCAAGCTCATCGACCATCGAACGACTGCTTCCACATGATATCGGCGCCCTGGCCTGGTATGTCCTCGACTTTGATAGACTTGGACTTCCACTTCTTGTCCCCATTGCAGTGGAGTAGTTGTGCGCTGACGTACGCTTTGTATTCCTTTCCGTCGCGATCGTTCGGAGGGGGTAACGAACTAACGCCTACGATCTCTCCAATGAACTTGACTCTGCCGTCCTCTGGGCATCCTAGGCCTTCAGGCTTTTGGACCCATCCGCCAGTCCCGACGAACATGCCTTCATTGATCTGCATGCTACTGTCGTAATGCTGCCAGTTGAGAGAGGCGACGTGTGTGCCGTTACGCCAGCACTTGAGAACATCCATGTTAGTTGAGGTGACGCGGGTGCCTTTGGGGAAAACGCGTCGGAGATGGTATAGTCCATGGTCGACGAGTGTCGAGAGAGAGTGGGGAAGGAGGCTTGAGATGGATGACTCGGAAACGTTGATGAGAATGTGACGCGGGTTGGCGAGCCGTTCATGTTGCCAACCTGATTTAGGCTTCATGCTTCGAGTGTAGTATCCAAGTGAGGCGAGTTCGGAAGATATTTTCGTGCAGTCATCAGAGACACGCGAGCCTTCGTCGGAAGATAAATCGGATGATGAGGAGGACGAGGATGAGTCGCCGGAGGGAGGAGGATAGTATTCGACCATCAGGAGGATACGCCCACGAACGTCTCTGGGAGTAATTGTATCATCGTTGATCCCTTCGAGCTTTTTGTCGACAAGCTTGTCGCCCCAGGCACCTTTCATGACACGGACCAGTTCTTCCTGACCTTGGATGTTGACATGGCATTCCAGGTTGACCAAGACGGGCCAGTTTCCAGGTTGGACGGCGTCTCCGATAGCTACACAGACGCTTTGGAATGACACAGATTTGCTAAATGTATGGCCGTGGGTGACAATTAACCCGTTCGCACTAGGCCAGACGTCGATTTCTACACAACGCCCGTTCCGAGACAGGACGTGGGTATAGGAAGCAGGAGAAGAGCGACCTACTAGCTGACGGGATAGCAAGTACGTGTTGTGAGAAGAACTAGAATTTTATAAGTAACAGACCATCAAGTTATGTAGTCTGCTTACGAGATAAAATAATGGGTAAGGGGTAAAGAATCAGTAACTAACGGAGGCTTTACGACAGGAATTTGTAAAATATGTTTTGTAGACTGTCGGGACCGGCGTTAGCAACGTGTCCGAATATCGCATACAAGCTCACCTCTCCTTGATCTTCCAAGAATTGCCGAATTTCGGGACTTACACGGACTGCAGTATCCTGAGGTTCGACGTTGTGGTTGGAATCGACACGAAATATATGTTCAATTTGAAGACGCCATTCTTCGTCTGCCGGCTCCTCCACCGCGTATCCAATACAAGTTGTACAGGTATGTCGTGGTCCGGTGTCTCGGTGATTCCTAGAAGGTTATCGACCCATAAATGGAAATACACCGCAGCTGAATCATGTGACGTAATGCTGTGTCAGCAGACCTGAGCTCGTTAACGTCCTGCCACATTCTTGTTCTTGAACCACGATGACGGATGCAAAGGTATGGTAATTTCTAGCCGAAATTTTGTGTTACTCAATACTCTTCGCAGGGACCGACTGCTGCAGCGAACAAAGTAGCAATGTCTCGTGCCCTCGGCGCTGCATTCTTGAACCACCAGGTCGAACAGCTCGAGAAGACAGTCGTATCGAACGGACCTGCTTCTGGTAACTGGCGGGACAGAAAGCAAACATCACCACATTTGATGACGCCGCCACACAAGCGCGGCGCAAGCTCTCCAAATGGCAAAACCAACAATCGGAGGAGAGGTGGCGACACTCTGATTGCATCGAAGGAGAGAGACGCCGGACCTCGTGGTGGCAGGAATTTGGACTCTGTACCTCCGAAAAGGCGCTTTGCAGGCGAAGAAAAGCACGAGAAGGATGCCGACGTCGTCATCGTAGATGCCAGTGTTCTGGTCCATGCGCTGGACAACGTGAAGAAATGGTGTAGAAACGGCAGAGAGGAGGTTGTCATTGTGCCCCTTGAAGGTGCATTTACTGCCCTCTCTCGTTCTTCTGTAACTAATATTTTACCAGCTCTGAATACTCTCGACCTTCTGAAAAAAGGGTCTACTACGCTTGCTCAACGAGCCAGAGCTGCGTCCAGAATACTCGAAGCCCAAGTCGGTACCAACCCTCGCATTCGAGTTCAACAAGATGATGCATTTGTACTCTGGGACAAGATTTCCTTCAAGGACGGCGCTCTCTCCGAAGATTTGAGTACAGATGCCGCAACCCAAAGTCCCCACATTTCTCCGGAATGGGTCCGTCGAACGATTTGCAGTGCTCGCTGGGAAGTCGAACATGCCCAGAAGACTATTCCGTCTTCGAAAGTGACCGATCCGAAGGTAATTGTCGCAGTCTGCACGACGTCCCCAAGTCTCTCCCCTCAGCTGGTACCCGTGAAGCTCTCCGAGTCCCCTTCCGAGTCCGCTCTCACACCAGTTCCACTCCCAGCACCCACTCAACACAGCTACAACAAGCATGAACCCAGGTCTAGTGGATCTCTTGTTGCTCACTGGGCCGCACGCGCGGGTCTCGAAGTTATTGACGTCAAACCTACGGTCGTTCCTGCACCGAGTGGAAATACTCGTAGCTCTTCCGAGGAGGAACGTCCGAAGAGGATTGCTGTGAATAAAGGCCGTCGTGGTCCGGCCAACGGTGGCGTCATTGATTCCTCCAAAGGGGGACTGGTTGAACGGTCACCTGCTGTCTTGGCGATGATGGAAATGGTTTCCCAGCCTAGCAAAGTTGTGAGGGTACTCGCTAGAGGAGAGAAGTTAGAACCCGACCCGTAGGGGTACTCAGCGGAACCAATTCGCATTGCCGGAGCCGGTTTATAACTTTCCGTGGCCTGGTAAGTCCATAGCTACACCTGCATTTCAACCGGTTCTGACGAGTGCTCTTTCCAGCTGAAATGGATTATAGCGGTGTCTATCTTCTCTGTTCTTTTGCCTTCAAGGTTATGGCGTCGCTAACTCATACGATACGCAGCCGGAGCACCTTTCTCGGATCTCTGGTCGGGCCGTTTTCTCCATTGGAATTTGGTCTCATCAGAACGGAGGACCCACCACAAATGGATGATATAGCCAGCGATACATACCTCTCTACTCCGAACGAGTTTGCGAGTTGCATTCGACTCATAACGGGATGGATTTCTGGCGGACTGTGAATATGACTCTCCCACTAGTTACCTCCCAACCATTCCCATTTCCCTTTCTCGCTATCTTCCATCTATGCCAATTTTTTTGTTTTGTTTTCATCTATCTTGTATGCGTACGAATATTGATTTTATGCTTCTTGGGACGCTCTGGTGGAAGATTCTGGTGCGTAATTTGCTCGTTACAAAATATATTGGAAATTGATGCCTTTATCTACCGCAGGAAGCACATCACGTAAACACTGTCTGTACGACGAGCACAAAGGAATATATCTATACTTCTTACTGTCACTTTGTCTTCTTACCTCGTCCAGCTCTCAAGATCACATTGCCTTTCAATATCACTCATGAATTTGTCTCGACCCGTCATGGTTACCTTCACTGCCGCCTCAGAGGCGCCTCGTCAAATGCTTCCTACGCATTCATCGATGTCCCTGCAGACCATTCTGACATGCCAGGTGGTGGCACCATCTTTAGATACAAGGATTTTGATGGTGTCGTTTACAGGGAAATTTTCAATCCTCGAGATCCCGCTGCCTCAAGTGGGCTCCCACGGTACTCGCCTCTTTGTACGGTGGTGCCGACATTGGGCCAACCGACCACCATAGTCAAATCAAGAGACTTGCTAATGTTAAAGTATCTTGGGTATGCCACTACCGAGCAGCCTAGATATCTAGAAGATATACCGAGATGCCGTTACGTCCGAATTTCCGCTCACCCCGCTCAACGGGGCGAGGATGAGATTAAGTGCATCACTTTGAATTCATCGATCACTTGCCTTGTCTCCGATGATCAACATGCAACAGTAAAGGGGACATGACGATGAATCTACAATTCCTATCGCAAAACGCCTGTGATTTGCCGAACCTCTTCTTCGTCGATACAAAGCTCTTCTCGCGGACGACGAGGAAAAAATAAATTGGTGTACACTATTTTAAGTCGACATAAGCATAAATACTATACGTTCCTTCAAGTTATGTATAAGCATCGTATGTATGGCTCTGGCTGGGCTATATGTTTAACGATCATCAGTGTTGTCTTGTCAATCTACAAAAATGACTGCGTGGGGTGCTGGTTCGTATGGAGGATGAGGCCTTGAAGGACGAGGCAACGTTGAGACCGACATGCAGGGGGTTCAACGATAAAGGGGACCTCAGAGTGAAAGCTTGGCAGAAGAGGACAAATTACGCGGCGCCACAGGATAGGGCAGGATATAGCACTCAAATAGTAAAGATGAATACGGTAGTCGTGCCAATGCCTCGACAGTGGTCTTAGTAGACTGCGCTCAGTTCAGACCATTTATAAACCAAAAAATAGGTACTTTGCGGATCGATCAGATAACACTCGAGGTTTTGAAGGACTATTCTTCAGACATTGAAGAGTGCACAAGAAGAAAAATACGGAGGAGCACAAAAAGATAGGTTATATCAATGCGATAGAATCATGTATCCGCAGTGCAGGAAGTTTTGTCAGTGCGACAAGAGACGCAAAATATTGTACATGTTATAGTTTGAAGATAAGGATACAACGTCCTGCAGCGTCATAAGCAAGGATTTCCGTGTGATATGAAAGTCTGAAGTTGAACCCAGTGCCTACCAGCACACTGGTTATTTTTCAGTCTGCATTTAAAGTTAGCGTAAAACCCGAAAAAGAAACAAATGGCATACTAATTTCAATCGTCTGACAAAAGACTCTTCCTGGGCCCTTTTGAAACCAGCTCTGCGGCATTGTCCACTTGCACCTCGGGTCATCAGAGGGAAAGCAGAGAAAAGTGATGCTTGGTGCTTGCAGTGGTACCACCAAGAGGTAGATGGGCACGAGACCTGGATAACGACGAAGGATTTCACAGATCACCTCGACTCCCTGCTCAGACTCACTTCTGTCCTCGGCTTCCGTCGTTGTTCGCAATATATACAGGACCGTCGGGTCTGGGGTCGTCATGGTTCGGTATGGAAAATCGGTCAGCGGGTCGTGGCCAAAGAATAATCCGTCAAACATGAAGTCTTGAGTGATCTTGCGGGGAATATAGAAGGAGGTTGTGTTGCAAAGAATTTCCGTCGCGAAGGAGTAAAAGACGGGTGTCCTCTTGACGCCATTAACAGGAAGACACTGATAAGGAATATGTACTCCAGTGTCGATAAAGGTCCTTGTCCCTTCGGCCAGATCCATTTCCTGAAGAAGAGCCAAAGGTTTGGATTGTGTCGTTCCCCGGCATATCTGTTTGCGAGCAATGACTTGAAAAAGCCATCGGCAGGCCACAGTTTGATCGGGATGAAAGCTAAAGCGGGAGAAGTAGGACAGCGCATCTTCGTACTCGAGATGAATAAGCTGGTCCCACACTTCTTGTGCAAGACGAGGGGAGCGGAAATCGAAATACACTTCGTCAGTCCCCCCAGCATATGCAGCCGGTCGGCGAAACATTAAGGCCGCAGAGCAGGGCTTATCAATATTTACCCATGTAGAGCAGTGAAAGGTGGTAAGCACCCAGAGGAGGGAAGCGGGATTGGAAACGCGTGGATGAGGACCATATTTATGATCTATGATGGTAGTCGCTCCTTGGGATAAGAGATAACTCTGTATGTCCCGTATGATAGGCCCACAAAAGTTCAAAGCTTTGGGCAATAGCGATTGATACAGGACGAGCGTGGCTTGGTCCTGACTTAAAAGCTCAGCTCTGTCCAAGATGTCATAAATAGAATACAGAGACGATGGGTGGGAAGCACACCCTATGGAAATTTCCTCGTTGCTCCAAGGATTCATAACGAGCCGAGAAGCATACCTATCTTTGGCCCAGCCAGAATGCGCCTGCTCTGACCGCGATGAAGCGAGTATAGGGAGGATATACGCAAAGCTGGTGAGCGGTAATGGAGGTTCCTCCCCGCCATAACTATCTATGAGACACCATGTAGGGGAGTCAATGGAGTTATACTGGAAGTCATTGAGGCCGATGTCCTGGACACCATCTTTCGAGAACATGAGGGTTCGACAGTAGAAGTGAAAGATAACATCCCGAGACTCTTGCAGACATCGAATGAGGGCATAAAAGAGAAACATCGACTTCCCAATTCCCGAATGCCCATCCAGGACGATGCCCCGAGAATAACAGTTAGGAGTCTGACAAAAGCGCTGCAGCCGCTCGAAGATGTAAATATATTCCTTGAGGACCAGAAGCCGAGAGTCGGTAAAAGCAAAAATATGGAAGTTTGAGAAGGCCGGAAGGTGTATGACTGTGTTGGCATCGAGAAAGTTGTCCTTAGTTCCCCACCAGTATTCATGAAATTGCTGTAAAGCGCTCATGTTAGTTGGGGCCATGAGGGTAAGATGCTGGTTTGGTTTCACCTCAGGATTGCCGCGATGCCGGATAAACTTCGGTTCTAGACGTCATCGGATTTTTTTTTCACCACCTCCCTGTGTATTGTACTTGTTTGCTGACTTACTTGTCCTGCCGCTGTCGCAACTCTGTACAGTTATCCTATGCTATCCCTGGCAATCGAATAAAGAAATGGAGCCGGTCAATCGATTTAAGACCCGACAGTTGAATGGAACACTTTTTATGTAAAAATCTTTTGCGGATGCAGCACGTTTTTAGATCAATGTCACTAGCGCTATATATACGCGAGTCTAACTCGCGACAATCAAAAAAGCACTCTCCGATGACTGGTGACTAGCGGCTTGCCTGTTTCGTTTACGCGCAACGACAAAACTACGTCATGCAGAGTAGCATAAAATCTAAAAAAACCGGCCCAACCAGGTCTCACAAAAAACAACGTATGAATATACTCGCTGGTTTCATAGTCCTCGTCGTCCTCCCTTTCAAAGTCGGAGGGCAAAGCACCACCGAATCCATTACGATATCTGTACCGCCGGAGGTGACTTCCTTCCTCTCAAGTGTTTCCGTGTCTATCCCAAGGTAGAGAACACTGCGTTTAACTTCTTCGCCAGATCCTAACTTCTTTGTAGCAGCGGTGTTATCCCATTGTGCGTCCTCCGTAGGGCAAGAGCTCACAATAATAAATTATAGCAGTTTCCCGTCCGAGTCGAGCTTGATCAGTTCGGTCTCTTCCCTCGCGAGCGAGGCGTCGTCAATCGCAAGTGTTTGTGCAACCAGTACGGGGACCTGTACAGCGAATACTGGTCTCCAAAATGCTGTGTCAGGTGGGATGGTGATTGCAAGTGTAGGTGTGGGGCTGTTGGCGATGGTTATCTAAAAACGCGTCAGGATTCATTGACGAAAAAGATGATGACCAGGCAGTGAAGACTGCTGGGGGGTTGCTGATCCCATGAAAAGTATCGGATCGATATAACAAGATCATGTATCATTACCACATTTTTACTCACCTACGTCGATGAGGTTTGCTCTTGATAATGATTTGAGACGCGTTGTCTTCGGTTCTCTCACGGGTTGTACGAGCTGCCCGATTTAGGAAGTACAACTTGTATCCAGTGCTCAAGTGTCCGGTCGTCGAACGAATACCTGGTAGTTCAACGGATATCAGGTTCTTTCGAGGATTGAGACGGGTGTGAATTACTGCTACATTAATTGTGTTATACAGTTCCTGAATAGAGAAAGACAGTATATGCTGGCTTCCCTCTTAAATATCAATCATGGCGTGTCAGAAATCCGATAAACAATCTTCTTTGCACTTAGCTGTGCGCATCTCAGCAAAAGCGCGAGAAGGCAGTAAAACAGGAGACGAACCTTTCCCTGTTCATGATATTCAATCCATTGTTGCACATCCTTTAAACCATTAGGTACGATTTTGAGAGGATTCGGCTTCAATTTTCCCCTTGCTAAGAGTTCACTCATAGTCTTTCCGAAATGTTCGCCGGCGTGCACATGCTTGGGAACGACAGGGGTACTGGTAGGCTGGCTTGAAATCGATGACCTACAAAGATGCCGGTCAACGGTTGCACGTAGGCCAAAGATTAATACTACTTACCCGGCCAAGGAGGGTGTACACGAGCATGAATTCGCAAGTCACATCCGCTCGCGTTGTGGATACCGGCATGACAGTAGCTATGTGCCCACCGTTCTTTCCCAGAGATTGCTCGACTTGAACGATGGTATCCTTAGTAGATACACAATCGATAGCCTCAGACAGTTCGTCGCTCGTGAACTCCTTGATCTTGGAGCAAACGTCTGGATCCCGGTAGTCAAACACAGCATCGGCACCAAGAGATTTGACCAGATCAAAGTTTTTAGGAGATGCAGTAGCGATGACCGTGAGACCGGAGAGCTTGGCCAGTTGAACAGTGTACTGGCCAACGGACGATGCCCCACCCCAAACTAGTAGCTGATCTGGAAGATTAAAGAACTGTAACAAGACACGACCGAAACACGCACAGGAAAAGGCTTTTGTGTTGGTGCATCAGGCGTCGGGAGAGCACGATGGTTAAGCCAGAGGAGCTGGCACGCTGTAAACCCGGCGAGTCCGAGACTCGAAGCATCTTCAAAGCTAATCGACTCGGGGAAATTTAGCACCAAGTGGGCCTCGGCCAAACAGTACTCTGCAAAGGTGCCAGTCCACTCTTTTGTCCTGCCTTCGTATACGATAAATCAAGAGTAGCCTGTGAATAAGGGGTACTTACCACCGTTAATAAACCCAGCAACTCGCTCACCGACATGGCGCTGACCAGGAGGGACGTCCGAGCCAATATCGACTACTATGCCTGCATAATCGAGACCTATCACTAAGCCCGTAGTTACGTTCTGGTGGAGCGAAAAGCCTACATAGCGTGTCAGAGATGTATAGTCATCGATACAAGAGAGGACAGCCCACAGTCAGGAGGATTTTGCGCTGCTGCAATGACTTTAACAAGAAATTGTCCTGGACCGGGTTTTGGCACAGGAACATCTGACTGCAACGCTACCTTGGTATTGCCCAAGGTGACGGCAGCTTTCATATGTGTGGGGATTTCGTGAGTTTGAGACATGACAATGGGAACTGAATGAAACTCGTTCCTTATATATAGATAGGAAGCGCCGCTGACGTCGTACGATGACCTCTCTTAATAGAGTTTCGTGTGCGAAACTCCTTGATAAGCTGCATCACCGAGCAGGTCCGAGCCAGAAAATGGGGGAAAGGGAAAACGCGGCGTAATATGAAATGACTTACCGCTTGAAAGGCAAAGTTAGTCGGTCAAACAAGGAGTGCCAGATAAGATTCGAGCTTGGTATTACTACTGACGACACTGCGAGATTCGACCGTCATGCTATTCATTAGCAAGCGTACTCCCCCAGCGCCCATGACCCATGTTAAACCCATATTCTCTCCCAGAGGCGGAACAGAGTGAACCTATGGATATATTGGTAAAGATGTCGCTCGTATGGGAACAACATCACGTACGGATTGAATTGTCCAGTCAGGATCGACAATATATGCGCTCATGTGTCCTGGGTTCGTGACCCGTGTCTAGCCGGTATACGGAGACTAGACGAGTCCCATACATAAGATGACACCAACATCCGACTCAGCAGCGATTTTCATTTCGTTTTGCTTTCCCGAGAGATGGAAGGAAGGAGGAAATGGTCATCGAAGTACCGAGTCGACGCGTATGTCAAGGTGACCCAGGGTCCAAAGGCTTTGTCAGACCATTAGTATAACTTTCCGGAATGGAACAAATCGTATGAAGCACCTTTTGTTTCCAGGTCAGAAAATTCTAGCCGGCAAGTAGTCGGATAAAGGCGGAGGCAGAGGCGACAAGACCGTCGAGCGTGGCGTCCATATCTTTAGGCAGACCTGTAGATTTTTCCATTATCCGCGTTGTCGTCGGCCGTCTGTCATGGCCGTGTCGTCAGTGTCGACACGTCCCGGCCTGCCATGTGTGTCGTTGCCCTTTTCTTTTCCAGATTGTCAGCTTCATCCGAACAACAGCAAGGTGCGATTGAGGACCGGCAGTGACCTCATTGGCGAAAATGAAAGGATTGCCAGTCAATTTTGCGCCTGTGAATTGTAACAAGAGGATGTTGGGTGACGGTAGTAGGACAAGCATAGATTTGGCGGCCCACTACCGCCGCATCGCTCTTTACTCCTTACCATCATCATGTCTGTTGACCGCCGCTACGCCAAACTCGAAATACTACTTCCTTGACATTTAATTTTCTGCTTGAAGGGCAGATCACACTCGTTCTAGTGCAAAGCAGGGTGACAGGATGACACCAAAATGCGAATCACGGAAAGAAACAAGGCAATTTGTACGTTTGCTTGTTCCTTCGGCGCTTCATCCTCTAACAATGCCGCTCATTGGTGTATAGGCCATTTCGAATAGGGCATCGAGTTTGCCCGGGGCTCGCACATATTTTGACAGCGATATTGATTTGGGGTGAGGATTCGGCGGGCAGAGATATCTTCTAAGGCCTGCGTAACACCACGCGTAGCATCGTCGCGGCGAGAACTACCAAGGCCTTCCCATCGGCGGCCAGTAAAACAGCCGCTATACTACTGGGTACGTTCACAATTCCATTATAATCTGCATTGGCTGAGGATACAATTACAGGGTTTCCTCACGACCAGTTCAAACGCGGAAGATGTTCGTTACATAAGCTTCTTTGGACGAATTACGCGACAAATCTGGGTCCATTGAAGAATTTACACCAGAAGTTGGCCGTATCGAATGCCGAAAGCTACTATTTGACCACTGCTCCAAGGTCTTGTGGCAACACCCCAAATCATATCTTAGAATCTTCGTTCAGACATTTTGTGAAGTCCCAAACACTACCAGTTTTATGTCGTCAAAGGTCAGTCCGAGCTCTTCAACCGGCGAACAGAACACCGACTTGTTTATTCTAATAGGTCCTTCATGCGACCCGTTTTACTCCATCAAACGAGATCAGCAGATTGGATAAAGGTTCCGAGATCCATCACCCATTTCATAAGAGGCTATTACATAGGTCTTCGCATGTGGCGGAGCCTCCGGATTCCGTTATTCTGTTACATCCAAGTCATCCTAGTCTTCTCTGTCCGCGCGTTTTATACCTATCACGTCCATGCGCCGCCTCCTTCATCTTGATCAGATGGGGAGATCATCGCTGCCTTCTTCCTTATGTTATTAATTCCGCATGCTGGCCGCGAGGTACTACATTGATCCCGAAATCCCTCATAAAGAACGGGCAATTTGGACAGCGAAGACTTCTACCTTGCCTGCCTTCCCTGTACCATGATCGTCTTGCCTGCACTCGCCGTCTTCGCCACTGCTGCCTTCGCCCGTCCCTATAAGAGGTCAGATGGTCTAACTGTCGACGTCTCCGGACCTGGAAGCAGAGTTGGCTCAATCGAGGATCTAAAATTCACTGCAACAGATCACGAACACGAACCCAGGAGATGTCAAGGTTCCTCAAGTACGGGACCGTTCTCGATGGTCTCCCATCACGCTCGTTTAGCGTCACAAAAGATGGCGTACCGGTTGACTTCACCGGTGTCAAGGTGAGGTCAACTTTGAACCAACCAACTCCCGCCTAACGCCACCTGACTGTAGCTCAATGTCGCCGTGAGTGACAGCGCATATACCACCATCCCAAGCGGAGGAAATGTCACAGTCGAGCACAATGGTAGGACTTTCTTCGGATATGTGCTTTTTTTTCTTGACGCTATTACATCAGTGGCGGATCTCTACGACTTTGCTTCCGCCGGCAAGGGTACGTTTGCTTTTGAGCCCATCACCGACTTCCACGTGGTCGGTGCGGAGGAGCGTGTTGCTTCTGAGGTCTCCGCCTTCAAAGCAATTGCCGAAGTTATCGAAGTTGAGATCACCAGCGACGTCACCAGGCGGTCACTCAAGCGCTCGACGGACGTCTGCACGAATGAAACACTCTCTGGGTTCATTAATGCAAGGTGGATCTTAGCCGTTCAACGTCCAATAGGCGAACCTAATTTTTTTTTGTAGTTACGTCGAAGCAAAAGAACTCGCCTCAGTCTCGTTGGATTACATCAGCACCTTGGGCAACAGTACGAACAATACGATGACCGCCTACTTTAGCACCAACCCAGCCCAGAATGTCACTGATAAGCTCCAACTCGTTTTGGATGAGAACGACTCTTCGCGAACGTCAGTGGATGTCACCCATACCTCAGCTCTCCGGCTAATATCTTTACTAGTTTGAACTGCTTAGATGAATACGGGGTATGCGACGGAAACGTCATCGCATATACGGTCATCGACACTACGGACGTGAGCAAAGGCTGTTATAGTATCAAACATTCTTTTTTTGCTAAATATTACCACAGATCTACTTCTGTGGCATCTTCTTCGATGAGGTTCCTTCCACTGATCTTTGCAATGGAGTCACTACTGTCGCGACGAGGAACATTCGTGGTGGGACCCTACTTCACGAGGTGCGGCGTCTCATGCCCCCCGCTTCGAAGTGTTCTCATTCATCTCTTTTAGCTCACCCATGCCGTAGCTGATACGGAGGACGTCACCTACGGATGCGCTACTGATCAGCGTCTCACCGCAGCGCAACAGATTATAAATGCGGATAGCTTCAATGTATGTGTAAACCCTCCTTGTTGCTTTTATATAGATACTTATTTCTCGGATAGTGCTTTGTGACACAGGTCTACAGTGACACGCAGTGTTGAATACGGAGCCGTCAAGCCCGGGATGACTTATTCTTGTACTTATGCTGAAACGAACAGTTTATATATGAAAAGAAGTGCTCTCTTCGCTTTTTACTCTTAGCCATTCTGAGGCTTGTCAAATGTATGCTCATTACTTCTATTAACCCTAGCCTTCGTGCCGGTGGTTCTCACAAAATAACTGCTGGTTTCATCTGCTTCGTCGCGAAGTGTGCCCGAATTCATCAACGCTGGGATGCTGCTCGCTCGACTAAGGTGTGTAAAGTGGTTCAAAACCGCCCGCCACGGTACCGTGACCACTTAATCTAACCATACAGTCAATACACTCATCTTCTTCTTCAAGAAACGCAAGTTTGTAAAGCCCCCGGATTTTGCGATTGGTCCACAAAGTACCTTGTGGAGCGAAAGTTAGGTACACAGAACCGTATGATCCAATCTCTGGAAATTGGAGCCTTGAATAATGGTGGAATAATGAAACTTCAGGGTGCGATCCATATTTAGAAGTATCAGCCGCGCATCCTGCATCCTTGACTACTCTTCCTGAAACCCTTTTGCTACTTGGCATTGATGAACGATGTCTCCTTCGGCTGTACGGTTGTTTAGCCTGTCCTGTCATACGAAATTGCTCACCCCGCTTGCGTTTGCCTTTTATAGCATTAACATCCGTCGACACGACCCTCGGCAGTGTATGTTTCTTGTGTCTGCGTGCCCTGGGATACGAAGAAACCTTGGCCGCTGTGATAAAATGTGGCCGCGTTGCCCCCAGAAGGCGATGCAGATAAACATCGTTGGCAAAAGGTTATTCGCTGCGCCTCGGAATATCCGAGTTGCATTGGCGGACTATAAAACCTGCTACATCTACGTCGATTCCAGAACAACTGATTAACCTTCTGTCTTCATCCCTAGAAACTCCAATGATTCTTGATCAAGGTCAGCTTATCTTCTTTTCCTTCTCGAATGACATTTCAGCTGACCCTTCTGAATAGCACTAGTAGTGGCTCGTGCCTCGTCAACAGGCGACGACTACCGTTACGGCTATACTCCCACAGAATATGTCACCATAATATTCGTTGCCTTGTTTGGGGGGTCTACCTGTGGGTATTCTTCGTCGCATTCTTTCGGCTTCTCTAGCTAAAGATACCTCTAAAGTCGCACACACGGTCCAAAGCCTACACTACCGCCTATGGTGGCCGTTCCCAACCATCATCCTCGCCGGAACCTTGGAGGTCCTCGGATGGAGCGGTCGGCTTTGGTCGAGCTTCTCGCCAACGTTGAGAACGCCGTATATGATACAGTAAGTCCCGACAAAGAAAGGTTCTTCCAAGAGTATGCTGATCCCTGCTTAGAATTGTCACGACAATCATTGGGCCAACTCCTCTTGTTGCGGGTAACTTCATCATTCTCGGCGGCATTATCAGCCTACTAGGGCCAGCGTACAGCAGATTGAGCCCGAAATATTGTCCGTTGTTCCCTTCCTTCCGATAATCTACATACTGATAAATCTGTCATATAATAGACTCGTGGATTTTCGTTAGCTGCGTACGTGAACCCCTATGCCTACAGAATTCCGTCGTTGAGGATATTCACCATACAGGACATAATTTCCCTCATCGTTCAGGGCGCCGGAGGCGGTATAGCCGCCTCTGCAAAGGACGCTTCCGGCGCTACCCTGGGCGGTAATATCATGCTCGGTGGTATCGTCTTCCAACTAGGTATGCCCTCCAACTTTAATCATTTATTAGCGTATTCAACTCTACACAGTCGTTATAACTTGCTATGCAATCCTCGCGACCGAGTTCCTCATCCGTTACCTCCAAAACCGTCCCATATACGCCAGAATCGGGTCCACCGCAGCGAGACAGAGTGAAGTAACACTCCCTAGTAACGAACAATACTTCCGCGGCGACCTCTCCCGGAAGATCAAGCTCATGATGATAGCCCTGTCATTCAACACCCTTTGTTTATATATCCGGTAAACTTCTAGCAGGCATTCAAAACTTGGGCACTCATCATATCGCAGGGCAATCTACCGGACGATTGAATTATCTGATGGGTGGAACGGGAGAATCATCACCACTGAGGTGTACTTCAGTGCGTCACTTCAATTTATCCTCCATGCCTCGGTGCTACAATAGAATTGATAGATGTTCTCGATGGTGCTATGGTCGTTTTGGCAATATATGCTATAAACTTCGCCCATCCAGGATGGCTCCTAGGACAGTACCCGGCCAACGTCGACACAAAGTCCAGCGAGAGTGTTCTCGAATTGGAGAGTAGGGCCTACTAATTGTCGGCGAACGTGAGGGAACGGGATACTATATCTAGCGTTAATAAGTAGACAAATGGACACCAATTTCCTGTGCCTAATAGAGATAGACACATAACTTTCATCTGGAAACCCTCGATAATTAATTACTACGTTCTTTCTGAAAAGCGGGTTTAGCTTTGTAACCCGTAGCTAAAGGGAAACACGATATCAGACGCCATGTTGGGGGCATTTGCGGTTTGCTACTACGTGTGAACACAGCTCCCAGAGGAATCGAACCCCTGTAAAGACCACAAGAGCATGGAAAAAAGAAGAAAATAAAAGAAAGCAAGGAAACCCAGAGAAGACAGAAATGAAGACGAAATAAATAAATCAGAAAAGGCGAGTCCAAGTCCAAGACAACCGCAATCCCAAACCCATAGTCCCAAGAGTCCTGAAGAATGAAGCAAAGAAAGAAGAAAAAAGTCCGAGACGAAATCACAGAAAAGATGAAAAAGCAGTCGCTGTCCATGCAAAGTTCCCCCAGAACCCAAGAGGAAGAAAAACATGATGCAGAGAAACGAAAAAAGGTCCAAAATAGAGCAGAAGGAAAAAGTCGAGAGAGTGAAGAAGAAAAGCATAGTACGTGAAGGAGAAGAAAAGGAAAAAGAAGTGAAAGGATAAAGTCCAAAGTTCGGGAAAAGCAAAGCAAAGCAACAGACGATACGCAAGGAGAAAGAACCGAAAATGTCTGTCCGAAATCCAGGCAATCAAGTCCGAGAGAGAGAAACGAAGTAAAAACACAGAAGATTAAACTGAAAGGAGGAGAAAAGAATAGAAACCTACTCCAAAGCATCGTGAGCAAGCAAGCGGATCATGAGGGTGTTCGAGCAAGAGGAGACATGGCCAAGCGAAGCGCACCAGCAGTTGCACGAGTTCGAGTCATCACCGGCGGCTGCACTGTGACTTGTTGACGCGCGAGAGTAGCCGAGCTTTGAAGGACCTTCGAAGACGGCTGCATAAGGAAGCTGAAATCGATACCCAACCCTAATCCAATCGGCATTGCCCGAGGAGGAGGCAGCGTCGGAGCAAGGAAAGATTGATGGACCTCCATGACCCTTGCAGGCGCATTGACCAGTTCGGCGTCCGTGAGGAAGAACCTATCAATGTTAGTGATCTCGGCGCGGAGTTCTGGAAGGGTGATGCGTTTCGAAGAGCGTAGGTCGAAGACGCGGAGCAGGATCTGGTTGACGGACGGTGTAATTGGAAAGATCTTGGTAAAGTAGTCGGGATTGCAGAGAAAATAGTTGAAGCATGGATCTGAAATCTTAGCGGCGAGCCAAGGACTTCGCCCAGCAATCATATTGAGGAATACGACACCTAGAGCCCAGACATCACTGCTCCTCGTCGAATAGGTTGGTGATTTGAAATCCTCGCCGAGGCATTCTACATGACAAACGTGATAAGGTGGGTGAAAGACATGATCAGGAAGGAAGCTCACCAGGACTCTTGTACGCCATGGTGCCTGCCCCACGACGGCTATAGTCGTCTTCGCATGTTGCTAGACCAAAGTCAGCCAGAAATACCTGTTCTCCATCTTCCGAGCAGAGGATGTTCTCAGGCTTGAGGTCGCGATGGAATATTTGATTGTCATGACAATGCTGAACGGCATCGATGATCTGGAGAAAGACCTGCTTCACCAGTGAGTCGTTGCGATAAAATACCTTCTGTTCCCGGATAGCCTTGTGCAGTTCGCCTCCTGGGCAATAATCCATGACCATGAAGATGTAATCCTCTTCGACCCATGTAGCACGATACGTGACGACGTTGGGATGGCGCGAGACGGCGGCATGCGAAGCAATTTCCCTGTTGACTGCTGTAGGGCCTTTCAAGCTGTCAGTCTCGATACATTTAACAGCAAAATAAACAAAATCATTAGTGGCCTCTACGTCCAGTGCCTTGTACACCTGCCCGTAGTTACCAGAACCGAGTAGGTCGACGAGGATGAGCCTCCCGTTAGCGATGGACCGGCCGACGAGGTGAGGAACCCTGCTGAAAGGCATAGTAGTATGTGCAAGAAGAAAATATGTGCGGGAAAGCAGAAATATAACACGACTTTCAAAGTCGAGAAGGTGGTGGCAAGAAGGAAAGAGTATTATGGGTGGCTCCTATTCACGAGAACGTGATATCTTCCACGCTCCAAGACCCCCAAAACTAGTCGGTGAGACCGGACCGGACCTGGAGGATGCTACTTGGCCAAGCATTGCTTTTCCTTTCGTTACTCTAGGTATCCTAATCAGCCAAAGTAAGCCTAGCCTTGCGCCTATCCCAACCTCGACCATAGGCCTTCATGGCAAAGCGTCCATCATTCTTCAGCTACTGGACATACAAAATCCTTTCCGAGAGTAATTTTCGACGCGACCTTGCGAATTCAAGGATGGCGGTGGTAAAGATACCATAATGGATTCGGTGGTACTTTTGCCCTCCGATTTTGAAAGGGAGAACAACGAGGACTACGAAACCAACGAGTGAATTCATGTCGTTGTTGTGAGATCTGGTTGGGCCAGTTGTTAGATTTTATGCTATTCTGCATGGCATAGTCTTGCAGTCGCGCGTAGGCGAAACAGGCATGCTCATAGCCACCGGTCACTGGAGGAAACTCTTTTTATTATCGTGAGTTCGACTCGCATACATAGAACCAGTGGCTTTGATCTAAAAACGCTGCACCCGCAAACTGTAATGGGAGTGACACCGAGTCGGAATAATAGCCTAGACAACCAAGTTAAATTTTCAATAGATTGTCATCATGTCCAGTACTCACTAACCATCTTTAGCTTCTGCAGCTTCCGACTTTTGGTTCACACGAAAGTGAAGAGAGTCAGCTACGCAAGTCTCAGCCATCTTTACTAACGAAAACAGGATGAGTAGAACCCCACCACTAGCTTTGCATAGTCTCCAGAAGTCACAACAATTTCTGATAGTACTCAGAACTAGTACCTACAACTGTCAGGTAAAGTTCCTTTCAAGCATCACCATATCATGTTCCTTCTTTATCAGCTGGAAATCTCCGGCACCATCAGGCCAGACTACCCGACTAGACAGTCCCCTGGGATACCGCACCTCACCCTCCTTACCCGCCCAATCGAAATCTATGAGCATCACCTTCGAGTCGTGGGTAAACATAACATTAGGCCGACGCAAGTCTCCAAAAACAAGTCCTTCACAATGAAGCTGTGTGACTGCCGCCTTGACCTGACTATATGCGTCAGCCGGCCAGACATCCAGAGGAATCTCCTGCGCGCTGGTCCCGTCGATGTATTCCATGACGACCATGCGCAAGGGCCCCAAGTACAAACCACCGGATTTAGTGGCGCCGCACGCACTTTCGACACTTCTGGCGTCGTCGACACCATTGAGGAGGCCACAAAAGAGCAGCCTGGGGGCCATGCCGTTTTCAGCAAGACACACATGGGCATTAACACCATAGCGGTCAACAAATTTGACGATAAGCTTCCGTGGGACCTCTGACGTCGTCTGCGCGAGGAAGGTGACATTGGTAGAATCGCTCTCAAGCACGTCAAGATACTTGAACTCGGTTCTGGTCTCAGAGTCGTACTCTGTGAAACTAGCGGGGTAGGGGAAGTAGCGGGGGTGGGGCTGGTTGGGAATCAGCTCAAGATCCGTTCGTTTTAGGATACCATCGTAAAACAAATTCAGCGTCCGCAAGCAGTGGCGGAGGGACGTAAAGATCCGTGAGAGGCGATACAAGTGGGCTTCTTCATGGATCGTAGCTTCACCAACGCACATGACGTTGGTGAGTCGCTGGACGATGAATCTATCGGTCCAGACAACACCAAGTACGGAAAGATAAGGGCCACCGCCAACGAGAATAAAGGTCGGACAACAGCATTTGTCCCGGATGTATGACAGCTGTTCTGTCGATTAGACAGTTTGAGGGGAATGGGTGAGGATTACGCACCTCGGAATCAGTCCACAAGTTCAGAACGGAGTATGATGCCTGCGTTATGGAGTGCTTGATCTCCATGACAATAAGTGGGATGACACAGTCATGCAGCTGCTTGAAGATCATGCCGTCGGGAGTTCGACCGTCGTCCGAGGCGAACTTCCCCATGAACTGGCAAAAGATGTCGGTGAGACGCCTACGCAATACATTGGCACGGTTGCCTTCATATGTATGTATGGCAGCTGCAGTAGCCATGAATTCGGCGACAGAAGGGATGGCAGCCTCATCGGGCTCGAATGTAGGGTCATTGATGTTGTCCAGGAACCGGCTGAAGACGGGATGAAATATCTCGATAGGCGGTGCAATAGTTACATGCGCTGGCTCGTCGCTTCGACTAATGGGAGCGCAGAATCCGTCGTAGATGGCCGTGAAGTCGCAACTGTTCTGAAGTCTCAGGTACTCTGTGGATTTGGCGGATTCGTGAAGTGGAAACGACTTGACACGCTTGATAAGTGTGCTGTATCCTAAAACAAGATCAAGCTTGGATTACACGCAAAAATGGGTAGAGACACACGATGATAAAGACCGTGTAACGGCAACTCTGACACAATGTCAGCGTTCTCATGATCCCGGACGGCCGCTTCTCAGCTGTGACGATAAGATGCAAGCATTCCTCATCCCCTCCCCCTCCAAGGGCTCCCTGAAGATGCCCGGGCAATTGTTTCCGTTTCGCCACATTTGTGAGTTCGGTGGTTGCGATCCAATCTTCCGGGAGTGACTCTACACTGAGATTCTCTAACGGCTTAAAAGCAAAAATGTGAGGTAAACACAGCTAAGATTTAGATGCTTACCGTCCAGAAACGTATCGACACTGGGTCAGTGCGGAATCTGAATTCCTTTTCAATTTCATCGGCCCATGAATTTCGGTGATGCTGCAGGATTTTCTTCAAGTCGTGACCAGCTACTTGCAGAGAGTGGATATCGCTATATGTGTTGACATGATCGAAAAACAACCAATTGATAGTCATTGAGGGAGTACCGCGGTCGCGGCTCATGATCATGATAGTTCAAATTAAACCAATGATACGCTCACGTGGCATAGATGCTTAGTCATAAGTCAGCCTGATGCTTCGCTCATAACGCTTATAACCCATGGCCTTCGGAGCTATATGTTATGCGGGAGTTTCTGGATACTGGAAGAGCACTGACGGGCGAGTCTGACTTAGTCAGAAGTCTCGCCTTCCGCTTCCACCTGGAACGACTTTGGCATGCACAGTGCACCTCAACGCGTTGGTTTGGATCAGGGCCTAGTATTTCTCTGGGTAAAAATGCTTGCATACTGTATCCCCCTGCAATGTAACAGATTAGGTTGTTACGGTCTATTCAAGAGAATGTATGGTGAAGCCGCCAATTTATGAGAGATCGATCCACGACATAGTCAAGTTGGGTTGCCACAGCTATACGTCGTGTTAATACCATGTCAAATAAAAGCATTGTAGCAACTACCGCGAGCAGAAACAATATCAAAATTTCCTGGAGAGCTGTCATGGTGGTAGCAAAACTGGAAAACTGGATTTTTTGGCCACCTCTGCTGATACAACCCTCAGACCGATCTTCCGTTCCAAAGATCACTAGTCCGCTTGGCTTTTACCATTATCAGCTGGATATTTCCTCTCGATTTCTGATGCAAAATCGAACAGCAGTTCCGTGTATTAGAAATATGACCGTAGAGATAGTTTTTTGAGGACCAGGATTTTTATTTTTAAGAACCAGTATTACTTATCGACCTTGCATATTTCTTCACGTGCGACAACAGTAATCAATCCGTCTGGGAATATCGTGTTGGCGATTGGAGACAATGAACAAAGCCGATCACCGTTCATGGAACGTTGTATGAGGAGCGCAGCGGTCGTAACGGTACCCTCGACCGATCGCTAAAGGATCAACGGGGTGTGCTAAACCAACTGTAATTTCTTGGCTTGTCATTGACTTGGGTGAATTCTAGAGGCATTGATATTTGCGCTCTGACCATGACTGGACACACCTGTATAGTCGCTTCTGAAAAAAAGGGACGTTACCTCTGCCTCCACTGAATCTTGAAGCCAATTTTTAGGTTCGTTTAATATTGAGTGGACTTGCAGGTACCAGCGCAGCGGACGATTTTGCCTATGAACAGTGGCACTTACACTGGTCTTTGTCGCCCGCCGTCTTTGGCCAAGACCCGCATCCCCTATCTTTCTATCTTTGTTTTCTCACCATTTATCTATGCAAAAAATGACATTGTTCGTCTCCACACACCGAGTTAAAAGCAATCCGGACCATGACCATCGTTCACTACATCAATTCCCGCTCTCACTTCCACAATGAACGGACTCAGCTACCCTACCTACCCATACCCATATCATGATGGCGAGAGCCAACCATACTTCCCGACTCCTCCTCCCTCAGCTTCCTTCGCTCCTCCAACCTATGAAGCAGTCACGGGCGTCCAAACTCATTACCAACAGGCTCTTACCAGTGGTCTTCAAACGCCCGCTTCGTCTCCGACCTCAACGCAATCTACGCCTCCCGCAGAATCTTCGAGGCGGATTCCTCCACCTTTAGGCTGGAGCGCACCATCGAGACAATTGAGTCGCCCGTGCCGCTGTGGCCACGGAAGGTGCAGGTGGCGGTTCTTCTACCCTACCCGAATGATGCTCGCTGTCCACGAAGTTCTCCCGTTCCAAATCCAACCCCAAGGACCCTAGTCAGTATACCCTCATCGAGTCGAGTGTGAGCTCAAACCAGAACTTATTATTATTTTTTGCATAGCACTACCATCCGCCCTCCGCGAGAACTCAGCAAGTCCCAAATGGAAACGTTCCTGGTGTCGCTGAACGGTTCCGAATATAGCTTCCTGAAAGCTTTCGCGAGCCCGCTCTATCGGTACTGCCGGGACAGCGCGAAGCGCAGACGACTTTTCCTCCAGTGCGAGCCTTGGATTGATGTAGACAGAATCGAATCGGGCAAAGTAGTGTGCTTGGGATGCGGGTGTGATGTCTCCCTTGGGGACGTCGAGTACAATCCTGGTAACTGGATGCGCCACCGGGATTGGTGTGTTGGTATCGAAAACGCGATTTTGAGCTCTGTGGTGGATGCTTGGGAAGCCAAGAGTGCGAGGTCGTTGGAGGCGAACACTTGATGTACACTTGTGCTTCCTGCTGTATTTTTAATTGTATGCATTTCATGGAGCGTGCTGAGTCCACAGGCTCATAAGTTGATTTCAGAGACAACGGTAGCCTGGGCATTTGAAGATCGTTTCGCTCCAGCCTGGGACGGCATTCATTATGCGTTAAACGGTCACGAGGCCGCCAAGTCCTGGAAAGCTCCTGAATTGTTCGCCCCTGCTAGAATGGTACTAGCCTGGATGGTCTATTTGTTCTTCGAGGCATAAACGATCCCAAGAAAGTTTCATCGTCACACCCTGTCTGACCGCACAGAAGAGCCCTTGAACGTACGCCTCCCCGACAAAACCCTAAACCCGTCTTGACACTTCTTGACAAGTGCAGCAATCACCAGGCCTGGTGAGAAACTGATGAACCACAATCCGTTGACCCACGATGCCATGCCGGTAGGATCAAAGATAGCAACGAGAGTTGTACGAGATTCAGGAACCGAGTCCATACTCGCGCCACTTGCAACAGCACGCTGTATGAAAACGAGCTCAAACAGCAGACTCGGAGATGATGACACCTCTACGAAGTCAAGCCGAAGGTTCTGCGACGCCTGAACCGCAAAGGTTGTCACGACGGCAGAGAAAAGACCAGCCTGTTCAACGATATCAGCACTCTTCATCGACATATTGTGTCGCCGTTGACTTTCAAAGACTAGAAGCACGTCAACAGAATACCTGGGATCTTCAACCATTGTTGTATCATGAGTCTGGGTTTCATCCTGGTATGACCGTCGGGCTCCGGCGTACGAACTAGTCTTCGAAGTTTGTAGTCTGATATGTTGACACCTAAGAGAACGGTGAGAAATTTATGATGCTGGGAGCGGTGTTATACATACCATAAGACCGAGCATTAACCGAGCATAGCGTCTGCGTGAACGCGATCCGAAGCGCTTAGTTTTGCGACGCCAACCTTTAGTAGCATCGTTCGCTGCAACATAGGGTAAACTACCGTCGTTCGAATTTCTGTCAGCCGTGTAATAACTTGGCTTCATTGTATCTGAGCTGCAATCTTGATGCTCGCGAAGGTGTCCATACATAGGATCAGGATCGTAGGAAGGACACGGCATGTTGTTGGTCGGCAAGACCATATTCGGCAATCGGACCGATAAGCCGGACCGATTCATACCCTTTGAAATTGTCGTGAAATTTCGTAAAAACACCAAACACTACATAGTACAAAACCAAGCTTCATATTGGTACAGAAAGTCATCCACGATAAGCGGGAGGCGGTTCTTCATGCCTGACATCCGTACTCGACGATCCCTCATTTTCTGCTTCGAAAACGTTGATAAGCGCCCTTCCAATTCAATATTACAATGCCACAATCCCACTTACCGAGTGAAGGCGGAGGAGGATCCAGCCTAACCGTATTCTTTCCCACGACCACCATATGCTCTTGTGTTGAGGCACCCCCACGAGCGCGACGGACCTCAACTACGTCCTTCTCTTCTTCCAAAACCACCGGGCCCTTAGCAACCTGTCGTCTTCGCCTTCGGCGTCGAAGGAACCAGAAGGCCAAAAGTAGGATCGCTATCAGCCCCACCCCACCTACGACGCCTCCAATGACGGCCCGGCGTACGACGCTATGCAAGTTTAATTATGGCGAACACAAACTTGATTGAAGGGGTGGACCTTACCTTGCCCGCTCGGAGCTGGCTAAGGAATTGTCGGCAATGGTAGTACCGTTGGGGTAGGTGCCGTTGGGGTAGGTACCGTTGGGGTAGGTACCGTTGGCGCAGGTACCATTGGGGAAGGGATGATCTGTATCTGGGCCCGTATGGTTCATGCCATCACCTCCCCCGAAGCGCTTATGGATACTGGTATGTGGAGCGCCGACCACTTCGTTCGGGGACCATCCCACCAAAAAGAGAGATTTGACAAAGTGGCAGAACATGAGTAGCACTGACGACTCCATGATTTCCCGGTACTTATCGGGATCTTCTCTTATGTATCGACCGGACAAAGATCCACATATTCATCCGAGGCTTAGTCTCCCACCCTCGTGTCGTCATATTCACTTTTGGGGCGTAAAAGTCACCATGACTTACTGCGATCAACGGGAACTTCTCATAACAATATCAATATTAACGTGTGTGGCTTACTATACAGCTGCGTCTACCTTCGCCAAGGTCATTAAGAATACACCTACACCACGATTGATGAGGAAAAGACATCAACGGCATCAACGTCATAAATAGCATTAATGTGTACGTTAGACCTTTTCCGCAGCATGTTCATTCGTGCTACTGGAGGGCGACACAGTTTCCTTGTGCTCCGCTGTAGCGATAGTCTTGTTAGACTCAGCTGCGCGAGTCTGTTCAACAAGATCACGGCGGTTCTTGTATCCAGGAGGCGCCCATTGACGAGAAGTCCACGGCTTGCAATTAGGATCGTTGTACATCTAATGCCGCAGTAAGCACGAGGTGTCATATTTCATAAGCCAAGCACTATACCTGATCAACGCCTTCCAAGGATAGCTCAGATGACTCGTACAAGAACAAGTAAACGATCACAGCTCCAGCGAGATTGCATGCTGCGATAAAGCATAAGCGAATATGTCATGTATGGGAGAAGATGATCCACTCACAAGCAAAGACGAAACCATATCGGAATTCGATAGCGCTGACGATAAAAGGCGTGAAGAAGGCAAGGAGGAAATTCCATAACCAATTCGCAGCAGTAGCTAATGCACCTTGCTTGGCTCGGGTCCTCGTGGGGAACGTCTCTCCGATTAATATCCACACACCGCTGCAGCCAAAGAATGAGTAAGCAATGGACGAAGGAGGTCGGACAGACGTACGGGGCCCATGTCATGGCATAGCCAAGAATAAACATACATGCAGAGACAATCATGACTGTACAACGACCATAATCAGCATCAATACAACCCAACATCGCGATAACACACGCTTTCCAATTCCTGGATTGTCTGCAGGAACTTTTGCAGTACCAGCTGCCCCGAATACGAACAACCATGCTGCCTGCCAAAGACCTCCTACAATAAGAGGCACACGACGTCCGAACTTGTGTAAGAGAAAGCTATCAGTCTTCAGTGACAATCCTGAGTTGGATATGATGCACCTTCTCCATTACATATATGCCTCCGAATGTGCATACGAAGTTGACAGCACCAAGAATAATTTGGGTGACGTAAGAGTCCTCGATACCAACTGATGAGAAGATGGTTGCTCCGTAACTGAATATAAAATGAGATCAAGGTGGGTCAAAGAAGTTGGAGAGCGTACTAGAAGAAGTAATTTGCGCCAGTTAATTGTTGGAAGCTTTGCAGGGCCATACCTGTAAAAAGGCTCGATCAGGAAAATGCATTAGTCGTGCGAACCAATCAGCTTACCGAGGAGAGTTCGATACAAGATCTTGTTACCAGGCTTGAAGCAGTCAAGCCAACCACCCGCAAAGTTCTTTTCGTACTCCACATTACTCCTAATTTCTTCAACCTCCCGTACCACGATCGGATCTGTCTTGACTTCTGAAAGCGGGATTCCGCGGGTCCTCGCAATAGCTTCTGCAGCCTTTTCAAGGTGTCCATGCTTTGCGAGCCACCGAGGACTTTCAGGCATGAAGAGAATTCCAATCGCGAGAATAAAGGGCCAAGCGATACCAATCCCCACAACAGCCCGCCAAGAACCTGCACCATTGACATCTCGTGTGCCGATAGATATGCAATCTGCAAATTAATGAGACGGTAGCCATATAATATGAGAAGATCACGAACATGCAACGAGTATACCGAACGTGATGAACAGCTGGTATGTTGCCGTCAGACTTCCACGGATTTGCGGAGGAGCAGTTTCAGCTTGATACTGGAATGGAAGTCAGATCGGAGCAATTTATAGTGCAACACGACTGACCATAGGAACCGCAGCACTCAGTGCCCCGACAGCCAGGCCGCTAACGAGACGACCAACGGCAAATTGTTGCCACACGCTGGTACTAGATATCTGGATGATGACGCCGACAATAAACAACCCGCACTCTACAACCATGGCATAACGCCGGCCGAGGTAATCAGCAGTTCTGACTCAGCACATAAGTATTGTAAGAAGGGTAAAGAGTAAAAGAGCGTACGGTGCACCGAAGAGAGCTCCAAAGAGGGTACCGATGGACAACAGACCGACGATCAAACCGGAGCGTACATTGCTGAAGTGACAGGTGGAGGCATCGCCAGGGATTGAACACGTAGCAAACCGCAGCTTGAAGTCCTCCATGAGCAGGATGTCTGATATCTGACCTGTGTCGTAACCAAAGATGAAGCCTCCCATACTTGCCACAAGGGCGAGCATAATGGCCACCGCGCCAATGGGCACTCCTTGCCTAGATTATCATGTAAGTAGCTAGAAACACCTTGGACGGAGAAGACATACACATAGAAGAGCGCCATCGCAGTCGACTTTCGATTTTTGTGGGGTGATGGATGTTTCAAAAAAAGGTGAAGTGGGGACTGGAGAACGGGACGATTTATAAGACGGGATCGGGGTTTTGGATGATGTCATTTCTGGGGAAAGGGTAAACAAAGCTGCGTCTCACCTAGGCAGTCGGTGGCAAACGCAGCGACCATATGGAGCCGCGCCCAACGGAAATCGGACCATGAATATGCGGGGGGAATTACACCGAAATGTTTCGGAAGAAGGTTTTTTAGCAGTTATTTTTGGAAGTTCGGACCGCGTGAAGATGTGACGACGCCAAGTCGATCGGAGAGCATTTGCAAAGCCTCGGACGATAGTTGATAACTCAGGTAGTACTGGCACCGTAGAACAGGGAAAAAAGCTGTATTCGTATAGAGAAATAGGCAGACAAAGGTGGAAAACTCAGCGGGACTATGCCCTCAAAGATGTAGCGGTACTCAAACCCGGGCATCATTCCGGGGCGCGCATATGAGCGCCTAATACCTATAGCGAGTGGAGTAGTCTGGAGATCCATTAGTAAGTGACTAACCGAAAAATGAATTGTAACTGACCCTTAGGAGACACGACGAGACCACGACCTTTTGATGCACCCCGATACACGGTCTCAATTATATCAATTAACTATATCAAGATAAGGTGATGAGATATCGCAAGGCGCATAAAAGGTTGATTACCTCTTGCTTATTATCCATAGCCCAATTTCTTGAGAAGGTCGAGAACTGTCAATTTCAAAGCTGACTGAACGTAGCGACCAACTCACATTTTGTTGTTATTACCAGTGCCCAGATCAATCATAATGTGCTTGTTTCTGTGATATTGGACACAATCAATCCAACGAATGTTCCGATATAATCAAACGAGCACTTACCGGTAAAAGAACATTACAGTGCATGGATCATACAGTTCGTACATCTGTCATATCCATCAGCTGCGCATCCGGCTACTATTGCAAACAACCACGGACCTTGTTGAAGTCTGGAACATCCGTAATATCGACGAGGTATATCACCGCAAAGTTCTGCACTTTCTCTGCGACCGAGTAAAGCGTTTCGTCCATGGTCATGCATTGGCTATCCCAGTCATGTCCAAATCGAATCACCACGACACGATCTTCCTCAGATTTGATGGCCTCATCGACATGCCAGCCGGAGGGAAGGTGCGGAAGGAAATAAGACATAACTGAATGGTAGATGAAGAGTGAGGAGGCTCTCTATGGTGGCAGCCACTGGCATTCGAATGTAACAAAGCCAAACAACCGCTTTTCATCGCGAACACGTGAACACTGAACACCAAGGCTTCAACTTAAAGCTTGAAGGAACGACTACAGGCTTAGCTCTAACTCCTCGGAGTCCTTGTATTTCTAGTAACATCAGTTTCCACATTGTTTCTCTCGTCTCCATTTGCCTCGCTGCCCCCATCTCTTATTTCTCCGAACTAGGGGTTTCTTCCATTACCCAACTCCATTCCAATTTCTATTGACACCTTTTTTATTAGCCCGGTTAGTTGATTCCATCACTTCAATCGGTCTCTTTATTCTCGGGCCCAAATCTATCCACTCTTGAATGCAAAACCGTGGAAGCAATCGAATCGGAGAAAATACACTGTTATTAACCACCCCTTTCGCAGTGTATAGAAAATTTGCTCATCCGCGAAAATTGCGCGCGAATAATACCTCATGGCACTGGAGGGAATCGTCGCCATTTATCCGAAAAGTCTCGGGGCGGAACTCGTTCAGGAACATCCTTACCCCGCCCTTCAAGTAGGGGTTGCGGGGTAAACTTCCGAGTCGGGAGTGGCTAATGGGACCGCATACCGGTTTTCTAACCTCTAACCTCTTGGAGAGTAGATATTCTACTAGCTCATCGTCCTGAAGACCCGTCAGACTTCACTGGCCACGAATGCAGAAGGTAATTCCAGTGCGATTTTGTGCACACGCCTTATGTGCTATCAAGCGACTCCTGGCCAGGGCATCAGTCTTGAATGCAGCGCACAGCGTCAATCAGTCTTCTTTACTCCCCCAGCGAATTGATAGCCTAGAGCCTACCCCTTATCGGCTTAGAGCCTGTCACCGCAGTTAGCAGGTGCTACATTACCGGGGGTCCATGCTTTCCTTTGTTCTGTCGCACAGCGGCAGTATCTCGCCGGTTAAAGGCCACTTATCATCATTCCTCCATATGCAATCGTCCATTTCGTTTGGCCGGATCCGGCCAACCCACGGATCTCTGTACGCTGGGAATGAAAGAAAAAGTGTTTCGGCTTGAAAACCAATACCTAGGCAAATGCTGTGAACAGCGAGTATGTATGCTCATCGTGCGCGGCTGACGTGCTATTAGTAAGTTGTGACGGATCAAGTGGGCTCATACAGATAAAGATACGCCGGACCTTCCTAGCTCCCAGGTACTCACTGCAAACCGTCTTTCTCGAGGTTAGTCAATATACATATTGATATAGGTGTTTCGGCATATGGAGGCTTGTGCACCACTACTTACTATTACATCACAATACAAAACGAACCCTGCCGTCCGCGATTCATACGCCGCTGCCGCTCCTGCTCTAGTTGTCGGCGAACCTCCACTTCACGTAGGAGCCTCGCTTGTTCACCGTAATCAGCACCCCGGAAGGGGTTGACGGGTACATGGTTATTAGCGTTGGGAGTGGGATTGGTAGTATAGTAGCCCCCATGCTCGGCATCCATATGGCGGTAGATGTCATGTCTCGGAAATACACCCATGCAGTGCCAGCAGATGTGGGACCCGCAGCTGAAATGTAGTTGTCAGTCAAAGCTTGGGCTTCATAGAATTTCGGAGCACGAACAGCGGGCATTTTATGTGGTTACAACCGGAAATCTTGTCTAGTAAACACGAGCACGTCGGACATTTCTTGATTCCGCTCTGCTGCATGATCCATTCCTCGCTTAACCTCTCCTGTTCAGCTGCACTGTTAGAATCTCGAGCCTCTTCACAGCTCTTTCCTACGTGCGAATCCTCACCACAGGATGAGCATACTTCAGAGAAACACGATGGACAGCGCAAAAGAGATGCAGATTTCGACTTGCGATAGATCTGGGTGCAATCTGGTGTCTTGCAGTACCCAAAAACTTGAGGCTGCTTGTCAACATATGATGTGAACACTGGCTTGAGAAGATGCTCGAAAGAGCTCTGAGGCAAGAACTTCTGGATGACAGGAATGGATATCGGAGTGCCACAGGTCGCGTCGTTGCCCATGCACACCAAAGGGAATATACCTGTCTCCGCTGCGGACGTCAAGAAATGCCGGATGCATGCGGTACAATAGACATGCCGACAGACTAGCTGGAACGGTGCGGAAGCCTCATCATAACAGACGGGACAGGTATGAGTTCCTGGAACAACTTGGACGACAACCTTCTTTAGAGACTCAGCGATGTGGTTGTTGAGGTGGAGCCTGACTTCTTCGCCACCTCGGATGGTGATTCTCGCTAAGCGAATATCGAGGGTAACGCAGTCGTCTCCAAATACCTCCTTCATCGCACTGAGACCAGTACGGAGGAAATATCCCACCGATCGACGTTCCAACTTTACTGAAAACTGCAGCGACATAAGACGGTCGAGCTCTTCCTTTAGGATCGTCTTGGCCTGTGTGATGGCTACCGAATTTCCGTACAGTTTAATTGCATGCTTCCTGAAATCTGCTCGCATGAAAGCGCCCACATCCGTAATCCTCTTCGTCAGTTCAACTGGCGGTCGTACCAGATGCTGGTGCCATTGGTCGATCTTTTCACCAGCAGCAAGACTCTCGACGCGTACTTTGAGAGCACCGATGGCTGCTCTGACAGCTCCCGATACCTGGATGCTGTAGTCCCCACGTGGCATTTGACGAATAAAGAGTTCACATGCTTTGTGATCTTTGATACTCTGCTGCAATTTCGTCCAAAGGCTAGCTTGGGCAAGATACTGTTCTGGCGGGATGATAATGGTGTAGAGCTCCTGTGGTGGTAGTTTGAACCAGAACATGGAATCATCAATGAAATCAAAACGTCGGTTGATCAAGGCATCTTGGACTTTTTTGGCGCTTTCCCAGCTTTCGAAACGAACACGCACGGAGAAGTTTCCAGCTACGGTGTCGCCCCAGGAGGTCACATCGAATGACTGAACCTCAACACCATCGACGCAATTGATATGCGATCGTAGTCGAAGGGAGGCGACACTGACGTCGAAGCTATGAGACTCGAGAAGTTTGACATTCCCACCACCATACCGGATGTGGTCGAATATCCAAGTAGGAGGGCTATCAGGGAGATTGGAAACCTTGATAGCCGGTCGGAAATTGGGAACTAAGCGGCTTTGAGGTGGTTGGTTCATCTCAACCTTCACCCTCCTGCCGGAACATATGCGACCATTCAGTTCCGCCACCTTTGAACGACAAGTCGCCACATCTGGATACTCGACGATGCAGGTCGTAGACGGAGCACGGCAGAAGATGGTGAGAACATTCTCATCCCGAGGCGCCAAGGCACCCATACCACCAGGTTGATTGAATACGCCAATTTCAAATTCTAGTATTTCGTCTCTGAATTCCATCCCTTCAAGCGCTGCGGCGAACGTCTGGGCGACTGCAACAGATGTGACGACATCGACATCCTGCTTCCCTTTGCCGGTACTGTGTACGGATACGACGTGGAACTCGGACACATCGAGGCCTTGCTGAGTGAAGAGATCCCCGATTTCATTCGGGTGGGCATCGCGAGGAATATCCTTGACTCGGATTCTGCAAGAGTCGAAGCCGGCGATTATATTCTGAATGGCGAGGCCGGAGCTGAAGGTAACGATGGACCCGAAGACGATACATTGGTGGGTCCGCTGAGCATCTATTGTGCGCTGCTCGTCATCAATTCGACGTTGTTCTTCTTCCTGACGGATACGGATCTCCTCTCGTTGGCGCCGCTTTTCATCTTTTTTCCTTTGGGCTTCCTCTTGGCGCAGTCGTTCATTTTCCTTTCTAACTTCTTCGGCTTTCGCTTCAGCTACTTTGACATGATTTTCCCTATCGAGGCGGCGCTGTCTGGAAAAGCCTAGGGCCTGTGTTAAATGTTAGTGGTTAGGTTATAGTCTCAAAGGGAAAGGTGTACGTTAGCATCGTGGGCAAACCGACACGTCTCCCCTCTGGTGCAAGTTCCTTTCATCCACGCATAGCATGGATTTTTGTTCGCCTGTGGAAGAGGAACAGCTGAAAACAATGGTGTACGATTTTCTCCTTCCGGCATCTGATTCTCTCCAACCGATTCGTATCTCATCTTGAAATCGTTGATCAGTTGATCAATATCAAAACGCGATTGAGAATGAGAAGACGACCCACTTTCGGACCATGCTCAAATCTGCATGCCTCTCCTTTGGCACAGCTTCCCTTCTGCCATGAGAAACACACGCAGCTCTTTGAACTGTTAACGGCTCGGTGATCACGAGGTTCTTGAGACGAGTCCGTATTAGCTTGACCACTAACAGCATCAGTGGCCGTATTGGTGTGACGATGGTCAACCGGCCCAGCGATACCTGACCGTCCACCTTTCTTACGGATTCGAGCCCGATTCTTATTCGGATTCTGTCCTTGATTCTTGTTGGTTTCCTGTTGGTTTGCATCAATACGAGTCATAGTGCAATTGTTGGTCACCAAGACGTACAGAAACAGGGCTCGGGTGTTGGTTCTTACATCCAGAGCCATATTTGCAGCTGCCTTGTTGGTAGAAACGGCATATAGGAGCATTTGGACTCGTGGTCGACATGAGTGTACAGAGCAAGATCGATGGAGCAATTAGACGCCCGGGTGGGCATGCGTAGGCAAGGTTAGATCCACCTGACTGCACTGGGGATTTAATGTGAATGAAGAGTAATAGTATCGCCGTGCAGGTCTGGCTGGGTCCTGCTTTGATCAGTAGGTTCTTGTGTGTCCCTGCAGCACAGCCCGGATGATCTTGTGCGACCAGATCAGGGAGGCTGGACACCTCAGAAATCGACAGATCGACAGATCTAGGTTTATGAGTGGAACAGGTCCAAGCCTTGGTGATTTAGCAGATGGTGTGGTATGCATTGAGGCAATATAATAGTACAAATAGCCTATGACGGATTCGTTATAAGCTAGTCTATTACGGAGAAATGAGTGGGCCACTCACAACGTACATACATGCAATGACAAGTCGACACGTCGGTCATGATTTTGCAGCGTTTTTCGCCTCTGCTTGTAGTTTGGACTGCATGACGTTCAAAAGGTATGTCATATTCTCCCGCTTTTTGCCAATGGTATCCTCGAGGACAACGAGGTTAGTATTCAAGTATTCCACCTTGTCGGAATAGTGCTTCACAGCCTCAACCCGCGACTAAACAGCATCATGAGGTTCGATACGAGCCGATATGGTAAAGAAGCGCACCTTCTGCACATAATATCCGGTCCCGACATCAACTATGACACTCTCGGTATCACAAATTTTACCAGGAACGTAGAGAGAGTTCGTCAAAGGCACTAGTATAGTTTTATCTAGACCGAGTCTCGCGTCAATCTCGCAAAGGAACGAGGAGACGCCCATACTTACCTTTATTCTGAGGCTTTAGGTCGCCGATGTTTTCAATGCAAGTCTTGAATTTCACTTGCGCTTGCTTCAGCTGGGCGAAAGAGCTGGTAAGGTGGCCGAGTTCCTACAAATTCAGTGTTAGGGCAACCTTGCAAGCTAGTAACCTTTTCCCTCACCTCTTCAAGCTGCTTCCGTACATCACTCAGCTGGTTAAGATCCAAATCCGCGACATTTACTTGCTGAGCTTCGGACATATTGGATGGGAATCAAGGAGGAACAGCGGAGGAACAGCGCGTCGTCGTTTGAAGGCAAGATGTAATCGGCTATAATTTTTGCGCTGAATTTCTCGATCGCATCTCCAAATCGGGCATATTATGACGAAACCACGTCAATTGTTTTATTTTCACCCCTAACTTAATCTCTCTCTTCCTCCGCTGCTTATTTATTCTCGTCGTCGTCGTCGTCGTCTGCGTAGTCACCATTATCGAGGGCCTCAATGTCCGAACTGAGGTGCCCTCAGGATATAGGTACTTTACTTCCTGTAGTAACTTCCGACCTTCACTAACAACGACCCTGGCAGTTGCTATTTTCCACGCTTCGTTCCATCCGACTCAAGGAAACGTTATTGATTGGAGCATCAAGGCCAGTGATGGTGCGTGCACAAAACCAGAAAGTGGTCGTCTTCTAATCGCCTGCAAGATGTGTCGCTGGATAGCCTCGAGTTCAGTGCGTTGCCTAGCGGTCTTCATTTGGTAGAGCAGGATGTCATGTACGTTTCCATTTCACTTTCTCGTCGTCATCTACTCATCTCTACTTAGTTACTTCACCAAGGATGAGCGGCATGGTGTCTGTGTCTTTCGTCGGAGGAAAACGACCGAGCAGGGACAGCGAGGCTTCCGGCTGTCCTCTCTTGGAATTCTGCTAGCCAAATCTGTGCGTTCAAAACCGTGGCGACATCTTTCAGCCCTGAAGGACCTTGTTGCGACTATATATACCCGCTTGGAGATTTCTGAGATCCTTGAGCCCACTGACGAGGACTGGGAACCAGCCCGGGTCTTTTTTGAGGAACGCAAGGTCAGGCAAGACGACCTCGGGGGCGCTGGGCAATGGAACGGATGGAGCTACGAGTTTGACGGGGTACGTTGTACAAATTTCTATCCATACAGACTCGGTGCTTACTTTTGACAGGACGAGCATGAAGGGCCTGTCGGTAACCCCACTCTCCATCTACCCCATCTCCTAAGGATACTAGGGCCGTCGTCGCTGACCCTATACAAACACGTCATAGGCAGAAAGCGCATCCTTATTTTCACGCTTCCCCCGGTTCAGGCCGCCTGCATCCTTTGTCACGTTGCCGCAGACATGTGTTATGAGTATCAGGAAGCTAGTAGCTCCACCAGTACCGCAGGGCGTCTGCCAGGCAAATGCAAGGAGGGCATTAATGTGTTGGGAATGGTAACTCTAAGTGATCTAGCCAGGATGCAGAAGGAAGGTGCTTCCGGTCGCGGATGGATTGCATGTATGCAGCCCACTCCTTTCCTTACTATTTACTTATTCATCGATCTACCAGGCACTACGGACGCAATATTCCTTGAAAAGCCTTCTCATTACGACCTCCTTATTGACTTGACTGCATCTACCCCAAACAAAGCGACTCGTCCAGCGTTCTTTTCGTCGCAGCCGATTCTGCCTTCGGGAATCTCTTCTCGTGGTCCTACACATCGACTATCATCGGTCAGATTCGCATGGAGTGACATCAAGCTTGTATGTCATATCTTCAATTTAATATTGAGTTCCCATCAAGGTACTGACTGCTTCTTCCATAGTGGAATGAGCTTGACCGGATACTTCAACTTGATTCGTCGCAGTGTGCCGACACATCGTGCTGTTCGCCATCATTCTCTGCTTCTTCTCCTGATCCGAAATCGAAGTTCATTACTGCGTGGACGGATGTGTGGCGAGTTTACGAAGATGTCTGTATCATCTGCGCTGGACTATGGATAGGATCATGGAGAGGGAGCTCGCCTTCATCATATTCCACCGCAAACGGGCCTGCAAACTGGGGAAGCGTACGGTTAGAGGGAGACGATGACCTTACTCTCACTGCAATCAATGGGTCTGATCACGTCCGAAGTTTAGGCCTGGGAATCGAGGGCCGCCCCTCTGGGTCCAGCAATAATAAGCCGATGCGGAGATCAAGTGGTATGTCATGGTCTAGTGGAAGGGCTTCTGGTTCTGGTTCCACGTCAGAGCAACAACAACCTGGGAGTATCGATGATGCAGTACGTACAGATGGACAACTGTTAACGACCCTGGCGCTGCTCCAGACCTTCCATGCCCACACTTCGTTCCAGGTATCCACGCTGGAGACATTTCTCCCGCCACTTCCGGATCGCCCGAAAAGTATTGTACAGCTTACGCCAAAAGATGTATTACTCTTTGAGCTGGGTCCACTCAGTGGTGTTGATGCCAAATATCTCGAGTGGTTGGGGGAAGAATACGGTGGGGGTGCACAGATTGTTGTTAGGCGAGGTTGGAAAGATGTCTTCGGGATAATCTTTGGTTACGGTTAGCCTTTAGAGGCCCGGTTTCGACCGATCCAGACCTGTCAGCTGTGATGATGCCTGCGGCTATAGCGCTGTTTATTGTATACCACATTTGTTTAATTTTCATGTCTTTACTTATATCCCGTAAAAGCTTTGTCCGTCTCGGCGCGCCACGTATGTACACCCTCCAACTTGCAATCATATATGCTATCGTTAACCCACGTTTCCCCAGAGCAGAATTATCGTACGATCACGTTTTATCCAAACATGATCCGTATACGCGCGTCTGCGTTAACATTGCGCCGCCGACAGGCCTGGGACCCCACTTATATGTGGCACTATCAGTCACGCTCACATATATTCTCCACAGTATAAGTTAGGGGGGCGAGATCTGTCTGAACCACGAAATGAAGGCCACTAATGACTACGAAGGTTTCCGCACAGCGGTGCGTGAAGCCCGCCATATCGTTGTCCTTGCTGGGGCGGGACTATCTGTTGCCTCTGGTGAGTGTTTTGGAAACTGGAGTACATCAAGTGCTCATCTTATCGCAGGTGTTCCAACATTTAGAGGGGAAAAAGGATTGTGGAGACGACACGTGAGTGCTGAATGTTATACTTGCTTTAGCAGTGCAGCTCATCTATTGCTCGCCTATATTCCAGGACGCTACCCTCCTCGCAACTCCGGAGGCCTTCCATAGAGACCCATCTCTTGTCTGGCAGTTCTATCATTACCGTCGCGAACTGTAAGTGCGAATGCGAATTCTTCCGACTCGGGGGCTCAACATGAACCCATGTCTTGGCAGAGTAATTAAAGCAGAACCTAATGCCGGACACCGTGTTCTTGCACTGCTTTCTTCATCGCCGGAAATACTCAAACGCGTCGCACCTTCCGCGACATTCCGTCTCGTCACCCAAAACATCGACAACCTTTCCACACGCGCCTTACCTCCCAATGCTCCACTATCCGCCCGCCCCATGGAGATGCACGGAAATATATGCCGTACCCGATGCACTCGGTGCAGTCACATTGAAGTGAACACCAAGAGCCCCATCTGCCCCGCTTTGGCTGGGACAGAACGTTCTTTCGAAACCACCGTAAACCACGCCAAGGACCCTGTCATTGACGAGAAAGATCTCCCACGATGTGCACGGTGTGGGGGCCTATTGAGACCGGACGTGGTTTGGTTCGGAGAGGGCGTGCGCGACTTGGAGGAAATCGCCAGTATGGTCGATAAGGAGTGCGATTTGTTTTTGGTCGTCGGGAACTTCGGCGGAGGTCCTCCCGTCGGGTATTTTTGGCGATATTGTTCGCGGTAATGGCGGGAGAGTTGCGGTGTTCAATATCGAAAAGACGTATACGGATCGGATTGCCGAGTTTTCTTTTCAGGGTCCTTGTGAGGAGACGTTGGTGAAGGCGTTCGGCTTGGAAGATGTCGTTTGTCAGTAAGGGAGTCGGATGCGGAAGGACATTTTTATGATTGCTATCAAATTGCTACTGTCATGGGTAAATGTGATTTCTGTGTGTACTACAAATGCGCTGTAACTTTGGGTGTATTTACGGCATATCTTCAGCGACTAGGACAACACTTTTAGCGATATTCTGTCCGTCTGGATGCGTCGGATGGCCTCCCCGGTATGTTCAAGCCCGTTGGTGATATTTTCGGAGTACTTAAACTCCCCTGACCCAACCTTCTTTAGAATGACAGGGTAAAACTCGTCTTGTAGACTCGAACCAGTCTCCCCACCAGTTGATGACAATCGATCAACTCGAGCAGGCGGATAGTTGATCAACTGTCATCAACCGAAGTGGGGACTGGCTCGAGTCTACTCGTCTTGCCACTTATCTGTCAAGTCCCCTTTGATGAAACCGTTGATAGTGAGATGCTTAGGGACAATTTCGAAACATTCTATAAAGCGGCGCCAGTGGGGGATGGGGAAAGTGATGAGCATTGAATTAATGTGCATCATTATTATACCGTATTCCGAGAGTCCAGCATGCTTGTTGACAGATATACAGGCAGCATCAAGGTTCACACCACCGACGCTATCCCAGGACCTGACATACAATGAGATAGATACCATGATGCCAAGAAACATGGTCCAACACAAATCCTACTCAATTGGCTCAATTGGTCCCTTCTTTCTCAGGACGGAGCCTGGGGTCAGCCCTGGGTTGCTCTACCTAGACCTCTCTCGAAAATGGACAATCATTGGACAAACGAGTCTGGATCCAAACTTGGTTCCTGACAACTTCGACACAGTTCAAAATGGAGGCTAAAAGCAATTTTGCTTCAAATCTACTAGTGCTTCGATTGTTCAACATTTCATACTCATACACTAATACTCGTAGGGTACCCGCGTTGGACACCAATCCGACATCCGATTTCCACAGTTCTACATCTATGCACTCTTTCCCTTTCGCTGAACGACTGTGATCAGTATCGTGTCCCATAACGCTGGAGGTCTTTCCGACGGATGCACCATATCTACACGACGGCCTTGGGGGAACGGTGAAGACTGTTTCAACTTCGAAGTAGTCAACGTATTCCGTCGAAACCAGTAGTTTCAGAAACCCAATATCGACGTCTTGATTCTCTCTCAAATAATATTCTCGTGGCCTTTCGCCACCCGACCCATAACCGATCGTCAGGGAGCCTTCCGCCGGAAGGGGTTCATCCACCAGATTCGCTTTCGCAGTTGGAGGCAGGAAATATGGGGCTGCGACGGAAAATGCGTCAAGTTTATCATACACTCTACGGACAAGGAAAACGTACTGATGCTCAGATCACTTGCGTCAAGATAGAACAAGGCAGCATGAAGTGGTATTTCCCAGTTGTTTGTGATCTTGAAGCCATAGACGTTTTTGTCGTCAACAAAGACGTTCATTACACCATTATCTTGAATCAAGTTGGCTCCGAAAGGAGCCAGAATCGGCTTCAGTTTCTTGTCTCGCTTTCCCGTCTTTTGGAGACAGAAACCCTCGAGCTTGACGTTCTCCGCCAAGGAGCCTTCATTGCTCGTATGATGGAGAAGCCAGTAGAAATCCGCAGCACCACGAAGGATGGGGTAAATGATGGAGACGTCAGCAGAAACTTTAAATGGCATGCGCTCCAAACCATATTTCTTGCAAGTAGGTTCAGTAATATTGAACACCACCTGGTCGTGTTCGACTGCCACAATCAGATCTGGATTTTCATCTTCCTCGACGAGAACGATTCCTCTCTTCGAAGCATCTTTTTTCTCCATCTCTTCCTTAACACTCTGGAATACATCGAGAAGCTGTGAGTTCAACTCGATGAACAAACGTAAATCATCGCCCTTCGCCACCAGGGTCTGTAGTGCAAAGCCCTGTTTCTCAAGCTCAAAGGAAGGACTATCTGACGCACGCCGCATGACGGTGGTGAAAGGCGACGTCTCATACGCAACTAGAGTACCGACAGGCGTAGAGTCCACATTCAGGTCCTCGAAGACCGCGAACTGGGAGCCTTCCTTTATTCCAATGGCCTCTCCGGCATCCAAAACATACGCTTCCAGAGTCTTCCGACGACCTTCGAAGTGGATACAGCACGCGTTCGGGTTTCTGAGCCTTTGCGTCGAACAATATTCGTGACTGGTTAATGCCTTCACACTGGGGGTGTTGACTAGGGCATCATGTAAGTTAATGGCTTGAACCAAAAATCAAAATTTACCCACGCGACTCCGAGATCGGGCAGACGAGCAATGAGGGCCTGGTAGGTAATTTTGTCGACGCTGCCCAAGTTTTCCAGTTGGTCAAGCAACGCTTTGGTAAACAGGCCACGTCTGCCTCTCTCTTGCGCAAATTCCTGCTCTTTGCAGGCTGAAAGTAATACATGAGAGGCAAGGCCTGCCGTGGCCAAATTTTCAGGGACCTTCGTGGTGCGCGCATTGGATATGATGTGGTCGGGGATCGTATAGTCTGGAGGAAGTTCAACGCTACGTACCGCGTAGGTAGGGTCGTATTCGTCGGTTCGAGTTCCCGAGCCGGAATGGCAGCAATCAAAAATCACAGTCTATGCAGGAACATAATGAATGAGAGGGAAGTATCACAGAACAGAAGCAATAGGACTCACGATGTTGTCGCCCTTCTTTTCTGCGAGATTCGCAAGGAGTCTTCCTAACGTGATATCCAGCACGCCCTGCCCCTCCTCCTCCGTGGAAGCAACTTTAAAGCCATAAGGAACGAGCATAGAGATTTTCTCGCTCGAGCTTTCTGCCTTGCCAAAAGCACCGTGGCCAGCGAAGAAGATGAGAATAGGATCTTCCTTCTTGATTCGAACATCGTTTGCCATTCGATGGATCTCTTCAACAATGACGTGTCGTGTGGCCTGTTCATCGCGCAAGTTTTTAATGTTTCCAGGCTTGACGCGCACAACTTCAATCAAGAACTTTTCTACGTGATCCGCGTCGGCAACAGCGCCCGACAGATTATGGACTCCTGGATCGCTATACTTGTCAATGCCAATGATGAGTGCAAACAGCGACGGTGCTGGGCTATGGGCAGACGGGATACAATGATGAGTTAAAGATGATTATCATGGTTGAAGGGTGTCACAAACATCGGGATAACAATCTCTGTGGGAGGAGGCGGAGGCCTACAAGTAGTGCGTCAGTGCCACGATCTCAACAGGAAAAGCAAGGTTATACTTCTCCTGAGGTACTTCAGATGGCGAAGAGCTACATACAGATCATGGCAGTGCGATGCCGATGATGGACGGATGCTTACGCCTGAGGATGATCCGATAGCGGTGAAGGCCTAAACGAAAAGTTGCATAGCGTCAGAGGAATTTACTGAACGATTAGCTATAAACCAACTTCGGAGGAGGACAACTGTGAGCAAAATTATTTAAACAGCACTGATATCGTCGAAATCGGCGAGACAAATTACGTTTGGAGATACCAGAGCACTTCTTTGGCAGTGCTCACGACGATATTAATCCACCACAGAAGCATTTTCGAGATTCTACAGAAACAAAGGGACAATGGTGGGAGATCGGATTATTGCCAAGTTCAAAGTTGCCTAGCACTGTGCCTTTTCTAGTTGACCGTGTTTTTTCGCACACGTGACATATTGAGGAAAATCTTTTCTATCTTAGCCTTTTAGGCTGTCGTTTGTCTGTCGCATCTCACTCAGTTCTCATGCTATACCATATGAGCAGATCAAACTCATAAAAAATCAATGATACTCGATAAATTTTGAGTAGGATACATGGCCGAAAAGCGTTTTCTGCGCTTGTTTCGCGCCCTGATCGATTACTGATCGACCAAAGAAGCAATCCTTGCCTGCCTGGTAACCTTTACGACTCGCTCTCATGTCGCAGAGGAATTCTATAGCTGACACTGTCTTTAAAGGCCGAGAAATCCTGAAGCTTTGCCCGGGTGACCGTCTGGAGCGTGTCTCGCATCTTCACAACCTCTCTGTCGCTCTCAAAACCCGTTTCGGACAGGATGGTCGGACAGAGGATCTTGAAGAAGCAATTGGTCTCGCTGAGGAGGCTGAAGTGCTTGCGATAGCCATCGATCATCCTTACCTACTATGGTTTCACCACTGTGTCGCCGCTTCTGATCCCAGCGTCCCCATTGCCGACAAGCTATCCGCCTATCCCAACGCGAGCGCTGAGGAGAGGTTTGAGGTAGCACTCGAATTGGCTAACATTGCTCGCGTGCATTACACATCTCTCGGTATACGGGCATACGAACTTGCCATGATGCTCATTGAGCGGGTGCTTAATGTGCGCTTCACGGGCGAGTCCCAGCACCGTTTCCTTTCACGACCAGATGTTCGTCAACTACCGTCTCATGCAGCCTCTTTAGCTATCCAGCATGGTGCATTAGATACCGCAATCGAGATGCTGGAGCAGGGTCGGGGCCAAATATGGGCCAAGCTGCGAGATTACTCGTATCCTTTGGGCGATCTCCCTGCGATATCCGATGAGTTGACAGAAGCTTTCCGAAATGTCTGCGTAGGGTTGATGCTTCTTTCTATTAACCCAAGCAATGACGTTGAGGTTACCGAGGATCGTCATCTCAAATGGATACAATGGGCGGACACGCTGGAGAAGATCAGACAGCTAGATGGATTTCAGGATTTTCTCCTCACCAAGCCGTTTAGCAGTCTCCAGGCGGCTGCGAGTGACGGACCTGTCATCCTCATCAACATTGACAGTCATCGCTCCGACGCGATTATCTTGCGAAGTGAGGGTGCACCTAACTTGGTTCCCCTTTCGCCAGACCTTCCGCAGATACTTCCCAGTATTATCGAGACACTGGATGATGTGAAGCAGAATGCGCGGGGGAGCAGACCATGGAATGATGACGATGATGGACCCTCCAGCGCCCTGATCAAGATTCTTCGTGTCCTTTGGGAGGATGTCTGTCAGCCTGTCGTTGGGCATTTGCTTGCTACAGGTGTCGCGGAGCAGTCTCGCATCTGGTGGTGTCCAACGGGCGTGCTTTCGTCATTGCCTATCCATTCCGCAGGGCCATATATCGAAGGAAGAGAGAAATTTGATGGATATCTTCGTCTCTTCCTACACACCAACTTTGTTTGCCCTGATTAAAGCTCGTGCGAGTCTCCATGACCTATCTACGAAAGGTGTGAAGCTACTTGCCCTCGGTCAGTCAAATACCTTATCCCAGGTAAGTATCAGTTCAGCCACTGTTTCCAGCAAAGAAATGTTCTTTGACATACTTCGTGATACAGGTCAAATTGGAGTTTGAGCAGCTTCGAAATGTGTTTGGTGATGCGGCAAACCTGCTAGACGGCCATGAATCCAAACCTGACGTGTTCCTCACAGGCGCATCATTTGAAGTCTGGTTACATTTCGCATGCCATGGTTTTCTGAACGCAGAAAACCCTTTAGAATCATACTTTGCCTTGCACGGCGGAAGTCTATCAGTGAAGAGTATTATGGAAGGCGCCACCGCCTTACACGGCGAGCTGGCATTCCTGGCAGCTTGCCATAGTGGCGCGAGCGACTCCGAGCTAGCTCCAGACGAGATGATGAGCCTTGCCGGTGTGGTCCAGATTATTGGCTATCGCTGTGTCATTGCAACCCTGTGGGCAATGGCAGATGTAGATGGGCCAGTCCTCACTCGAGATTTCTACGGTTATTTACTGCAACATGGCATTGCTCACGCTGATTTCCGGAAGTCAGCAATAGCACTACATTTTGCCATCAAAGCCATGCGTGATAGAGGTATCCCCATTGAACGTTGGAGTACGTTCATCCATATCGGCATCTGATGCATCTGCACGAAGTCAATGCACTATTATCAAAACGGATTTATGATGATACAGAACGCGTAAAATCCCCACATTCGTTCGCGATCTCATCAGTGACGAAACTTGTTTTAGAGTTCGCAGGTAGGACCATCGGTCCAGTCTCCTCCTCCAAGACCCTCCCGAGATTGACGCGCGAAATCCGATAAAGAGACGAAAGAACGGGGGAAAGAAGTCATCTACCGAAGCTCATTAACACCACTGGCACAAAAGACCATGCTTCTTCTTTCACTGCATCCTCTTTAACATCAATTTCGGCCTCTTTGTGATTGCTATCAAATTGCTACTGTCATGGATAAATGTGATTGTGTGTATACTACAAATGCGCTGCAACTCTGGGTTTTTTATAGCTTATCTTCAGCGACTAGGATGACACTTTTAGCAACATTTTGTCCTGTCTGGATGCGTCTGATGGCCTCCCCAGCGTGTTCAAGCCCGTTGGTGATATCTTCGGAGTACTTAAACTCCCCCGACGCAACCTTCTTTGAAACGACACGGTAGAACTCGTCTTGCCACTTCTCCGTCAAGTCCCCTTCGATGAAACCGTTAATAGTGAGACGCTTAGAGACAATCTCGAAGATGTTCTATGAAGCATTATCAATGATGAAAGGATGGGAACGCGGAAAGCGACAAGCCTTGAACGGATACCCCTCTTTGGAATTGTATGTGGTTATCATACCGCATTCCAGGAATCGAGCGCGCCTATTAGCAGAGCCAAAGGCGGCATCAAGGGTCGCGCCACCGACGTTATCCCAATATCTGCCAGACAATGAGGTACGTATAAGAGACGTAGTTCAACTCACACATCGATGGGGCCCTCCTTTTTCAGGACTGAAACGGTATCAACTTTCTTGTAGTTGAAGGCAATGTCTGCACCGAGCTGTTTCATGGATTCGACTTTTTCATCTGAACCAGCAGAAGCGATGACTTTAAGCCCGTCGAGCTTTGCGAGTTGGATAACCAGGCTTCCAACGGCACCTACCAGGCAAACGTGTTAAAATGAATGTAATTAGTAACTAGATAGTGGCTTGCCCGCTCCGGAACTAACGAATGCGACTTCGCCCTTTGTGGGATCAATAATTTTAATACTCGAATCTGAAGGGTGATATCCTTACCTTCTTCGCTTTGGAATATTCTCTCCACGCGTAGAAAGCCGTTTTACCTTGAGTTGGGCAAGAATCATTGTCTGTGGGTTTTCAAAATGCATAACGCGATACTCGCCTGGCATGCCCAGTACTCCGACGTAAGCTGACCATGGGATAGATTCTTCTGTCTTAGTTATAACCCTGGCCTTTGCAAGCTTCAGGTCGGTAATGACACTGTATTGCTGAAAATCTAGTTTCCGAGGTCAGAAACATGAAATAATGTAATAAGTAAAAAGATATTGCTCACTGATGACTCCGGTGATATGTTTTCCAGCTTTGATGTTCGGATTCTCGGAACGCAATACCAAGCCCACTCCATGGTTGGTCAGTCTGTATATGATCGAGATAGCTCCAAGCGAGACCTGAATGTATTCGAGTACTTACGGCTGGCCTATGTGGAATGCCGCCTGTGTGTATGCATTCAGTGAACCAGTTTGTTATACGCCAAAAGAGAACTCACGGAATACGACTCTATAGCGGGATCACGCATTTTGCCTCGTAGATACGGATCAACTGATAGCACGAGGGTCTTGATCAAAATCCCCCCATTCAATGGAACATTTTCTAGATCGATTGTCTGTGTCGTGTCATAAATCGTCGTTTTCCCTGGTTCTGGGTAACCTAAAATATACGGTATATTTAGACTGATCTGATGAAATTTGAGCATGACGTTGTATGTACCTTCAGGAATTTCGTTAAAGAGAAGAGTGCTGTTGGGGATTGGTGACATGGAAGTAGAATTGGGTGAGTGCTGGCTGGAGAAAACAGGAAAACAGGATTAATTGGGGGTCTTGGATGATTAATACAGCTCGGACCGGCAGAGGGAGGCATCCCGGCGTACGATCTGTTTGCACAGCGGTATCTACGTCATGGTTGTGTCTACGTTGGAATTTGAAATAAGGCTTTAATGTCCGTAAGAAAGGTCCCTGACAAAGTACTCAGTGTCCGCAATTTGAGGGAACACGAAACGCGTATAAGCACCCAGAAAGATTCGGATACCAGGCTAATAGGACACAATGAAACCTGCTCAGTGCTCAGTGGCCAAACCAGAAATGAACGATCTTTATGCGCGCTTGCAATTGATTGGCGCTTTACCGCGACTCTTGACAGCACAAGGTCAAAATATTGGTATCCAAACCGATTTTATAATGATACGGAATATGGGAAAAACACTTGTATTGTTCTGTCGATCTCAATACAGCATTCTAATCATCCCTGGATTTAGAGTTTTCAGATGCACCGGCCCATCCTTCTTTATGAGTTCGCAGTGACTGAGATGACACGTAGAAATTGGTGAAGAGCAGACTTTGTCATGACAGAAAAAGAAATCATCTACCAAAGCTCCGAGCAGTAAGGGACACCCGTGAAAGGAACTGCCGAAGTTCCTATGCGTCTTCCTTCATCGCGTCCTCTTTGACATCAACTTCAGCCTCCGCTTTCACCGCTTTGGCCACAGGGTTGCCTACAACTGTGCGTCCACGGCTGCTCCAAACCCCACCGGTGATACCTCCCTTCTCAAAGATATGATCTATAGCTTCCAACTCTAGGCCCCGCGTTTCAGGGAAGAACTGCAGTACGAGGATAAAAATGTCACCCAAAACAGCGAGAAAAGTTTACTCACGAAATAAACAACTGGAACCCAGCAAGCGTTGAATATCGCGAAGATGATGAAGACACGCCAATTGATATTCTGGATAGCAGGTGGTGTCATTTCAACGACAGCGAAGACACACCTGTATGGGCGATGATGAAAGAATCAAGAAACAAGTTGAACGAAGCTCACATCCAATTGAAGAAACTTGATATCGCAGATCCTCGAGCACGAATACGAGTGGTGCTGATCTGCGCCCATCAGTCTCAAAACATTCCTGACATGCAATCAAGTCTACACACACCTCCGCTGGATAAAGCCATGGCTGAAAATGTGCGCGTCAGAAACCAGAAAGCGGGACTCGATGTATATATATAGGCTTACGATAGGGAGGAACCCAATTCCTAGGAATATCTGGAATATGAATACCATAGCTGTGGCACCATAAGCCGCGGATCTACTTCCAGTCGACAGAAGGGCAGAGGCTATGATAAAACATGTTGAGAGGCCAGTAGCAGATATCATGAGCAAAGGCCTGCGGCCATAGCGATCGACGGTCTGGTTAATGAAAGTCAGTATGGAGGTGGCACACAGAAAGTCGAGATGACGGACCCAAAGAGGGATGAATGAAGCGAACATGTAGGTGATCGAAGTGCATCCCCCGAGGATTAAAGAAAGGTTTCGCGAAAGGCCCATCGTGTTCTGGTATACCACGGGTGCGAGGTAGCTAATAATGAATAGTCAGAGAGAAATGGAAGCTGATATGGTCAGATTTGACAGACTTGATCATATTCGAACTAGCATCCTCAAGTTAGGATTGTACTGTCAACAGCAGCAGACATCAAGAGCATACCCGGTAAACTGTTGCATGACATTTATACCTATACAGAGGCATATCCGGCGAAAGTTGCCAATGGGACCGTTCTCCAGCAACTCTTTATACCTAAACGGTCCTGAAAGAGGTGTCAAAGAAAAAGAACGCAGAGGCCCAAAATTCGGTGTACCTCCAGCGCTCTCCTGCTCCAAAGACAGTTCTATCTCCCTTTGTGCTCTCACGACGTCAGGATGGTCTGGACTATCACGATCTTCAAGCATGGCTATGACTCGAGCGCCTTCTTCCTTGTACCCATGGGCAATGAGCCATCTAGGCGAGTCGGGAAGTACCATGGCTTGTAGAAGAAGGCATAGCGCGAAGACGGCTTGGAAACCGATCGGTAGACGCCATTGACTTGGTCCTTGAGATCCGAGTAGGTAAGAAAAAGTGAGCGAACTTGCGAGAATTAGAGCGGACCTCACCTTCCACGAAGCTCATACCGTAGTCCAGCCAGTAAGCCTACATGCTCGTCAGTTCGATGATAAGCAGATATGACCAAGAGCCATACTATGACTAGTCCTACGATCGTAATCGTAGAGTTTAAGCAGACTAAAGCTCCTCGGATATGCCCGGCGCATGTTTCTGATTGATACACCGGAATTGAAGAAGAATTAAAGCCATTACCCTGTACCGTGATATCAGCGACGTAATTTCTCACACAAATTCCACACGCACGAAGCCGGTCACAATGCGCCCAACATATAGCTGAGCTCTCGTCGTCGAGCTCGTGAGAATGGCCTGAAAAAGGGACCTCAGAAGACGATGCGAGAAGAACGATTGGCCGACCTACGGTACCGATAAGCATGATGGTAGCACCTGACATGATCATTCGTTTTCGTCCAACGGATTCACCCCAGAAAAAGACCACCAAGCTCCCGACTGCACAGCCGATATCCTACAGAGCATGATGAGTAATTGAGAGGTGCTTAATACAGCAAAGGTTACGCACATAGATTGCTACCTACAGAGACGGGATACTCAGGATTTGCTAGGCATGGTATAAATCAACAACTCACAATAGTTCCTTGGGCTGTTGCATCCGGACGGTTGAAATCCTGTCCGAACTGGTTGTCGGCACCGATCTACAGAGAGAGCATATGTTTATGCTGGCCTGTTGCTGGACAGGGCTGACTTGGCTACTCACAATTCCGCTCATAACGCCTTGATCATATCCAAGGAGGAGGAAGCCTTGGCAGCAGCAAGCTAGAGTACCCGGTGATGAGCTAAATACTATGTTAAACAACACGTATCAGCGTACCCGTTATGGCCCACACCATATATTTCCCTCGCAATGGCATAATCCACATGTTGATTGTGGGGGTGGGGTAGTGGGGGAATGCGGGGAAAAAAGGAAGCGGGATTAATACTTCCAGTGCACCTAGGGCCACTGTTTTTCTACGGTCCGTGGGATGTCTTTTATCATTATGGGCGCCGCGAAAAGTGGTGCAGGAGGTCATCTGAACGCTCTAGCTCTTGTAACGGCCATTTTTTATCGTAAGAGCATCACAGGGTTAAGGTATGAGAGAACCGTAGCGGTCCGGTGGACCGGTAACTGTAACTTCTTCGTAAATGTTGTATTAAGCTTCGAGAAGGCGGAATGATACCCGGTACCTGTTTGGTACTGATCTCGAGCGACTAGCCTCGTAGAATTAAACTTGAACGTAGCGGCCCAGATTCCACGCATGACGCTTATAATGCCCAAGCATAGATCTATTGCAGGTGAAAGGACTATACTTACGATTGAAAGTTGATTGAAAGCTGAGAAATCTTCGATGACATAATGCCTTCGCGTCGGGTACCGGATCGGTAAGCCGAAGAGCTTAAAACACGCTGCGGACGCGTCTTGCTCCTTGAACACGAACATCCTACTCCCTCGTCTTGTGTCCATCCTATTCTATCTCGCTCTTTCTGTTTCTACCTCTTGGTTTAATTCTCGCCGGTCGCCCTTTTACTGCTTGAATACTCCACGAGTTGATCTCGCGGTCGTCTATTCTTTCTCTCTGGCAGGCATACAAGTTTACAGCTATCTCAGGCAGCACACATCTCCGATACAGCTCTTGACAATGTCTATTTCTTCTTCTCGCTCTTCTCGAATTGCTGCAGAATCATCCAAGGTTCTCGACCATGCTTACATTGCCGCAGCATCCTCCAGCCGGTGCAGAGCGCCTTGCCCCGCCTTGAACGCCCTTGCAAATCATGGATATATGTAAGCTCTATCATTTATTAACATCGCTTGTGGCTCATTATCGTGGTACTCTAGCTCCAGAGACGGTCAAGGCATCGCTTTTTTTGACCTCATCAGAGCTCTTGTACATGTCTACAACCTTTCCATCCCGCTCGCCCTTCTTCTTGCCCTCCCTGGCTACCTTCTTTCTGGAACCTTCCATTTCAAAGGCTGGCCGTGGCAGTGGACTTGGGTGCTGAGTCTGGCGGCCCTTTCAGACTTTGGCGCCTCCAAACTCGCGCACCGAGCCTCTCTCGTTCACGTAAACCATCCTTCTCACTGTCCTGACTCTGAGCTCCTCGACGCCTTGCTCAGTGTCTCTCCTTCCGGACTGTCCATACGTGACTTTGCGATGGTCCGTGTCAAACGCGAGGCCGCGCTTGATAAGCCGATGAATTGGTGGCATGAGCAGGTTGCCCTAGGCGAGAGTGGACTGTCGTGGTTGTTATTCCGCGATGGTAGCGATGGCACGGCTACTGTGCCGGTGGAGAGGTTGAGGCAGTTCTTTGGTCAAGAAAGGCTTCCTGACGGCTGGTGGGAGCATGTCAGGCCGCAGCAGCCAATTGGCCTGCTTGCGGCGAGGAGAGTAGCAAATGAGGTGCAGAAGGATATGACGGTTATCCGAGGCACCGAGTCAGACTAGTCTGTTACGCATCCTATATTGAGCACATGGACTCGCTACATTTTACTATACAGCTAGCTACTCTAAATGACTCATGACATAATTCGACCCTATTATTTACCGGATTTCTGGCATACTCTATGTCGATTGTACGGTTCACTGGTCTATGGATTGAAGGTAGACACGAAGCTTTTCAAGCGCTCTATATCGATGTGAAATCTTGTTCTTCACATCGGATGGCATTTCAGCGTAGCTGCAAGAAATTGGTTGGGTGGGATAATTGGTAGGGAATAGAACGTACTCACGTCAAATCACTGCCGTCGGGCTGGAACACGGGGTCCCATCCGAATACTCCAGGCCCTCTTGCGTGCACGATGGAGCCGTCCGTTCGTCCTTCGAAAAGGTGCACCTCCTTCCCTGTGATTGGATGTGAGGAAAGTGAACATGACTGACAAGAAAAGAAAATAGATGACCTGGTCCTTCGCAGTACGCAAAAGTGCACAAGGCCCACGCAGCTTTTGTGGGGAAGCCAACCAGGAGGTTGTTCAAGCCTTCGTGGCCGAGATCAGCAAGGAAGTGCTTGATGTATGGACCTGGGAGGCCTTTAAGAGCCTCAAAGCAGAGAGCGGTGTCTTCTGTTATGCATGGTCCGTTAAGCTGGTAGACAATCAGCGTACTTTTTTTTTGATATCCTGGAAAGGTTCACCAGTTCTGCGGCTTTGCTACATTTGGCTCTGGCTACCTCTTGAGTAGTGCCTTGTATTTCTTCGACTGGAAAAGGTCGGTTGTTATGACGGATAGCCGAAGGATATGACGCACTGTCTAGACTCCTGGAGTCAATCTCGACTGGCACAGGGCCGGATGACAGGATGGCCTTGACTTCCTTGAGTTTGTTGGCGTTACCGGTAACGAATACTAACGACGCAATTACTATGCGGTATGTTTCAATCTTGAAAAGTATAGCAATACGCACTTAGAGGCTTGGACATTTTTATGAGTCAGGATGAAATGATGGTGAGATTGATCGGCCTAGACCGATTCATCAAATAAAAATTTAAGATTTCTCGAAATAGACACACACGCGTTCATGGCGTGTCCCTGCCCCCGTGCCGTATCGATCCGCGACAATACACGATGCTGGTCCTTGCATGCCGGGGGCTGTATTGTCTCTCCCTGAATTTTCGCGTCTTGTGCGTATGACCGCGACATTAAATCACGACCAGATGACGACGGAAAGATTTCATCTTGGAAACTGTTTCCGCAGTTTCAGATCGACAGATAGCTTGTTCAAAACAGAGACATAACGCCCACATGAGCTATCCGAAGTCCTCAAGTCATCATTCATCATGATGTAAATAGATCAATCTGTCACAGGCGGCTCACGTCTTCTAGGTCTCGACCCCGGAAAACTGTGGGGCACTTAGGGGAGCTACAGCACCTGGAGGCTCCATGTACCCTGGGCACGCTAGCTCCGAAATGGAGAACAGAGCTGGAGGGGTAGCGGGAGAAGGTGCCGAGTTCCGGCAACGGAGGTTTTCCAACAGAAGCACCGCCAAACATTGCCACCGATGGAGTATCCGGGGTCTGTCCTGATCAGGCGAGACCCCGATTTGAGAATCCCCTCTTGAACATTTACTACCATCACCTCTACCATGGGCTCTGCAAGGCGAAGTAACTGTCAGTTTTCCCTTCCTACAGGCTGTTTTCAGCTAATATCGAGCTCGCAGTACGCTCTCGAACGACTCGCTCGTCGAAAGCCAAGGTATGTCTATTCAGCTGCTTTTTAACTATGATGAGCCAAGGATCCTAATATGGCAATTTACAGCTTTTGACCGATCCCACTTCGTCTACCGCTGAATTACAGAGCCAGCTGCGGTCACTGGGTCTCTATGCGGCGCCGACGGTTGGGGATGGGAATTGCCTTTTTCGCGCTCTTTCCGATCAATACTACGGCTCTCCGTCGCGACATGCGCAAGTGAGGCGCGATGTGTGTGATTGGATTGCTCAACACCGTGAACGGTATGAGGGCTTCGTCGACGTGGACGAATTCGGGAGTGGGAAGGAAGGTTTGGAAGGGTACTTGAGGGGCATGCGGGAGAATGGTAAGTATGCGATTTGTTTACGTCCGTCTTGGATTATGTCTAATTTACGTTTGCAGCTACTTACGGCGGCCACATGGAACTTTCTGCGTTTGCGCATCTTACGAAACGGAACATCAAGGTCGTCCAGCCCGGCCTGGTGTATGTCATTCAGTGCGAAAGCCCCAAGACGCCGCATACTTCTGCGTCCATCATCAAGCAAGAGGAGGAAGACCAGGTGATGGACCTCGATGGATTGAACGATCGCGACCGTAGAAGGATAAGACGGGACAAGAGGCGCGCCGATAATGTTGAGGAAGAAGGAGATCCCCCGGACGGTGAAGACGAGGACGGTACTAGTGGTCCAACAATTTATGTTGCGTCAGTCACCATTTCCATTCATATCGCTTCAGCGTCCTTATACTTCTTAGATACCATGACTGGGAACATTTCTCCTCTATCCGTAACCTTCGGGGTCCCCATGTTGGACTGCCATGTATTCAGGAAACACAGGCCTCCGATGAAGACGGCGATATCATTCCGTCATCTCCAGTGATATCGAAGAATGCAAAGAAGCGGGAATTAAAGAACGCAATGAAGAGGAAGACCGTAGCCAAAGTTAGACTGCGTCTTTCACATCCTTCACCAGCCGATCCCAGTCAAGTCCCTCTACCCGTCACGCCTGCACGCTCGGTTTCTCCTGCTTCAACGTATACACCACCTCCACCCTCGACTTCGCCTACCCCCGCTCCTCCTAATCTTAATTCATTACTACCCCCTACCAGGCTGCAACGGTCACCCAAACGGTCATTCGACGAGACGTCAGCATCGGGCTCATCCGAAACCACAGACACCTTCAAGTCTCAAGAAGAGGACGAGCGTGAAGGACGAGCTAAACGAACACGTACCAACGCCGCTATCCAAGCGATCATCGATGATTTTGACGAACCATTGTCAGAGCTATCCTCCTCCGAATCAGAAGACGATGACGACGATGAGCAGTCACCACCGCGCACTACGCCCTCGTTATCACCTGCCTCCTCAGCCGCTTCGTCCTCGGAGTCGTCGTCGTCACGAGGTTCTCCAGCGCCTGTCATTGCGGAGAAACCGCTGACACGGCGACAACGGAAACGATTGGGGTTACCCAAGAGCCGTCCGAGTGCTGGAAAAATCATCATCCCTGGTGGACGTTATGTCCCAAGTGGTGTCCAGGTGACAAATGCTGACGCCGATGACGAGGAATGGCGGCGTAATGGCAGCGGACGTGTCGATGTAAGAGGATTCCGGGAACTCAAGATATAAGACCTGCGGGCCAGGCCGCTGGTATATCTGCGTTTTTTCTTCCAAGTCCTGTCCAAGTTTTCGTTCCTCATCATTGCATTTGCATTGCATCGGACTTTTTTCTAGCACATTTGTTACTTATTTGTCAATTTGTCCATACATTTACAAGTATCATCAGCAGTACAATAGTATTTTTAGAGGCACGCAACAATCACGACTTTCATGAGCAGTGTAACCTTTTGTGCAGAGAGTGGATTTTATTTGGTGCGAGTATGTAAGAGGATTAGGTTATTTTTATTGTTTATTTATGCAAATGCACACTTTGGTTCTGTACCGCCATCTCAGAGCATACAAGCTCTTTTCTTTCGACCGCTAACACCGTGTAACGAACCGGCGACTTATTCAAACATAATGGGAGGCGGAGCAAAAATGGTAACGCAGAAAAAACGACCGTCGGCGTCGTCGAATTGGCTTGCGCTTCAGAAGGTACTGCTAGGCCAATTCTTACAGTATCGTCTGCTCATTGAATAGGAAGAAATTACCTAGCTCAACATCCCACGAACAGCCCAGAAAGCGGCGGAAGACAGCGCATTCCCGGTCTCCCAGTGTCAACTCATTTGCCTCACTTGCGATTCCTGAAGAAATGCCAGAGCATCCGCCACCTTCAACTTCAACTTCAGATTTGAAGAATGGGGAATCGCTGTCTGCTCTGCGACGTATGGTCGCAGGTGAGGTCACGTATACTGATGCGCAGAAAATGTGAGTTCTGTAGGCCTGTCGTCTCTGCATTGATTGATATTGAGGGAATCAGGCCAGGCAAATACCTCTCGATAGATTGCGAGATGGTGGGTATAGGCATTGATGGGTCCGAGTCGTCGTTGGCACGGGTGACGGTGGTTAATTTCTATGGGGCGGTGCAGATGGATGAGTTTGTGAGGCAGAAGGAAAGAGTGGTAGATTATCGGACGCGGTATAGTGGAATACGTCCATCGGATATGGTCAGAGGTATGTCTGTTGCGTACGTTCTGATCTTTTCTGGGCTGACGGTAACTAGCAAAACCGTTCGAGGAGGTGCAAAAACAGGTATCGGACTTGCTGCAGGATAGGATATTAGTGGGACATGCAGTATACAACGATTTGAAGGTGCGGTGCTCAGTGTTGCAAAGCAAGTACTTAATCTTAACACCCGCCACCTCAGGTTCTCCTTCTCTCACATCCACGAAGTCAACTTCGCGATACGCAGTATTATGCTGGAAAATTCAAGGTGGTAAAAAGCCGTTTTGTCGCTCTTCGAAATCTAGTAAAGCAGGAGCTGGATATAACTATACAGGATGGAGAGCATTCAAGTGTATGTTCGTGTCTCTTTCTCCTCCGGCTCGTCTGACGCCTGCTCTGTTATAGCTGACTGATGCGCGAGCGACGATGGCGGTTTACCGGTTGCATCGTAAAGAGTGGGAAAAGGGCACCGTGCAGAAGAAGCCTGAGGGCAAGAAGCGGAAGAGACAGGATGCCAACAATGAGGAGGTACAGGTGGATGCGTTCCCCGGCGGTGGGAGGAAGGGTGTGAGTTCGGGTTTGGCAACGGTGGTTCGACGTAAAGATGAGGGCGGCGGCTCAAAGAAGACGCAGTGGTGGAAAGAGCTTGGTGCAGGCGCTAGTGGCTCGAAGGGAAGTATGAAGGTTTGAGCATTGCGTAGAGTAGTATTTCATTTCAAGGTACTTATCTTTCCTCTGGAGCTTTGAATAATTAACCGATGTTTCTGGTAGCCTTTGTATGTGTGATCATCTCAATACTGGTGCTTCGGTCGTCGTGGCCACTCCCTCCGTTTTGGTCGAACGGATACTCACCACGATGATAAGAACTCTAGTCGGCGTGCTTGCCAGGGCGCGCTAGTAGCAGCGCAGACTTGTTACTTTTAACAAAAGCAATCGTCAGTACGTAGTGATGGTTTTGCCATGAGACGACCTCAATGAGATGTTTCAGCGAATTTACTGTGCTATCGGCACCTTAAGCTGTCACCATCACGAGAAAGTCTCGAACTGGTTTCTGCTCCCGGTAATTGCTACAACACTTCTCTTCGACCGGATGTTAACACGAGAATATAGTGGTGACAATTCAACCTGACTATGTCGTATCAACAAAACTCGGTGGCGACTATGTGTCTGGACAACTAAGGTAGCAGGAGGCATCGGTGCCGGCGACAATATCCAAAACGATGGCAATTGCGAAGGAGATGATGAGCTTGAATCTCATTTTGTCAACCCTACACTGGAGCTACTGGAACTATTGATAGAAACCCCTCCTTCGGATCTGACGGTGAAGGTATTGTTTGATTTCGGGCCCGAAAACCCTCAGTCGTGCACGGCTTGCCAACTTCGCTACTGTCTGATAAACTTGAAGACAGGCTGGAGACTCGTGGCGGCGCGTGGACGACCTTCCCATCTGGACTAGGCCAGTCCTCGCCAATATGCGCTCCGTCTCAGACCCTCCAACATCCAGCTTGCCACCCTTTCTGCCGTCGTCATCGCTTCGCAACCCGACGACGGCCAGTGATCTCGACGATGATGAGCCACCCACCCCGCCGAGACGCAGCGTCGTTATCGCGCCCATCACCATTCCCCGTTCGTCCAGCCCCGTCACTCCAGACGCTCCCCTGACACCGCCCAATGCTATCTTTTCTTTGTCTTCTTTGACCCCTTCCCCGGCTCCATCCGTGACGCCTCGCGTTTATCGCTGGCCTGCACCACCCTCTCAGCATGAGAGCTCTGGCCCTCTTACCAACCCCATCACTCGCATGTCGCATGCTCGAATTGTGCCTCAGCCTGCTCGTATCCGTCTTCCCACCTTTAAAAGTATCGCTAGTCATAGATTGGGTCGGTCTGTTTATGCAGTATACTATCATCTATCTATCTTCTCATATCTGAACGCATCGTCCCTTCCTTTGTTGTACTTCGGGTGGATTGTGTTTGGATTTATGCTGTCATTTTTCACTTGTATAGATTGCGTTCTGTTTATTTTTCCCTACGCTCCCATCCATCGGCACACGCTCCATCCATCTTGTATGTAACACGGTAGTCTCTTTCGTACTTACATTACTATCTGTGTATCAAACGGAAATGCATAGCCAATTTTGATTTCTCGTGAGTTAGATTGGAGTTAGATCGAGAGTCCATTCTCAAATAACTCCAAGACAGCTTAGGTGTCGAAACATGAAAAGAACTACTTATATATCTATTGGCCTCCTAACGATATCGGAAAGCGACTTTCTGGCTAATGATGAAGTCTATCTTCTCCTTGTTAAAATCATCGGGTACCATGGTCAAGTTGTCGGCACTAATTTGTAGCAGCGCCTACTTGAAGTCAGAGACTTCAGTCCTGCGAAGACAGTGGAATGCATTACCTGATCGCTAGCCGTATACTGAGCCCATGTTGGGCGCTGCGAGCCGAAGCCGTCGTTGGGATCCAGACTCGTTGCGAATGACAACCAATAATCAATCATCACAGTACTCAGGGCAACTACTGACGCTGTTTCATTCATAGCTGCTACGTCGCCGAAGACGAATGGAAGCTCTCCCCCATGGGGCACTTCGTGCGGAATGAGCACTTGGCTTTGTAACGTTCAAGTAAAACAGGACTTACCCCCGAGGTAAGCCGGTATAGAGGAAAGTCGTTGTGCGAATCTATACGCATACGACTTCACGCCCACATCCGCGGTCGTTTGGCTCCAGAGGCGTCTTTGGGAGTTGAATGCCAGGTCGCCCACTGGATTCGGGGTTAAAAATGTAGGGCAAAAAAAGGGAGGCTCGCTCATACAGATTGCAGATATCCTCTTATTGCCAGGAGACAAGCCAAAGGTCTCGTTTCCTGTATTATACGGAGACCCGTCTGCTGGGTCGTCCGGATACAGATCCATCAGTTCATTCATGACATCTGTCGGGACAGCAGGGGGCGAGTAGCTTGCATTCACTATTGAGCGAATCACTTCTTCGGTATAGTTCTGCGTCGGCGAGCTGAACAGGGTTCCTGTGAGCTGGGTTAATACAGGTACAATACATTTGAGGAGCGTCCTTGCCTTCATCTAGATTTGTACCAGCAATGAACGGTAAACGCGCGAACTGTCCCGTGAGGAGCAGGCGCGAAGGCAAGTCAGGAAAGAGACCTGAAGGCCCATCGAGAGTAGGACGAAAAATAAACTTCTCCGTTGTGTTAGAATACGCCTGTAAAAATCCTTCGTAGACTTCAGAAGAGCTCGCATTTTGCACGCAGGAAAATGTTGGAGATGTTCCGACGTAGCTACTGCACTCCGGTATGGCGGCCACGAAATTATTCCAGGCATCTTCTCGATCTTCTCGAGCAGTAGCATTGAATGGGGGTGGGGTGCTTGCAGTCCCGGACTCGAAGATCTGGGATTCGGGTTGAGTACAGCAAGCACATATGAAGCTGGGAGTATTTCAACCCACCCCCGCCCATGCCAGGTCCGAAATTGACGGATGTAAGAAGAGAATGGATGTCATACTAGCCCCTACACTCTCTCCGAAAACAGTCACCTACTCACTCTTCAGTCATCTACAAACGCTAAAAAGAGCATCAAACCTTGTTCTTGTCGCCACCAAATGCACCGATATTGTGTTGGACCCATTCTAGTGCTGCGAGCTGGTCTTTGAGCCCAAGATTTAGTTTTTCTCTGTCCGTGGCCTGTGGAAATCCGAGAGGCCCGAGACGATAGTTAAAATTGACGTAAATGACGGGTGTGGCCTGGATTAGGTGCTCAGTATTAGTGCTACAGGATGCAGATAATAACACCTACTCTTAGGACACTTTGGGTCACAATTGTACTACCGTCATAGAGAGAAGCTGAGCCTTCATAATAACTACCACCGTGGATCCTAAAAGAATTTTGAACAAATATTAGCGGGCTGTTCACCTTTTAAACAGGGATGTCAGACCAAAATAACACTGGCAGCGAAGCGTTATGGAATGTCCCAGATGGTCGCAAAACATTGATGGTCAAGCAATCTTCCGAGATTGCGTCGATAGGCAAGCCCTATATTGAAAGGCTCAGCCTTTGAAGAGCACCACAAATAAAAGGGAAACACCCACGGCCTGGAGGCAAGCCAGATCAAACTCACTGGCATTGAAGGTTTCAACTTCGAGATCAGTTTTCAGCACGGGAGGCTGCAAACGCAACGCTCCAAGAGGTGGTTCAGCGTATGGAATGCCTTGATGCTTCCGATAAACAACAGTATTTAGACAGCGGATGATCACAAACCGCCAAAGAACTCTAGCTGCGAGAGCGATAGGTCACTCCCTACAAGCTTCGTTGTACCCAGTTGAACCTCAGGCAGAGAGAGCGCCAAGGAGGCGTAGCAGAGAAACAAGAAAAAGGCCAACATGAAGATGGTCTAAGTGAAGTCCATCACCACCAGGTTAAGTATCAACTTGGATGCCTGAGGGCGGTGAACCCTGCCGGGGATTTGCAACAGTGGCAGCGTCATAAGCCCGAAAAGACTGACGTCCGTCGGCTAGTATAACCGTTAACGTTAATGAAAGACATTGGCCCTTGAATAACCCCAAGGTCTATTATGCCTAGTCGTCGCGTGTCGCATGCCTTGACAAAACCGAATGACGCTCAGGCTTAGAACGCCCAGCGCTGAAATGAGAACAATTTAATCGACGCTTAAAAATCAGTACGAAGGCGGCGGCGGCTTACAACTCTCCGCAATGGGTGGGGGGGGGTACTTAAAGTGCCAAGGGAGTAGCGATTGACAGGGCCTGGCTCAAAAGCCCTAAGCCTAGCCGAGCCGAGCCTAGCCTGAGCCTGAGCGGGCTTGGGCTTGTGATTTTACAGGCCTGAGCCTCTTCAAGCCGAAAACTGGAACTGAACTGGATTGATTGGCCATCTCCGCTGATACAGCTCAGGTAAATAGCCCAAGCCCTCCAAGCCGAGCCGGGCCGGGCTTTGACAATCCTCTGGTCAACAAACGATAGGGGTCCGGTTGTTCGGGCCGTACCACTTCCCTGCTCTTTCAGTTGAGGAAGATGGCGAATTTTGAGGAGGAGGAGGTGAGTTGTATTGGTGTATTGTCGATGCTATCAGTCCATATGTCTCACCGTGATACTAAACCCAGGCAGAAGTGCGGAAGAAGTCAAGATTAAGAGTTAGGGAAGAGTGGTATGAGATAGAGGAGAATGTAATGGAGCGTTAAGTTCGTAGAGAGGGTGCGGCAGGATTCATGGAGGCGTCCGATACGAAAAGTTGAGGAATGGATGTGGGAAGACGAGTAGACGATGGAGCTCGCACCAGCTTACATAAACAGGTGCCGGATTCGGATGACCCTTGGCCACAGCGCATGGCTTGCCATGTTTGGGCTGTGGGCCCGGCCGTTCCTTATTGGGACCTTGGGCCGGTACCAACACCAACACCAACAAACGATGAGACACACGTTGCTTTTTTTTTTCGACGACGACAGCACTTAACTCCTCCTAGAACACGAAATATCTGATAAGACTTTCATAAGCAGCATCAACTGTCTTCTTCATCAATCATGGCCAACTTGACCCGGAACGTGAAATCAGGAAACGAATGGACTCAGAGCGAGCTCTCTGCCTACAATATCCTAGTAGAAGAAAAGAGTTTGGCCGAGTTCTTCGGCGTTGATGAGCTGCCGCCACTCGCCGATGGCATGAGCATCTTCAGTGAAACTGAGGATCGCTGTTCGGCCCCCGACGATGAGACTTACAAGTTGCTCCTTTATCTCGATCTGGCCAATCGCCCCAGGCCAGGGCAAGAAGCTTCTGTTCAAGTTTTTACAAAGGAATTTCTCCAAAAGCTGGGATATGATGCAGGACGGCGCATCGTCATGATCCAGCAGAAGCTACCTTTTATCGTCTGCGGTACAAAGTGCAGCGCTCAGACTGATGTCTGCATCCTCGAAGAAGACGAAATCCTCCTACTGGTTCAAGAAAATAAGCGCCTTGATATACCCGATGATCCCGAACCACAGCTGGTAGCTGAAGCTATCGCTTCCTTCCAGCATAACAATATCGTTCGTGAGAGGGACCTGCATCTTCCAGCCCTTGATGAGGCGATCTTCCCAGCGATCGCGCTCTACGGCACTTTCCCTATTTTCTATAAGATAAAAGTTACCTCTACTCTTGTCGTCGCCGTTGGCACCGGTACTTATCCTGTTGATACCACCATCGTCCATCGTCACGTTCCCAAGCTTCCCCTTCGCCACAGCGACCCGGGAATGAAGCCGCTCGATAATAGAAAAGCCCTTATACGATATTTCCAAGTATTCAAGCAATTTATTTGAGGTAAGCATTTCATCTAGGCCTAGCTTATCAACTGATGATTTCAAGGTGTCGCGTGTGTGAAGATGCAGTCCATATAAGCCTGAATGCCGACTGGGAGAGGAGACTTTGTTTATGTAGTTGTCTTCCTTGGTATTGTACAACTAATTGGCCGATTTGTGAGTTGACACTTGAATTATAAAGCCCGATTAGAATTTTTTCGCACAGCCTACGCTATACCTCTCCCAACGGGATTTAATGGTATACTAACAAGGTCTCGGTCCACTTTCCGACTTTGAAAGTCTCGTTATATTTCTGCCTGACTTGGGTCTAGCAACTTCATGTGAAGACAACTATAAGTGTCGCAGGAAAGGCACCCTAGCGTACAAACGTCCTAGTGAGTGTCCTTCTTGATTAATTCTTTCGCCCACTCAATCGCATTTTTCACGTTGAATGCCTCGGTGAAGATTCTCAATCTCTAACCAAGTATTCGACGAGTAGCAATGACGTCGGAACTCTAAGTGTCGTACTCCTCAATGCGATTGTCAGGCGAAGTCCTTGGCTCGCCGCTAAGATTCAATCAGATCCATGCTTCAACTATTTCTCTGCAATCCCGGCTACTTTACCAAAATCTTCCTAATCACACCACCCGTCAATCAGGTCCTGCTCCGCGTCTTCGACCAACGCTATTCGAAACGTATCATCCTTCCCGAACTCCGCGCCGAGATCACCAAAATCGATAGATTCTTCCTCACGGACGCCGAACTTGTCTCCTACAAGATTCAAGGATGTCAATCAATCTTTCCGTGCTTCGACGATGTCTCCTCCTTAAGCTATGATGCCGATTGGACTAGGGTTAGGTATCGATTCCAGCTTCCCTGTGCAGCCGTCTCCGAAAACCATTCAAAGTTCGCTTCAAGGCCCACGTCGGCAAGTCACAGTGCAGCCGCCTTTAACGAGCAGCTCGGGCTCGGGCGACTGCCGGTGCGCTTCACTTGACAATGTCTCCTCTTACTCGTACTCTTCCCTGATTTGTTTGCTTTCTCGTGACGCTTTGGCGCAATTTCTGTTCCCTTCTCCATCTCCAGTTTCATCTACTGTGCCTAGATTTCGGACAGATATATTCAATTTCTTTCACCTTGTGTTTCTCTTTTGGCTTCGTTTTGATTCTTGTTGTCCCACTGTTTTCCTTTCCATGAACTCGTCTGTTCACTTCTTTATTTCGTTATGCTTTATGTATCATGCTACAGCAAATACGAAGGTCACCCTTTCGGTGTCTAAACGAGGAATGAGTTACTTGCAACGGTGGTTTGGAAATGTTCAAAATTGGACGTAGAATTAAGATGCATGGAATGGTGCTTTCCCCAGGATTTGGGCTTACCACTTCCTCCGCTGTTCTCTGGATCTCGAAAGGTGCATTAAGTACACATCTATTTTGTACAAAACTAATGTTCAGATATACTTGAACACGTCGAGATTCACCGTGAGGCCAGTGTCTTCTCTAGATGTTTTCGTGGCTTCAATTTAGCGGCTTGCAATACAAGCACACTTTACAAACCATAGCTTTCTTACAGCTTTTCGCACTTCATATCTGATATTTTCATCGTGCCAACCAACCGCCTCCTCCCTAAATTACCTAGCCTCTACCAATTTCTCCACGACCTGGGCTCGGTCATTTCTTCTCTCGTCGAAATAGTCGGTGGTCCGTGTCTTCCTCCAACTACCGTAAGGTTCTTTTCAGCATACCACGGCCCAAACACTCCCCTCTCTAAAATCAATAATCCTAAAAACTTGGCCTCTCCAGCGAACGCTCCGATGGTCGTATGTCGAGAGGACCTAGCTGTCGCAGAATGTTGCGCGTGTAAAGCGAGCTCTGCACAAAGTCCGCATGGAGAAGGCGGAGCATTAGCGAGAAGCATTCGGATCTGAAGATGCGCCATCAGCACGGTATAGAAGCAACAACAGAATGAAAAGCAAGAATACCTCTTGTCTTCCGAGAACGGTTCCGGTTCGATAGGCGTCCTACACTCATCTAGCAGAAGATGGGGAAGAGAACTTCCTTGCCCCGTAGTCATAGTCGTAGAAGTCACCACCATCATCCTCGCCACTGTGGCCGCCCTCTTCTTCTTCCGCTGATTTCGCGTCTGCATCGACAGCTTCGCCAGTCTCTACCGCCTCATCTACGCCCCTCTTCTTATCTTCTCACCTCGTCTCTAGTGCCCGTCTTCCATCCACATGTTCCTTGATCCTCCTCAGTGTGTTTCGCTTCCGCTTCGCTTCTTCCGCCTTCCACACTAGTAGATAATAACTAAAGACTTGGGCACGCAAGCATCCACGGGAACAGTGTGGTCCGCCGTATCTATCAAATTGCAGTAGCTCTCTTGCAGATGTTCGGGTAGCGCGTCGTAGATCAGAGTCTGTCCCTCATTCTCAAGTAATTCCCGATCTTCATAATGGGGAAATGCCAACTGCAGCTACAAAAATGCGTGGGTCACCCGTCTGTGTCGTTAGAGGCGTCGGAAGTCGGAACCCAGCCTTCGGCTACCAGAAAATGACTGGTCTTGATGAGGCAGTGCATCCGAAAGATTGAGTGTAGCAATTCACCTAAAGTGCTTTCTCTCCTTCTTTATCGGTGTCCGATAAAGCGCTGAACAGCAATGGAAGACATTGTTAAAGAGCGTAGCCAGTTCGCGATTACGCTTCGGCTTCGGTCACACACGTTTATACCGTACAGGTGGCCTACGCGGCTGATGCCTAGGCAGTGGAATACTGCTTATAGTGGCGCCGGAAGGGTCGTTGACCAGAAGTATGTCAGGGAAGTATTCTACGGGGACGCGTTTGTCAAGTTTTTTTGAATTGCTTCATAGTCCGTAGTTTTACAGGACTAAAATGTTGATCTTTAGATGCCAAAGACGTAGTATCATGTTACTGACCTTCATTACCCGTCACACTACGGGTACCATCGATGTTAACTATAATGGCAGTTAGCAATGAAACAGACAGAAAAAGACCCTCACCTTTAGGGGACGTTTGCTCCATTGATGTCATTTTCTGCAGTTATCGTCAGATCCCGCTCAGGAGACAGTTGAAAGGAAACCTTACTACCCGTTGCCAGATTGGACATGTCTCCAGCCCTCTATTCTAAGTTAGAATCTTCGACGCTGTGTCGCCAACGGAGCATTATCACTCAGATTCACTCTCAACGGAGATTATCATCAAATTTAGACATTAAACATAGCACCAAAAAGTCTGTTCACTTTTGTGGGGATCATTGCCCTGAACACTGTTCTCGTCAAATTTATGTCAGAGAGTATAACTGTGGAAACATACCTGTTGGTAGACTATGTCGGCGTCCTTCTTTTCCTTCTACGAGTCGGGTCGCTTGTCATATCATCTTGACGAGAACTATCGTCCAAGTTAGACACGAAATGCGACAGAAACCAATTCTGATCACCTCCGAGCGTCTGTCTCTTCGTCCTTGATAACATTTTCTGCTTTCATCATCAGCGGTCTGTTAACGCAAAAAATAAGCCTGTATGACCCGTTGGCAGAAGATGCCTGTCCTGGCGCTTCACGATCTCTTCTGCGGTAGATTCGATTGGGATAGTTGTGTCATTGTTTCGTCGGTGCTGGTTCCGAGGGTCAGTCTGCTTTCTTCTCTGTGGATTATGAGTGTCTATAGAGGACAAGGACTTTCACAACGAACCAGTGTTCTTGACACCATCAAAGAAGTCGTGGACAGAGAAAGCGATTTCCTTCATACATCTCATCTGCCAACCCCAAGATAGAGTCGTCTTTCGGGACTTCGAGCACCGGCCATGGCCCCAAGCAGTTCAACTCGTGTAACTGCAGATTCTTTACCAAGGTACTAGCACAGAATTGATCCGGAATGCTTCGAGTCCAATTTGGCCTTACAGTCACGTCAGGCAGACCACCAATTCTACGATACATTGTATTAAAACCATGGAGTTGAATGAGTTTACGTACAAGTACAAATCACCCATTGCATGCCACCAAAGGATACTACTGAACGTACAGATGTCTTTCGGTGATTCTGGAAGAACTGGTCCATGAGGCCATTCACACGAAGCACTCGCCGTCGTCACCCATCGTAGAAGGAAAAAAATGCGTGCCCAAAACCCATATGCATCAGTTTTTACTGCAAGGCAAAGTAAGATCAGCGCCATCGTTGCGCAAGTGGTAAGGATAAGAAGAAAGAATGTAAAGAAAGAAAAATGGAAACAAGCCCATTTAGTGGCCTCCATTTAGTTCGTGACTGAGAGCGTAACATCACTAACATCGCGTGATATATGTCACAGTGACACCTGCTTGGGCAATGCCTTTGCGAATTCAACTTGCGCCTCAAAAACGCCAAAGAAGCAACGCGAATCTTATCGTGGAGTCGGAGTCAGTAAAAAATCAGATAATCTGTATAGAGGTTCTGCTGGAACGCTGGTAAGTTATTGAATTGACTCCAGTGATCCATAAAGTGAAATCCTTTACGTATAGATAAAATTTCATGGCTTTACTATCTGCCTCGTCAGGCTTCCCCCTACCCCAGGAGCTGACGAACATGATCATCGATGAGCTCGAAGAAGATTTTTCTTCTCTGCTGGCCTGTTCTCTTACCTGCCGCTCCTTCCTTTCCCCGTCGCGTAGGCGAATATTCTCTGGCGTTGCCTTCGATAACGCAGCCGACATCCGAGGATTCTACGCTATATGCTCAGAATCCCCAGAAATATCCTTTTGCGTAAAACGCCTATACCTGCAGGATTTTTCCGGTTGGATTATCACCGAAGACGATCTTTTAACGTCCATCGTGAAAGGCTTAGTTAACCTTGGGACTCTATCACTGCAGAACATGTCATTCCATAATCTTTCAAAGGAAGTTAAGCTTTGCTCATACCGACTAAAGCTCCTAGTCCTTGACGATATAGCGGTTGATGACATCCAGGAGTTTTGTTCGTTTCTTCGCGGCTGTCGTCAGCTCCATACGTTGTCGATATGTGGCAATCTTATCTTTACGGGTGGCCAGTCTGACACCTCTCTTCATGAGGACGATGATGATCCCTCTCCCGTATCTTCCCTCCGAAACCTGATCATTACATGTACACCCGGTTCCCGACGACTACTGAACACGATTCTGGCCTGGCCTACACCACCCGTCCGCATCGACGGGCTTGAGCATCTCGCCATACACATGCAATTCGACGGTGATCCTTATGACCATTTAAGCGTAGAGAATCCTTCGCTTCTGAAGAGAATCGTAGACCTTAATCGTGATAACGATAAGCTAGTCCGTGTTTCAGCCTTATTCATGCAGGCATGCGTCGATGGCCGCACCCCTCCCCCCTTTGATCTTCCTGTATCTCACCTACGTGCGATATCCATGGACCTAGGAGATTTCCCAGATATATTAGAAGTCAATCCGCTTCCTATCCTGGAGTGGTGGACAAACGCACTCAGACCGTCGCGTAACGTTCCGACCCGCTTGGAGTCTCTGAGAATTCAGCTGTATCTTGATGACAAGAGTACCCAGTGCTGTTCCGCCGCGGGTAGAGAGGCTTGGGCAAACCTCGATTCAGTTTTGGGAGATGAAGGTCATCCACTACGGAGATTAGCGATCTGTTTAATTGGAGGCGAGGATTCCCCTCTTGGAGAAATATCAGAGATATTAGATGTGACGGAGAATGTCATCAGAGAGTCCATGCCTCGCCTCGTCCAGAAGGGAGCTCTGTCTTTCAGTAAAGACTTTGGAGACAGGTAAACGTGAATTCTGTGGCTGTATCTTATTTTGATCGCCTTCCTAGTGAATCTGATGAGGAAGATGAGTGGGGTATTGTCTACTAAATCGAATTTGTGGCGAGATGTATTGTGACAATCAGTCTCATACTGACACGATATGGGTGTAATTTGTACGTCTATCTCACTGGACACACATACGTCCTTCTTCTCCTTGTCGCGGGTCCCGGACTATTGATGGAAACCCAAGCGAATAGCTCGCAGACCCTCGAAGACGTGCACTGAGGCGCTGTGAAATGAGAACGCCAGAAAGGCGGTCCTTGTTCAACGTAAACGATGTCGGCGGTGGCTGAGAATGTCCGGTTATCCGAGAGATATCAATGGGGCGTTCTATTGGCGGTGATGCCGACGATCCCCGCGCACGACGACGAATGTAGGTCCTTGGATGAACGTTCCAGGCTGAAGAGACGACATCGGAATGTTATGGAAAACCGTAATGGACGGGTCACCTTTCTTTGCTTGGCGATACGAGGAATTCTCAGGCAATAATTCATCTCCGGCGCGAACGAGAATTCCATGCCGTCATACTGAACTGGTGGTTGTGGCCCTCATGTCCGCTGCCCATCGCTGGCGAGAGAAGGGTTAATCCAACGAGGCATCTTGCAGGAACAAGAAGCAGGTGGTTATATTTACATGGATCAGATAAGTCTTGAAGAGTGACAAGGAGATAGATGCATCGAGGAGAAAAGGTACATGTTTTGCCCCCCCTTCTTTGTGCAGTTGGCAGGTTATTTGACCTTATGCAGTTGGTGAAGACTCTTCTGTGACGCGAAAAATCATTGTCGGCCTCCACGGAGTGCAAAATCGCCAAATAATATTACGTTTTTCGAACACGCTACCTGAGATCTCATTGCGACTAATCGTCGAAGCCTCTACAAGACCCGCCACATGTCTAGAGCGACACAATAAACAGGTGAAACAAGGATTCGGGAGCTTGGAATCAGCCCCAGTACGCTTCGAAGCAGCGGATAGGTGTGGCTAAGTAGGATGCTTGCAATGAGACAGTGCGATCTCCGCAGAAGCGTACCTTGTCATATTGACTTTGTTCCTTTATGCGACGTCGCTCCAGATCTTGGGAAGGGGGCTTCGTTAAAACCATCCTAAGCCATTTTTTTTTTGCCATAGAAATTAGAATAGTAAAATAAAAGGAGACCAAGGCCGGTTCCTTTGTCGCCACGAGGATCCCCAAGTGGCTATACCCTTTCTATCAGATCTGCGTTCTACATCATCATTGTACTCGGATCTACCAGGTATCCCGACGAAAAGTAAGCTATGAATACCATTTGATGAACCCGAACGTCGCGTCTGGGCGCTCAAAACCGATTTATTATGCGGCGGAGGCGGTTGAAGGTGGGGGCGAAGGAGGAAGATGAGAAGAAAGGTACGCAGAAGCAAGAATACGAAGCGACTCATTACCGGTACATCTCCTGCGGCGGCTTGCTGTAGCGAATCTGCAGAGGGCGCTCAGTATGCATCATCGAATGCTTGATCTGAGTGCCTATCAGTGTTGCTTCGCCTTCATGACGCCAAACTGCCCTTCGGGTGGCGTGATCATCGAACGCCCGAATGAGTTAGGATTGTTGTCGCACCGAACTTCCCGAATTCATGTCAAAGTGTTTTCACAAAATATGCCCATTGCATTTACATAATATAATGATCGTGAAAACAGAAGGCATCTAAAAAATCATTTGTGTGTACCAGTGTCCACGTTATGCTCCTGGATCTTCAAATAAAATTGTAGAATATGCGGTATGTGCGCGAGAGAGGGAAGAAAAAGAAGGCAAGCTATAAATGAGCGCACAACAGAAGATACCGGAGTCTACTATATGTACTACTGTACACTTGAGATTATAGATAAAGGATGAGAATAAGTCTATCGACACAGGAAGTCCAAAATCGTCTAACCAATAGTAATATAATTTGCAGGATGTTGTCGCTGACTCGCCATTTGGGGGAGGGAGTATTTCAGTATGAGAAAATCATGAGCCACGGGTTGAGAACGACCTATGAGGGCCTAGATCAGTACGGTGTAGCGACGTCCGGCTCAATGGAAGTACTCACAGGGAATAGCAAATGCCCTGAAATTACAATGCTAGAATGAATGTCATGAACAACGGATCTTAACCATGAATGTCAGACCGGAGCACTCACGCAAGAGGGAAGATAACAGCCCAAGAAGTCCCCGGGATACGCCATCCTTCTGGAATAAACGACAGAGACAGGACGATCATCGCAGCGATACCAATGATACACAGAAGTATAACGGGCCAGTAACGCTTCCAGATCTTGGGGACCTCGAGGAAGAAGTTGGATCTTTCGACTTCCTGTGGTCGCCGTCAATCACGATTCGGTCATACAAAGAAATTGAAGATGACTAACCTTAGCAGTGGCCCCCCACGTAATATTATACGAGAACATATGAGCGAGTAGTGCAACAGAAAGGTGGATGCTGAGACCTCCGAAGAAGAAAAAGCTACATGACACAAAATCTCAGCCAGGAACAAAGAGGTTAGAAGGGGCGCGCTTACAAGAAGGGTATCCAGGTGATATTTTCGAGGAAGGAGGACAAGATGCTCCTCTTCCCGAGACGGTATTCCAACAACGTATACCCAAGATTTCCGGCTCCTGGGAAAACAACAGTACAAGCCAACCAAATTTCGAAACTGTGCATGTAGTATCCATCGACGTCGAGAGCCCAGCCAAGGAGGAGATAGTTGAGCACCGACAACATGGCCGACGCTGCAATTCCATAGTAGGAAAACATATACGCCATCATACTGATCTTGTAATGGACCGGCGCAGCCGACCAGATGAAAGTTCGCAACTGCTTCGTGATAGGTCCAAGTCGCCACCAGGTAGATAACGGGTTAAACAACAGTTCGTTGCAGCCTGTCAGAACAAAGAAGTGAAGGCATGAATGAATGAAACAATCCGGACATCGGGAAACAGAATCAAGGCACGCACCATAGGAATATTTCTGCCAGCGATTGAGCTCATCATCGACGGTAAGCGATACACCCTCTTTGAAACCGTTCTCCGAGTATGTCGCCCATCGAATGATGTATCCTTTCAACTGTGTGATCTCAGTCAGTTCGCGAACCAACAATAGAAAAAACCAGACAACGGGTCCGGGCGTACCTGGAGTCGAAGTGCCATGTCAAAGTCTTCGGAGACGTTGCTTTCCGACCAAATCTTCTTGACGCCATCATCTGGGTCTACGAAAGCCGCATCTTGGATCGCAGACCACCTCAAGAAGGCGTTGTGTCCCACAAACGGGGCCACTTCGCCGTTTGCGCAAGCCATGGAAATACATCTATTCACTCGGCGCGTGAAGTGTGTGATGCCATTCTCGAAGTAATGGTGTGCGACTTGCATAACGTCTATGGAGAGAATGGAGAAACTTCGTCAAAGACCGGCCCGACTTCGGAGATATCACTCTCGCTCACCTGACTCGTGCTGGATGATGGCGACCTCGGGACACTCAGCCAACTCGCGTGCGGCATCTCTGAAGCAATCCTAGAGGAGAAAGAATTAGCATTGTCGACACCCCAAACGAGCGCCGCACGTACCTCGGGAACAATAGTATCAGAGTCCACGATCAAAATGACATCGCCCATTCTAAGCGATTTGCCGTTAGATGCCCAAGGCTTCCACTTCCTACCATTGGCTTCGTAGACGTCCTCGATCGCAAGCTTGAGTGCCTTGTCCTCCAAACATTCATCCAAATCGTCTGAGATGGCCCCAGCCTTTTCCGAGGCCTCGAGTTCAAGGAGCTTCTCCTCTAGCTTAAGGGACAGAGCTAATCCGTAGTTCATGTTCGAAGCCTTCTTGAAACGACCTGCCCGCTTGTAGCCATCGGGTTCGTTCGAGTGTCCAGGACGACCGACCCAGCCAATGTTGTGGTTGGCATAGAACGCTATTCGCTTCTGCCTCTCCGCTTCGTTAATAAGCTGAATACCATCATCGTGAATAAAGATGGCGGAGGTGCCACCCTGTCGGGCGTACGTCTGCATCGCCTTCTTTAGGGACATTACCGACGGAGCGCTATGATAGACAGGCCGGATCAGAAGACTAAATCAAAGACAAGAGTTCTAGTGGCTCACATGGTCTCTTCGAGACTTTCTTTGTAGACAGGCATCTCAACAGTTACGTGAGGAAGCTTCGCGTCTAGCTCCGGGTTAGGTTCGGGTACCACTGCAGAGTAATAGCGAGAGTTTTCATGGTATTGCGCGACGGGGCCAAAGCTGAGAAAAGGTCACTTGAGAGATTGATTAATAATAGGCCAAGATTACTTACACCATAGAAAGGTTCGTAATGACTTGAAGGGCGAAGAACTAAATGAGAAAAAAAATAAGTACTGAATTGGAGTAATGAAAAAAAGCCACTGACCAGCGACACACAAATGAGAAACGGTGTTGTAGCAACCAACGCGAATCTTGTGTAGTCAGAGTCAAGCCGGGCCTCGGAAATCATCGTCGAAATACCGCTTCCAATAAAGTCTAATCCCAATTATGTCAGGAACGACCAAAATTAAATTAAAAAGGTACGGATAACTCACAAAGAGACAATCCTGCACCGAGACCTCCATAGAAAGGTCCATAGAGTTGAATAGGCCGAGCAGACTTGCCAGAAGCTTTCTCCGGATCCGAATGTTTTGCTGCCTTTGACTTGCCAGACAACTTCCAGCTCCAGAACCCAGTCGACGTTTTCTGTCCTGGTTGCTTTTCGCGCTCTTGAAGAACAGCGACGGCAACAGCTTCCGAGGCCACGGCAGCGGCTTCTGCGGCCTTGTTATCGGCGTTGAGATTATCGTCGGATGCAGTAGTCGATGGGGCAGCAGATGTTCCTGTAATGGACGAGGCAATAGTTCCACGGGACCGCCAGACGAGCTTCATCAATTTCTCTTCGAAATCTGAACACAGGGGAATGATATTGTCGAGATCGTCGGACCATACGACTAATACACGCTCATCACGCTGAAATTGAATCGTTAGATGTCAGTTGATTCAAGGGCGAGGGTACAACACACCAGAAAGGCACCGCACTGTTCCTTGTCCGCACGGACAAGATGGCTCATTGTATCGAGCACTTGAATTCGCGTGTCTGAATCGAGGTACATGCACACAGCATCTTCGGCCCTAATGCGACATGTGAGCCAAGAGAACAGATAATCATTCCAGGACGTACACGGTGGACAAGGCAGCATTTACGGCGGCGCTCCTGACTTTGACAGCGACGAGGGGGTTGAGGATACGGACGGCTGCCTCGAATGGCGCCAGAAAGCGGTTTTCGTACGGAAACACGCGGAATTGGCCAGGCGCGACACGGAGACAGACTCCGGCTGCCACATTTTCTTCTGAGGGCTTGAACCAAGCGTCTCCTTGAGTCTAGAAAAAAAGTTAAGGTTAGCACGAAAGTAAGGATAACGGGGGGATAGTCAGGGATATGTAATAACTTACACGACCCCAAACATAATGAAGGACGGCATCATAGTTATCGTAGTCCATGATACCCAAGACGTTGGGGGGGGAATGTAAAAGAAAGTGAGTAGAGTAAAAGCCGGAGGAGCAGCAACTCAAGAATCGATTCCGCGAAGGGACGAAGTCTTTAAAAGCCGATCAGGTTTGGAGCAGTGCAGGGATAGTCCACCGACCGCGATTACGGCTGAGAAGACGGAAGAGGCCATCGCAGTGACAGGCAAAGTGGTGACAGGCCGATCCACAAGCATCATTCGGTACAAAAAAAGCCAGGTACCAGTACGACCGCATGCACAAATGTACCTCGCCATCCTGATCGAATCCACCGGCCCATCCCACCATGGGAAAAAAGTGGAAAGAGAGCGGTCGCAACATTTCTGCCAACACTCAGCCCTCTTGCGTCAAAGAAGTCTGTCACAGTGTAACACTTCAATACTACTTAGGGTCTTCAAATTCAAACACGACACTGTCTAGCACCATGTCGAGAATCATTATCGTCGAGCACTCGATTATCGAACTGCGAACGGTGGCTACAATGAGGCCTTCATGTCCACTAAATCCTCGCTCCGTATCAGGAGCCGAACATCTACAGGCTCTGGGCGCTCCGCACAACCTTTGAGCCTGGAGAAAGGATCTGGAAGAAATGACAAGAAAAAAGTGGAGAATGGAGAAAAAACAAATTTTCGGTGGTTTGGACTTGTTTGTAGTTTCCAAAATGGGGTGATCGCACGATCACACGATCGCCACGACGCACTTAACCGTTCACTCAACCGACACCCAGAGTCATATGGCTGTGCTCAGTGCGGCCAAATACGGTCTTCCTCGAGACTCAACCGAGGCTAAGCGACCGTCGGCGGCACTGACTGACTGCGTACGGCAACCTGTTTATCGTATTCATACAATCTATGTATCCCAGACGATACATATCTTCCTATCTGTATCATCCTGATACTTCCGTAACAGCCCCTCATACCCTTGGCTAGCTAAATATGTGCAACAGTTCACGTTTATTCAATCTGGCGCCACTCTGATCATGATCGATGCGTATCCCTCGACCGGATGCCGTACTCGTCGAGCTTGATCAACTTGTGTTGTCGCCGCTATTGCGGACACGCAGGTCTTTCGATTCCGCCGTCGATATACAATGATAACACAGAAGCGGCTCTACTTGGTCTAGAAATCAGGTTGGGCCACTGATATGCAACCCTAACGCATCATTCTATCCGTATACAGCGCATATGTGTAAGTGAAATCCTTCCCGATGGTGTATCCGCGCTCCCGGAACGCGTTATCTCTTCTCCACTAAACTCAGCTCATTAAGGCCTTATCTTTTCAGAACATTTCTCTTCGAACGCTACTTTTTGAGTAGCGCCTTCCCATTCGTTCTGTCAATCATTAACAGGCAACAGGCCCGGTGCCTACCTTCATGGCGCGCTTCCCGGCACCCCTGCCTAAGATTCTTTGTACACGAGTGTCACAACGTTCGTTTCTCTTGAATTGGATTCTATATCTGTATTGACGTTCCTCTGTTGATTCCAGGATCTGCGTGACAACCCCCAATCTCCTCTCGGTCTTCTCTTTGATTCCCAAGCAGGTATGACTTAACTCACTAGCGTCATCGTTCTGATGAATAGGTACTCTGTATCCATCTAATTTCCCTTCAATAGTGGGAAATTCTACAGAAACTTCGCCATCGAATCAATCTGCCGTTGGACTGTGTTGATTTTACTTGCTCGGGTTGCAACCAACAGATTCTCAACTATTCTTGACACGAGGCTTGCTATCGGGTCCTTATCTGTCTCTACCATTGTCACTAATTCCCATGAGGTTACCGCGGCTACAAATTCCTATCTCTTCAATTCACTCAGACTGAGTTTAGTTCTCCTTTTGAAAGTTTTCAGTGCCCCTATGCGCGCCTTGTACAAATGGGGTAGGAAGCCGTCCACCGCCATATGCTTCCGGAATAAGGTGCTTAACTTTTTTCATTGTCCTTGTTTTTTTCCCTGCGTTGATGCCCTGTATGAGAGTTATCAGGCCTCGGAGGATAGGATGTAATTTTCTTTCCGACGTTTCTTCCCATGTGTTCCACATGGGTGCGATCCGTTGTTCACTTCATTAAAGATTGATGTCTCGGTGCACCTGGATTCTGACCTGTGTCAGGGCGATGCCCAGGAATCCATAATTTTCGATGACAGGTCCGTACCAGGGCAAGAGCGCAGCAGTCATCGCTTGCTGACAAGACGCCGACACTTGGTCCTTTTCATTGTAGATAGCTTATTCTTTGGCGACTTATCATCTACTTGTCGGTGACATACTACGCCGCACACTAATAATGCAATGTCCGCTTGGCTCCGACATCAGCGGCCCGAGACGTAGAATTTTGTTATACGTGCTTTTTGAACGACCGTGACTAGTCGTGTTTCGGGTTGGCAGTAGAGCGACTTCTCGGTATACCTGGACGGTATAGTCGAGAATTCGGCTTGACACAATAGCTTTTTGGCTGTAGCGACGAGCGGGCCTTATCTCCTTGAATCACAAATTAGCATCAAGCTAACTGATCTACATATCCGTGTTGGGGCAACGATATCTCCGAGCCCTTATGTCGGGCAGGCGTGGCCGGATTTGCACCACGGTGACCTTGCGACTCAATTCTCCGGGAATTGCCATTGGCTGTTGAGAAAGTATCTTCGTCAAATCAATGATCTCCACAGACCGACGGGGTACGAACTTTGCGTGTGAGTGTTGCTCATAAAAGAGTCATCGCCATCTAATTCAAGCTGATGACGGCGTTACACCATATATACCGACGTCTTCGAAGCTGCTTTGACAGGGCGTGGGTATACGTACACAAGCGAGATCGGTCCCTTCGAGGAACGAGATCATCAACATGCTCATCGGAGTTGATGATGACACGACCTGGCTGGAAAAGTTCGGATAGAACCCCTTGATGCGGACCTAGGCATCCGCTAACCCGTGGTTTTATAGCGAATCGTAATTCTTAATAGGCAGTTGAAGTCTCGGTTCTCTGCCTCGCACGATACCGACGATGCCTCCTTCAGCACCATCCTCATCTTCACCCATCGTGGGATCTAACGACGAAATGTCTGTGCCTCGTGCCCATGCACATTTTATCATCGAGTCTGATGGCGAGGAAAACGACACGTTCCCTGAGGTGCCGACTCCTCACCGCTCGACCAGCAACGGTCACGGAGCTATGGACTCACCCCCCCAGACGCCTCGTACCAATAGCTTCGGCCAGTCGACGGCGAAAAACCCCTTCTCACCGCCAGCCAGCGTACTTAGCTTCAGTACGCCAACAGAGTCGCCTATGCAAACCCCGGCATTTCTCCCGACCCAGTACCCGTTCCCGGAAACTGCGCCGAGAAGCGGCATTACGTCGCTCGCCACTAGCATGGCTGATTTGCGCCGTACCTCCTCGTCCCTAGGTAGTCACCCTCAGACGGCTGAATCTCAGAGGGCAAGCTATCTTCGTTCGCGGGAAGCTTTTACTTCACCCCCTACACGGCCTCTCACTTTGTACAACACTCCCCCCGTCACCAAGGTAGCCAGGGAACGTCCCAAGTCGACGATGCTCACCCCCGAAAACGCCCCGGAGAAACCATGGGTGGTGAACAAGGATAGACGTGCTACCATTTCATACTTCGTAACCTATGGCGTAGCCTTCCTTGGAATTGTCGCCAGCGGCCTCAAGATCTACTTTGACTGGAAAGCTCTTCCCGTCCTGACCGGCAACTTGTGCTCGATCCTTGACGAAGATTTCTCAAGCGGAAATGACGTCTTTGGTGACAATGGTGTCTTCTTCCGAGAGGTTGACATGAGTGGCTTCGGGTAAGCATTTCTAATATAGTATGGTCCTGCGGCACTTCTAAATCGCGACGTTCGCATCCTTTAGCAACGGCCAATTTGAAATGACGACTTCTTCTCTCAATAATTCATTCGTTCAGAACAACCGTTTGTATATTCTCCCCACACTGACCGAAGACAGTATCGGCAGGGATGCAATACTCAATGGGCACGTTTATAATATTACCGATTGCACGTACAACATTACTCGCGGACAGTCTTACACCGATTCCTCCTCGTCGGTCAACACAGGTACCACCACAATTGGTAGCGATGAGGACTTTGATGCCGAATCCTACTACGCTGCCTGTTCTGCTGTGAGCAACTTTACAACAGGACAGATCATCAATCCTATTCAAAGTGCAAGAATAAGCACGAGGAGCAGCGCTAACATCCGGTATGGAAAGGTCGAGGTTAGGGCTAAGATTCCAACTGGGTAAGTTATCTTTTTCTTCGTGCTGCTTCGAAAACTGATTGGCTTCCTAGGGACTGGGTTCGTACCTCCGCCCGCTTCCTGCTCTGTACCTCTCTATTTACTGACCGCTGGTGCAGATGTGGCCTGCTATTTGGATGCTTCCCGTCGATAATACGTACGGCGACTGGCCTCTAAGCGGTGAATAACTTGCTGCGCTTCACTCTATTTTACGTCTCATCCGTGATCATTACAGGTGAAATTGATATCATGGAATCTCGAGGAAACGGGATTTCATATCCTAGACAGTATGAACTTTTCCTCGTTCTTTCCTTGCTGCATTCATTAATGTCGCCTACTAGGGGATCCAACTATGTTCGTGGTTCACTCAACTGGGGACCTGTCTCTTGGTACAATGCTGTGGCCAAGACGTACGGATGGTGGACTCTCCGGCGAGGAAGCTACGCCGATGATTTCCACACGTATTCCATAGAGTGGACCGATAAGTTCATGTACGTTCGAGTTCTTATTCAACTATCAGCGTCCCTGACTTCCCCCTCTAGGCGGATTTACGTCGACACTCGCTTGCATCACATGTTCCAAATGAGCATAAAAGAATCCTTCTGGGACCTCGGAGAATTCCCGTCGACTACCACGAATGGCTCAGAGACCATCGCGCTACAGAACCCGTGGGTCAATGGATCCACATCAGCACCGTTTGATCAAAGTAAGCTTCTTTTGACATGCTCGGCGCAGCCCCTGACCCTGTGTGTTTGATAGGGTTCTATCTCATATTGAATGTTGCTATTGGCGGAACAAATGGATGGTTCGAAGACGGCTATGGCGACAAGCCGTGGCTAGATGGGTCTTCGAGTGAGTGATGGGCCTGGTTGGATAAATGATTTACATGAACTGATTGATGGATCAGCTGCGATGAGGGACTTTTACAACAAGAAGGACACCTGGTATGCGACCTGGCCGGAGGATGTGGAACAGCGCGCCTTTGTGATGTACGTGCCTTTTTTCACATGTTCATTGTCTGCCCCTGCTGAACAGAACATTCTTTCCATTTAGTGACTCTGTCAAAATGTGGGAACGGTGTTAATATCCCCTAGTCTAATTTATACGCACGTGTATTTGGTCCGTGACACGGACATCTGTTGGCATTGGCAGCTTGATTAGAGTATTACTTGATGATATAAATTAAATAACCACGATACATAGACTTTTAAATCACGTTTTGACTATTCGACATGTATCCGATGCTTGCAATCATTATACGTTCAATAACAGCGAGCTCTTCATCATTTCGCGGTGCATAGATTAACAGATACTCCTTTGGCATTGGAATCCATTGGCATACTCCACTAAGAGGATGTCTCTCTCCCCAGCCCTGTTCGATTACTGATCGGGAGTATAGCAGTTAGAAAAAGCGCCACCTTATTTCAGACGGTATGTACTCACCGAGTTTGCAATCTCTAGGCGACAGCATGAAATGCATAGAAGAATCTTGGGGATGAATGTGTCCCATCTCAAGCTGTGCTTGCAACGCCGGACCGTGTGGCGCAGGGACAGAGGAACGCAGATGCATACCATCGCCTAATCTCTCGTGACGCGACGTGTAAATTTCCACCACCCCCTGGTTAGCCTCCGCGTGCTTCGCGAATACCGCTTCGAGTTTCTAATCGACGGAGGTGTGAATTTAAAATTAAGAAATAACCGGTGACCCTGACAAGTTAAGTACTAACCTTGCGGGTAAGATCGTCGGGGATCCGATCCAATTGTCTGTGGGGTGCAAAGTGCCATCCCGTAAAGGGTCTCGAGCCCCGGCGCTCAGGGATCGAGGCGGGGTCGAGCCAGGCGGCATTGTTCGGGTCCTGGGAGTATTCGATGGTGGAAAGCGTTTCGCGGCCGAAAGGTTTGAGCGAGACGGCGAGTAACCAGCCTATGGGGTTGTACGGTAGGGCGGCTTTCCCGAGCCTAAGCCATCGATGGTAGTCTTCGACGAGCCAGGGAACGGAAAGCCCGATAACACCAAGGAGTATTGCGCTTCGAGGGTGTGTATGGATGGCGTTCATGAAGATGCCAAGGCGGTTCATTGTCAGGGCAGATGTCTAGTTTTCCAATTTCCTGTGGTATAAGAGCAACGACCAGTTCTAAATGCCGCTCATTGCGTATACCTTCGACTCGTAAACAGTGCCACTTGCTGCGTGCGCCGTAGGGACGCGTGTACCACACTGAAACTTTTATTTTTATTAGCCGGCGGCTACGTAGCTGCGCGGCAGCAACAACTAAATTCCATGAGCGCCCCTCTAAAAAAAAGAAAAGGACACACATAAGGAAGAGTTACATGGTTTGTCGTTTGTCCAAGCGAGCACGGCTACTTAGCTAGTGAAAACCGCGTGCTCTTTGCATGATCTTTACCTGCTTGGAAGAAAAGGACAAGCGGACCCACGGTGCGTCGGCCCTATGGCTGTGGCTGTCAAAAATTTGCTTGTGCCTTATGGTCCATGTTTCTTCTCAGTTCAAAGTACCTTGCGGACCTCGAAATTTCTCCGTCTCTTGGTACCACCTGTGTGATGCGCGGCGATCCTAGAATACAGTAAGTGGGTAGACGATTTCCCAATGTTGACGTCGTTTAGCACCCCAGAATAGAAGGCACCGGAGTCACTAGCCCTGAAATTAAGATTCAGGAAACGCTCGGTCCCCGACATAAACGTTAAAGCTAAAATCATCCGCCGCTATCAATGGATAGTCCTAATTCAGCGCTCCGACGTAGGAAAGATCATAAAGAAAATTCGAGCAGATTTGTACGTACATATTATGTGCTGTAGGACCAATAATATACAAGGTTATTGAGCAGACGAGCCGTGACATCGTGTGCGAGAGGTCTCGGAAAAGTGTCGGGGCCGCGCCTCCCTCCACGTGGAGTAGCCCACTGTACCGGTGACTCCCGGACATTGATTTTGAATTTCTGACTCTTACCAGTGCTTCGTCGACCGTCTTGCTAAATATCACACATCCATTATGGCCATCCATCAAGGTATACTAGAGGAACTCTTTGACAACCATCTCTCCGATTTCGCTCTTAAAGCCTGTTCATCTTTTCTTCCTCCCAGTCAGACTCCTCTTTACGATTGTTTCAATCTATTATAATCGTCACGAAGTCGACAGTCGTGTCGAGTTTTGCCAGACTGATAGCTTTTTTTTTTTTTTTAAATCCTAAGTATATTGGTTACGCATGCGTATGGTCCAATTTAGCTACTTGTGTTACTGTGTGTATGATGTCATCGATTAAGTCAGCTTAACAAGCTGTGCACTTATGTTATGGCACGAAATTATCCCTCGCCCTCGATAACTTGGTGCAACTCGGGCACTGCCACCTTTTCCCACTTTGGGAAATCCTGACCTCTGCCGAGAAATGGCCGCAATCTATCCGTCACCGTCGTTTCTTCACCAGACCCTTCTCATGGCCTAGTCCTACTTCCCACCAAACTCCATCAATCCCAGTCCTTCTCCGGTCTCTCTTTCCCAGACCTGCCTTACTCGGCCAAGATCACCAACACAGTGTGATCAATTGATGCGGGGGCGATGTGCCGGGCCGGGGTGTGCTTGGATCACCACTCCATTTTGTTACACCTGGGTCCCAACCAGGCGGCAGCCTTGCGGCACGCGACTCCGTTTCCCTGTCTTATTCGAAAGATCACTGGAAGGGCCTCGAACCGATGCCCAGAATGGCAAGGAGAGATAAGATTTGTCGTGTGATTTTAGAGGGGGTAATGTGCGTGACTTGATCATGTTTTAGAAAGGGAGGCTGCGTTTCACGTGATTCGGATATCGGAAGTGGTAGAACCCGGAAAGTGTCTAGAGTGTTACTTTCTGGGGGGTGGGGGGCTCGAACTCGCGAGTGCGAAAATAAATATTTTCTGTGTGGAACGAGGTACAATCGAGCAAGCAGAGGTAACCACTACACCATCTGCTCCCGACTGATAGCTTCACAGTGCATATTATCATGAATTCGCTATCTGATCTTGGATTACTGGTGTCCGAACCAAGCTGATGAAAAGTGCATGTTTCTCTCCCACCTTCAGCTTCTTCCCAACCCTCAACGTCCAATTTTCTCGCTGAACAAGGCAACTATGCTCAACATTGGCTCCTTTCGTTCGTCCCATTCAATTTCCAATGTTCGACATCTCATTTTGAATCATATGGGGTTTGACACCTTCGCTCATTGTTTATCGTATTCTCCAGACAGCTCGGTACACTCGCCACGCATGGAGCAGTTGCTGAGACATCCGTTCTCCGAATTCTCTGGCTGTCTCATTGATGTCGCCCTTCCGCGCTGGATATACAACTAGCCGACCCCATCAGTGAAGTTTTGTTCTCCTCGCAGTCTACGATATCTTCAAGCGGTTGATGTGTTCTCTCGGATGTCATGACATTCGATGCAGTATCCTTCTTACTATTGTCGGCCCTGCTTTGCAGAGTCCTAGCTCTCTGTTCTGCGGCTGATTCCATTACTATTAGGCGGGAAGGCGTTTTCTCCCTATGGTTTGCGTGGGTGTGTTCGCTTTATAAACACTTACTGTTAGGTAGATTGATGGGCTTGAATGTCTGGGCTAAATCGAAATGTTTCGGTCTTTGCCAAAATGTTCCCGGAAGTTCATGTCAGTAAGCTAAACGAAAAATGAACTTGTACAATTCAAGAGACATACGTCTTTATCATTCTGATCACTCGCAAAGAAGTATTTCTATCTGTACTAGTTCTGATCATGACTGTGAAATCTGCTAATCAAGTTCGTACAGTGATGGTTAGATAGTGTTGAGATGAGCGATAATTCTCCAGCTGTTCACCCGGATATAGCAGGGAAGGATGCAAACAGGCAAGGGTCATTGTTGTTCAATGTTACCCGAGAGTTTTACATACCATAGAGTTGACAAGTAGATTAGTATTACAACGAGTAGCGGTACAGTCATACATAGCAGTAGAGTACTGTACCCCCGCGTCTTCGCCCACTACGAGGCGTGTTGCGGGTCACCAATCCAGACCTTCATCATCATCATCATTGTTGTTCATCTACCTATTTGTCTACTTGCTGTGTACACTAATAAAAGCATGCCATAATAAAGAAATCCGAGGAAACGGGTAAGTAACTGTGAGTCGTGACTTCCTAGCCTGATGCTGCTGATGTTCAACAACTGAAGATCCCAATGTTGACTGCGATGTGATGTGCGACACTTGGCACTCCAATGGATGGGTTTGTTGAGAGTCTTTGTAGCAGATCATGATGGAATGGTGACCGACTCGTAAAACGTCTTTCTTCAAGTCCTGCACTCTGGAGACTCCGTCCCGGAGCGGGCCGATGTACATGTGATGACCGCGACGTCACAGGTCACACACCGTCACGGTGCAGCGCGACGCACGCTCCACCGTCCTGTTCATCTCTGCTCGCTCCATCACGACTGCCAGCACGGAATCAATGCGCCTGTGAGCGTCGTTTTCTGTAAGGTTTTAATCTGCCAAACCTGGCCGACGTCTACCATGAGCGACCCAGCACCCGCAATACAACGCTCAGCAGCATTCAACAAGTACATTTTGTACGAGAACAGACTGCGATTCTTTGTTATTGCCTCCAATACCGCTGACTCGAGGCATCGGATTATCAAGATTGACCGTACCAGTCCGGAGGAACTTTCCCTGATTGAGGATGAGGCAGAATACAGTGGAAAGCAGATGAGCGCCATGCTCAAGATGCTGGACGACGGAAACAAGAGTTCTGGAGGGCTTGGGAGGGCGAAGATGTTCTTTGGGATCGCTGGTGAGCGATATTGTCCTGCTCACTGACTGTGATTACAATGAAACCCAGGATTCGTCCGTTTCACTGCAGGGTGGTACATGGTTATCATCACAAAGCGCTCTGTAGTCGCCCTACTTGGCGGCCACTATCTCTATCACTGTGAAAACACCGAGATGATTCCTGTTTGTTTCAACCAAAAGATTGAGAAGGCGGCGGAGGAGCAGCGACTCATTAATATCTACAAGCAAGTCGACATGTCAAAGAACTTCTATTTCAGGTATGCTGTTGGTCGCGTCGGCACTACAGAAATTAATTATTTCCCAGCTATACCTATGACCTGACTTCGTCATTGCAGCATAATCTCACTGGCTCCAGCCGCTCTGTTCACGGGAAATGGGCATTTAACGACAGATACGCCTGGAATTTCAACATGATGGCTGCTCCTTTTGAGCACTCGGGAGGCCCTGCGAGTCCGCATTGGCTTCTGCCTCTGGTCCACGGACACGTAGACCAAGCTAGTACGTGATGTATTGTGTGTCCGCACGTCAACTTTCTGAGCTGTCGTATAGAACTCACCGTTCTGGGTCGCGTCGTTTTTATTACGTTGATCGCGAGGCGTTCACGCCACTTCGCAGGGGCACGTTATCTCAAACGCGGGGTCAACGATGAGGTCGGACAGCTCACTGTCAAACAAACCACTTATCTCTTACTCTCTCTCAGGGCAATGTCGCAAATGAGGTTGAAACCGAGCAGATCGTGTCGGAGGCACTCACAACGCCGTTTTATTACCCCGCCCCAAGGAACTCGTCAGGAGACAAATGTAGCCGCCGTCCTAGCCCTAACTACACCAGCTATCTACAGGTACTGTTTTTCCTATCTATCTCTGCCTCATTGCTCATGATACGCAGTATCGTGGGAGTATTCCTATCTATTGGACACAAGAAACAAACAGCATGACACCGAGGCCGCCCATTGAGAGTAAGCCGTTCTATTCTCCCTGTCACGATTGTGCCTCAACTTAATTATGCTGCGTCCCTAGTCAATGTTGTAGACCCTTTTTACACCGCAGCATCTCGCCATTTTGATGACCTTTTTAAAAGATATGGCGCACCCATAACGATTCTCAATCTCATTAAAACAAGGGAACCTGTACCTCGAGAGTCCAAGTTGCTGGAAGAATACACACTTTGTGTCAGATACCTGAATCAGTTCCTTCCGAGGGATAAACAAATGATTTATAGGCCCTGGGATATGTCTAGAGCATACAAAGAGTCGGTATCCCTTCCAAGCCCTTTCATTTCATTGGCGTTTCTGACCGGGAATGCCACAGAAAGACGCAGGATGTCATAAGCTATTTGGAGGATATAGCGGAAGAGTCTATTCAAGTTACAGGTTTCTTCCATTCAGGACCGGAGCCATATTCGCATTATTTGCAGAGCGATTCAGAGTAAGAACAACCGCCGTTCACGGAAACTGTTAATTAACCTGATTTTCAAGAACTTGGCGAAGCACCATCTCCTTACAGAATGGGATCTGCCGAACAAATTGTGTTGATTGCCTGGATCGTACTAACGCTGCACAGTTTGTCTTTGGGAAGCGTGCTCTCGGGCACCAGCTGTACGCTCTCGGGGTTGTAGAGAATCCGAATCTCGCATTTGACTCTGATGCAGTTAATATGCTGACTGAAATGTATCACGATCACGGCGACAGTTCGTCCTGCGTTATGATTACTTATCGTATTGCCGCCGTACTAACTTCCGGTTTAGCTATTGCACTCCAGTATACTGGAAGCGCCCTTGTGAATCGCGTGGAAACATACCGACGTATGCCTCACTGGAACAGTCACTCCCGGGATATCATTGAGAATATCCGCCGATTCTACACCAACTCCCTGTTAGGTGGGCGCTTCTTTGTTTCATGTATACCAGCATCTGATGTGCCAGCAGATGCTGATAAGCAAACAGCTATCAGCCTCTTCCTGGGCGTTCAGAGTGAACGTGCCATCACTCACCGTCCTGTGCGGAGCGGCTACAGGCAATGGTTCAACCCTGAGCACCTCAAACCTGCCTATGTGATCGATGACTGTGACAAGAAGCTACGAGAATTTGTGAAAACGAAGGGTGACTTTTGGATCGAGTATTACCGACCTTTACTGTTCACATCTCTCGGGAAGCACTTTGCGTACTCGATGAACAGCACATTGAAATTGCCAGGGTATGTTTGATGCCTGAATATGTCATTTGATCTGAAACGGCGTGCTAGGAAGACTGCGAAAGACATGAACCACAGTCCGTTTGAGACGAGTTCACGTCATAGACCCTCTAGGCGAGTCTGCTTATCTTTTCTCACCCTTATCGTTATCCATTAATAATCGTGCGTGCAGTGTCGTACAAGGCGTTAGGAAGTGGATAGGATCACAGAACGTCGCAGCCCCGAAGAAACCAAATGGGAAGCCGACCGCAAGGACCGAGACTCGGAAAGCTTCTTTCGAGCCCGAATTTGATCGTCATTCGTTGTCAACAGAGGCTATTGCGAAGCAAATGCTCGAGCCTTTCGTATCAGAAACAGAAGAGGCAGAATATCAAGGGTCTGTTCTATCTGTCACTTTCCTGATTGTGCTTTGTTGATGTAATTGTAGATATATTGATCAGTATGAGGAACTTCTTGATGCCCCGAGCACGAGAAGTGAGAGGAAAGATTTGGAGGTGTACACGGCAGCTGTACGTATGGCCACGGGTGATGTGACAGAGTTGCAGGATATCGATGACGAATCCAGCGAGTATTTTGGTTACGTTGAATATGGTTCCGTACAGTATCATGAGGGACAGGGAAGGAAAGAACCACTCCCTATCTCCTTCAATTACGAGCGATGGTTGAATAGTCACACCATTGTGTAAACATAGAATAACCTACACTAAGTATCGTTATATGTACACGCATAACTCTAGCTAATACAATAATCATACGAAAGACGGCCATTTCACGCCATGAACGTAAACTGGAGGTCCTCACCGTCTATCTCCATGCCCCCTCCCCGTTCAGCGGCAGTTGCTCTGTCTTTCATTCGTTGTAGCTTACGCTCCCTCTTCCTTTCCCGTTTGAGAACCTTCCTGTTCAGGGGATTGCTCTTCCCCATCCTCTGCAACACATGCTGATCCGGGGGGTCGTCATACGACGGAACCAACTTGGATTTGCGCTGCCGCTTCGGCTGGCGTATGTTCTTATCACGCTCCGAGTCCGTAAGCATTGCGTTAGGCGTTGGGGGCTGAGGAGACGGGGATCGCGGTCGCTTGAGTGATTGCCTCCGGCTTTCTGGCGTTTCGTCTGTCTGCATATCGAATGACTCGTTAGCATCCCAGAACATCTCTTCTGCGTCATCGTCTTGGTCCATATTCACATCACCCCCAAAAGCACCCGCGTCGGCCGCGCCGAACAGACCTTCGAGCTCAAAGGGTTTGGAGAATGCATTCACAATCTGTGCCTGTCCAACGTTTTCGGCGCCGGGTGCGATAGTTGTTGCATTAACTAGATGGGTAATAAATACTAACGATAGGCACTGGGAAGGAGTGAGCTTACTGGTGGATGGTATTGAAGAGGGGTGGATTGTGGGAGGAATGGTAAAGTACGGGATCTTTTGATGGTTCCAGTCGGTTAAAACTTGACGAGCTGCAGCGAGAAGATCTGGTGTACCGCCCTGGGAGAGGAGTTCACACAGGGACAGCGGATACCCCGAATTGGGCACTAACCTTGAATAGCCTTCCGCTCTTGAGCGCTAGCATGGTTAAAAATTCCAGAGTCTGAGAAAATTCCGGTAGATCGTATATCCTCTGTATAGTTTCCTTTGGAGTTCTCGAAAGGATTTCTTCCACTGCAATTATAGTTAATAGATGCGATGGGGTTATCAATGAGGTCATACCAACGGCGACAGGATCGTCGACATCCTCCACTTTGACAACATTCCTAAGGAGTACGCTTCCTTTCTTCTGCCCTTTGTCTATCAGATCATCTTCGTCAAACACAACCCCGGGAGAGTCAACAATGCGCATGCCACGCTCTAGCTGCACTGACTGGAGCTCCTTTGTATGACCCGGTTGAGCGGCCACGGCGCATGCCTATGAGATACATTAGGCGAAAGGAGGAAAGACGAGATGAAGTGTGGATACCTTGCTTCGTTTTAAGCTGTTGATCAAACTACTCTTCCCGACATTAGGGTAGCCCACAACACCGATGGTAACACTGCTCGCTTTTGGCTTGTAGGCCTTCAGGAGTCTTATTAATGCAGGTGCGGTCCCAGAAGATATATTCGTCCGTTGATGCTGAGCCGAGCTGGGAGACAGAAAAGGAAGCGTGGGTGTAGAATGCCGTAGATGTTTAAGCCAAAGTTGGGCATTATCTTTCGGAATAAGATCTGTACAGTACTCCAGTAAGGAACCCAAAAATTGATTGAACACGGCCACGCACCCACTTTGTTGAGAACAAAGACCAACTTCTTACCCTCGCTCTCGCGCCTCCGTACTTCCTCCTCCACTAATCGGCTCCTGCATCCCTCTGGGTCGCGTGCGTCCAACACGAGAATGACTATGTCGCTCTCGTCGATGACCTTGTGCAATGTACGGACGTAATGCTTGTGCATCTGTTCCTTTGTCTTTCCACCGCTTGTCGATGACGACGGATCTTGTATACTGTCTGCTGTTTCCGATGCAAGACGTGCTAGTGATGATAATGTCGGTTCCGAGGCCATTATTGAGTCATCGTCTGGTCGTTGCGGCGGTGGCTTTGGCTGGATAGATAATCCTCAGTTCTGGATTCTCCAAAGACTCTCGCAACCTACACCATTGAGAAGCTGTTTAGCTGCATTTTTGGCTTTGAGGTCAGGTAGACGGGGAACTCCCGGGTCTTTCTTTAATTCTGAGATGTATTAGGAACGTCGAACTCTGGTAATGTACTACTCACTCGATTTCAATGGGACAACCGGTTTTTTTGATCCTATACATTTCCCATTGCAACAGTGAGGTATCGAGAAATAGACACAACGTACTGGTTCGTCCCATGGCGTTTGTCATGGCAGAAAACAAAGAAGATAAGGAAATTTGAAGGTCTTTGTGACACGTCACACATATGTGACTCATTTCGGACCGGTAGATCCGGACAGCGCTTGAGCTTGCATTTTTCAAACCAGCAGTTGTATTTTTACTAGTTGTCCTACTGATCATCGATCATCCATCTAACTCTTAATTTTCTCTCGACGGTGCGAAATTGTCATTATTCAGGCCTGTAATACGAACTGCGAAGGTATGGTTCCCGTGCCAATCGTGTACTCAAGCTCTAATCCTTAGATGTACATATTGCTTTTCGTTCATAAATCGAAAGGTAGAACTGATGATATACAAACCGGCTTAACGCTTTTTTCGTTGACGCTGATACAAATGTCAACAAGTTGACGCGCAATAGTGACTCAGAATTTAGTGAGTTGATGTCCGTCGGAAAGGTCTAATGTTGACTCGACCTTACCAAGGATGTCGATGGACACTCGAAACTGCCCCACGTCAAGTGTCGATACACTCAAATCTCGCCTGATATTCATCTGCGAACAGCATCTTTTGTCCTTCGCCGCGTGGCAGAACTCCCATTATTGCTGTCCGAGAAGTATTTCCTTCACATTCATTTCGACCTCGGAAAGCAGGTGGGTCTCAGTGGTAGCGTCGCCTTTAATTTTTCTACAGTATTGCGAAGGCCCGATAATTGACGTGGAAGATCTATCCGGAAGCGCCCCGAAGGCCAACGGTTCCGTCGACACGTAGAGGCCGGGGGTGTTATGGCATGGAAGCGCGTCATCCCGTATGCCAGATTCACGACGGCGAATCCTGTTTCATTCGCAGCTGGACCTTATCATGGTGCTGACCTGCTAAGGTTTAGTGTCTCGGGTCCAAGTGGCTACTAGTATGGTGTCTTTCTATCCATCTATGAGCCTGTCGACTTCCTCCTGGCTTCTGTTTCGGTGGCTCAGCCTGTTAAAAATCATCTGGATGAATTCCAAAGACTGTAGCGATTTAATAATCTAGATCTTCGGAGGTGCTGGAACCCGGTCACCCCAAAGGATTTGGAAGTATTTATTGGATGCTCGAAATCTAGCAAATCTCCGAATTCGGAAACGAGACATTGCTGCAGTCAAATGTCAAAGGGAGAGATAATCATGGGAACTTCCACTCTACGCCACAGACGAGGTTGACGACACGTAACCATTATCGTATATCTTTGGACTCTTGAATCGGACAAGGATATCGACGTCAGAACCCATACGATATTGAGCATGGAAGGCGCTAGCCTTGTCCCTTACTATATTGACTTCCTTGCCGTCTGAAGAATAAGGAGGTGATCATGCATCCTCGGCTTTATAGCCATGCCGCTTAGCTCGGTCCCACTACATACATTAATACAGTTTTCAACATCGCGACTTGGAAGTCCTGTGCTTGGAATAGCTGTGCTCGTCGTTAGACACGATCAATACAAGCGGGGTTTGGCGAGGAGTCGTGAAGGGAGAGCTAGTCTGAGTCTCCAGCCTGTCTTCAAGTTTATCAGACAGTAGCGAAGTTGGCAAGCCGTGCACGACTGAGGGTTTCCGGGTTCGAAATCAACAATACCTTCACCGTCAGATCTGAAGGAGCGGGCTCTATCGAAGTTCCAGTAACTCCAGTGTATGATTGACAAAATGAGATTCAGTCTCTTCATCGCGTCCTGAGCAATTGTCATTGTCCTGGATACTGCTGTCAGCTGATACATTCCCCTAGTGCCTCCTGCTACCTTGGTTGTCCAGACACACAGTCGCCACGTTGGGCTAAGCAAAAACAGCGCGCAAGGAATGTATAGCCCAGACGGGTATCATCAGGACGCTGACAGTTCGCCTCAGTGACGACTCCGACGTGCGTCACCATCCTCTTGTTGAAGATCTCCGTACACGCGACCTCCTTCGTCTGAATACTGACTAGCAATTTTAAGCAGGCGGTGACTTCAAACTGTAAACGGCGAGCATTTTCGGAACATGGTTCGTGAACTCTGGCAATTTACTACTCATTGGATTTCAACGGGACAACAGATTTCTTGGATCCTATGCGATACTTATTTCCATTCATAGATGGAAAAGTAGAATTGACGGTAAATACAACTGGATTAAGGCCATTTTTCAATTGACGCTGAGACAAGATGCCAGCTTGTTGACTCATTACAATGAAGTATGTAGTAAATTAATCCATCAGAAAGGTCTAACGTTTGACTCGACCTTACCAAGGATGAATGCTCGAAGCCTCCCTACGTCAAGTATCAGCGCACTCAAGTCTCGCCTAATACACATTGGCCAACAACATTGTTTGTCCCTTACCGCCTGGGACACTCCCGTAACTGCTGTCCGAGAGGTTTTGCTTTCGTTCCATGACGAAAGGAGCTTTAATTTCGACCTCAGAAAGTACAGGCGGTCCCCTGATGATGGCGTCGAACAAAAGGGCCTTTAATTTTGCAACGATACCGCGAAGGTCCGAAGTTGATATGAAAGATTGATCCGGAAGCGCCCAAAGAGCAAATGGTTTCGTTGACCCAGACGATACGAAGAGTTCGGGGGCGAGAAGGGGGAGAGTCATCCCGCATGCCAGACAGGGTCTTTTCGTAACTCCCAGAGTGTTTTCCACGACGATGAAGCCCATTTCAGAGCAGCTGGCTAGCAGTCGGAGCTCAGCATGGAGCTTGATATCCCATTTAGTTTCTCGGGTCCAAGCGGATAGTGTGGGTGTGTCTTTCCATTCATCCATGAGTCGGTTGACCTCCTCCTCCTGTCTCGGTGGCTGGCCCTGTTGAAGAATCGACGTGATGAATACAAAAGGCGACGGCGGTTGAGAGACCGTACAGTTGATCTGCGGAGGTGCTGGAGTCTGATCAGCCCAAAGGATCTGGAAGTATTTATCAGATGTCAGGAATTCGTTTTCGAATCCAGGTCGATTCCACGTTGGGGCATCGCTGCAGTCAAAGGAGGAGATGATCATGGGAATCACAATATCGGCTACATTCCGGGCGCCACGGACGAGGCTAACGATACGTAACCATCGTCGTCGAAAGCGACGAAGCCGTACATTTTTGGGCTCTGAGTCGGACAAAGAGACTGACATTGGAACCTGACCGATATTAAGCATAAAGGCGCTGTCTCCCAAGACCGCCATAGCTTGAACAAGGCTAACGAAACAATGATCAGAAACTTTCGCCTTATCCCTTGCCAGATTGACACTCCTGGGGCCGTTCTGGTATCGAAGAATGAGGGAGACGATTGCCCGAAATAGCGAACAGGTAACTGTATTGCCCAAGGTGGCGCGATCAACGGATGGAAAGTGAGAAAGTAGCTGGGCAAGCGCATCCTTCTGTTTTGTAACTATGCCATCTAGTTCGGTCCCGCCTCTGCGAGTCCATTCATTAATACAGTCTTCAACATCGCGACTTGGAAGTCCTGTGCCTGTAATAGCCGTGCCATCGTCTTCAAAAGAAAGGCTCTGCAATAAACGGAAGAATCTCTCGTCGAGCCACGATGAGCAGCATTCCCGCCCTAGAATGATGAAGGAGAACCACTGCTCTGTGATATCAGGATGCAAAACGCCGTGCAAGAAAGCTTGTTTCACAAGCTCGGACGTCGATTTGAAGTAGGATGGAACATTCTGAGCCTCGTTGTTAGACAAGATCAATACAAGCGGGGTTTTATGAGAAGTCGAGGGTGGGATATCCTGAATCTCCAGGCCGTCTTCAAGTTCAGCAGATAGTAGCGCAGTTAATGAGCCGTGCAGCGACTGAAGGTGTTCGGGTTCGAAATCAATAATAAGGTCATCGTCAGATCCAGAGGAGGGTGTTTCTATCGGTAGTTCTAGTAGGTCCATTGCGGGGTTGAAAAAATGAGATCCAATCTCTTCATCTCTTTCGCAAAAGTTGCCGTCGTTTTGGATATCGTCATCAGCCATTACGTTCTCCGGCGCCTCCTGCTGCCCTGGCTGTCCAAACACAGCCGCGACGCAGTCGCCATGTATGCCTTGACAAAAACAACGCGCTAGGAATGTCAATGCCATCAAAAGGCCCAGACGAGTGTCATCAGAACGCTGCCGATTTGCCTCAGCGATGAGTCGGTCGTGGGTGGCCATCCTCTCGTTGAAGGTCCTCGTACACGTGAACTCCTCCGTCTGAATAGTGAGCAGTAGCTTCAAGCAGGCGGCAGCCTCAAACTGTAAATCGGCGAGTATTTTTGGGTCGCGGATCGTGGCCTATGTGAAGAATGAGGATTATAGATAATGAGAGGCGTTTACACTTACCATAGAAAAGAGATCCAGTCAACTACTAGATAAATATCCAAACGAGCGTGGTTCAAAATTCGTACAGGTAGTGGTAAGGTGCTCAGGTTGGAGTTCGAAAGCGCTGAGTAGCGAGTAAAACACGTGCCAGCTGCCAGTGTGTTTGTTTGGTCAAAGTAGCTTTCCATAGTCCTCGGGTACATGCATGTGGTGGGAGCTAAACGTTGGTAATGAAGTCACCGTCAATAGGAACTCTTCTCGGACCTGGCACCTCATACTCAATTCCATCGCGACAATAAATCCATTATGAGCCGTTGGGAAAGCGCGAGTGCCGTCAATGTCAAATTTCTCTTATTTGCATATGAGCAGAGAACTCTGCTGGTTCTAAATGTAAATCTATTAGCCCAAGAGTATTATTGAAAAATGCCAACGCACTTTTCTTAATTTCACAATGCAAGCGTCCCATTCTGTTCGTTTCGGGCATACCTTCATGCCACAAGAAATTTCGAAAATGTTCTTCGAGTTCACCAGGCTCTGACCACTCATAGTAACAGTAGTCTTCGATTCCGGGATATCCCAAGTTGTAATCAACGTATATATCGAGCCGAACTGCTAATTTCCATGGATGGCTAGCAAGAATACGATCTAGCTCTTGCCAATCCGATCGAAAATGAGGCAAAAGGATGGCATCGTAAGGGCAAAAAACGACCCTGATAACGATATCTTCCATGGACGAGGGAAGCGCCTTGAAGAACGGGTACGCCCATGGAAAAGGCCCTCGCCAATCAGTTGGAATCCTATCAATGGAAGCCCATTGACTCTCAAAGTAAAGGCTGGTGTGGATACTGCGAAGTCGGCTGAAGGGCCTTAAATCTATGAGTTCTATGACGAGATATACCATTAGTTGATCAGACAAGAGAAGACACAACTTGAGAGATTCACCACATTTTGTGACATGCCGGAGGAACAGTGTCAGAACCTCCAAAGAGGAGCTGGCAGAGGAGAGTATAGACGAGGTTGCGCTGACTTCCCGGACTGAACTTGCCAAGATGCTGAGAACGCAGAGGTTCGCTACGGATACTGTGGACTGTGGGGAGAGCAGAGCTTCCGTGACGGACCCATCCACATTAAGTTCTAAGGTGGAAGGGCAACAACTAAATTGACGGCTTGGAACCAACTCGGTTGTAGCTTTGGCATCATTGATCCAAATTGCGTCCATAGTGATGACTTCGAGGTCATTGAAGCTGACCAGTAGGGAATGTAGTTGAGATGCGGTGTCAAAAACTATCCCATACAAGATAAGGGTTCGAACACTGGAAATCGAACGAGGTGCAGGAAAGGAACCAGCGTTGAACCTGGAAATGTTCGCCTGCGACAAGTATAAGAAGAACCGGTGGAGGTTAGGGAGGAGCTGCAATAGGGACGGAAATATGCCAGTACCACTCTCCTCCTGATACCAAAAAAAGCTGATTACGAGAGAACGAATCGATGCCGCCATATATTTCGAATCCACAAGGACTTTTTGGAGCTTGAAGCAGATATCTGCTGGAGGTCCACGAGAATCCCGGACCTTTAATTTCGCAAAAAGGAGCCTGTTGCTCGGAAGAAGAAAGGACGAATGTGTCAATGAGCAGGCCTTGAGGGAGGGGAAATCGAAGCGGAGATGGCTTAATATTTCTTCTAGTATATCTTGAGGGAGAGTCATGGTCGAATCTATCAACGTGCGAATCAGACAAAGCGCATGCCCATCGCCAGACTGCGGATCCTGCCCGGGCCGTCCGACCTGATTGAGACCACCATGTCTAACTATTCCTTGCCGTTGAGGACCGTGGCACAAGCTAAACACAAGACAGCAGCAGACTGCAACTCCGCCAACGTCATGGGCTGACTTAGCATTATTTTGGAAAAAATAGCTTCAGAAGACATTCGCTTCTGAACGCCCTTGTCCTTGTCTGATGATTCAAGAACAAAGAAAAAAAAAGTCACAAAATGTGACAAAAAATAGACCCCAGCGTGACTCGAACACGCGACCCCGAGATTACATAATCGCAGCGTCATGTGTGACGTCACAGCTGCAATCTCATGCTATAACCACTTAGCTATGGAGCCTATTTAATATTTGAGTCAAATAATACTAAGATGGCTCAACCTCCGTCAACTTCCGCTTATGGTTGCCTCTGATTGCTCGCTCTTTTGACTCGATGCCTTTTGGTCCTACAGGTGTACCTTCTGGCACCAAAACCACGCTGTCTGGTAACTGGCTTGCGAGGAACGCACACTTGTCTCTAAACTGTTTTTTTCAAAAAGCGGTCTCCAAATTTTACTGAATAACGTGTCTGCCCGCAGGGCGCGCTTGCAATGCGGAAATGCCCAGGACCTCAGTGAAACTGTCATACCTCTAATAGTGCCTCGAGAATCACACTGGTCGTTTCGACGAACTCTATGGCCTCTAACTTCATCGGGTGCGACTTCCCATCCTGATATCGTCCGCAACGTGACAGTGTTGCACTGGGGCGGCCCATAACCGTGACTGCACACTGTGCGACAAGACTGGGCCCATCGACCGGTTGTCGAGTATCGAGTGGCTGTGTTTGACCTGTATGGTCACCCCTGGAAATACCGAGGTGACCATTTCGTAGTTGCCTTGGATAATGGCCAAGACTCGGAGGAGAGCTACAGCGATCCTGCGGGAAAACTGGAAATCACTCTGAAGCTTTGAAATCAACTCGAAAAGGTCTATCTTCGGTGGCGCTGATCGCCATGGTCGCCTCCAAAGTATTCATTTTGCATCACCGCTCCCTAGCCCATTGCCATAACGGACATTTTGTCCAAATCTCCGGTGTCCACATTTCGTCTATATCTCCTTGTGAAAAGCATGGGTGCGCTTGCTAACATCGTCCTACACGCTAGCAGTCGAGTTCCTTAGATTCGCAGAACGTCACCATCCGCCGTCCCTCGCGATCGAAAATTACACCATTACTGTCGTCAGACTTCGATGATGAATCTCCTGTTTTGTCGTACTCGTTACGACCTCGTCGGTTTTTGTCAAGTCTTCCATATGTTTACAATCTTCACTGAAGTCCGCATCATCAAGTTCGGATATCATTTGGATCGTTCTTCTGGAAGGAGAGAATAAATATATACTGCGCTGGACCCTCACTAAGTATGGTCTTCGATGTCCTTTGTATGTTTCAACATCTACCTGTATTTCGTCTCCCTACTGCAATGGTACACGCTCTGGACGGTAATATCGACGTACTCCATGGAATGTCTCTACTCTACGAGACGTATGCAACTGTGTAGTCACAACAATATGAGCTTTCATGGCCACAGCACCGTACATGGCTTGCCATATCAGGGTTGTGGATCCGGTCGTTCGCTATTGGAACCTGGCACCGGTACCAGCACCCCCACCCCCACCACTTCGTTTGGAAGATGCCGAAACGCTGTCACCCCAACATCGTAAGAGTCATAACGCATCAACTTGAATTGTTGTCGGTCACTGAGGCAGGCAAATAATCCTTCCTTAAATAGAGGATCTTTTATTACCCTCATCATATATACATACGATTCGTTAGACATCTCCAGTTTCTAGTATGATACTATAAAATACATTTCAGACACACTGTAACGAGAATACTTAGCACGAATACCCGTATTCGTACCACTGGCACAAAGGGTACGCCTGTTCTAGCTGCGCTTCGGAAGAAGCTGAACTACCCGATGGACCTGAACTTCTGCAGCACTTTCACCAAAGTATCGAGGTGTAATGAACGACCAGTCATCATCCGTGCATACCCAATATGCCATGCCGAGAACAAACTTCTGCACGTATGTCCCAATTGGCTCAGGAAATACGGGCACGCGCTTCATATCCTCCAGAAACTCTTTCGATACCTGAGTGTAACGTTCCGCAATGAAATCAATAGCCTGCTGGACTGTCATATCCTTTTCGGCCATTGTAACAGATACGATATTGTGGTTTTCGTCACCATAAGACTGTTCGACGTTGAACGAATAAATATCCTTAGTCACCCAGTAAGCAAGTAACTTCCCCTCAATAAGAAGAGGACCTACGTTCGCAAGGATACACATGTCGATGACACCCAACACCAGCTTTTCTATCTGTGGATGTCGTATAGCTTCATCTGGCACATCTTCTGAGAGAAGGAAGAACTCCAGTGAAGGTCTAACGCCAACGGTTCCGCGTCGCATAACAAGATATTCTTCGATAGGACGGATTATCCCGAGATCACGATCCTCGGCCTGCTGAACGACGGCATCTGTGTACTCCGCAAAAGTCTCTGTGAAACGTTTTGCGGTCGATGGACTGGTGCGACCTTCCTCGAGGGCTCGGATCCAGAAGCTAAGTTAAACTTAGTCAGCAGACGAAAGATGGAGTCTTAGATCTAGGTCGTACTCTCGTGCCATGATGCCAAGAATGTGTTCATTCGGAGGAGGAGGTGCATAAGGATTTCTGAAATGCAAGGAGTCAGTGAATGAATATCAAAGACGAAGAAACTGTTACTTTAGTGAGTTCATGATGGCATCAGCTTGCTTCCGTACCGTAGGGCCGTCCGCCTTGTCGCTCAGCTCGTCGAAAACAAAATAAAAATTGATCAAGTCCACGCCAGCGCGGTATTGCGCCGGCTCAGCTTTCGAGTACGCCAGTGCAGCGAAAGCGCCAAAATTCCAACGATCAAAAGTGGCTTGATCCCTGGCACTGAATGCATCGTAGCTTGCAACCCATGCAGCGCTTTCAGCGTTAATCTTCGCGGCATGGGGGTTGGGAGTAGCTTTAAAGGGCCACCCGGACAACAGATTTGGTACAGTATAGGTCTGCGGTGTCGACATATTCAAGAACGAAAGGCGGGGATTAATGTGCTATGTCAGCGCAGAGGCATAATCTTTTATACAACTCACCACCCACACAAAAAAATTTCATCGCACCGATCCTCCCCGCAATCGAGGCGGTCGGCAGAACTGACATGAATCACAAAGAAGGGTCAGTGGATAAAGACCGGTAACACCCTGAGCACAGGTCCTAAAGCCAGCGCCAAAAGAGCATGTTGTGGTATATTCACCATACTCATGGCGTTTGATAGATCCTTCTCAGAAAAACCGCATGTCCAGTAGCAGAGTCGACTGACCTTCGCATTTATAGTTAGTCTCATTGGAGGACCCTTCTTCAAAGGCGCCAGGGTTTTGTTCTATGCTGCTAAGCATCGGACTCAGCGCAGTCAGATATGTAATATAGATACCGAGAACTTCCCGTTTTGACCTATGTCGCGTAGTTTAGGTTGACCTTGGGCCTCCATTCTTCGGAAAATTGTTCCAAAGATCAGCATGTTAAATACATAAAAAACGGGCATCACGTACACTGCGCCATGCCGCCTCCCTTTTGCCGTGGTCTTCACGAGGGCACTACCTATCTGGAGCAAGCGGCGGCTAAACTAGCGCTTAGCTAGGAGGTGAGGTGTTAGAACTTGGTAAACAGAGGAGCCGGGGGCCATGGTCACGGGCGTTGAAAATCGTAAATCATGAATGCTATCAAGACGGGTTTGAGCAAATTTGCCTTCATTCCACCTCGCACCAGTCGAATGAGACAAGGAAACTTTCTCGGACACTTATCTCAGTCGACTGGCGCGAGATGGATGGAAAAAGTATCAGGCATGAGACAGAAGATACCTGGACCTAAGGGCTCGCATTGATTACAGACCATAAAAATGTCTTAATTGGTGCACTTAATTGATGACGAAAGAGAGTAGCATTCACAATCAAACCGCCGTGGTTTCCTCGGCTTTTCAAATCTCCAGAACTAGTACAAAAGACGGTCAGACACTGAATAGGGATCGGGGTAAAGGAAAAATACTTGCAACCATGCCCAGATATTTCAGTAATGGTCTGCGCATCCAACACGGAAGTTCTTCTTCGCTTACCATCGGTAGTTTGGTGTAAAAAGACGGGTTAATTCATCGGTAGGCAAAATCTAGGCGCCAAGGGAAAGAACGTAACCTACCCATGCAGCGCAATGGATAAATCTAGCTCAGGCTCCACCTTACGCGATCCGAAGTACAATGAGATGGTACCGCATACGAGAGCAGGTTATATTTTAATAGGGTCTTTTCTTGAATTAGCGAGCCCTTTCTGGACCTCGCAGTTAGATAGCGCATTCCTTCGGCAACGGAATTAACGAGGACTGTCGAAAACATACCGGTGATGCTTGCTTGACAGTCATAGTTATACCGATAAACAAACATGACAAGGCCCCAGTGGGCGTCGGCATTTGTGGCCGACTAGCGGTGCTGCGTTGAAGACGTTTATCGAGTTTGTCTGTGACCTGTAGCAGCATTAGAAAACGAGCATAGCGCGAAGACCCATGGTGAATTGACGACACTGTTGGATGCTATGCACTGATAGGCCCGTTTCCTCCTGTCTGAACGCAGTATCCTATGAATGTCTCTCATTGAGCGCATGCCAACGAGAACAGAGCTAAAAATACAATGTATATGGAGGCGTCGATTTGCTTCTGCATTGAAATTCCTCTTTGGAAGGGAGGAAAGAAGCGAGTAGATTTTGAGTTTGGCGTGACTGATTCCAGTTCTGGCGCATCCGCCCTCTGCTCGTCACCACGCAAGTTGGCATACTCCTTTGGCTGGCCACTATAATACTGTCGACAAACATGAGTGAAAGCAAACTGGGATAATTCACGCAGAAACCCCTGGACCACAGTCCATATGACACCAATGTGATCAGAAACCCAGAATCTGACCCATGGTGAATTGACGACACTACCGGGTGCTATGCACTGATAGGCCCGTTTCGTCCCGTCTGAAGGCAGTATCCTATGATTGTCTCTCAGCGAGTGCATGCCAACAACGAAAATAGAGCCATAAATACATTGTATATGGAGATGTCGATTCGCTTCTACATTGAAATTCCCCTTTAAGCTTGGCGTGAGTGCTTCCAGTTGAGCATCACGGGAGCTGGTATACTCCTTTGGCTATACTGTCAACAAACATGAGTGAAAGCAAACCGGGATAATTCACGCAGAAGCCCCTAGACCACCATCCATATGACGACCCGCTGATATACTTACACTGAAACGTATTCGTTTAGCTAAAAAAAAAGACGGTAAGATTGACTTTTTCACTGCTTACTTTCAACCTAGCTGCCTTCAGCAACTCTTCAAACCCTATACATGGAGGCTACCACCACTATAATAAAAGCTTGCGGATATTTGTCAAGTTCGACACCAATGTGACCAGAAACCCAGAATCTGGCTTCCTGGCCCTCATGATCATGCCACTGAATGGAAAGAAACATCGTTTGGACGGCAGCGGATTCTGCTGCGACGATTGTGACTCCGCCTTGACTCCAAATGTACTCATGAGCGAGTCCAGACAGTAATGATCAGGCGGGCATTGGTCCGAGGCCGCGTCCGAGAAACGGCTGAACTATGCATCAGAGCTTCTGAAGGCTATCCATGAGCGATGTAGAACGAAGAATGAGCCAGAGCCTGCCGTTCAAGCTCCCGAAAGCCGGGGGGTTGCCGTTCTGATACACAGTAGTAGCGATGCAACAGGTATTATTGGAAGGCATCTTGTTGAGCAACGAAAGCTGCGTCACTGTAGCGGCTATTTCACAGATTTCCATCTTGTCGATTCGAAGTGCAGTGTGCACTAGTGAGCAAGCTGCACATTCGTTGTTAAATCCTGGCCGTTTTGGTGGTTGCTTGAAAAGATTCCGCTGCTCCGCATTTTGGAAATTTCGCCGCTGTGCGGCTACCGGGCCGAGTGCCCGCTCTTGAACACCAAACAATCTCGAGTTTCTCTTTCCTGACATCCAGCTACTTTGGTAGACGTTTTTTTTTGTAATCTTGGACTCTGAAATCAAGGTTCATCACAACATGAACCAAGAGTATTGGTCTACTTCTAGTTCGCGATGCAGAAGCAGCGCCGCAGAATTCCAAGTTGGCTTTTCGACGGCGACACTGTCTTTGCAGTGACACCAGGTAATTGTCAACGTCTCTGTTTACTCTCTGAAAATCTGATACATATGAGCTACTACCAAAAGGATTTCAGTCAATTTCAGTACCGTGCCACCTTACATCCCCTTCTTTTGGTAGTAGAGCTTTGGGCAACCATTTGTGCAAGGACTCACGCATTACGACGTCCAGCACTTATTTCGTCAAACATTCGAGGGATACGTAACCTTCTCATATGCACCCCCAAGTTTGACAGAAATAAGTCTTCTCAGCGGTGCGCTCTCTCGCCCTTATGGATGGATGCTCCCGGAAGCGACCAGAACCTATGGAATTAGCACGGGACGACACCTGGGCACAACTGACTATCGATTGCGGGGGAGTATAAAACGAAGGGCAATCGATGCTGTATTCTTCAGCAGCTCGACATGGCTTCAAATACCACCTTGGTAGGGTCCATACCTGAAGTGATTGACAGTGACAAGCAGAAAAAGTCATTCCTTCAGCGTGTGTCGCCCTCGTCATGCTCTGCAGAGAGACGTCTCTTACTCAAAATTGACGCTTCTGTCCTCATATTTGCCTCGGTCCGTCATTTTCTCCATGTTCTCAGACGGTTCTGACGTTCTCAAAGTTGGGATACTTCATCAAAAATTTGGACCAAGTGAGTATAGTATGACCTTGCGGGTTCCGTCGTTAATCCTTCATGCAGAGCAACGTGTCAAGTGCAGTGAGCCATACGCTTCGCATGGGTCTTTTATCGACACTGACTTTTGAATATTCATGCAGTTCTTTGCCGGCATGCGCGAAGACTTGTAAGCCAACGGTCTCCTTCGGTGTCTCGTCTCTCACTGGCAGGTTATAAACCAGATCTATGTATGGCAACCAACTTGTCCATGTTACCTCTTGCTGGGCTGCTGGGTAGGGGCACAGTTCAAAATTAACTTTTCAATCTGGCTGATTATGTCGGCCTTGGCAGATATGTCGTCGGACAAGTCCCGTCAAACTTACTGCTCACAAGGGTCTCTCCTCGCTACGTTATCCCTGTTGTCAGTCTTCATCCTCCAATATACCACGTATACTTATAATGTCTCTGATAAGCTTGAGCTCGCATGGGGACTAGCTACCCTGGGAACTTTTGCAGTCAAAAACGTGAACCAGCTCTTTGCCATCAGATTTCTAGGTTCGTTATGATCAAGTCTTTCTTGTGCTCACTCTCACATTTGGTGACAGTCGGTCTGTTTGAGAGCGGATTCTATCCTGGGTATATTTATTGTGAATTCGAATGCGTTCCTGCTAATCTCTATATCAGTATGCACTTCATTCTCGGCTCATGGTATCTTTTTCGTATGTATCGAGGATATTAAAGTCCTGAGACTTGCGGTTGCTTTAGGTATACTCCCCGTGAGCTGGCTAAGAGAGCAGTCGCTTTTGGCATCGCCGGGACCCTTGGAACTGCGTCTTCAAGTTTTCTGCAAACTGCCACTTACAAGACCTTGAATGGAGTAAATGGGCTGGCTGGCTGGCGGTAGGCTTGTTGAATCAATTACATTTCTCTTTATTCTTACACGTTCACAGATGGCTGATGATTGTAGATGCCGCCATGTATGTTCTTCTTTGCTGCTATAAACTTGGCAAGTATTGAAACAAAAGGAAGTACGTTCCCCGTTGCTCTTCTCGGCTTTTTTTGCCTTCCGGATCTCCCTTACAATGCAAAACCTACCATTCTTCTCAATCAAGACGTACGTCTCTATTTAGATCTAAGTATCGCTTGATCAAACTTCTTTTTTTAATCATCCAGGATATAGGTTTGGCACGAGCCAGAATGAGAGCTATAGGTCGTAAGGAAACTGAACCATGGTCGCGAGAGAAGGTTCGCAGCATCCTGCAGCCTTCTGATGCTTATACTGACAGTAATTGGCAGCTACGCCGCATCTTCAGCTCTTGGTATATCTGGATCTTGCCCATTGAATACGTTCTATGGCTCAACGGCGCTATTTCATCACCTATACAATATTGGCTTAAGAGCTTCAACACGACTCCTCCGCCGGTCCCAGGTAGGAGATTCAGCGTCACCCAAATCCAGCTACGTGCGTCAATTTTACTCTCCACCTCATGGTTGCTTAGCTGGTTACTTTCCTCATCCAGTACCGCTTCCTACAACCGCAATTGCCATTGTCTGCGCCTTTACTTTTGCTTGCCTAAGTGATGGCCCCTTCAAGGGTATGCAGAACACGGCCTCCTCCATTGTCTTGGTGCCCTTTTGAACTTCTTGGCAGGACGCAGATATCCGTTTGTCTATTTTGGTGCCGTGATACACCTCATTTTAAACACTGTTTGGCTTTTAATGCCGTTATACAAAAACATTCCTAGTCATTTCGCCTACTTCTATTTGACTGGACTCAGCGTATGCATCTACACACAGCCTGTCTGGACAACTAACAAGAATGACTTAGTCAACCGCTGGCGCCCTGATCCTGAACTGGATCAATGAAATAACGGGGGGAGACGTGAGAATTTTACGTTTCGGTGCACTTGGTAGTGTCACTCACACTGTTTCAGACCGAGCTCAGAGCCCTCTGCGTAGCACTCGCGAATGATCTTGCCTATGTGGTTCAAGCAATTGCTCCCAACTTCGTCTGGAAAACCGCAGATTTTCCTCGTGCACAAAAGGGTTATCATTATTCTCTCGGTATGTCGTAGCACATAACATTTGTGCGCCGGCTTCTAACACTTCGTTTCCCAGTTCTCCAGACCCTATTGAGTATGTCCACATTTTATCAACAGGACTTGCGCTCTTACTATCGCACGTAGTCCTTTGGACGAGTCTCATACTATTCCTTCTCCGGCGAGACCAAAGGAAGGCTGCTCGTCGTTTCCAACGGCCCAATCTCGAGGCTGGCCTTGATGCCTCAGACTCAGATATTTCATTAACTGACATAGGATATCCTGGAAGGGCGACAATTAGGCCACAATACCGTCCAGGGTGAAAAAGAATTGTCATGATTAAGAGGCTTGTTTAAGAGGTATTTTTTTCTTTTAAAGGTTATGGCTCTGAAAACTTCAACGAAACGATGACACATAGCAGGCTCTGTGGCCGCAACTTCTTTGCTTATTTATACATGTTGCATTTGTGTATTTACAATGAATCAATCACCGAGTTTTAATCCCTCCCTTCTAGACTTGGACGATGGATCGAAGAATGGCTTCTCAGCAAGCGAACTGACCCGCGTGCCGTGGCGTTCAGGTTTTCCTTCGTAGTCGTAAGAAACCGTGTGGATGGTGATACGGTTGTCCCAGCTAGAAATAGTCGAGTTTCAGAGAACACTCTAAATTTGGATTAAATAGACACTTACATTGCAGAAGTTCCGGGAGTCCAGTGCCATCTGATCTGGATGTCCGTCGACCTTTCGTAAACACTATCGTATGTTAGAAGAAGATCCCCGCAGCCAAGTATAAATTAATCGCTCACTCGTGAATATGGTTCAAGATCGCATCACTCTCCGCCTTGTCGAAGCCCTCAATACCAACGGTCATGCTGCGGTTGGCGAAGACGGTCTTGAAACCAGTCACAGGGTGGGTTCGCACCAAAGGATGTACAGTTTCCACATGACGAGGAGGAGCATCAGGGTCATTCGCATCTTTGTACTGGTGTGCGGATCGGTAGATGCCACTAAATATATGATCAGCGGTAGTCATGGAATCACACTTAGGATAACTGACTTGAGGCCATCAAGAAGCTTCCTGAACGCCGGGGAGAACTTATCGTATGCGGAGTAACCAGAAGCCTACAAATCACTCAGTTTGACATCACTGACATGAGCTTTTATTATACCCAAAGCGTGTCCCCTCCAACAGGTGGGACGGTATCCTGTTGAAGTAAAATGGTTAGGTTCATCGACGTAGTATAGATGGGCGAACGCTTCACCTGGTGGAGATGGGTGTAGCCCGGAGGGAAAGCCAGGTGAACAAGGTCCGTGTGCCAACCATAGCTACCCGAGGGGTAGGCGTGCCTAAAGCCTCTTGCACCGGCCTTCGAGAACTCCCTGTATTCTTTGTCTTTGCGACCGGGTTCCCAGATGAGGGAGACGCCCGGTAATCCGGGAACTTGAGCGACCTGAGGATGAACTTCGATTTCGCCCTGGCCAAGATAGAGGCCTAGTTCCCTCTGCGACTGAGGAGAGAGATCTTGGTCACGGAAAACTGCAAGGACATCAGTCTGGACTGCGTGTGAAAGTAAGGACTTCGAACGAACAGACAACGGAGCGTTCGCTAAATAATTGAATCGTAAGCTTCACTTGAAATCGATCGAGAGCACAAACTTACGCGACCAAAAGGGCGAGCTCATCACGTTGTTGGTCAGTAAGCTCCGAGAGTTGCAAGCCAATAATCTCAGTCTATGAAGATGAGCGAGAAGGGCCAAAGGGTATGATTGATAGGTACGTACTCCGATGTGGATGGAAAGGTCTCTAACTTCCTTCGCGGCTCCGAAAAGAGCCTTCTTCTCAGGGTCCGCCCTGGTTGCTGGGTCAACGTAGTCTCGAAGGTCGGTTTGCAATTTTGCTACATCTTGGAAGAATTCAGGCTTGGGCGGGTAGAAGGGGTAACCCTCTGTGAAGAAAACCGGTGAATAAAACAATCGAGCCATGGAGATGGTACCAGAACATACGAGAAATGTCGACACCTGCCTTTTCATACCGTTTAAGGGTGTTGGCAGGGGGGAGCTTAAAATTGGCATCTTCCTTCGGATAGACGGGCTTGATAGGTTGGTTGGAGATCACGGGAGTAGGAGTTGTAGCGACTGGAGCCATTGTAGCAGCGTGAGTACTGTGTAGAGACAAAGAGATGTAACAGGTATAATATACCTCTTCGAATGCTACCTTACAAAGAATGATTACAGAGAATAGATAAGGGGTTGCACGCAATCCAGTTAGAAATGATCTGTTATGAGGCGACCGGCTGTGGAAATGACGCATACCAGGAAAATTGCAGCCAGCTGCCAAGATTAGAAGAACCCCTGGTCCCATGACTTGGTCAACCGTCAAATGACGGAAAGATACACAATGCGACCATTACTCACCTCCCTAAATAGGCGTTTGCAACAAGGAAACAGATGTAGACTGCATAGAGGGATTTAATGTCTGCTGAGCATCTAATAAACCAGTTAAAAACTAGAGCTCCCAGGATCCCAAGGTCTAAATGGTAAAATTTCTGATACAAGCGACAATTAGCGATCAGAACATCGACACTGAATCAACGATGATCTCACTTTGTGCGGTTGGACAACGGCGTATTCTTGGGTTCGAGTCTAGTCCATGCTGATACAGAAGAAACTGATGAAGTCCGCAAGAAGGAAGTTAAATTCCGTCATTCAGATACGTCTTTTGCGCGTCTCTCAGGGTTTCTGGCGCGCATTACCTAGGTTGACAATCGGGTCATAGTGGTTGGTTGGTGACTGCGCGTCGGGCCGGCATCCGACCCATCCGCCCTTGGTCCGAACCTCCGAACCGCCATCATTTCCTCCACTCTGCCGCCACCATTTCTCCAACTAGACGCGGGATGTCGCACTTTGCAGCTGGATTCTACGCAAATTGACCATTGATAGGAAAACTTGTAGAGAAAATGGAAAACGAATATCAGGCTCCTTACCTACCAAGAAATCTGTGGACTGGCGAACAGGTGTCTTCGGAGCAGCTTCGAGGCTTTGTTTGAGAAGCCCTGCCACACACAATAGCACTGCCAACAGTCACTGATATGGACCTACAGAACCAAAGTTTACCCCATCTGTACTAATCAATCAGCGTTCTCGATGGCGCGTTTTCTCGCCTTCATTTCACTAAACCACGGAAGCAACCAGGCCGACCGCACAAACTGTAATCCCCTGGTATAAGCACGCAAATGATAACAGAAAGAGATAACGGCATTCCATAAGTTGGAGGCCTTTGCTCTTTCGTTGCAGACATGGCGTCCAAACCCGACGACGCTACTGTGGTGGACTCTCTTCCTGAACTTCCCAATGTCGTCGACCAGAAGAAGCAAAAGCAGTCTCTTCTAGGGTACTTTTGGGATACTGCAGATCTCAGCCCTGAAGAGAGGCGTCTCTTGTTCAAAGTAGATGCTTCGGTGCTTATTTTTGCTTCAGTGAGTATTCTTTTCTCAGGATCTAATTACTAACCTAATCTTGTGTTAGCTGGGTTACTTCATCAAGAATTTGGACCAGGTAGGCATTCTGTGGTTGTTCCTGATATGGATCTTACTGTTCAACCATTTCCCCAGACCAATGTCACCAGTGCGGTACGTTCCACCCAGTACTCGGTGCGATGGATGTTGATCTTTGTCCTCACAGTATTTCGCTGGCATGCGCGAAGATTTGTACGTTGGCCTAGACAACTAATTCACTGATATCTGTATCTGACTTTTCTCTAAAGGGGAATGTACGGAAACGAACTTGTTCATGCTACATCTTATTGGACGGCTGGGTAAGTAAGAGGGACCAAATCTGCAGTCGTTGTTCAAGCCGCCTTTAGATATGTCATCGGTCAAGTGCCCTCAAACCTACTTCTTACCAGAATATCTCCTCGCTACGTTATCCCTGCCGTAAGAGGCTTCGTTCTATCGCAACTCATAGAAAATCCATATCTTACCTTTTCATTCCAGCTCGAACTTGCGTGGGGACTGTCAACTCTCGGCACCTATGCAGTGAAAAACGTAGAGTCACTCTTTGCACTTCGCTTCCTAGGTACGTATTCTCTGTTAATCTCTTATCTTCTCGTCCTGATCATCGTTCTAGTTGGTCTCTTCGAGAGCGGATTTTATCCGGGGTATGCTTCGTCTACTTCCAATGTCACCTAAGCCTGAGCTCCTCTTCAACAACAGAATGCACTTCATTCTTGGGTCATGGTCAGTCTTGCGACATCTCATTATAATCCACCACCCATTTTCTCGATTTAGGTATACCCCGCGGGAGCTGGCAAAGCGATCTGTTATGTTCTGGAGTGCCGGATCGCTCGGTCAGATGTTCTCGGGTTTCTTGCAGACCGCGGCATACAAGAATTTGAACGGTGTACACGGGTTGAGTGGATGGCGGTAAGTTGAGGCATGTACCGTTGTGGCTTGGTCTAAATAGCTTGCTTCCAGATGGCTGATGATTGTAGACGCTGTCATGTGCGTCTCAAAAACTATTTTTGCGTTATGTGCTAAGAACCACCACAGAACACTTCCGATCGCCCTGCTTGGTTTCGTTTTCCTCCCAGATCTCCCGTTCAACGCAAAGAAATCATTCCTTCTTAGTCCAGAAGTACATATCTATTCCATTTTCCCTTCCAAAACATCTAACCAACCAGGAACACCTGCAGGATATTGCTCTAGCTCGGGCCCGAATGAAAGCCATAGGACGGAAAGAAGCAGAGCCATGGACCCGTGCAAAGGTCGGAAAATAGCCTTCATAATATCTTTCTTCTCTGACACGGCGTAGCTTCGTCGGATCCTCACCTCGTGGTACATCTGGGTCTTGCCTATAGAATACGTCCTGTGGAACAATGGCATTGCCCAATCACCCATGCAATACTGGCTTAAGGGCTTCAACAGTACCCCCGCTCCCGTTCCGGGAAAGAAATACACCGTCTCTCAAATACAGTTATGTACGTTGACCTATACCCTTCTTCCTTTTCTCCTTTCTCAAGCTATTTTAGTGCCTCTTCCTGCGACTGCCGTCTTCGTCGTCACAGCATGGTTCCTAGCTTGGCAAAGTGACGGACCATTCAAAGGTTAGTCATCCCTATCATCCATGGTCAACGCTTATTTCTCGAAGGTCGAAGATATCCATTTATATATCTCGGCGCCGTGATCACGCTTATATTCAATATCGCTTGGCTCGCCATGCCTCTGTACAAGAACATTCCAGGCCATTTTGCCTACTTCTACCTTATGACTACTGGGGTGTGTCTTATTTTCCTCAGCTCCTAATCAATCTCTAAGCGATACATTTAGACCACAGCTGGACCGTTGATCTTGAACTGGGCCAGCGAAATAACGCAAGCAGATGTCAGCACTTGTTCTTCGTTTTGATTATACAACTAACTGATGATTTCTTGAATATAGACTGAACTTCGGGCCCTCTGTGTCGCCCTCGGAAACGATCTTGCGTATGTAGTACAAGCCGTTGCACCCAATTTCGTCTGGAAGACGACGGATTTCCCACGAGCCACCAAGGGCTACCATTGGTCTATCAGTACGTTGAATATGTTATATTTTTATATCTGTTTCTAAACGCCCTCGACAGTTCTCCAAGTACTTTTGAGTAGGCTTTCCCTCTCGTTTCGATTCGGGATAAATCACTGACGTGTCTGCGTAGTTCTTTGGACCCTTCTGATACAATTCCTTCTTCGAAGAGACGAGAGAAAGAAGAAAGGACAACTAGAACAGACTATCGAGGCTGGCGAAGCTTCGACTTCAGCACATCATGATAGAGCCGACACTGACAACGACCCAGTTAAAGTGAGCGAGGGTGATCCACTGGAGGAGAGCAAACATAGTCGATGACCTCTACACTTTCACGAGCTGCCTGCTATAGATAATTCGGGCATTTTTGTATAATCTTATCATGAAATTTTTTTCTCTTGACCAAGGTTGGACCAATGACGAGAAGAAGCCATGAATATCTGTCTAAGAATAGCAAAAATGGAGCAAAACAAATTCACACGCTTGAGCTTCGTGGCGGTGCAACGCAGCTGCGAACACTCCTTGTACCTCAACCACCACCATGGAAGGCTGGAGCAAGCTTCAATCGAGCATCGGCAGCCTCAACCTTGGCCAGAGTGCAAACAAATTCGCCAAGGGCTTCAATTCGAGCGTCCAGGCAACAAGGGAGCGATTGGGCCAGGTAGCGCCAGAGGAGATTACCGAGCTTCCACAGGGTGAGCATCTGTGTTAGTGACACGATAGGACCACGGCCAACCAGCGACGCACTGCAGAGTACAAGGATCTTGAGAACCGTGTCGACTCCCTGCGGAATGCCCATCTTGCCTTGCTCAAGCGAGTAGTCATTCAACATCCATTCTTACCTTGATGCTGATTACCGTGCAGGATAGCGAAAGTCTACGATCATGAAGGTTATGACTACCCTACTCAGATCCAGGAGTCCATCTCCGAACTGTCAACGTCCATTGGCGCAGGCCTGACCAACTTTGCCGCCAACAACCTCAAGGGGACTAATCTGCCTACGCCTGCACCTGTCGTAGCACCTCAAGCTCAGCACAAGACCCTTCCGCATGCATTGGGGCGGGCAGCCACGAGTGCGGCGCAGGGACTGGGTTCCGACGACAGGTTGGGCAGAGCGCTGGCGCTTTATGCTGGAGGATACGACAAAGTTGCCACGGCGAGGCTACAGCAGGACGAGAGCATCCGTGTGGGATTCCTCCACCCATGGCAAACGACCTTGAGCACCTCAATTCAGGTTGCGATGAAGGCGCGCCAGGCGGTCAAAGTTAGCCGGTTGGAGTTGGATGCTGCTAAGCAAACGTGCGTCGTCATCTTGTCGTTTTTTGCACTATATCTGACTGGCATCTGCAGGCTGAAGAATGCCAGCCCGTCCAAGCAGGAGCATGCTAGACTGGAGGTCGAGAATGCGGAGGACGATCTGGTGCAGAAGACTGAGGTGGCCATCACTCTGATGAAGACGGTATTGGAGAACGTCAGTCTTGTTTTTACTTTGCTTTTCTCTTTTGCTCATTGTTATGCAGCCGGAGCCCCTTAAGAACCTCAACGAACTCGCCAAGTCGCAGCTGATGTTTCACGCAGCCGCAGCCGAGGCACTGTCGAGCGTGCAAGGTGAAATTGAGGAGCTGAGCGTTGCAGCAGAGGGAGAGTATAGGTGAATTTTGTTGCTACGAAGTACTTATCGTCTATATCTGAAATCCTCCCCCTAGGAAGTCCCGTGACCACTGAAGTCCCTCTAAATTAGTTTATGCTTGCTTCGGTCAATTCTGTTTTTTGCTTTCTCACACCACGGACGTTCGGAAGATTGTTTTATTTCGTCTAACTAAACATGTCATTTTTTGCTCAGCGACCGGCTGGACGGTATCGTATCCCCCTATTGTCAACATGCAAAGAAAATAACAATAACGGCTTCGGTAACGTTCTTGTGGAATGGAACGAGAGTGACGAAGGGGCCTGATAGCAAATATAGCCCTCAAGACGATGAGGGTAGGTCTGTATAATCAAATCCAAGCAAATTTGGGAAGATCAAATCAGTTACTTCGAAGCTGAGATACTCTTCTGTTTGTCAGGATAAAGAAGTGAGCTCTAGCCGCGGACTTCGATGGCGTGCGAAAGGATTTGAGAGAAAAGGAAAGTGGTTGACTCCGTGACTCTTCTTACTTTTCAGGACCTACTATCAGCTGAGTTCTGGCTGCGATCCTTCCATCGTCTCTACTAGTCAAACTATTCATTCCGTCTCGGTTCTCAGACTGTCATTACCTTGCTTGTCAAGGTCTCTCTAGGTCTAAAATCTTCGCTTACACAAGCCAGGGTCTTCCCGTGATATGACATCATTCTCCACACGTAATCAAAATCCTTGCCGCTGACGATTTCACCCTTTCCATCACGCATTGAATGTCTTTTCACAACGGATATCAAATCGCCAACATATTAAATCCTCTAGATCTACCGGTCATTGTAGATATAGTATAGCGTTACGGGGTAGGTACATTAAGTCAAATAAAACTGTATGTTCACTCGGTGTGTACTCAGATCAATGTGTCAACGGTGATATCCTGTCATCGAAGTGCAGTGTATTGTTTCATTGAACAATGCAATATTCCTCTTCAAGATAGCATCCAACGGGTAGCTCTGCAAGGATCTAACCGAATCAATGAAAATTGTGGACATTGAAAGAGGTGAGGCGAAGAAAGTTCGTGCTTAAATGTAATGAGTTCAGGTAACTAACAGTTCGATTCTCTTAAAGGCATGTATGTATTATTATGGCGGTGTATGATTATTTTCAAAGTGTGCCTGACATAAATTGGATTCTGCAAATTTGGGATGGGGATGAACTGTTTGATATTCGAGCTCACATTGTCACCAAGCGACAGCGCTGATCATTAACTGTCGAGGTGCTCGTCATTCCAGTTGCCGCTTGTTATTATTCTCTCATTAGTTCTACGTATTCGTTGCTTATACCCGTGGCCTTTAGTTAGAACTGTCGTATAAAGGGACTGTACTCACGTAGTATCCACCATCTCGTTTGCAACGGATATATACTCCCTTTTCTCTCGCTCATTTCGCTGTCCTGAGCCTCGCGATTCCAATATGAACACCGCCTAAGCAAGGTATGATAGTCGTCGACCGACGACCGCTAGTACCTAGATTAGCCCCTTCCGAGACATGTGATCACAGGGTCTCACTAAGTGCTGAAGCAGGTACGTCGAAGTCGGAAATTTCTTAGCTGACTCTTTAAAGTTAATGGTGAAGGGCACATTATCATAATAAAGAAGGCCTGAAACTCCGCTTTCTAGCCAAAAAGATGTGGACCTTACAACTTTACGTGCACTGTTTGTAACCACGCTGGCATGCGAACTCTAGAACCTTTGAACAACCCACGACACTTGTGTTCGCTTTCGGTAGTAAGCGTCTGGTGAGTGGAGTACAAAAGCTACCTCTCTTCGAATAAATATCTAACTATCTCTGAAAATATGGGATTGATTGCCTTCCCTGCCATCATCTATGTAACCGAGCTGCTTGCATTGATATCGAAGGCACTCAAACAGGAAGCGAAGAAAATGAGAGTCCAGTTAGAGTCAGGAGGCGTCATCGACTCGAGCTCGCGCTTTTCGATTCTGCACACCTAATTTTGTCATTTTTTGAATCGGCCTCGATCAACGCACATACGACTGTTGCTGCAACCTGTGAGGGAATCTTTGGAGAGCTGGATTCTTTACATCATGTTCATCATCCTACAAGTGTCTCGGGGAACCTAGTAAAACGAGTTAAAATACATATTCTTCTATGGCATCCAAACAGCATGACAAAATCGTAACTCTGACCGCTACTATTTACTAATACAAACACGGGATGCAAAGGCAGAAATACTATCTACCACTTCGGCTTCATTGTCATAGAAAAGTGCATGACTACCGCCCTCAACCATGTGAACCTCCAAGTTCTTGTAATAAGGCCTCATCTCTTCGGCTACTATGTTCCCTCGAACCTGTTGATCAGCAGTACCATTCAAAACCAACATTGGAAGACCCTCCTTCCCGAGCTCATACAGCTTCTCTGGATTCTGCGGTCGCGATAACACATTTTTGAACACCTTCGGTGGTTGCAGTAGTGCGCTCCCGATACAAGACGTCTTGAAGCTGAACGGCACATTTTTGGGGTCGGCGAAAAGGGAGTCGACAAAGTCGATGGTAGTCTTGGCGTTGAGATTGACGTCGTCGGTGTTGAACAGGCCGGGGAGGAGGCCGAGGACGGTCGAGGTCCCGACGTGGCCCATGATTGGCCCGATGAAGGGAAGTGCCGCTAGGTAGACGACTCCGGTGAGAGTATCCTTTGGGAGGTGTGCAGCGATGTCACATACGATGGTGCCTATATGAGTAGATGAGAATGAGGACTTCCCAGGAAAGGGGGAGATGTAACAGTACATCCAAAGTTCCTGAAAGGGTTGCTTAAGTTCGAATAATTGATTTCAACTAGGATAAATCACTCCATACCATCCGACGAAAATTGGCTTTTCGATCTTAAAGGCGCGGGCCACAGCCTTGTAATCTTCTGCAAAGATCTCAGAAGAATAGTCGTCCAGTGACTCTGGCATCGTGCTTCGCCCATGGCCACGAATATCATACCTAACCTAGTAGAGGGATGGATACGTTTAGAGGGTCCCAGAGAACGAGAGAACGACGAACCAGATAGAAATTTTCTGTCAACTTTGATTTGGCGAAAATATTATCGAAAACAGCGCCACTCAAGGCAAGGCCGTGGACGAAGACGAGGCATGGTTTGGTTGGGTCACCCGAAGCATTGGCGTAGATAAGCGCGCCGTCTTTGGAAGGAACTAGCTGCGAATTGGGAGTCGACATAGTAGTACTGGGGGAATAACGCAGTCTTGGATCAACTCGCGTAGGTATATGTGAGGAAAGTAGATTAGTAAAAGCCGATCTTCGATCGAAGCTGATAAATTTCAGTCACACTGTCCATAGTAGATGCTCGTGGGGCCTATGTTTTCTGATAGAATAGCGGTATTAGTGCTAGCCTGAAGTGCTTGTGCGGCTCGAACATATAAAAAAACCCGAAATTCCCGGGATTCCCGAACCATCAGCGCCCAGCGCTCAGAGAGCTATCTTTATCATAAAGCTTCAAACGATTCCCAGATTTATCTTCTTACCAGAGACTACATTCCGAGTCGGGTAATAAGCAATATAAAGTCATACTTGCGAGCATAACCAATCCTCAATTGGCAGTAAAATTTCAATCGGGAGACTCCTTCCACGGCAAAGATGATGAACAGAGACGCATCTGCGAGTATCTTCTTGATTTTCCGAGTACAGCAGTGGTGGTGGTAGGAGAAACAGGCCGTTGTGACTTGATCACGGTGCTGGCCAAAGGAGCCTTGATACCGTAAGAGCTCTATGCCTAGTCGCAGACAATATGTCGACGTTGAATGAAAGAGATAGAAACGCTGAGAATAAGGGAAGAAACGAAGAGAGAGAGTCGCCGTGATCGTGGTAAGAATCCACGCCATCAAGGGTTGGCTTCTTACCATCACCATCACCTCCGCCTTCTCGATTGTCACCACAAAAATGGTAGCTCGGCACATCAATAAAGCATTCTCTCAAGCAACTGCGTGCACTGGGATGCTTGGAGTCGGGGCTGGTCGGTGCGTAGTAAAAACATGCCTATGCCGAGCCTTTTTACTGATTTTTTTTTCTAGCTAGAGCCGCTGATATCTATCACTACCCTGACGAGGACGTACGCCGGGTACACAAGGCGTTTTTTTTTTCATCGACTGCCGGAACATGTGTAATGCGGCGACCAGGTTTCGACATTGCTGCCAGCTGGTCCCATGCTTTCATATCTTCGGGTCGAGGATGTAGTTTCCTCCTGTGCGTCTGGAAACCAACGAAGACAGGATCTCCGGAAACGATGCTGCCTTCTTCAAACGGCATTGGGTGAAAAATATCGATATGCTTAGAGGATTGAGGTCTGGACTAGACACTGGATGTACTGATGCCAATGGTCTTCATAGAGGTATGTATTGAACTTTCTTCTTCGTCGCTTTGCCTGACTTTTGTCTAGGGATGAGAAATACAGACTACAAAGTTTCATCTCGGTATCCAACCTCTGGCCAGTAACTATAACTCCTCACGACGCCCATGGCCAATCCCAACGTTACCCCGGGCAACGGTCAAATGAAAAGGAGGGACAAGATGGTAAGAAGATGCAGGCAAGTCGCTGCCCTGCCTATTCCTCTTGCATGTCGTATTTGTGGGGATCGAGCCTAGGCTAACGGGACGGCCCAGAAGAAGAACCCCACCACTACAAACAAACCTCGGACCACTCGCGCGTGTTTCGGGATATACCATTCTTCGCGGTAAGCGCTTTGTTTTTGAGTCATGCTGTACTCATACCAAACCCCCAGGTATATGCATTCTATTGCGTGATTGAAGGACTGGAGAGCATCATGTGCATGAGGGCTTGATGAAGTTGAGATTGATCAAAACTAGCTATATCAGTGAGCCTCGCCTGTTTTCCTTGCCATGTTCACCTCCTCAAACCCAACAAGGAAATCTAACATCTTGTCGTCAATCAGAATGGTTAACGAGTCAAATTTCAAAGGCTAAAACGACGGAGCTGCCATACAATGTTCTTACGCTCTCAAGCCTCCCCTGAAAAATTTCGAGCAACAATGAAATCCAAGCCGCGTCATCTGTCAGATGCCGCAGGATGATACTGCTCGTCGGGCACACGACCCGACATCGGTCTCGCTTGCCAGAGGACGCCCATCTCAGACAAAGACGCGACACGTCACAGTCACATGAACAGAGTGACACTCTTTCCCTGATTGATGTAGGGTCTCGCTCTTTGGACCCAAATACGAGACGCCTTCCTTGACATCGGCTCCACCCTACTTTATCAACACGACGACGGTGTTACCAACCAAGCACATTTCCCGACTTTTTTCGCGGCCCCATCGAACGGACCGGTCACGAAACCCCCAGACTCACCACCCTCAGCAAGCTTTTAGTCTCCCTCTCCGACTTCGACACTATCGACGTTTTCCATAGAATCTTTATCCTCTCGTTTGCCTTTAGGCTGGAGCGCTTCATCGAGACAAAATGACCGTGGAAGGGCAGGTGGTTCTATCCCATCCGAATGATGATCGCCGTCCACGCGACTCCCGGAATCGTAGTCGGTATACCTTCATCGAGTGTAATCACAAGCCAGGACTCATATTTTGCACAGCACTACGGTAATTCAGCCTAAAGGGAGACGTTCCTGGTGTCGCAGAACGGTCCCGAATTTCTGAAAGTGCTTGAGTGCACTTTATCGGGACAGCGCGAAGCGGAAGCGGCTTTCCCTCCAGTGAGAGCTTTAGATTGATGTGGACAGGATCGAGCCGGATAAGGCGGTGTGCTTGGGATGTGGGTGTGACGTCTCTCTCAAGAGTCTTGTTAAGTGCAATCTGGGAAGTTACCCGGATTGCGCTTAAAAAGCTTAGCACTCCACGGGGATTGATGCAGATGCGTTGTATTGAGAACGCGATTTTGAGTTTCGTTGTGGACATTTGGGAAGTCCGGGCTGTGAATTTTTTTCTGATAAGACCGTGACGCGCTCGGTTGAATTGGTAGACAACCAGGCTTTCTATGTCGTATTCTGGATTATGTCGGGGCTGCTATTGTTAACAAATTTGTTTCGTGGACCGTGTTAATGATATTCCTGATCGTTAGTTGTCGCTACTGTGGAATGGATGGATGGATCACTATTAGCATGACCCCTCGACAGCAGGTGCCTGGCGGCCAGCATCGATGATCAAATGTTTGTTTGTTCTGAAAGGAGCCGCCGGGCTTTAGTGCACTGGCTTGCCGGAAGCCATCATGGCTGTCAGTACCAGTAGTTCCACTCATTTCTTCTTCCAAAACCTTTCTGATTTAGCTACGCGTAGACCGCCAACATGTCTACATTCTCGTCGCTCACCATCCACGACTTTTGTATCGAGCGCGAGCCAATCACGATGCACCGAGCCCCGTCCTTCCCGTCCCTGCGTTACACAAGCGAACCTACAATCCCTATTCCGAGCGACCAATGGCCCCCACCCGATCCAGTTCCCATCACTGGACGCTCCCTCGAGATCCGACTCCTTGACAAGGTCGCAGAGGGCCGAGCTGGACTCGTTCATTCCGTGCAAGTCTTGACTGAGGCCTCTCCCAGTCTTCCGGAGCTGTGTATCAAAGTCGCGAAACCCCGGTACTGTCGCAGTCTCGCGCGAGAGGCATGGTTCTACTCACGACTGGAGACACTGCAAGGCAGCGCCGTGCCCCTCTGCTTTGGGTTTTTCACCGCGCCAATAGCGGACTGTATCCCTTGGAACCGCATATCACTCAAAGAGACCAGCGCAGAAGTCGATGATTGGCTCCCGGACGACGTATACGATTATTGTTTCGATCCCGAAGATGGGGGTTACAAAGCCAATTCACCATGCATGGGATAGATGGAAGTACGCTCCTGATCAGCCGCTCGTCGCCGTTCTGGTGATGGAAAAGCTCGGTGAGCCGTCCTATCAAGATTGTCGCGATCCGTCACATGAGAGGTATGTACGCCCCGCCAACCAATCCCCGCGTTTCCCGTTTTCCCTTCTCATGCGATCCTGGTAGGGACGACCTCCGCAACGTTGTCTATGACTTGGGAAAAGCCAGCTTCATCCACGCCGACATGCGGTTCAACAACGTCCTTCGCGCTGTCAACCCAGGCCCTTTTTGTGTCCGGCATAGCTGCTATCATAAATGACGTCTCATCGATTTTGACCGATCGCGGTGTAGTGTGTTCACTCCTGAGGCTGAAGAAGATCAAGAATTTGCAGAGTCGAGGATCGAGGAGGTTGGGGCATCTCATTTTTGGTATGGGTTTCCGTAGTTGTTTTGGCAGTCGGTGTGTAGGTACACCAGTCCCTTGTGGGTGTTGTAAGATTTCAGGAATTTCAAGTTTACCCCCCTCGTACTACGTCTCTAGTTCTGACTGTTTTGCAGAAAGGGTCCATTGCCTACCTCAAGAAAAAGTTGTTGGATATTCACTGCACGTCATTACAAAGTCCAAATACGCGCCCTGCAATCTGTTCCGAGTATGATAGAGCTGAGACGCGGTCCCTCTTCAATGAGCAAGCGTACAAGACGTGGCGGTGCATGGCTGGTCACGAGCCTAGCAAAACGTTTCTGCCGTCGGCTGTGTTTTTCCCTCAGTGTATAGGATGTTGTTCCCTATGCTAGCATCTTTTTCTTCACGTCATTTCTAGGACCATCAGGAGCAAACATCTCGTCAGACTGAGTCGGTATCTTTTAATGATATTAGCGCGTTTGGATGTAGTTTACAGCGTGGTATGAGACAATTCAACATCACCCGTGTACGGCTCTTCATCAAGGAAGCGTCGATGCATTCGTCTCTGCTTGAGAATGATGAGCATGATGCGGCTGGTCAGGATGGAATGAAGGTTGAAGACGGGTCAAAGAGGGCATTTTCCTAGATCGGGGCATCCCTGGAGTTCGTTGACTGAGCCTCGGAGGCGTCATGGGAGGAATAAATGTCGGCATGGCATGCAGGGGTGATGGTCCAACAAAGACGCGTCGAGTTCATGTGCAATGCAACGAAACTCTGAATAAAAAAGGAGTGTATGTCAATGACAATATGTAAGATAGTAGACTGAACGCGTCACAGCTTACCGGCAGCTGTAGTTAATGAGCCGTGAAGGTTTCTTTGCCAAAGGTACTACACAAATGAGCGAGAGTGGACTTAAAGGCCGCGATTTTGAGATTTCTAGGTGGGAAGTCGGGCCGAAATAGTGCACACAGGCAGAATAAGGTATGATAAATAAAATTCCAGATAAGCTAAGAGAGCGGATGAAAAACGTGGGGACGAGAAGTGTACGGCCGTCTTGCAATTTGGACGGACTCAAGACGGACTTGGCAACAAAGCGTTGCAAACAATATCAGCCAATCCGAGACTTGGAACGAACCTAGGTAATCGCGTGACGCTGACCGTCGCGTCTTTCTCTCTCTCCCATTCACACTCTCACTGCCCGGTTATTGTCAAGAAAGCCCCAAACAATGGTGACGAAGGAAAACCCCGATAAACTTTGGAAGCAGCTCAGTGACCTAGTTGGTGCTCATAACATGTCAATGGTTACCCCGGAGACGATACAATTGTTTAAGTCGGTCGATAAACTTTATGTGGGGTTGTTTTTTTGTCCCTCTTCCAGTACTCAAACTTTTATCCGTCATTTTTCAGCGTAATACGGAAAATTCTTTCCCTGAGGGCTACGTCTGCGATGACCTTCTTGTTTGCCTGAAAGCTGTCGCTTCATCCGACGCATCGTTCCTGCAAATGTTAATCGAACACAAGACTCTCCGTGCTTTCGTGGAGAAATACCGTCTACGTAAGATTCAACGAATACTGTTTATCTTTTTGCCATGAAGCAGTGTGTGCATTATCTAGGTCTGAACAGTGCGGCGTCCCTGGAAGACGTCAAGGAGCTGTTGTTGGAAGTCCGTACTGTCGGTGATGCTGCCGATAACAGTCGTGGTGTTCGCACTGGTGACGTCAACGTTAGACCTCTGGAAGCTCCTCCTGCCAGAAAAATCCTTGAGAGCGTCAAAAGTGAGTCTTGACAATTTCCCTTTAGTTTTGTTCTACATCATGCCCCTTACAGATTCCAAGAAACGTGTTTCCAAGGAAGACGATCGAGGCCGTAAAAAAGGTAGAATTTATTGTGAAATTCCCACATTTGATACTTATTTGATGGATTGTTCAGCGAGGAGGGAGGTCTCTTCAGAAAGCACTTTACCGGGTCCCAACCTTCCAACGGAGACAGGACATCCGCACGAATCTTTGTCCCTCGATGGTAGAGCTCGCCAACCCACGGTTCGAGAGAATCCACTTGTGATGAAAGATGGTAAGCAGTACCGGTATACTCCGCTCTTTCATTTGTTGAGTGGAATTCTAGTCCCAGATGGGACGTTGCCATCGGACGGCCACGAACGTACGCTGACGTCCTCACTGCCACCGGTCGGGACTCCGCCCACAGTGCCATTCCGTAAGTGGATTGAGAACTTTTTGTCTTCATGAAGTGTTTACTTATACTTTTCTTTTCTTTACCATATGAAACAGGACGGATACTTGTTTCTAGTAATAGAATATTGCCAGAATCAGGTATACGTGCACAGTTTTGTCGTTTCAAGCACCTCTGAGCAGTGGTGTATTAGGATCATTATCTCAGGTTTTGTTGGGCAATCAAGTCTCCGGTTCTGGTCAGATGGGTGTGCCACCGGTTTTGCCGTCAGATGCTGCGTCTGGATTGGCTTCGACGGACCTGAATATCTCTATGAGGGCATTACGTGAGTGAAAACAAACTTTATGTCATTACTTGTTTGACAATCCCCCTTATAACATCCAGAGGAGAATGATAATGCTCTTTTGGCAGTTAGGGCATCTGGTTCCAGTGTAGTGCCTGATGATCCTGTTGGTAGCAAAGGTGAGGCATTCCAGCACCTGTGGTCTATTTATGTGATATGAAAGGGTGCCAATATGAAGTTCCTCTGGCTGCTTTGCAACCCACAAATGTGGATGGACACTACCTGGTAAAAAAGTCAACTGCATTTACGCCAAACAAAGGTGATGGTCCTTATACCTGCTTTGTTGACTGATCATTACTTATTTATTCTCTCTCTATTCCAAAGATGGATTTTCTGTTGCACTTGGTCTGTTTGCGCCAGGCAGTGACAATGACCTTTGCGGAGCTCTGGACAGTTACACCAAATTTTTCTCTGGTCGAAGTCATACAATCGATTCTAAGGATGACGTATTGTTCAATCTCCTGAGCCGAGAATATGAGGAAGTATGCCAGAGATCCGTAAAGCTTGCAAAGTCTTTGCTGGCAGCAGGTCTAACGCGCAAACATGTTGAAGCTATGATATCGAATGAATCATAGGCATCGCAATATACAGTATACCACTGTATGTAGTTATTTAAAGGTTGAATACATATCTCAAGGCCCTTTAACTCTATTACCGATGGTCAATCCTGCAGATCAAGGACGTAGCCGCAGAGGGGATTTTCAAGGTTGGCCTGATGGCATTGGCGGAATACGCGGCTATGACAGCGCACGCACCGCTTAATATCTAGCCCTGCTTACAACCTCTTCCCGAGGGTCTGCACCTTCCTCGCCTCCATCCTCTTTTCCTCACGCATAAACCATACCTGTCTACTGTTACACAGAACACCCTTGGTATCAGGATGTGTTACAGTCTACGAGCACCACTGACACTCGGTCAAGAAACGACGCCTCTTCTAGTTCCGCATTAAATGACGTTCACTACTGAATCACCGTAAACGTCTCTCAACGAAACATTGTTGAGCTAGGCGTGCCGCGTGATTCCACGGTGGCTCGGATGGAGAGCAGGAGAGCATCAATACCAGGGCGGAGCAGCTGGGGAGGACAATTTGGAATGGAGGGAAGTACGGGCGTGGTTCAAGTGGATTGCGGGCCGTCGAGGACGATGTCACAGGAGGAAAGTGGTCTCTAAAGTATATGGTCCGCTCTGGATTCGGGCCTTGTCTTGAATGCTCATCGTAGTGGCCAACAGAGTCTAGGACACAGCGCATCGGTGCACAAGGGGAATCATAATTGGCGCGTCCTCTTAGGACAATAGTAAAAATGCAAGCTAAAGCGCTAGTCGGGTTTACCGGTCCGAAGGCGGCCACCTATGTAGGTGTGACGTATCACAATGACCTTAAAATTTTCTTTCTTTCTTTGTTATAAGAATTCAAAAATTTCCAGTGTAACAGCCAAAAGCCTCGTACTGCATCCCTAGTTCTGACTTTTGAGGAGAGGTCGACTACCTACCTCAAGGAAATCATTATCGAATCCTACACTGTACGCCATTACGAAGTCCAGTTACATGTCCTACAATTCATTTCGAGTATGATACAAAAGAGTGTACACACAGAGAGAAACAGCTAGATTGTCAGGGCCTGTCGCGCATTCCGCTCCTGCCAATCACTTGTTGAGTTGCCAAATACGTCGCACATCCGTTATCATCCCCCTCTTTGATACCATTTCCCCTATCCGTAGTTTACAGGAGTATATAAGTAGAGTACCTTATAATCGAGCCCCTCGCATGTTTGCGAGGGTTCCCTGCTAATCCCGGAGTCCCGCTTATCTGAGCTGAACAGCGTACTTCAACATCACTAACGACACGACAGCTCCGTCGCACCGAATCTTGCACGCTGGTTGAAGAGAAGAAGAAACTATTGAACCAGTCCAGATCACCTTCCCCTTCGTCATAGTCTTCGACGTCCCAGTCTTCAACCTCATCGCCGTCTCCTCCGAATACCATGTGGGGACTGATGCTCTCAGCATTGGAACCTCCCTCGCCTGAGGAGAGTTCTTGAGCGAGCCGAAAAACCCTCTGGACGACGGGGAAAGACGCTTTGACACCTATGACCCTGCGGATCGGCGCATAGAGCATCAACATCGTGCTCAAACGTATGGTTAGAAGACAAGGCTGACCTGCATCTCAGAACGATACAGCCCTTCAACTTTTTGCGCGATCACCCAAGACAGCCTAGTTATGGGACTCCCTACTTCGCAGTCGAACACAACCTGGTGGGGGAAAGGATCCGGAGCCCCGTCCTCGCTATGTGCTATAGGAATGTGATAGTCGCCAACTCGGTGTCCGCCGTCCAATGGAGCCTCCATGTCGGGATACTCCCCCTGGGAATAGGAGACAATGGGGAAATAGGTGACGCGGTAGGCTGTCCGATTCGATGTGGGAAAGACCACGGGGTCGACATCGATAGAGAGCATGATGGCAAAGTGGGCGGGAGATTTTGTGTTGACGCAATCCGAGGCGGAACTTGTATTGCTAGCTGTGTGTCGAATGGCAACTGTTGGATGGGAAGGTGTATGAGGGTGCCGGCGACGGAGTTGAATAGGTCGTGGATGCGGATCTGCTCTGTGGGAATGTCGAGGAAGGACATGGTGGTCTGGGACAGGTTTTGACGTTGTCGAGACGGGGCTAGTAACGTGGTTTCACCCGCCATGGTGGAGAAGTCTCACTTGATTAAGACCGTTAGCAAGGTGCGAGGCAACTGAAGATCTCTTGCTCGAGGTTGAGAAGATGGGACGTGCTGAACAGGGATATCGGGACTGGAATGCCTGCGTTCAAACAGCAACAAAACAAATGCATCTGAAAGGTTTCGTTTGAGGATCGACAGCAGGTCTGCCCTAGTGAAATCCCTCGGGGCTACTCCCATGCTTCACTAACCCCACAAATGCGACCTGTACGAGAGAGAGGCAGCGCGGCAAACTATCCGCGCCTTCGCAAGGAGCTGTCGTCTCCATGATGTTCGTTCCCCAATCACGGCCGCAAAGAAGAGAGAAGGGTAGAGCAATGCTGGAGTGTCACTGGGATTAGCTTGGTCTATTGCAAGAAAGTTATGTCAGAGCAACGCGGAGGGAAACCAAGCACATACCTTGGGCAGCCTATACCACGACTGTTGGATCCCTGGTATCCAGACATTGATCCTTCGCCACAGACCACGCATCAAATTGCTGCGAGAGCGCGTGCCACGGACGCAGAGGAGGAAGGCCAAGTTTTTGATCCCATAGAACGAGCCTTGGTGAGGGAGGCTAGCTGATATTGATATACACAGGACTGGTCGTCGAAAGCTAGTCGCACATCATCGACATCTTCCGTGTTTCAGTAGTCGATGATTCAAGAGAGAGATCACCCTTCCGTTAGGCCGGATTGCACTAAACATCAACGGACGAGAGTGGGATGATGGTAAGAAGCCAAGCTTGATCTCGTGCCATCATTTCTCGCATCATAGTCCAACGTCGACTCCGAGTCTTTGACCATTTACTCCAAGACACTGTAGCAAAATGCAGGTAGAGGAACCCCAGAGAGGAAATAAATCGCGCGGCGACGACGACAGGACGGCGCCTTCCTCAGACAACGACCATGTCAACGATTTCGCGTCTCACTCCCTACACCATCCTTCGCCTGTAGCGTGACCACCACCTCAACATCGAACAAGCAGGATGGGCGTCGTCTACTTGGTAGCATCGGTACGGGTGACGGAACGAAGCATCGAGGTCATAAGGAGGATGGAGTCTGGCGCGAGAGGCACGGTTCTACGAGCGTCAGGCTGCAAAGTAGCACCGTACCTCAGTGCTTTCGGTTTTTCACCACGCGCGTCGCCGTCGGAACTATATATCGAGGGAGGGAAATGGCGGGACAGTTTACCAGGTGACACATACAAGCATTGATTTGACTCTAACATTGGCGGTTACAAGGCTGGCTCTCCATGGAAAACTCTTCGTTGGCGCGCTCCTGAAGGAAAAGCTGGGGGAACAGTATTATCAAGATACGAGCGACACTTTGTTTGGATACGGTGGATAGGTAAGCCGGATTCTTCGTTATGACACCTGCCCACCAAACTTCAGGCCGTTTGCTCACGAAATGGTGTAGACGTGAATCCAACGCATCTCGCTTATTCCCCTGACCTGCCGCCTCTTATAGCTCGAAGGTGTTCAGATACACTCACTGGAGAAAAATATTCATTTACTTGGCGATCTGCACGCTCGCTGCCGCCGCTCCTAGTCATCTAGGAAATTCGAGCGATCTACCTACAACGTACGTTCACTGCTTCAAATTCCACTCTGGGTACGACCGAATATCATATGATAGGTCATCTTTTCCCCTGCGCTACAGGCTTGAATACCTAGCTATTCCAGCATCTCGGGCTGAGCAACAACAGTGGGAATGGGAATAATCTGGACCTGATAGTAAACTTATGGGACAACGGGGAACGACTTTCTGATCCACTCGGAATTTCGAATGGGCACGCATCTTTGTGCTCTGGCGTCTTCGTCAAGGAATTCTAGGCATTGCAATGGCCTATTATACGTTACGAAATTCGGACCGACCAGTCTTGGATCGATCTTCATCCCAGAGGACATTACGCGTTATACGAATGTCCGGTCGACATACTACAGCATGTAAAGATGCTTGGAATCTTTCTCGAGTCTCTCAGTTTCATCTCTACCCGTATCATCATCTGGTAAACTTTGCTTCTCGTGAGTCGCATCTCCTCTTCAACGACCTCTGCTCACAGTGTACCCTTACCAGATATACGATGTCTATTTCAGCTGTCCGTTATTGACCTGGCGGTTGGCAGCCCCTCGATCATCGAATCATCGAAAAGTGGCTCGCCGACCAAATTGCTTCCTGTCCTAGAGGATCTGAGCTATTCCAGCCCGTCATCAAAGATTTCCAAACACTGATCGAAGATGACCCCGAGCTCTACATGGCCTTCTGCCAGATGTTCCCCCTGCAACCTGTCGATCAAGATCCGCCGGAGGTTCCAACGGTATTTACCTGATTTTCCTGACCATTCAGCGACTTATCTGTTACTCTGTTCCTCTCGCAGGTTTGTGGTTACATGCAGATGTTGGAATTGTTCAACAAAGTCATCACCGAAGTCCCCTCCTTCAAAGTATACGATACCTTGATCGGCCTCCCAATCGCCGTCATCCTTGAGCGGCCTATGATGACACCCGCAGGCTTCATGGTGTTCCTCAACCCAAAGGTGAACGCACAGTTCAAGAAGATGTTCGACGTCTGGGCGGATCTTCTCACCTCGCCCCGAGCCGCGCAATGTCCTCAACGACAGCTCAGAGGGCTGGTTTAGCCTCTTTTAATTCGTAGTCATCGAACCGCCGTTTGATCTCCCTGGCTGCTTGAGCATTTCTCCAACCACAGCCAAAGTGTTCTTTGCCCCTGTACTCGTTTCAGAGACAGTCATTGCTTCACTCACGCCCTTCAAGGGCGTTCTTCCCATCCTTTTATCAGAGCTTTATGTCTCTGGGATGTTCTTCTATGCGTGCCTCCTTCTCATGACTCTCACAAATATCCTGGTCCCCTTATGGGCGCACATCACACTCGGTTTTCTCGTTTTTTTCCAGTGGGTCCTCCACTCTATCCTGAGCAGCCGCATCATGCTACTCATTCGCAAGCAGAAACGGATACGTCTCTACAGAAGAGCTGTACATGGATGATGTTGAACTATCTCATACCAATGTGCTGAAAACCATCAAAGATGCCAGTGCTGTAGAAAAACGCAGCCACGGTAGTGGATACTTGTACGCTTTCAGTCCGTCCTTATACCAGATAATCATGGCCCCCAATGCTCCTCTGCATCACATGCGGAACGTTTGTCTGCTACCTTTTGGCCCTGACAGTTTTACGTGGAACTGTGTAAGGGCAGGGAATATTGTGCAGTGTTAACGTAGCACGGCAATGGATCTCCGAGTCGTTTTGCAATAGCGATTTCTACTGCGCTACGCAGCCAAAGTGTGTTTGCGAGGCATGTGGTTCGTCATTTCAAGGTTTGATCAGGGACTCGGAGAAAATTACCCCGGCGTCACTGGATCCTGCTGCGGGCACGAAGAAAGTACGAGATCCGTGCTTGGAATCTGGTAGCTATCATTGACTTGTGTCTCTGTCTGCTCCGTTCTCGGGTGTAAGTCTTCCAGTTTGATTGACCTACAAACATGCTAGCAACTAACACTGTGAATCATCCAGGACGGCAAAGGTTTCTGTTCATCACTTTTTTACTCTTTTCTAGAAAGGCGGTAGCTTCTCGCATGTTAGTACCTTCGTTTTATGTATAAGTGAGCTGAGGGGAACTAATGTTTGCTGCTCACAACTTAGGACTGAAACATTGCGAACAGATACAGAAAATGAATGCTCCTCGGTTTGGAATGATAGCACCGAGCACCGGCAGGGAACTTCACGGTGAGCGAAAAATTTGTCCCACATTTTGACTACAACAAAAAGGCCTCGATGTTTTCAGTGGAATAATTCTCGAAAACTTCAGCCGTAATCATAAAACACATCCGTTCGCCGAACTATTCCGATTTGGTTTTCCTTGATCACCGCCCTGTAACCAAGAAATGCTGACGTTGAGGTTACAGGCCGTCGTCTGTAAACCATCTCAGGGCCACGGGTGCTAAAAGGACCGATACCCCGCTTGAGACCATATATTCCTCTTTCTCTCCTCTTCACGCTCTCGTCTCACTTGTATACATTGAATCAGAATTGAGAATCGACAGTGACCGGCGGGATTTATAGTGCTTCTGGCAGCAGGATGTCATTAACGGTGAGTAGCCCTACTTCCCTCATCCGCTCTATCCAGTTACTTTTCCTGACTTCCCTCCTTACAGGCATCCCCCACGTCCTACTCCTTCACCGCATGCGTGACTGTGATCCTCTATGACCTGCTCCTCTTCCTTCCTACTGAAATCGATTATGTCTGGCTTTCCCGACCCGTACATCCACTCTTATTGCTGTTCGCACTGAACCGCTACTTACCCTTGGTCGATATGGCGATAACCATCAACTGGCTCTTGCACGAGCCTGCTGCGACCCAGTGTCACCTCCTTGCCTTCATCATGGGCCCATTCGCGGTTATTGGGATTTTCACGTCACAGGTTATCCTCATGATCCGCACGTATGCGATATGGGACCGACACAGAGCGGTATTCTGGTGTTTTATTGGAACTGGAGTATTCTGTTTCCTACCGGGGGTAGTTTGCCTTGTTATACAGCTCAAGACGATGCAATGTAGGTTGCTTGTCATTCGTGCTTTTGAAGCTCGCAGAGAGCTGAGGGCTTTATTCGTAGTCATCGAAACGTCGTCCAACTACCCTGGCTGCTTCAGCGTCCCTTCAATCATGGCCAAGGCATTCTATATCCCTGTAGTTGTTTCAGAGACGATCATTGCTTCGCTCACATTCTTCAGGGGCATACAACACCTCCGCCGTTCTTCTCATCCTTTTCTCATCGAGTTTTATGTCTCCGGGATGTTCTTCTATGTGTGCCTCCTCTTCATGGCCCTTGCAAATATCCTTGTCTCCACGTGGACCGACAGCATCACACCCTTCCTTAGTTATTTTCAGCGTATCCTTCATTCCATCCTGACCAGCCGCATCATGCTCATCATTCTCAAGCAGAGACGAATACATCGACGCTATCTTGATGAAGAGCCGTACACAGCTGATGTTGAATTGTCTCATACCACCCCGTAAACTACATCCAAACGCGCTAAAATCATTCAAAGATACCAACTTAGTTTGACGAGATGTTTGCTCCTGACGGTCCTGGAAATGACGTGAAGAAAAGATGCTAGCGTAGGGAACAACATCCTATACACTGAGGGAAAAACACGGCCGACGGCAGAAACGTTTTGCGCCTGAATGGCAGCCAATTCAGGGACCGCCAATATTGATTGGAAAGATGGCGTCTTACGAGAACATCTCTGACGAATTGGATTCTATCGACAATGAGACCGGGTGCAAGAATGCATTCACCCAATTGAATACAGAAGGTCGCCGTCGACAGGTACGTTACACTGGATGACCTTCTTGTGGTGGCGGTGACTGTAGGTCAAATGAATTCAGACGCTGAGTAATCAGAAAAACTAAATAGCACCGGAGAGACGTAACGAGGTGCCTCATTCAAATTCCCTCGACCAAGTCCATTCAGCGGATTTTTATCACCGCTTCCAGGCGGCCCACTATGATTGCACCTATGACCAGTACTGTGGCTTATATCTAGGAGAAGGAAAAGAAATTCCGCGTAACAGATGAATTTGTTCATTGTCAGGACTCGGTAAATCAAATGAAAGGATCGCAAATAGAATGACACCGTTGGCCTAGCGCACTGTGTACTCGAGGATACGAAGAGCATAGAAGTCAGTAGAAGCACCCATGACTTCGTTCCTCCGAGCCGGACACCGAGGGCTTGCGCGACGCGTCAGTGCGGCAGAGTCCTGATCGCGGCCTTTGAAATTTCTGGAAATGTTAACGCTTCGACGACAACCCTTATCAGTTCTCTGATTCTGTACGTCAGAAGGAAGAGAGTTAGTTTAATTGCATGTTGTACGAAGCACTCCGCTCATCTATAAATAAACAGACGAAGCTCTGGCCAGTGGATCTGGGATGCTCATTTAATGTTGTACCTAGTGATTGATCCAGGGTCATCACTGAAATCCGCGCCGACCTTTTCTGGGCGCGTTCTGCTTAGTTATAGGGCTTCATGCTCCCATGCTACGTGACAGTCCGCCGCATTTTGAGCGTAGACACTTTAGAGCTACTTAAACATACAACGGCGGGAATATTTCGCCTCTGTACTCCCCAATGCCCACGTTATCTAGTACTCCGGTGGAAGAGGCGAGTACAGCACCCTCAGATCCATACAAGATGTCAGTGACGCTTTCGTGCTCTCAGACTAGTCTCTGTCCTAATTTTAGTACCTCTGAATAACTAGTACAAGCAAAATTTCCGACTGTAAGATGTATATTAATTTTGTTATATCACCACCTTGAAGAGGAATCCGCTGGAAATTTCAGTATTTCGGCTGGCGCTCACTCCTCCCGAAGGTCCATCTCCAAGTTCGTCTCCTCGAGAGATTCTTGATGTGAACTTGGCTCAGGAGGGGGATCGGTGGAGCCCACATCTGGATAATTTTCCTATATAAACTGCCTGTGAGCCATAGATCACAGCCTCAGCGTTGCTTTACGTACCTGGATGTTCTCCCACAAAGGCTTCAAGAGATTCTCATGCATCATCTGTACAAATTTCATGAACCGAGTTGCGCTCTTGAACCCCGTGTCCTCAATCTTGTCGAACTGGGAAAGAAATGCCACATGTTCATCAAGAAAATAGGCAGAGTTGAAGCCCCATGAGACCTAGTAATTATGAGATTCAATAGTCAAAGAAAAAGATTGAGCACGAACGACTTGATTCGCTTGATCCATAGAACCATGCCTCCAGCTGATTGATGTACAGACATTAGGAACTGTCAATGCTAGAGAATCGGGAACTTTGCCACGCATTATCTGTACGACAAAGTCGAACTCGAGTGGTTCGATGGAATATGGAAGGTATCTTGAGCATTTAGTTGCATCTTTTGACAATTTGAGTTTGTTCGTTGACGTCTTGTGCTCGGGGGTAACGTTAAATCCAACAAATGACAGCAGGGTATGGCAAATGGCAGTGACAAGCTGTTCGCGTCGGTGCAGTATGGCATTTGAATTCTCTGCTGTGTCTCCTGGATATGGCTCTGGGAGTTCAACCTCGCTCTGAAGACGTCTCATAAATTCAAAGACACCAATCGTTTTCGAGGCTGTAACGTGGAATACAGGTTAATAGACCTCACTCCCAAGGAGAGTACTTATTTTGTTTTCTTGCAAAGCCAGTGGTAGATCAAGGAGATGACCAACGACATCCCACTGGCTGGGATCAGGCAAGGAAGGATAAAACCTTCGTATGCCTTTGACGAGGTGATGATCCGCCCCGACGGCAGAACAGACTCGAATCCAAAGCAAGAGTTGGTTGTCCCATTCCTCAGGAGGAGCATCCCTTCCGAACACTGTACAATATGCATTCCGCACGGCATTGATTGCACAGTCGGGTGGGGGTGGTGCGAGGACAGCGAGAATGAAGAAGGGATTAGAAGCAAGGTCATGCATTAGGTAACCTAAACCAACAATAAGTTCGGGAGATTTGGCAGGGTTTTATGGATTGTTGATTGACGAGGAAGTACGGATCAAGGTGCTTGTCTCAAATAGGCGGGTGGCAGTTAGGAACCATGGTGGCTGTGCGACCCACTCTGCCCTCAACAACGTCGATAATGGTCTTCCGCCATGACATCATCTCCAGGGACGGGACCTCGGACGAGCAAACGCATTTCAAGATTGGAATATGCCTGCCAGGGTGACACGACAAGGACCATTTTCGTTTGCAGACAATCCAGAGCGATAGAGTACTTGTGCGATGGAATCTTTGTTCGATATGGGGCGACGTCTTCTTTGGTATGGTGTAGGTTTCTTGGTACGTTATCAAGAATAGCTACTTTTTGTCTTCTAATCCAGCTGTACAGCTTCCACGATATATATGATCATCAGACGAGCAACCTTTGCCCTATGGCCACCTTCAGCTTTTAAACCCTTCTTTGATCTCCCCTTTTCCGATGACTCTCAAAGCCTTTCCGCAGACTACCATATATCTGGCGTAGCAAGGGCCCATACACTACAGAAATACGACAGCGATGCGTGATCCCTAGCCTATGTCCGTGTTGTATCCCAGCGCTATTCTCGTCCCGGATGCCGCCTCGTAGCGATGATCCTGAGTGTTTGGGTTCGTCATACCAGACCAAGAGCATGGTAGGCCTAGAGGGAGAACACAAACGAGCATCCATTTCCGTGCAGGCGTCCCATTTCCCTGCTATCGAACGTGAACGAGCGTGGGCTTTCCGGAACAGGACTGGTTCCGTGGTTTAGCAAGAGCATATTTGTGCGTTGTACTTTCCCTTTTCCTCTGTGCTGATCGCCACAATTGCCGAGACCTTCGTCCATCCAATGACGGCGGGCGAAACACCTTGATCTGAATCAACCATCAGAGATGCCTCCTGTTACTCCTTTGTTCAATCTCGCCGTCATTGCGCCCTCCTCCTTCTCGCCCTCCAATGCGATTGAAACCGTGCAGAGAGCATACCGCGCGGTATTTGGACGAGACGTCCTTGCCGAGGACAGTGAAAACCATCTCCTGCTTTGGACCCAAATCTGTTCTTCCCCTGGGGTACCCGATAGCGTCGTCGAAGAAATACGAGAGGTCCTACCGTACCTGCCTGATATAACCTGGCGAAGTGTCGCCCGAGTCGTAGGCCTTGACCCCTCACAAGGAAACGAACAGCTACCAGTAAAACCTACGCAAACGCTGTACCTTTCTGATAAGTTTGTCGACGAGCTTCTGTATAACGCTCGTTGGATAAAATACCGACACAAGAAGCGAAAGTATGTCCAACTCGGTTCATTTGTGAGTGTTATCTCTCTTCAGCACTGCCTGTTTATGACTAGTGTGGTGAAGGCCGTCAAAGCAGTACTGGACCAGATGTACTTCGCCCGTGAGGTTTTTGTGGATGAATCTTGTTCCGAATTCGAGGTGAAGATCGTACGCAATGCTGCCCTCCTCATGATGGAATCCGAGCGATGGCCTAACCAAACGCAAATACTTGCTCAGGCCATTGCTGAGGTGACATGTATGCTCCTTTTCAACGTCCAAAGTCCCGCTCTAATCTCATTCAGGCCTGGCGGTGTCGAATAGTCGTCTAGGATATTCATTCCCAATCCACATCGTCATCACGGACCTCTACGAGACGACATTTTATACTTACGATCGTAAGCAGCACTCCAGTTTCTCCAAGCCGATCTCATATCCCCTGCCAGCTTCCGCAAAAAGGTTTTACATCCGAGGACACTTTAGCGTCGAACGTTTTGGCTCCGAGGGTGATATCAATAGAGACCCAACGGAAGTCCAGGAATTGCTGCTTACACGAATGACTGCTGTCCGTCCGTCTACTTGTTTTCTTCTGCCTTCTTGTTTCTTATATTGACTCGGGCCCTAGTCGCACGGGAGTTGTTCTCTTTGTTAATGGAAGGATATCACGACTACGTCCAGGCAAAGATATCCCTTTGCCCTGATACAGAGACAGAAGCATCCAAACGGGCGCTCGAACTAATCGAGGAAGGCCGAACACTCCTGTCAAATCAAAATGGAACACAGGAGGAGCGACAGAACGGCCTAGAAAAACTGAGAACGAGGTGTGCTGAACCTTGAACGTCTGTGGAGAATTTTACTGATTAGCCCCAGTCCAGTGTTCTCGTGTTACCATGGGGAAGCGGAGTGTTCACCGAGGAGGAACTGTGCGCGCTTCAAGAAGAGGTTAGGAGTAGTGCGCGCAATTATGTCTTTTACATGAGTGTACCGTCAGCGCTAGGATGAGCACAAGTCCCAGCAGAAGTAGGTGTTAATAACAAGATAATAAGAATATTTCGTTCGTTGGCTGTCATCAACGAAAAGGCTATGTGTAGGCAGTATGTCTATATACAAGCTCAAAAAGCCGTACCAAAAATGCAAAGCCCCTTCCTCTATTCCTGGGCCTGATTCATCATCGCTTGCTTTGACAGTGGGTATGCTGTACCACGAACGATGAACTGGCCTCTGTGGTAACAGGCATGATTACTCGAAGGGCAGAGCATGTCTTCCCTGACGGCGCATAAAACGTTGTTGAAGTGCATATGGGTGGACGAAACCTGCCCTGGTCCGCGGCCTTTGCTGATGGAATCATATCACTACTAAGTACCTCTCATCTGGATAATCGTCACGGTTTGTATCCTGTAGTACAACGCCAACAAGCGAGTCTATTCCGTGAAGAGCTAGCCTCCATCATTAGGGCGCTTGTACTATATACGTCGCCTCTGCCGTTTCTCTTCCTCGATACGTGGTTCCGTCGGCGCAAAACCAAGACTCCGGCTTTGCGCCGATGCTACATCTGCCACATAAGACAATGCCAATCCTGCCTTGTTCATATGGGTCGTGGTGATGGAGAGGATGTCCTTTGGTGTGATCCGGTCAAAATCATATGTGCTAGTATTCCAGGTAGTAAGATACATCTACTGCTGAATGTCAGACATCCTGCGCCGTGGAGCCGGTGTCCCTCTTTCTAGTCTGTTCCTCTTCTCCGTCGTGCGGGGCTGTCTTGGTGTACTGTTCGTGCGACTTTTGATCGGTGCATACATCTGGAGCTTTTTCCTATATAAACCGTCTGTGAGCCATTGATCACAGTCTAGTTGGCATTCCTCCACGCACCCGGATATTCTCCCACAACGGACCCAACAGAATCTCCTGCATTATCTGCACAAAATCCACGTAGCTAGATGAGCTCTCGAATCCCACGTCTTCAATCCTGTCGAACTGGCCCGAGGACGGGAACACCGTAGGTTCGTTGAAAAAATCAACAAAGTTGATGACACAGCAGACCTACTAGATTTAGCAGGAAGAAACAGAACCTTCACTAAGTGAACGTACAGGATGGGTTCGGCTCTTGACACTGGCATGCTTCCACCTTATCGAGACGAGGACATCGGGGTCGTCTGGGTCTGGAAAATCGGTAATCTGCACGGTGAGAGTGAACCACCACGATGAGTCAATGGAATAGGAGAGGATCCTGGTGGGTTGAGCGGTCTCTTTTGAAAGCGCAAGTTTGTTCGTTGTCGGGTTCTTGTGTCTAGATGCAAGCTCGAAACCGACAAATGATAGTAGGGTATGGCAGATGGCGGTTACGAGTTGTTCACGCCTGTGCAGCACCGACTTATCTCCTGTGCTCAGCTCTGGTCCGGGAAGTTCAGCTGAGCTCTGAAGGTGGTTCATAAATTCGAGAGTATCGATCGATTTGTAGGCTGTAACGTTCTATAAAGGGGATCAATAGAAAACCCTTCCAAGGAAAAGTTACTCACTGTTCGCAAAGCCAAAGGAAGGTCAAGAAGATGACCAACGACGTTGAACCGGCTGAGATCAGGCAAGGCAGGAAAGAACCGTTTTATCGTTCTGACGAGGTCATGATCCACCCCTACGGCAGAGCAGATTTTGATCCAGAGTAGGATTTGGTCGTCCCGCTCGTCGGGAGGGGGGTCTCTTCCAAAGACTGCACGATAGGCTCTCCGTAAGGTGTTGGTCGCATAGCCGGACGAGGATGACATGGTAAGAGTGAACAAAGGCTCCGAGTCGGACATTTAGGTAGGGCCGGTGTAGAAGTCACAAGGTACAAAGAGTAGCAACAAGTCTAAGAGAGCTAACAGATAATGGTTTTTGAGTACGAGCACTTTTGAACGATGGACGTTTGAGACAGTCTCGCCACAAAATCTTACCGTCATATGTCGTCATCAGAGACAGCGTGTAGAAATAGGGGGATCGGCCTGAATCGAAGATTTGATATTGGAGATAGATAGATAGATAACCGGTCGAGGTCCCAAAAAGGAACGCCGGGGCTCTGTGCCGACACAAAACGTGTCACAGACTACACTCCCTCATGCCGCTGTGATATCCTCAGTTGCCAGCCAAGAACGTCTCACGGATTTGAAAGAAATGCAGGGACAAGTGAACGCAATATCATAGGGAACAACGAGAATACCACATGTACTATGTGAACCACAAATGTGGAACGACTGAGAGCAGATGATGGGAGAAGCTGAAAGGCAAACCGTCCCGGCTAGTATCAAATTGTATTGTTGGTTTACATGCACTGTTTAGCGTCTTAGTAATCAGGAGAAGGACAGACATTGGAACGGGCAAGACAATTGCAGTGCGGGAATGGTACCTGCGCCGTATACGAGAGACTAGAGTGCATTGGACCTCGTCGTGGACGATAAGGACCGGTGGTAGCATATGGAAAGCGTAGAGCACCGTGATTTCTCTACGTGGCTTGTCAGAAGGCTATGGTGGTCCAGTAATGTGATGCATGTGCGAATAGGTCAACCTTGCGAACGACGAAGATAGCCGTACTCAAGAGCAGACGGCTATACGCGCCATGGCAGGGTCTTTGTACAAACGTCTGCCAGTAACGGAGCGATATCACGACAGGGTCATTGTACGAACCCCCGCCGAAGAAAACACGCAGTGACAGGGTCTTTGTACGAACCCCTGCCAGCAACAGAGCAATATCACGACGGGGTCATTATACGAACCCCCGCCGAAGAAACACAGAAGAAGAAACAGACGTGGCGAAGAGAGACTTTGAGTAGGAGGGAAAGGAACAGCGAAAACATCGAAATTCGAGGGTGTTAGAATGGTGAGAAAGAAAGTTGAGTAAGTCAGAGAGAAGTGACTGAAAATGCGCAAAGTCCTACCATCGAGGACATGATGGCAAGTACACAGATGTTCTCCAGACTTGGTGGACCACCAGTAGTGCAACATCGGAATAAACACGCTGTGATCTCTCCAAGAAAACAAGAAAGCCCCTCCAACATCGCGGCTCGCCTACAGGCCGGGATGAGAAAAGAGCACGAGAAGAAAGTTGAAGCATAAACGCACTAGGGCTTGTAGCACAGTGCCCTCTCTCCTTCTAGATGGGGGAGAATCGACCGTAGTGGTAAAAAAGCGAGTTGCATGATCCATTGGAAAAGAGAGAAGGTTGGAAGGATTATGCATTTATGCGTTTATGGCTGACGAACAAAACGGACAGATACTTGTGTGGTCGCTTCCCTCACATCCCGACTGAGGGGTGGCTAGGTGACGGAGGGTCTTGGCAATGGCATCTACACTCGCCACAAAGTTATGCTAACTCTCTCCCTGTGACAAAAGTCTCCTCCAAGACCAGAAAAAACGGCACAAGAAAAGGGCTGCTCGTCTGTACAATCGAATTAGAACTTGAAGAGAAAAAAAGCAGATACTAGCATGGGATATGCAACAAGAAACTCGCGCGATGCGTGTCAAACAAGTCCACACCGGCCTAAAGGCAACGGATTTTCCATCGGGAAATGCTCCATCTTGTCAGACCGCGTCTCTTCATTCCTTGGCCGAGGACGGACAAGGCGCGACACTCGCAAATGTCTGGTGCGACACGACAAGAAATCTTGCTGCCGCTGAGGCATCCATTGACGCTTAGTAACCACCCTGCGCTCACCGCAGTTCCTCGACACACAAGGTAATCCTAACGTTACTGAGGGCCGTGGGCCATGTCATGGTGAGATGGGAGTTGAGGATGCACAGCCACAATTCTCTTCTGCCTGTTATACCACCACCACTTGAAGCTTGCCATGATAAATGTTCTGGATTCTTCACGAAATCTCCTTCGTTGTCTGCATCTGATGCTATCTTCTGGTTATGGAAGACCAGATCTCGCTTTACATCCTTCTCCCGCTCAAGTCGTGTAAATGTAAATCCTCGTTGTCCAACATATAGGTCTCGACGTGCATTACAACAAGCCCTCTGACTGTCAAAAGGCCTTCCACCCAGCCTGCCACGGTTTCTCCCTTGATCACAAACAAATGTCAGCTCGCCAGCTACTCCTTCCATCTTCGGCGCACCCCGCGAATCGAGTCCTCGTAAGGGACGGTATTGGAAAGCAAGAAGAGGCTCTTGGATCTCAATTTGGAGGTCCAGGCCAAGGCAATGGGGAAATCACGCTTCTCGCTCCTTGAGTTGGGTTTGCTGGCATCGGTCTGATGGGATATGTGTAGAGCGTACATAAACATATAAAAGCTGTATTTTTTCCCCTCTTGTGTGTGAAAGAGCAAGAGATATCTTCCCAAATGATTGATTTGTCCCGCTACTAAACTTATATTACCTGTCGAAGCGAAAAGAATATGACATCATTGGTATCCGTCTAGATGTGCTTCTCATAGAGGATGAACCTTGGGCTTGATCAATCTCGTAGTTGAGCATCAAGGGAATCTTTGTTAGATGCAAATATACACAGATTGTTTAACATCTACTGCTATATCCTATTAATTATCACCTCGGGGAGGATCGGGGTTGCCAGGTCAGGCAGCCCCCTCGTGTTCGAGGCGATCGGCTCGGGTGACCGGTTCAACATACTCGTCGTGAAACTTGTACCCTTCTTCATCTTGCTGGAGTACTTCCTCTTCTGAGAAGATCTTGCTGTCCCATATCGGTAACCGGACACTGGTGCAATCTATTAGCAATTAGTGAAGCTTATGAGGTTCGGCCTACCTCGCGTGCAATTTTTCCATACCACGGGCTCGCTGCTCCTGTGTGGAGTCTGGGTTTGACAATAACATTTTGGCCTCCTCGACGAGTTCGAGGGATCGTTCGTACAGCTTCTTAGAATGAGGGTCGTCTCCGGGGTCAGCGGAGCCGACCTCCCTATAGTTGTTCTACGTAGACTGGCTGTAAGCGCAAATCAGTTTCCACATTAGTTTACATACATGGATGTTCTGCCACAATGGCTGCAATAGAGTCTGCTGCATCATGTGTACAAACTCTTTGTACAGAGCTGGGTTGTGAAACCCACTGTCCTCCACCTTGTGGAACTTGGAAGGAAACAGCATATGCTCGTTGAGAAAATGAGCAAAGTCGAAGCTCCATACGACCTAGTACTAGATATAGTAAAAAAGAACTTCAAGATGAAAATTATTAACACATACAGTTCGGTAAGCCCGTGTCGCTCGGGCCACTAAACTATTCTTCCAGCGTATTGATACGAGGACATTGGGATCATTCTCCTCGGGATCAGGAGCGCTCGCTTCAGATTCGCTAGAATCAGGAACTCTACGAATAATCCGTACGCAAAGTCTGAATTGTAGTGGCTTGATGGAATAAGTAAGGTGCCGAGTCGCGCGTTGAGATCTATCCTGGGAAAGTTGAAGTTTCTTCTTTGATGTGAGGTGTTTTGGGGCTATGATAAACCCGACGTGCGATAGGAGGGCGTGGCAGATTGCTGTCATGTGCTGTTCACACCGGTGCATCTGATTCGTTGCTTCTGCTGTCGAGTCTTCTTCAACTTCGATAGGTCCTGGAAGCTCTGCATTGGCGCGAAGAATCTTCGTGAATTCATTGTCCTGGAGGGCATGAATTATTTTTGACGTTGCAATGGGCTATAAATGTGATACAAGTTAACGGAAGGCATTTGAATCTGAGGTATTTACCTTTTTCAGAGTTGCTGGTAGCGCTAACTGGTTCAATTCTTCCTTGATGTATTCAGTATATCCCTCCACCACCACGGAAAAGAGCGACCGTGTCACTGTATACGAGCCATCAAGATAAGAAGTGCTACAACAAAGGGGGTCTTACAAACAGGGACCATTCGAAGGAACGCTTGTATGTCTTCTATATCATCAGTATGCGCGAAATCTGCACATTGGAGATTTGTTTGTATGTTTAATGTTTCTGTCGATGCTTTACAATATAAGACAGGCTTAGACACAATGATGCAGTTGAGAATTTTGATTACTCATGGTCCCATGTATACACCGCTGTTTCTTCGAGGTCGGTAGTGATGGCGTGGATAGGAAATGTGTATCCTAGGAAGCGATTGTATTGTTCTACACCTAAAGAAGATCATAAAGTCACATAGAGATTTGTTCATACTAAAGGGAAACATACAAGTAACCTCAGCCACCGCCTGGGCGAGGACCTTATGATTGGGATCCCCCCTTATAAGCTTCTTGAATTCTGCGACGAAGATGATAATTTTATTCTTGATCCTTAACTCGACTTCGACAGATCCGCCGGATGACGTGTTGCTAGCAGGCAAACGCTCCTCTGATGTGTCGCGAATAACACCCCCAAACACTTTCAGGATTGCCCTAATAATCTTTCCAGGCATCCCGGTCAGAGGCAGACATGCATATGATAGAAATTTTACTCACAAAAGATGCTAATTGTATATGTTGTCTTTCATTTTTGTGCTCTGTAGGATGGCCGTATGCCAGGAGAGAGGTCCTTGCATCATCAAGCAAAGTTTTGATGAAGCTGTGTGGTAGGTAGAGGTTTTGGATGGGTTTTCCTGAAAATTGTTCATTGCCACGTAAAGGGTCTAAATTGAGTTCCTTAGTGACGTCTTCCCAAGTGACCTTGGATAAGGATGGCAAAGCCTCCCGTAGTTCATCGATGAGCTGCCCATTTATGCCAAGGCCCTTACAAGAACATCTCCACATGAAGTAGGTGTTGTCTTTATCCTGTGCGGGAGGTTCTTTCCCACAAGCGATGACATAGATTCTTCGCAGCTTTTCGTTCTGAGCGGCATCGACTTCAGCTTGTGTTGGTGCCATGACAGCGACAGTGAAAAAGCAAGGAAGCGGAGTCACACATCACGAAGCCTGTCACACCAGTGGTAAGTTTGAGAGCTAGCAGCTGAAGAATTTAAGTAGTTTGAGGACTCGAATTTCCGCACTCTTGAGAATGGTGATCGTACTTGACAACATCCGGATCAAAGTTGTAGCTTATATGTTTGATGGCCGCAACAACATGCCGTCATATGTCGTCATAGGAGACAATATAAGGAAAAGGTGATCGGCCGGAACGTCGGCAAAGTCTGATCTGTAGAATACAGATGCGCATCGGCAGCACCATTGTCCTGTACTATGAGGCTCGGAACATTCCAATTTTGATCAGTAGAACACTTTGCTTTATTCCATGTTAGATTTTTTCATCTCTTATCGCAAATATGCAAAGACCGAATCTGAATGGAAAGATAACAATTTCTCTATGTAGTATGTACTAGGTTCTACGAACGCTCTTGGCTACTAGTAACAAATTAAAACTCAGTAGAGTCAGCCATGGATAGAGTCTTAGGTAAAAATCATATCCTGCCGTATACATTTAATTCAAAGTCGTGAGGACGACCTGGCTGACTGTTGTTCGAGTGTAGCTTCCTCTCTTGACACCACACTTCCAACCCATCAATACAACGGTATTGGGAACGTCTGGGTCTGGAAAATCGGTAATCTGCACGGCAAAAGTGAACCGCCACGACTCGTCCTAATCGATAGAATAGGAGAAGATCCTGGGGGGTCTGGTGGTCTCTTTTGAACTGAGCGCAAGTTTGTTCGTTGTCGGGGTCTTGTGTTTAGACGCAAGCTCGAACCCGACAAATGATAGTAGGGTATGGCAAATGGCAGTTACGTGCTATTCACGCCGGTGCAGTACCGACTTATCTCCTGTGCTCGGCTCTAGCCCTGGGAGTTCAGCTGTGTAGGTAGCACATATTTTATGTTACGTGATTAGCAACGCAATTGTCAGGAACCAGTTCATAGAATATTTGGTTTTTCTCCATAGTCAATGGATTGGTGGTATGCGTAGGGGATGTATTTGATTGTCCATACAGAAGCTGTACCAAAAATGTGAACACCCCCGCTGCTTCCATCCATGACGCGTAGTCCAGCATCGTTTGCAAACGAAAGGGAGAGAAAGTGTGCACCTCTCATCTGTTACGGTTTGCATTCTGGTGGTATAACACTTTCAGGCCAATGACCCCGTTTATTCCATGACGAGCTAGCCTCCGTCGTTGTATGTGTCGTCCGGTGAACTGTCCCCGCCGTTGTTCTTCCTCGTCAGCGTAGAACCACGCTTCTAGTGCCAGACTCTGGTTTCGCAACCAATGCTACATGTACCACATGAGACAATGCCAATCCTGTCTTGTTGACTAGCTTGGCAGATGGGTCGTAGCGATGGACAGGACGGTGCGGTGTGATCCGCTGGTCAAAATCAAATGTGTGCTACTAGTATCGAGTAAAATTCCAGGCGGTAGGATACATCTAGGCTACTACTCAATGTCAGACATCCTCCGGGTGCATCGTGGAGCCTGTGCCCCTCTCTCGCAACGTTCTGGTTTGCTCCTGTAGGTCTGTCTGGGTGGATTGTTCGTGCGAGCTGTGCTCAGCAGGGGGATCCACATCCTGAGCCTTTTCCTGTATAAATTGCCTGTGAGCCATTGATCATAGTCCAGTTGGCATTCCTCCACGCACCCGGATATTCTCCCACAAAGGCCCCAGCAAACTCTCCTGCATCATCCGTACAAACCCCACGTACTCCGCTGAGCTCTCGAATCCCACGTCTTCAATCCTGTCGAACTGGCCCGAGGGCGGGAACGCCGTAGGTTCGTTGAAAAAATCAACAAAGTTGATGACACAGCAGACCTACTAGATTTAGCAAGAAGAAACAGAACCTTCACTAAGTGAACGTACAGGATGGGTTCGGCTCTTGACACTGGCATGCTTCCACCTTATCGAGACGAGGACATCGGGGTCGTCTGGGTCTGGAAAATCGGTAATCTGCACGGTGAGAGTGAACCACCACGACGAGTCGATGGAATAGGAGAGGATCCTGGTGGGTTGAGCGGTCTCTTTTGAAAGTGCGAGTTTGTTCGTCGTCGGGGTCTTGTGTCTAGACGCAAGCTCGAAACCGACGAATGATAGTAGGGTATGGCAGATGGCGGTTACGTGCTGTTCACGCCTGTGCAGCACCGACTTATCTCCTGTGCTCGGCTCTGGTCCGGGAAGTTCGGCTGAGCTCTGAAGGCGTCTCATAAATTCGAGGGCATCAATCGATTTGTAGGCTGTAACGTTCTGTAAAAGGCAATGAACAGCCTGAAAAACTATCCAGACTCGGGGAGCGTACTCACGTGTCGCAAAGCCAATGGAAGGTCAAGAAGATGACCAACGACATTCAACTGGCTGAGATCAGGCAAGGCAGGAAAGAACCGTTTTATCGTTCTGACGAGGTCATGATCCACCCCTACGGCAGAGCAGATTTTGATCCAGAGTAGGATTTGGTCGTCCCGCTCGTCGGGAGGGGGGTCTCTTCCAAAGACTGCACGATAGGCTCTCCGTAAGGTGTTGGTCGCATAGCCGGACGAGGATGACATTATAAGAGTGAACAAAGGCCCCGAGTCAGACATTTAGGTAGGGCGGCAATTGGGGACAGTGAAAAAAGGAAACTTGAAGGAGCAGAGCCGCGTCACGAAGGTTTTTTCACGCTCCTGTACCTGGCGACAAGTCTAATAGCTGATGATTTTGGGGTGGTTGAGCACTTTTGAACGATGGACGTTTGTGCTTTGAAGACAGTCTCACGTTTGATACAGTAGCCGCAATATTACGCCGTCATATGTCGTCATCGGAGATAACATGTTGAAGTTGAAATAGGGGGATCGGCCTGAAGGGTCGAAGAAGATTTGATATCGGAGAAGAGGCTAAAATGCGTAATACCATTGAGGACATGCTGGTAAGTTTCGAGAGTCTTGGTAGACATTCGGTAATGCAACATCGGAATAAACACGCTGTGATCTCTCCAAGAAAGCCCTCCAACATCGCCTGCAGGTGAGCATGAGAAAACGATGCAAGAAAAGGGAAGCATAACGCACTCAACACGGCGCGCGCATTTGGATGAGTAGGGAAACCTGAACATCCCCCCTCATTGGTACTAAGGACCAGAAGCACCCCTCTCTCCTTCATGGTTAGAGAAGTCGATGGAAGGAAATAACTGTGTATTGGTCGATCGACGGAGTTCGGCCACATAGAACGCACAAATCAAACGCCATGCGCCGAGAGGCATGAAGAGTTTGCTGCTAGCAAAAATATAGAAGAGGAGATACGTAGAGGGCACAAGGGCTAGGTAGATGACCGCTAATACTTCATCCAGCAGCCCTAGTGAGAGATTGACAAAAATTTGCCCGAAGAGATGCGTATAGTCAGATAATCTGGATACGCAGCAACAAACTCGCGTGACGCCAAAGAAGACATGCCTAACATTCATTCGTGCTGCAAATATTGTCTTGTCCGTCCAAAGTTCCCGTGATTCTATATCCCCTCGGGCATGTAGTTGTTGAGGTGGTAAGAAGCGAGTCGACGGACCACCGACCCTTCCCACGACCTCGTTCAGGAACGCTGCATAAGTGAAAGGTTGGGGAAGGCGTCGGTACCCTCTCTCCTTCTAGATGAGGAGAATCGATGGTAAAGAAGTGAGATTGGGAAAGGAAGGATTATGCGTTTATGGCTGACGAACAAAGCGCAGACAGATACTTGTGTGGTCGTTCCCCGAGTCATGGGTGACGGAGGATTTTGGCAATGACATCTACATTCGCTAGCTACCCTACACGATCATGAGAGGGCAGTCCAAGAAAAGGAAAGCGTGCATCCCGACATGCGCACGCCAGTGGGGGAAAATGCCATTGGAAGACGTTGGCTTGAACGTCCTCCCCCGCTAAGTTCCGGAAACGGGCGCTAGATCTCTCTTTCTCCCACACGCCAGGAGAAGCGCGTTGGGGGGGTAAGGGAAAGAAAAGATTGTTCGCATTGGTTGGTGGATGGAGTGAGGTTGTTGTTCGCCAGAATACGTATGTAGCTTCTGCCTCATTCCTTTGAGCCGATTTCGCATGGTAAGCGACAGAAAATTTGCCCGAAGAGAAGGGCTGTTCGTCTGTACAGTCGAATTAGAAAAGTGCAGATACTACGCACCAAGAAACTCACATATGCAACGCGTGTCAAAGAAGACGTATGGCCTCACACTGACATAGAGGGTAACGACCACTCTATAGCGAAGGGCTCCATCTCATCCTTTCATTCGTGAGCGCAGGGGTCGTTACGAATCGCCTGGATTGCATTATGTAGCGTCAGCAAGAGGATATGTCGTGTCGCATCAGACATACCCAAATATACGCATCTGTTTGAGGTGCTGTGGTTCCATATCCTTGTTTTGGGTGTCATTGTCGACGTTGTTGAGGGTGCGTAGTCGCACAGAGGTCGTGATGGTGGTGGTGGTGTTACCGGCGTCAGGTCCCAATAAGGAACAGCCGGGTCCACAGCTCTGACATGTCGAACCATGCGCTGTGGCTGCGAAGGCTCAATATACCGTTGTAACCACACTATTGAGTGCGTCTCGCGGGGTAGAGGTGAGAAGGGAGTTGAAGGTGCACAGCCACCATTCTCTTCTGCCTCTGACTTATTTCGGCAACCTCGGCATAATTCGGGCCTTGATGCCTTTTCCATCCGCCTGTTTTCAATAGTTCTTCGTCTTTTTAAATTTCTGAAAATCTTGTGTCGCTCAACCATTATTCATATTATCGTGTTTTAACAGCTACGACTTCGACTCTCAGTACTCAGTACTCAGCACCCAACTTTAGGCTTCAGAATTCTGTTACCGCCGGTTTTTTTTTCGCTTCGCCGTCATTCTCCTTGTTCAGCCTTCTCCTTCAGAGTCTCATTGTGCATCGTTCGCTCTCTTTCCTATTATCCCGCTACTATACCCACTTACATGCTCTCAGGGCTTGCCAATACTGTGTTGTACGGCATCTTACATTTGGTATTTGTCCTCCAAAGTTTCGTCCGCCGTTCTTGCTGAGTCGGTCTGTTGCCTTCCTTCTAGCGCATGCTACTGCGAGTACATTCTTATCACTCTGAAGATGCTCTCTTTTTGAACAAAGCTTTATCCTGCCAGAAGCAGCTGTTAATGTCGCCGCCGATACAGTCATCCGTCTCATCTAACATCCATTTATCGAATGCATCGTCTGAGAACTATCTCTCGAAATGTATGTTGTATGGGTCTCCAAGACCGTCAATCAGACATGCTGTTGGAGGAGGATATAGTTATCCCTCCTAAGTCGCGTTGTGAGTCTTTTGTGCATTTATGACGTGTGTTTAACTTATGCCAGCATATTGTTCACCAATAACAGAACTTTCCTAGCAATTATTGATTGTCCCTTGAATGGTGATGACCATTTCTTTAAGCTGGATTTCTTCATTGTCCCTTTGGCACCCGAAAAGTCTATCCGCTTCATCGATCTGTGCTCCATAGTGAAGAAATCTACCCCACGACTATACCTCCGCCTCCCCGAATCGATCTACGTAATGAGGCTTTCAAGCGGGCATCGCGAAAGTCCTTTCTGGGAACATCAATGTCAGCGCCTGTCCTTATTAAGGACCCAATAACTCTGCTTGGAAAATCGCTAATGCGTAGCTGGATCAGACGATTCGGATTGCCTGAAGATCACGTAAGGAAAGTGTGGGAAGAGGTGTCCTGGAATGATAACACAGGAAAGCACCCGCAGTGCGTCTAACACGAGCATGAGAACCTACGAGAAGGGTCAAGCAGAAATCCGTGCCGAGGATGGATATCGATGGGTACGAGCCCCCGTATTTGTCCATCACGCACAGGTTTGCGAAGCTATCCAAGCAAGGGAGAGAAGGAAGTGTTGGACCGAGACCTACATGATACATCCTTGATGCCTCTAAGCACAGGCAAGAATTTGTATTTGGCTTGATGAGTGCCTATATTTACGTTTGTTATTTACACGTTTAAACATCGAATATATGATAAATAGACAGGACCTATTCTACGACGCTCCAGAAGAGGTCGCCGCTTCTGGGTTAGAGAGGATCGGAGTGAAATTGCACCTTGACTGGTTTACGGTGGAAGTTAGTGGCGGAAAGTGGGACGAATTCGCCGCATTAGAAGTGCCGTATGAAGGTGGCCCGGGGATAGAGACGTTTGGAGTGAAATTACACGCTATCTGAACAGTATGCACTGCGGAAGCTGCATTGGCGCCGTTATATGAAGGCGGGGAGGAGATATTCGGAGCGAAATTGCATGCATACTGGATTATAGAGTTATTATTCGTCGTGTTGGCACTACTGAATGGAGGTAGGGCTGAGATGTTGGGAATGAAGTTGCACTCCGTTTGGGATGTAGTAAAAAGTGATGATGGCAGTAAGAAGGAAGCTGACGGGGACGCCTCGCTGCCAGGCAAATTAGCCGTGCCAGATGTCCCCTCAGTTCTATTTTGCCTTGAAGATGTGTTGGAGGGGTCGGTGCACCTTACTTGGGGTATAGTACGCGGAGATGCAAGCTCTGGATCTTCTATCTCTTCAGAGGATTTATCGAATCGACCCGTACGACGATGTGCAAGAACACAACGCTCGACCTCGCCATGAACGTTCGCTAGTGGGCCATCTCCGGATGACCTTCGAACGCTGGTAGCTCGAGCAGGTTGTGACAGTAATCCTGTATTGGTTTCGAAACTGGCAAATATAAGTTTCTCTGTTAAGCATGGAAATTGGTACATGCGCACCCATCTTGGTAGTTCTCATCAACTCGAACATTTCTCTCCGTGGAACTTCTGATATCGTGTCCGTGTCCTCCTTCTGATGTACAAGTAGTTGAGGCACCGTTAGAAGCCATTCTGGAAATGATATATACATGTGTCATGACCAGGATGCACCTCTGAATAGTAGCGCGCACATACCGATCGTCCTCGTCCACTCGAACTGTATTCGGTTGGTCTCCTCGGACCGTCAAAAAAAGAGACGATATGAATAAGAAATGTACCTACAGGACCTGTGTGTTGATAACTCAGGATTTAAAACTGCACTGTCTAATAAGGATCGTGAGGATTGGAAGGAAACAATCCACAGTTCGCATGAACTTACTTGGTGCCACGGTCAACAGGTTACCATAAGGTGGGGGCTCACCGGATTCTACCTTTTTGGCTGCCACGAGTTTCGTTAACGGTTTAAATTGGGTGGCTTCTTGAACGATGTCGGTTGGCATCGACGACGATGACCCAAGCGACCCTCCGGCGGCATTAGATCGTGGGTCGGACAGGCGTGTGATTTGTTTTTCCTGTGGAAGCGGTGGTGAAGGCATGGCTAACGAACTTTGGACAGGCAGAGGATTTTTGAGTGTCAGAGACTAGCTCAATAACCCTCAAGTGATCACAATGATGGCATGGAAGAAAAAATATGCTCAATCAACTCAGCGCTAAGAGGTGGTGGTTAACAATTGTTACAGCCCGGCGCCTACGGCACCGTTCCTTAATACTAGCCTAGACCCGATTCGTAGTCGCTATGTGCAAATTTTTGATGAATGATTTTCTGCAGCTCTTACCTACCATCCGTATCCTTTAAAAAAATTATGAGCATATTTCTAGGTATTCTTCGATGCTGTGGTAAATATTAAGGGAAAATCTGTAGAGTAGAACAGATGTCGGGCGGTGGCCGAGGTGGAAGGTAAAATTTCATCACAACGAATGTCATGCCCAAATTGGAAGTCCGTTGTGATTAGAGTTTCCTCCAATACCAACATCAGGCTAGGGCGGCACAAGAAAAGGAAAGCATAACGCACTCAAACCTGCATCCCGGCATGGCATGCGCATTTGAATGGGGGATAGCCTGGATACCTTCCCTCCTCGTTGGTACTAAGGACCAGAAGGAGCCCTCTCTCCTTCATGGATAAGAGAAGCCGAGGTCCGCGCTGGAGTCCCGTGGTTCTATATCCCCTTCCTTCGTAGCAGAATGTCGGAGGTGGTAAGAAGTGAGTCGATGGACTATATATTTCTACTGACCCCACCACGAAAAAGTTGGGGAAGGCGCCAGAGTCCTCCTTTCTAGATGGGGAGAATCGACCCGTGGTGGTGGTGGTAAAGAAGTGAGGGTGCATGATAGAAGGAAGGATTATGCGTTTATGGCTGACGAGCAAAGCTCAGACAGATAATTATGTGGTCATTCCCCAAGTCATGGGTGACGGAGAATTTTGGAAATGACATCTACATTCGCTAGCTACCCTACACGGTCATGAGAGGGCAGCACGAGAAAAGGAAAGCGTGACGCACTCAAGTTTGCACCACGACGTGCGTGCGCCGGTGGGGGAAAATGCCACGGAAGACATGTACAAAGCTTGGCCTGAACGTCCTCCCCCGCAAAGTTCCGGAAACAGGCGCTAGATCTCTCTTTCTCCCACCCGCCAGGAGAAGCGTGTTTCGGGTGTAAGGGAAGGAAAAGATTATTCGCATTGGTTGGTGGATGGAGTGAGGCTGTTGTTCACCACAATACGTACGGAGCCTCTGCCTCATTCCTTTGAGCCGATTTCGCGTGGTATGCGACGGAAAATTCGCCTGAAGAGAAGGGCTGCTCGTCTGTACAGTCAAATTACTAGAACTTGAAGAGAAAAAGCAGATACTACGCACCAAGAAGCTCGCATACGCAACACATGTCAAGGAAGACGTATGGCCTCACACTGACCTAGAGGGTAACGGACACTCCATAGCGACTCGTCTTGCAGGGAGGTCGTTACGAATCGTCTGAATTGCATTATGTAGCGTCAGCAAGAGGACATGTCGTGTCACACCAGACATAGGTGCTGTGGTTCAAGATTCCTCTTTTGAATGTCATTATCAATGTTGTTGAGGGTCGTGATGAATATGTAGTCGCACAGAGGTCATGGTGAGAAGGGAGTTGAAGGTGCACAGCCACCATTCTCCTCTGTCTGGTTACCACCACTACTTGAAGCTTGCTATGATGAGTGTTCTACATCCTTCGCGAAATTTCCTTGGTTGGCTGCATCTGATGCGATCTTCTGGTTAGGCAGTGTATAAGGAACGGAAGACCAGACCTCGCTTTGCACCCTCGTCGCGCCTTCTCCTGCTCTCGTGTAAATGTAAACTCAGGCCTCATTGTCCAACATACAGGCCTCGACGTGCATTACAACAAGCTTCTCTAACCACCAAGAGGCCAGCCACCCACAGCCAGTCCCTCTATCACAAAGAAACACGTCTGCTTGTACCCCTACTCCCTCCATCTTCGCGAGTCTGTCCCGGTAGCTCGGAAGAGGCGTGTCGGAAAGCAAAAGGAGGCACCTTGGACCTCAATTTGGAGTTGGGGATTGCCATTCAAACCGAGGTCAATGGCGATATCACACTTTCTCTCCTAGAGTTGGGTGTGTGTGGGCCAGTCTGATGGGATATGTGACGGTTATTTTTAGTGCAGGCGTTGGCTGGGTGGGCGGTGCGTGCTTTACGCGTTCTGGTTCATAGTTTTGATGCTGATGCGTCTGTAGGATGCTCGTTTTTGAGTTTCGTACTAAATGGGACGAGTTCTTGTTCTGTTCGAGCATAGTCGATAGTACAAGTATATGAAATCCTTTGTTCAATGAGGTATAGGATCAATAATAAATAACACGATGCATCACGTCGGAATAAATACCCGCTCTCTAATGAATCAGAATATCACTCTAACAAGACCACCACCAATAGCCACACCGGCACCGATGCCTATACCACCCGCAGCAGAATGGGCCATCTACGCAACACGTCAAAAAAAGTCACGCGAAAAAGAAAAGGGAGTGGACGCACCGTATTACCGTACTTTCCAAATTTGCTCTTCTTCCCATCCTGGCCGGGGTCCTGCTGGAGCCTAAATGGGCAGCCATGAAGGGCTTGTACTCTTTCTTCTGCGTCGTCGCGGGAGCGGGAGCTGGAGGCACGGATCGACTACCCGTAGGTGGGATATACACTGGAGGGAGGGTCCTAGCTGCAGGTGCAGGCGCGGTGATCTTCTCGACATAATTCGCGGGGAAGAGGGCCCTGCAGCCATTATGCTCGCCAAGCCACCAATCCGCGTTGGTCTCCTCGATGACGGTGATGATGTCGCCTGCTGCAAAGGAGGTCGTCGGGGTCCGAGGCGTCAAGGTTGTACGCCCAGAGTGCTTTGGCTTGGACGACGGTTGGTGCGGGTGCTGGTGGTGAAGGGATAGAAGGCGACCTAACGGCAGACGGACGAACAGGCGCTGGTGTTGATGTTGACTGGAGGGAGGATAGTTTTCGCTGCAGACCGGCTGCTTCTGTTTGGGTGACGTACTCATTGGTGATGAGGAAACCGATGTTGGAGGCGGTCTGCGAGGCAATATGGGTTATAAGGAACGTCGTCGACGTGTTCTAAATCTGGACCCGCAGAGAATGACTATCAGCACGGACCAGTCGCCGAGGGTAACACTCACCAGCACTATCCAATTTCAGAACACGTTCACCCGTTCACACCCTCCCTCTCCACGAGCATGCACCACCTTCCCCGACCCAACCCCATCCGTGTATGCATCACTCGCATGCCCACCCCTCGTCTCGTCTCATCTTTGTGGCCTTCCCTTCATCCGCTAGCGACTATCGTTGTCAGCCTGCATGGCGGCGGCGTCGTCGAGTACAGCAGATAGCTGCGTAATCGTGTCGGCACCAGACGAGGTAGGTGAAGGTCGCTCGTCATCGTTGTGCAGAGCCGGGCAGTGTACACCAGCACGCCGGGGGATCTAGGCTTTCGGAGTCTTGTGGTGCGAAATCCGAGTCTTGCTGTGATCGTTGGCGCATGCGCACGCATTCTGCACAGACTGCTTAGTCTTAGAATAGAGATACAATGTTTACTAGTAACGCACCTTCAACAACCCTTCAAATCTTCGTTTACGTCCAGTAATTCAAACACCAGGAACGTCCGCGTCATCTTCTAAGACCAAAGGACTTGAGTTAACGTCACCATAAAATGGGCCTGTTTCGCATACCTTTTCCATTCCTTCGTTGGGTGGTAGTCAATTCTTAGCGTGTCAAGTTGGCAGGAGAAAACAACTTGAGAGCGCCATACTACGCACTTAACCAAACGAGACCAAGACCAAAAATCCTGGAGAACCAGAAAGATGAGAACACCAAAAGAAAAGGGCTAACCATCGCCCTACAAGTTGATGGTGGTAGTAAAAGAAAAAACCTGCAAGCGTGACTCATCAGTCACAAAATCAGCCCGGCCCGGAGACTTGCCTGCTAGAGGTAAGAGACGTAATTTCGGGTTCGAAGAATATCAACATCTCCTGGCGTGTAGAGTATCTGTGAGTGGGGGTGGGCATTTCCACCTCATTGACGTGCGTGATGCTTGAAGTTGCTGGGAGTAAGGACTCCTTACCCGACGGGAAATTTGGCACGTGACCGGCAAGTCGGAACCGATCAGCCAAAGTTCAAGTTTTCAACACCAAGTCCGTCGCACAGACACCTCCGTGTCATATGAATATAATGCTTTAAAGGTTATAAACTCTTACCTATTATTTTACAGGTCTACCTCGATTTGTTTTGGAGAAATCTTGCATCTGAAACTATGCAGATACATTTGAAAGGTGATTGCAATGCATCAGATCTTTGTAAAATTTCAAGTCTATGCAGAGATCCATGACAACCCAACTAATGTTACTTTAAGATCGGGTAGTCAGACTCCATTCAATGCTCCCTGGTGATTGTGCACAAAACTTTCTTGATGCGAGTTATTGAGCGCAAACCTAGCAAGGACTTTCAGCTCCAGTGCCCCCTTCCCAAGGTTATTCAGGGACATGAAATCCGCAGGCATCCAAGGGTCGATCACCCTGGCTTCTCTCAGGATGCAGGACGGGGGAGATGGAAGTTAGGTCGTGTGTGGATCACGTCCTCGAGAAACATTGCAGTGTTCAATCCGCTCGCTGTCCCTACTGTAGAGACCAATTGACCGGAGGAGACAGAATGACGGGGCATTACGTTAGCTTTTGTAGAGCGCTCATTGCTTATCGACACAGTCTTGAATGGCTTCAAAGGGACTTTGAAACTGAACGTCAACTTGAACATCGCGTCTTAAAATACAACCATAATCATTCTATCCAATGGCACAAAATACTCTCGTCAATCAAAAACTTGTACCACCCCTCGAATCATGTAAAAGGCAAGACATAACTAAGCTGGACACTCTGAGCATCTTAGAATTGACTTTCCCAAGGCAACACTCGAACACTTGAATCAAAGAAATCAGTGATGTTCGAGGGGTTCAACTGCAGCTTACCTTTCTCTCAGTTTCTCCATGCCGTCCTCCTGTGACTTCGACATCAGCATTTGGGCTTCCTCAATCAGTTCTAGCGACTGTCGGAGTGCTCCTGTATCTATACCACAGAAATTTTCCTATACAGGCTCATCACAGATTGGGGTCTAAGGTATCGGTTTTCTTACCTGTATCCTGTCCCACAGTGGCCGCAACAACTCTACCTGCATCGAATCCCTGAACTCCGCATACAGAGTCGCGTTGAGGAATCCACTATCTTCTATCTCTTCAAAATTTGAAGGGAGCACCACATCGGTACGGAAGAAATCCTCAAAGCAAAATGACCAGGAACCCTGAATCTGGCGTTAGGAAAGTTGAATGTGTGAACACAGCACTTACACCCGGTTGCCAATCGCCGTTAGGCCGTCTCCATTGTAGTGTTACCATCGTGTTGGGAGTAATTGGTTCTGTAGAAGGAATAGCCATTACTACCCGCAACTTGAATTCGAGGTCAGGAAAGTTCGGTATGTGGTAAAATATAGTTCGCGATTTGTCGTCCACATCGAACCTTTCGTCTCTTCTGGTTTCGAAGCCGATAAAAGAGAGCAGAGCATGGCAAACAGCCATCTCATGCTCGACAGTAACGCCGATTGTGCGAAAATGACGCATGAAAGTGTGTTCGTCGTAGACGCTGAGTTGTTCTGTCGCCATGTCGAACTGTCTTAGAGATGAACGACAAGGAAAGAGATTATGGTTCGAGCTTGAGAGTACTCACCCGTTGCAAAGGCAAGGGCGAGTCTAAACGACGTATCGTTGCCTGGATAAAGTCGTGATACCCTTCCACCAACAAAGAGAACAATGCTCGGGCCACTGTTATGAATCATTCATTACAAGAAAGCAGCCGTTTGAAAAGGAATTAGACGTACGAATAGCAGTCATCCATAGAAGCTGTAATCTACGAACCTCCAGTGAATCTTGCTCACCTCGGAAATCTTCGACTTTGAAGTGTCCTCGCCTGTAAAACTTCGTGGAAGCTAGCTCAGAGAGGATATGAGATTGGCTTTGGAGGGATTCGGCTCAAGTCCTGCTTACGATGATAAGTATAAAATGTCGTCTCGTAGAGGTCTGTGACAACGACATGGATTGGGAACGAATATCCCCGACGACTATTGGACGCCGCCAAACCTGACTGAGATTAGAGGCGAGGTTTGGACGATGAAAAGGATCATACATATAGCCTCGGCGACGGCCTGAGCACGTACTCTTGCTTGGTCGGACCATCGCTCGGATTTCACGAGAAGAAGGGAGCGCTCACCAATGAACCAAGTTGAGAATAGTGTCGCTCGCCCTTTTTACGATATTTGGCAGAACACCGAACATTACCTAAAAGCTCGTGTACGAAAGTAGCAGGTAGGTACAGTGTTTGGATAGGTTTCCAGGATAGTTGTTCATCTCCTCGTGTAGGGTCAAGGCCTGCAACTCGAGCAACGTTACGCCAGGTAAGATCGGGTAAGGACGGTAAATCGATCGCAGTTCTTCGACGACGCTTTCCTTCCAAAGCAGGAGATGGCTCTCCTGGTCCCTGGTAGGAGCAAACACTGAACGGTATGCTCTCTGCAGGATGTTGACAGCATTGTCCCGGGATGAGGAGGGCACAATGACGGTGACGGTGAACAGAGGAGTAGAAGTCATCACTAACTGAGCTAGAGGACGGTTCGTACTGGTAAAGTAAACTTCATGGACTGGAGTATAGCATTCGGTACTGAGAAAGGATCAGAATAAGACATCCTAAGACATCTGGCATCGTGGAAGGATGCAAAGAGGGCTAAAGAGGGGTATACGGCGGCCCAACGCATGGTATGCCGTAACGCTTCATTTCTGACCACCATCATCACCGTCGGGCTCTCGATTCCTTGCGCACGGATAGTAACTAGGAGAAAACCGAAGACAAGCTTTCAGGATACCTGCAATTGGTGAGGAGCAGAATCGTTCCCAACACGAACTCTTGTGCTCAATTTTCGTAGTTTCTTAAGCCGTCGTCAAGAAGAGGATAACTAGGGGGCCAAGGAGAGAGGTATTAGGCGCGAATCTTTGCTGACGATTCGGCGGGCGTGAACGATAATCACGAACAGGTGTTTATGTCGAGCTTTTACCATTGGGCATTCTCCAGCAACGAGCCTTCGAGTTGTCATATTATGGTTGCGGTTACCTTCCTCGCTTGTGAACGCAGTCTGCAACCAAAAACGATATCTTCAAGTGACGCTAGGCGGTTAGGCCTAGACTCCGAGTGGTCCAATAAGTAGAATGGACATGCTTTTGGTACGAACCTTTCCCTCCAATATTCGTTTTTGGCCAAATTGTCACTGTAGGGAAGAGTCGGCAACTCTCGTTGAAACCGAGAAGATCCTTGTGTCGAGTCGAGGCCAGCAACTACTTATAACCGCAACTTCTCATATCGCCCACACATTCACCATGGACAAACAGTCGATGGATGGGACCATAGCCCGCTGATTTTTTCCTTGTTATATGTCACGGGCTGTGCAGATCCGTCAAATCGACAATAACATGGAGGCGGCTTCGAGGGATTTATCAAGACCAGCAAGTGACGGCCTACGAGGTTTTTCGTGGGGTTCTATGCACTGTTCCATGGCCTGCGGGCACCAAATACGCCACCCATCGAGTCAGAACTATCGGGCGCGTCCAAGGCAACCTTCAAGGTATTATTTATTCTCACATGTGCTCATTCATTAGTAGCTTCGGCAGATCCACGGAGAAGGCAAGGCATCCTCATCTTTCAAGCAGAAAAGTAATAATACCGCTGGTTTTGTTACCACGACGTGGACGGTGGCGAACAGTCTCGCATGTATCCTTACTCCATGGGTGAGCTAGACCCGGCTCCCCATCTCGATCCATATCTTGACGTGTGCTCCCTTGAGATATCGGCCAAGTCTGAGCTACGATGTTGCACAATGTGTATGCTGCAATTGTCGAAGAACACGACGACTATGAATGTCCCTTCTGATGCTGAAGGGAAAATAACTTTCTTTCGTCGAGCTCTCCGGTCTTGTAATCCTATCCGTGAGGACAGAAAATTAGTACTTCTCAACTCATTGTGGTGCTCACGGCTCTATCGTGAGGTACGTATAACATAGCTAGCTTGGGTACGATATACGTCTTCCATAATCTCTTCCAGGGAGAGCGATTGACTTGCCCACGGCAACACTCGAACACTGGGGCACCATTTAGTGAATTTTCCACGGACGTTCGAGATTCAGCTTACCTTTCTCTCAGTTTCATCTTGCCGCTTTCCAGTTCTTCCTTTATTCCAAGCGTATTCGACATCAGCGTTTTGGCTTCCTCGATCAATTTGAGTGACTCCTTTAGTGCTTCTGTATCTGTACCAGGGAAGTCTTCCTATACAGACTCAGAACAGATCAGGGTCTAAGGTGTTATTTGACGTACTCGTATTCTGTTCCACAGCGGCCGCAACAACTCTACCTGCATCGAATCCCTGAATTCCGCATACCGAGCTGTGCTGAGGAATCCACTATCTTCTATCTCTTCAAAATTTGAAGGGAGCACTACATCGGTGCGGAAAAAGTTCCCGAAGCAAAATGACCAGGAACCCTAAATCCGACGTTAGCGAAATTGAGCTTGTAGACACAATACTTACGCTTAGTTGCCAATTTTCGTTAGGCCGTCTCCACTGCAATGTTACCATCATGCTCGGCGAGTCTGGTTCTGTGCGGTGAACAGCCTCTACCCGTAACTCGAATTCGAGGTCAGGAAAGTTTGATATATGGTAAGATATAGTTTGCGATTTGTCATCCACATCGAACCGCTCGCCTCTGATTTCGAAGCCGATAAAAGAAAAGAGAACATGGCAGACAACCATCACTTGCTCAGCATTAGTTCCAGTTGATTGAACGGTTGTGCGAAAACGCCGCATGAAACTATGTTCGTCATAGACGCTCAGTTTTTCCGTCGTCACGTCCAACTTTCGCAGAACTAAATAGATAGAACTATCGTCTCAGAGTATTTACTCACTGGCTGCAAAGCCAAAGGCAATTCAAACGGTCGTATCGTCGCCTGGATGAAGTCGCAGTATCCTTCAATTATTAACGAGAACAAATCCCGTCCCACTATAAAGGCCATTACAAGAGGGCAGCAGTTCGAAAGAAGATTAGACGCACGAATACAGGTCATTCGTAGAAGCTGCCATTCCCGAAGCCTCTCTGGACTTTCACCAAGAACACTCTCACGCTGAAAATACTCGATTTTGAGGTCGCTTCGCAAGTAGAACTGTTTCGCGGATGCTGGAAAGGAGATATGGGAGAGTCGGCTTGGAATTGGAGGGGGCTGCTTACGGTCGTAAGTATAGAATGTGGTCTCTTCTCGGTCGGTGATGACGACGTGGATTGGGAGTGAGTATCCCGAACGGCTATTCGACGCCGCTAGACCTAGCTCCGATTAGATATCAGATGTGAGATGATGAAAAAGAGCACTGTACATGTCGCCTCGGCAAGAGCCTGAGCGTGTACTTCCGACGACGCAGATCGCTTGGCTTCCACGACGAGAAGGACAGCATTCCCTACGATCCTCAACTCAAAGTCAAAGTAAGACGCATCCAGATCCTCCCCTTCGTTGTCGTAAACGAATCCACGTAATAGGTCGAGTAATATACTTTTAACAGCCTTCAAGTTGAATTAGGAGATCCGAGAGAGAGAAAGAGAATTAAAACTTACCGTCGAACCGAGGTGGACATACCCCTGCCTGTCCCTACGATATCTAGAAGAGCGCTGCGCAGTGCCTAGAAGCGAATTTACTAAGGTAACGGGTAGGAATAGCGTTTGGATAGGTTTTTCGGATAGCTGTTCGTTCCCCAGAGAGGGGTCAAGGCCTACAACCCTAGCGACGTTTTTCCAGGTGAGGTCAGGCAAGCGGGGTAGAATCTCTCGTAGTTCTTCCACGACGGAATCGTTCACCCCTAGGGCAGAACAGGTTTTCATCCAAAGCAGGAGATGATCCCTGGCAGGAACGAAGTTTCTGCTGAACACTGTACGGTATGCTCTGTGCAGGATTGTGATTACATCGTCGGACGAGGAAGGAAGGATGGCGGCGATAGTGAAGAAAGGAGCAGCAGACTCGGGGGTAAGGTCGCCCATCATGATGTCTGTCTATAAGTTGAGGATGCCTCACTCTGAGTCCCGTCTCGAGAACGAAAATATTCCTACTTGACTGCTTCTGCTGCGAGTGAGACCTCTGCTCTGACGATCCAATCACGTAAACTAAATCATATATCTGAGAGCTTCTTCATTCTGCACGCGCATTTCCTCTTCGGTGAATCTCATGCATCCCCATGGCAGCACCAGAATACTAGTAACCAATAAATTCTCCATGGCAGACATTCGAAATCAAAGTCCAGCTTACCTCGTTCTCAGTTTTTTAAATCCACTCATTCCCTCCTCCTGTGTTCCACGTCGATTCGACAGGAGCGTCTTGGCTTCCTCAATCAGCTCAAGCGCACGTTCACATGCCTTGGTATCTTCCATATCAGGGCAAGAAGGTATCTTTGCCTTGACATAGTCGTGATATGCTTCCATCAACAAAGAGAAGATATCCCGTGTGACTTGTGCCACCTCGAATCAATACAAGACGGGAACAATTGAAGCTTGAAGCCAGACGTACGGACAACGATCATTCGTAGAAGCAGGGATTCCCGAACCTCGGTTGGATCCCCACCGATATCACGTTCGCACCCAAAATCTTCAACTCGGAAGTGTCTTCGCATGTAGAGCTTTTTGACGGAAGCTAGCAGAGGATATGAGATTGGTTTGGAAGCAGGGACTGGAATAATGCTGCTCACGATCGTAAGTATAAAATGTCGTTTCGTAGAGGTCCGTAATGACGATGTGGATTGGGAATGAGTATCCCAGGCGGCTGTTCGATGCTGCAAGGCCTGACTGAAATTAAAACGAGACTTTGGACGATGAAGGAGCAGCAGCATACATGTCACCTCGGCAACAGCCTGAACAAGCACCTGAGTTCGGTCAAGCCATCTCTCGGACTCCAACATGAAGACCGCAGCGTTTCGTTGGATCCTCAGCTCAAACCTGGATGCAGAGGCACCCAGAATATGTCCGTCGCTGAATCCCAGCTTGTTCAGTATGTATTTAACGGCCTTTAGCATCGCGTTGGTTAGAAGCAGGGCAGCGTGCCGGGGGAGATGAACACTCACAGACGAACCGAGTTGAACATACTCTCCCCTGTCACTCCAGTATTTCCTCCACCGAGCAGTATCCAGAAGCTCGTCCACGAATTCATCGGGAAAGTACAGAAGTTGTATGCGCTTCCGAGTCCCTGAGAGCTGTTCTTCTCCTTGTGAGGGGTTGAGGCCTACCACTGGAGCGACATTCTGCCAGATGAGGTCGGGCAAGGACGGGAGAACCTTTCGTAGTTCTTCGACGATGCTATCAGGTACCCCAGGGGTAGAACAGACTTGTATCAAAAGTAGGAGATAGTTTTCACCCTCGGCAGGGATATCTCGACCGAATACTGTATGGTATGCTCTCTGCACGGTTTCAATCGCATTGGAGGGTGACGAAAAGGAGGGCTCAATGACAGCAACATTGAACAAAGGAGTGATAGGAAGCATCGATAAATACGAAGAGTTGGTCGTTTTGGATCAAGGTGTTTCGCTCGACGTCATTGGATCGGAAAAAGTCTCATCTATTCAACACTGTCATTCCTACTGACCCGCAGAGGTCATCAACAAGTGCGTGGATTGTCTGTAGGAGAAGATGCATCAGCGCGAGCAAGCAGTCGTGTTACCCCAGACATACCCGGATATTTGTGAACGTCGCGTCTTGTCCATCGAGGTGCCGCGCAGCAGAATTCTAACGTTGCTGAGGACCGTAGTAATGGTAATGAAAGCGGATAGACGTATCCCATCCTGACTGGGGCAAGGCAGTACTGGGTGACAGAGGAATGGCATCTACGTTCGCCACCATGCCATGCTACGGACAATCACAGCTAGTTGGGACTAATCACACAACGTAAAAGAGGAGATACGTACAGACGACTTTCAGTGGGCGGAGAAAACAAGGTAGACGGCTGCCACTTCAAGCTGCCTGGTTCCTTGAGCCATTTCTGGTTATCGGCTTCAAGTCGCGTGCAAGATTCGCTCAAAGGACTGCTCCGAGTCGTCTGTATAGTCGAATCAGAAGAAGAGAAAAAGCAGATAGCAAGGATACGCACCAAGAAACTCGCGAAAGAAGACGTACTGCCACATACCGTGACGATCATGTTCTCCGTCTCATCCCTCGATTCCTTGTGAAGCTCATTGTCATCGAGGATTGTGGTGAGCGCAGAAATTGTGGTCAAGCGGGTCGCAGTACAGCTTGTAAAAGAAGATGCAAGATAGCGTAGCCGCGTGCGCAGAAGTCACGGTGAGAAACGAGTCGACGGCACACAGCCACCGTACACTTTTGCCCTGCGGTCTGCCGCGGCAAAGAGGGGAAGTGCCGGCGACTTGATCATATCACAGATCGTGTCAACCACGTGCTCCCGTGCCTTTCCTCTTTTGCTCGTTCACCCATCGTCTCTCGCTGCTTCGATTCTCTGTTAGTGATTGTTCACCCTCTAGATCTCAAGGAGGACAGCCAATGTTCAGGAATTCAGGACAACGGAATTTTTGATGGAAGGCGTCGCATGGACTGCGGTCTGTCAGCTCGCTCGGGTAACTTTTGAACGATGGATGTTTGGACTTCAAAAGACTCAAACTTGCTTCCCAACATGCGCGTGCTGGTAAGGAGAATGCCATTGGAAGACCTGCACGAAAACGACCTCCCCTCTTGTTGGTGCTATGGACCAGAAACAGGCGCCGGATCTATTCGTATTGGTTGGTAGATGGAGTAGGGTGATGAAGGGTGGACCTTTACGTCCACGTTTGCCAGATACGTATCGAGGCTTTAAGCTCAGGTAGATGGCTCGTTCCCCAGGCATTGTCAAGTCGAGCGCCAGATCCTAGGCAAGCGACCAAAGCTTCGCCCGAAGAGAAGGCCTGCGCGTCTCTACAGTCGAATTAGAACTTGAAGAGAAAAAGTAGATAGCCTGGATACGCACCAAGAAACTTGCAAGAAGACTTATCGCCCCGCACTGACCCAGAAGGTAATGACCATTCTATCACAAAATACCCCATCTCGTCTCTGCGTTCCTTGTGAAGCTCATTGACGTCGACTGTGGTGAGCACAGGGGCCATTACCAAGCGAGTGCTGGATTGTCTGTAAAAGAAGATGCATTAACACTAGCAAGAGGACTTGTCGCGTCGCCCCAAACATACCCTCAATCAATGAGTTTTGGCGACTGTGGCATCTTGTTTGTTCGAGGCGCTGTGGTTCCGTAACTCTCTTTTGAATGACATTACCGGGGATCTGGGTGTACACTGCACAGCCACTCCCACTTCTGCACCGCTTCTGAATCTCAATGCTTTGTTCTGGATCCTTCACGCAATATCCTTCGTCTCCATCGAAATTTATTTCTCGCCTTCATTTCTGATGAGGCGGCGTAGGAATGGAAGACTAGTAGACCTCGTTTTGCACCCTCGTCGCGTCTTCTCCCGTCGTTAAAAAGCCAGCCATCCACGACACAGCTACTCCCTCCATCTATAGCACAGGGCGGTGTCGGAAAGCAAAAGGAGGCTCTGAAGGTCCTCAATTTGGAGGTCCTAATGATGATATCTCCTTGAGGTTAGATTTGCGTGGGGTAGTTTGATGGGTATCTGTGTAACGAGTGATTGCGTGAACGGCTATTTTCGGTGCAGGAGTTGGGTGTACGCATTCTGGTTCGCGGTTTTGATGCTGATGTGTCTCTAGGATGGTCAATCTTGGATTTCGTACTCGATGGTAGAGCGTACATGAACATATAAAAGCTGTATTTGTTCTCTACCTCGAGTAATTATACTATTTGATGCCTTTTGTGTGTGAAAGACCGAGAGAACCTTCTCCAGATGATTCGTTTGTTCGGCTGCTATATACAACTTGCACCGCAACCGGCATCCAAGTCAAATGGCGGAATCTGAAGCTGATGAAAGCCTGTACTGCTCTTTCCTCTCTTTCACCCACAACGACGACGACGACGGAGACGACGCTCCTCACCCATATCGCCTCCCAGACAGCTTCCAACATCGACCTTCTCGTCGCCAACGGGTACCTCACCCAAGCAGAAGCAGCCAGTGCAGCGAAAACTATCCCCTCTCCAGTCAACAACAGCACAGGCGCCTGTTCGTCCATCCGCCGTTAGGTCGCCCTCGACGCCCCCACCTCCACCAGCACCATCCGTCGTCCAAGCCAAAGCACTCTGGGCATACAACCTCGACCCCGACGACCTCTCCTTCGCAGCAGGCGACATCATCACCGTCATCGAGGAGACCAACGCGGACTGGTGGCTCGGCGAGCACAACGGCTGCAGGGCCCTCTTCCCCGCGAATTACGTCGAGAAGATCACCGTGCCCGCGCCTGCAGCTAGGACCCTCCCTCTAGTGTATATCCCACCTACGGGTGGTCAAGCCGTCCCTCCAGCTCCCGTTGCGACGCAGAAGAAAGAGTACAAGCCCTTCATGGATGCCCATCCAGGCGCCAACGTCCCTCCGCCCCCTGGATCGAGTACGAACTCTGTTGGGCTCCAGCAGGATCCCGGACAGGACGGGAAGAAGAGCAAGTTTGGGAAGTATGGGAATACGGTCCGTTCATTCCCCTCTTTTTCATTTTCACGTGGTGTTTAGTGAATTCTCTCCATGGCCAGACAGTCGAAGTGGAAGTCCAGCTTGCCTCGTTCTCGGTTTTTTGAATCTACTTCTTCCCTCAGCCTCCTCCTGTGTTCCATGTCGATTCGACAGGGACGTCTTGGCTTCCTCGATCAGTTCAAGTGCCTGTTCACATTCCTTGGTGTCCGTATCAGAGCAAAGGCGTGTTTTTGTCTCGACGTAGTCGTTATATGTTTCCATCAACAAAGAAAACATGTTTTGTGTGACCGTCCGAGTCAATACAAGAAGCTAAAGCAACAGCTAAAGAGTTAGACGGAACAGCGATCATTCGGAGGAGCAGGGATTCCCGAACCTCCATTGGTTCGCCACCGATATCACACTCACACCCGAAATCTTCGACTCGGAAGTGTCTTCGTATGAAGAGCTTTTTCGCGGAAGCTGGCAGAGAATATGAGATTGGCTTGGAGGGAGAAATTGGAACGCGACTCACGATCGTAGATATCAAATGTCGTCTCGTAGAGGACGATGTGGATTGGGTATGAGTACCCTAGACGGCTATTCGACGCAGCCAGACCTGTCTGAGATTAGAGCGGGACTTTGAATCTTGAAAAGAAGCATATACCTGTCACCTCAGCAAGATTGACGTGCGGTGAGCACAGAGGTCATTAACAAGTGTCTGGATTGTCTGCAGAAGAAGATGCGTCAGCGCTAGCAAGAGGACTTGTCACGTCACCCCAGACATACCCGAACATTGCGTATCAGGCCTCGCTTTGCACCCTCGTCGCGTCTTCTCCCGCCCTCGTGTAAATCCTCGTTGTCCAGCCCATGGTGAATTACGACTCCAAGCTACTCTGACCGTTAAAAGGCCGGCCATCCATGACCTGATTCCTAAAGCACGGACAATTCCTTCAAACAAGACTTCTCGACTTATCCACGTCTTGAATGCCCCGAAAATTATGGGAGACATCGAGAGATACGGGCCCCATTAGTACCAACGTTGTAGATTTGGTGACAATGCATGACGAAAACAAAAAATGCAAGGCGGACTTTATGTAATATCCAAAAGAGAAAGCGAGACATACGCACGGACCACAAAGGAACGGACGTGACGATACCAGAGACTCGGAGTGACAAGATATGGGCAAGGGAAGGGGAAGGGGAAGATAACATTCGGGAAGGAAGCGCAGGTATCAGGCGAACATGGTGACAGACGAAGCACACCATTTCACCGAACAGTGCGCCTGTACAGCAGAGCTCTATGGAAACCAACGAACGCAGGTGTCGAACAACCACACAGGACCAAGCCTACCATTTGCATAACAAACAGCGTGCCTGTAGCGGTGCTCGAGCCTACGAAAACCACGAAACGCAGGTATCAGGAAACCGCAAATGATCCGCGAGGAGCCAAGGACACCATTTCGACAGGAAACAGTGAGCCTGTAGCAGCGCCAAAGCCTACGAAACCAGAAACATACTGTGGCGGTGGTCGGGAATAGTGACGGTCAGTCCGTGTTGTTGGTGGGAGGTGAAGGTGCACAGCCACCATTCTCTTCTGCCTGTTACTACCACCACCACTTGAAGCTTGCCATGATGAATGTTTCTGGATCCTTCACGAAATTTCCTTGGTTCTCTGCGTCTGATGGAATCTTCTGGTGAGGCAGCGTAGGAATGGAAGAACAGACCTTGCTTTGTACCCTCGTCGGGTCTTCTCCTGCTCTCGTGTAAATGTCAACCCTCGTTGTCCAACATACAGGCCTCGACGTGTATTACCCCTCGGACCGTCAAGAGGTCAAGGCAGCAAGCACAAGGAGGCTAGATTATTTGAAGGTGGAGATTACCATCTAGGCCAAGGCTAATGGGGATATCACGCTGTCGTTCGTGTGAGTGCGTGAGTTGGCTCTGCGTGGGTCGGTCTGACGGGATATGTGTAGGGAACTAGTGATTGAACGGCTATTTTCAGTGCAGGTGTTGGCTGGGCGGGTCCCGGTGCGTGCTTTACGCGTTCTGGTCCGCGGTTTGGTGTCTCTAGGATGGTCAATCTTGGATTTCGTACTTGTTGTAGAGCCTACATCATTGAACATTATAAAAGCTGTGTTTGTTCCCTACCTCGAATAATTATTTGATGCCTTTTGTATGTGAAAGAACAAGAGAACCTTCCCCTAATGATTGGTTTGTTCCGACGACTCTCAGTCTAGTAGACGAACATGTCCGACCCGCAACCGGCATTCAAGTCAGATTGCGGGGATCTGAAGCCCGAGTTGACCGATCGGGCATGATGAAACGCCGCACTGCCCTTTCCTCTCTTTCACCACAACGACGACGACGATGGAGACGACACTCCTCACCCATATCGCCTCACAGACTGCCTCCAACATCGATTTTCTCGTCGCCAACGGGTACGTCACCCAAACAGAGGCAGCCGGCCTGCAGAGAAAACTATCCTCCCTCCAATCAACATCAACACCAGCGTCTGTTCGTCCGCCCGCCGTTAGGTCGCCCTCCATCCCGCCACCTCCACCAGCAGCACCTGCACCAACCGTCGTCCAAGCCAAAGCACTCTGGGCATACAACCTCGACGCCTCTGACCCCGACGACCTCTCCTTCGCGGCTGGGGACATCATCACCATCATCGAGGAGACCAACGCGGACTGGTGGCTTGGCGAGCACAACGGCTGCAGGGCCCTCTTCCCCGCGAACTATGTCGAGAAGATCACCGCGCCTGCACCTGCACCTGCAGCTAGGACTCTTCCTCCCGTGTATATCCCGCCTACGGGTGGTCGATCCGTCCCTCCCGCTCCCGCTGCGACGCAGAAGAAAGAGTACAAACCCTTCATGGCTGCCCACTCAGGCTCCAACGTCCCTCCGCCTCCTGGGGCAGGTACGAACTCTGTTGGTCTCCAGCAGGACCCTGGTCAGGATGGGAAAAAGAGCAAGTTTGGGAAAGTACGGTAATACAGGTGCGTTCACTCTCTTTTCTTTTTCGTGTGACGTTTTCTGATGTGTTAGATAGATGGCCTCATTCTGCTGCAGGTGGTGTAGGGCTTCGGTGCTGGTGCTGCTATTGGTGGAGGGCTTGTTAGAGCGATATTCTGAGTGGTAGAGAACGGGTATTTATTCGTGCTGCATCATGTTATTTATTGATCCTATACCGCATTGAACAAGGGATTTCATGTGCTTATACTATGGACTATGCTCGACAAGACCTCCCTCCCCTTGAGTACGAAACTCAAGATTGCACAACCTCGAGACACGTCAGCATCAAAATCACGAACCAGAACGCGTAAAGAACACACCAAGACCCGTACAGCCAACATCTGCACCAAAAATAGCCATCTAGGCCATTCAATCATTCATTATACATATCCCATCAGAACAAGCTACGTAAACCCAACTCAAGGAGCGAAAAGCGTGGTATCGCCGTTGACCTTGGCCTGGATAGCGATCTCCACCTCCAAATTGAGGTCCAAGCGGAGCTTCAGAGCCTCCTTTTTGCTTACAGACACGCCCTTTCCGACCTATCAAGGGCGCCTAGGCTCATGCATGGGATGCACCGAAGATGGAGGGAGTATCTGTGCGAGTAGACATGATTGTTTGTGATGGAGGGACTGGTTGTGGATGGCTGGCTTTTTAATAGTCAGAAACCTTGCACGACGCACGACGAGGGTGCAAAGCAAGGCCTAGTTCCATTGCTTATACTCCGCCTCGCCAGAAGGAATGGTATCCTCGCGTCAAACGCAGGCAACCTGAGGGACGGCGAGATTTCGTGGAGGATCGAGTACGAGTTCATCTTTAATTTGCCGCGGCAGGCAAGGTGTACGGTGGCTGTGTGCCGTCGACTCGCGACTACGCTATCATCATAAGGCTAGAATTAGTGCCCAAGATGGCCAAAACGCGACTTGATTGAAGTTTTATGTCTGGTGCGACGCGACATGTCTTCTTGCATCTTCTTTTACAGGCTGTACTGCGAGCCGCCTGACCACAATTTCTGCGCTCACCGCAATCCTCGATGTCAATGAGCTTCACAAGGAATCGAGGGATGAGATGGAGCATTTGTCGATGGAATGTTCATCACTAGGGTGAGGCGATACCTCTTCTTCGACACCCGTTTCTTGGTGCGTATCCTTGCTATCTGCTTTTCTCTTCTAATTCGACTGTACAGACGACTCGGAGCAGCCCTTCTCTTGGAGCGAATTTCTGGTATGTCTGGGGTGAACTGACAAGTCCTCTTGCTAGCGCTGACGCCTCTTCTTTTACAGACAATCCAGACACTTGTTAACGCTCGCCGCACGTCGACATTATTTAATGAATAGATGAGACCTTTTCCCGATCCAATGACGTCGAGCGAAACACCTTGATCCAAAGCGACCAACTCTTCATATTTGTCGATGCTTCCTATTACTCCTTTGTTCAATGTCGCCGTCATCGAGCCCTCCTTTTCGTCACCCTCCAATGCGATTGAAACCGTGCAGAGAGCATACCATACAGTATTCGGTCGAGATACCCCTGCCGAGGACAGGGAAAACTATCTCCTACTTTTGACACAAGTCTGTTCTACCCCTGGGGTACCTGATAGCGTCGTTGAAGAACTACGAAAGGTTCTCCCGTCCTTGCCCGACCTCACCTGGCAGAATGTCGCTCCAGTGGTAGGCCTCAACCCCTCACAAGGAGAAGAACAGCTATCAGGGACTCGGAAACGTATACAACTTCTGTACTTTCCCGATGAATTCGTGGACGAGCTTCTGGATACTGCTCGGTGGAGGAAATACTGGAGTGACAGGCGAGAATATGTCCAACTCGGTTCCTTCGTAAGTGCTGTCTCTCTATCCCCCAGCACACTTCTAACCAATGCAACGGATGCAGGCCGTTAAATACATACTGAACAAGCTGGGATTCAGCGACGGACATATTCTGGGTGCCTCTGCATCCAGGTTTGAGCTGAGGATCCAACAAAACGCTGCGGTTCTCATGTTGGAATCTGAGCGATGGTCTGACCGAACACAGGTGCTTGTTCAGGCTATTGCCGAAGTGACATGTATGTTGCTACTCCTTTTCATCGTCCAAAGTCTCGTTCTAATTTCAGTCAGGTCTTGCAGCGTCGAATAGCCGTCTGGGATATTCATTCCCAATCCACATCGTCATCACAGACCTCTACGAAACGACATTTTATACTTACGATCGTGGGCAGCATTATTCTGCCTCCAAACCAATCTCATATATCCTCTGCCAGCTTCCGCCAAAAAGCTCTACATGCGAAGACACTTCCGAGTTGAGGATTTCGGGTGCGAACGTGATATCGGTGAAGAACAAACGGAGGTTCGGGAATCCCTGCTTCTACGAATGATCGCTGTTCGTACGTCTGGCTTCAAGCTTCAACTGTTCCCGTCTTGTATTGATTCGAGGTGGCACAAGTCACACGGGATATCTTCTCTTTGCTGATGGAAGCATATCACGACTACGTCAAGGCAAAGATACACTTTTGCCCTGATATGGAGGACACCAAGGCATGTGAACGTGCGCTTGAGCTGATTGAGGAAGCCAAGACGCTCCTGTCGGATCGACATGGAACACAGGAGGAGGGAATGGGTGGATTTAAAAAACTGAGAACGAGGTAAGCTGGAATTTGATTTCGAATGTCTGCCATGGAGAATTTACTGGTTACTAGTGTTCTGGTGCTGCCATGGGGATGCATGAGATTCACCGAAGAGGAAATGCGCGTGCAGAATGAAGAGGCTCTCAGATATATGATTTAATTTACGTGATTGGATCGTCAGAGCAGAGGTCTCACTTGCAGTCAAGTAGCGTTCTCGAGACGGGACTCAGAGTGAGACATCCTCAACTCATAGACAGACATCATGATGGGTGACCTTACCCCCGAGTCTACTCCTCCTTTCTTCACTGTCGCCGCCATCCTACCTTCCTCGTCCGACGACGCAATCACAATCCTGCACAGAGCATACTGTACGGTGTTCAGCAGAAACTTCGTTCCTGCCAGGGACCATCTCCTGCTTTGGATACAAACCTGTTCTGCCCTAGGGGTGAACGATAGCGTCGTGGAAGAACTACGAGAGATTCTACTCTACTTGCCTGACCTCACCTGGCAGAACGTCGCTCGGGTTGTAGGCCTTGGCCCCTCTTTGGGGAATGAACAGCTATCCGAAAAACCTATCCAAACGTTATTCCTACCCATTACTTTCGTAAACACGCTTCTAGGTACTGTGCAGCGCTCTTCTAGATATCGCAGGGACAGGCAAGGGTATGTCCACCTCGGGTCGACGGTGAGTTTTATCTCTCTTTCTCTCTCTCAGATCTCCTAATATAACATGAAGGCTGTTAAAAGTATATTACTCGACCTATTACGTGGTTTCGTTTATGACAACGAAGGGGAGGATCTGGATACGTCTTACTTTGACTTTGAGCTAAGGATCTTAGGGAATGCTGTCCTTCTCGTTGTGGAAGCCAAGCGATCTGCGTCGTCGGAAGTACACGCTCAGGCTCTTGCCGAGGCGACATGTACAGTGCTCCTTTTCATCGTCTAAAATCCGACTTCTAATTGCAGTCAGGTTTGGCGGCATCGAATAGCCGTTTAGGATACTCACTCCCAATCCACATCGTCATCACAGACCGAGCGGAAACGACATTCTATACTTACGACCGTAAGCAGCCCCCTCCAATTCCAATTGCTCAAAGCCGACTCTCTCTCCCATATCTCCTTTCCAGCATCCGCGAAACAGTTCTACTTGCGAAGCGACCTCAAAATCGAGTATTTTCAGCGTGAGAGTGTTCTTGGTGAAAGTCCAGAGAGGATTCGGGAATGGCAGCTTCTATGAATGACTTGTATTCGTGCGTGTAATCCTGTTTCAAACTGCTGCCCTCTTGTAATGGCTTTTATAGTGGGACGGGAATTGTTCTCGTTAATAATTGAAGGATACTGCGATTTCATCCAGGCGACGATACGCCGGTTTGAATTGCCTTTAGCTTTGCAGCCCGTGAGTAAATATTCTGAGACCATAGTTCTATCTATTTAGCTCTGCGACAGTCGAGCGTGGCGACGGAAAAACTGAGCGTCTATGACGAAGATAGTTTCATGCGGCGTTTTCGCACAACCGTGCAATCAACTGGAACTATTGCTGAGCAGGTGATGACTGTCTGTCATGTTCTCTTTTCTTTCATCGGCTTCGAAACCAGAGGTGAAAGGCTTGATGTAGGCAACGAATCGCGAACCATGTTCTACCACATATCGAACTTTCCTGACCTCGAATTCGAGTTACGCGTAGAGGCTGTTCACCGCACAGAGCCAGACTCGCCGAACATGATGGTAATATTGCAGTGGAGACGGCCTAACGAAAATTGGCAACTAAGCGTAAGTATTGTGTCTACAGGCTCAATTTCGCTAACGTAGGATTTAGGGCTTCTGGTCATTTTGCTTCGAGAACTTTTTCCGCACCGACGTAGTGCTCCCTTCAAATTTTGAAGAGATAGAAGACAGTGAATTCCTCAACACAGCTCGGTATGCGGAATTCAGGGATTCGATGCAGGTAGAGTTGTTGCCTCTTTTTCTATGACTTCTCTATAAATCTTGCCGGTCGTTATGTTGTTGTCCCCTGTGGAACAGAATACGAGTACGTCAAATAACACCTTAGACCCTGATCTGTTCTGAGCCTGTATAGGAAAACTTCCCTGGTACAGATACAGAAGCACTAAAGGAGTCACTCAAATTGATCGAGGAAGCCAAAACGCTAATGTCGAATACGCTTGGAATAAAGGAAGAATTAGAAAGCGGCAAGATGAAACTGAGAGAAAGGTAAGCTGAATCTCGAGCATCCGTGGAAATTTCATTAAATGGTGCCAGTGTTCGAGTGGTGCCATGGGCAAGTGGATCGCTCTCCCTGGAAGAGATTATGGAAGACGTATATCGTACCCAAGCTAGCTATGTTACACGTACCTCACGATAGGACCAGCGCTGCGGTGAATTGAGAAATACTAGTTTTCTGCCATGGCTTGAGAATAATAACGAGTATTTCATTCTCTTGCTGCCAGAGTACTGTCGTGAATAGAATAGTGCCTGGTCCCAAAGAATACACATATTGGCACCGATTCACGTCCTACTGGATCCACGCGTGCCGAGCAGCCATCACTACAAATGAGTTATTAGCTTGTGACAACTGGAAGGACAAGAATCACGGTTGGGACTCCAAGACCGGAGAGCTCGACGAAAGAAAGTTATCTTCCATTCAGCACCAGAAGGGACGTTCATAGCCGTCGTGTTCTTCGACAAGAACAGCATGCGCGTTGTGCAGCATCTTAGCTCAGAGTTCGCCGATACCTAAAACGCGCACATGTCAAGATGTGGATCGAGATGGGAAGGTCAAAGCTCACCATAGACCTTTCGCAGCGTAGCAATCGAAGAAAAACTGAAGTGGGATATATGGTGTAAGGGTACATGGGAGACTGTTCACCACCTGGCACGTCCCGGTAACAAAGCCAGCGGTATCATTATCGCTCTTCTGCTTGAAAGACAAGGATGCTTTGCCTTCTCCATGGATCTATCGAAGCTATGAGGAATATCATTAACAGGCGTATGTGAGAATAAATAGTAGGCTTGTAGCGGTCGGAGTCGCAATTTTCAGGTTGATGTTTGTCACTGATTTGACGTCGATTGATCGAGGTGATTTTTACTTAACTCCCCGCAGAATTGACAAGATGACTTTAAAAATCATCCTCTGGTACAGCAATCGTGAAAAACTGCTCACCGATTTGTGACGGTCAAACGTGCATTGATTTTGGAAGTCGATTAAATCAAAAATAGGCATAAATTCGGACGAAAAGTGCGACTCTGACCGCTAATAAAATACCTTGAAGGTTGACTTGGGTGCGTCCGATAATTCTGGCTCGACAGTAGTGAGTTTGGTGACAGCTCACTATGAAGCGGCGTACGAGAACCTCGCGAAGAGCCTCATCAGTCTGTCACCTGTTTGCCCTGTTGCGCTGGCCAGTAGGCACCACACACTGTTTGCTAGGATAGAGCGTCACTAATCTGCGTCCTTCATCGACTAAAATCACTGATGATGGTCTCTCGTAATGTAGGTACGTCTATGTAGACGAAATAGTTGGAACAAGTAGTGGGTATAACGAGTACAAGTCACGAACCAAAGGCTATCAAAGACGCTGGTAGGGGATAATGCAAAAGTAAAATCATGAATGAAGATGCGGACGCTGGATAGAATCTACCTAGTTACCTGGCGCGCCGATAAGGACTAAGTACTGTACAAGAAGACATATGGTGTTGCGTTACGTTGTCGTATCCTCGGGTCAACTGCTTTCCACAGTAGGCGCAGCAACAGGTGGAAACACCGCAATGTGCCTCGAGGATATGATCCACAAAAAATCTAACTTCCATCTTCTCTGTTTTACACTCAGTACATGCCACCTTGTCGTATCTGCCGTCTTGAGAAAAGCCCGGGTGATCGACCCTTAGGTGCTTGCGGAATTCACATCCCTGGATAAGCTTGGCGCAGCGGGGAAGAGGGCATTGGAGTCGAAAGTCCCCGGTGGGTTTACGCTCATAACAAAAGTTAGAGCTGGCATCAAGAGTCAACTTTTGTGACCAATGGCCAGGGGGCTTTGAATTGGGTCTGACTACCCGATATCCATCGGGTCTTAAAGTAACATTAGCAGAGTTATCACGGATACGCGGGAAAATAGCTTGTACTGACACTGATTTTGGATTTGGACGCGTCGAATTGGCATAAGTTCTGTAAAAAGAGGTTGTGTAGAGGTTTTGTCAGGAGCCGATCAACGTAACATAATCCATCACGTCGCACTCAATATTTGAAGTATCCCTTCCACCTTCGCTAGAAGCCTGCCAAACTCGAGCAGAGGTGGGCGTGAAAGGGACTCGGCCACTGTGACTGCTGGGAAACGTCAATTTCGTAGCATGAGCGAAGCTTCAAAGCAAGGGAACGAACATGCATGGACAAACGCTTTGGAAAGACATGATACCAAAAGATATCCCCAAGGGAAGAGGTAAGCTTAGGTCTAGAGAAGAGCCTTTACTGCAGTTCTTTGTACTTTCGTGGTTTAAAGCCCGAGCCGTTATACGCCAATGTGTGAGAGCCAAACGTTGCGGCTCTGAAGTACACCTCAGAGACACATATCAACGGCGTCCCGACTCCGAGCCTCTTAAAGCGATAGTTACCCTATAACTTGAACTGTGCAGTCAAATCTACAGGGTCCAGGGGCTGCAGTGTGCGGAAGTAGCACATTGTGTCTTCGTCTCTGAACTGGAGATCAGAGGCACTTCAGATCTTGATCCTCAGAAGGCCGCGGTGATCCAGGCAGCAGACTGGCCTTGAAACGAAGCTATTGCCACCCCATCTGATCTCATCATTACACAGCAGGGTACGTTCAGCACGCCGGCATTGAGCAATCGTAGGTTAAAAATTGTTGACGATTGCTCCGCAGCAGCGATTGCGGTTGATTACAGCTATTCCGATTCGATATCCCCTACACCAGCACTCAGCCGCGATGGAGATGAGAAATGAAGGCAAGTAAGCATATCGACAACGATCGGACACAGCTTGACAAGCCTTTGAGCAACGCCGAATGCAGAAATTAAATGCACACACAATTAGATGTGATGGAGTCACATCAGCGAATCGGACAAAAATATATACGCCCATATAAGCCCGTGGCAAGGCTCAAAATGCTTGGCAACGTCCGAAATAATTGCGTGAAGCTTATATGCCCATATGAAGCATGGAGGATTGATAATTGTTCATGTATCATTATGAGTATTTCATATGTCAGTAATGCATATCAGGCTTCGAAAGGTATCAGTACCATTACTTGATGCCATAGGCAGGTATAACATGAGCTCATATTATAGTGAGTCTGTAACATCGTAAATGTATTGTAACAGTTTTTGGTACTATGCTTATTGTCATTCATGGAGAAATTCACAGAAACTTTTGAGAAACTCAGAAACAGTCCATTTGTTATCATGGCACAGAATATTGGTACATCATTTATATAAATTGGTCTCGAACTTTATACTGTATGTTCTCCTCGCTCTTGCTCTTCTCTCTTCACTGCTAATCACTTGACAGAGCTGCCATTAGGAAGGGACTGGGAAAGTCGAGTCTTTCCAGTCTTGAAAACACTGCTAGG